CGGTTCCCTCTCCGCCCCCTCGCAACACCAGTCTGGCGTATGGATCGCGGGCGCGCCCTGCATCCCCGGCCCAATCCGCCGCGTCTGCGAGCTTGTTGAACCTTGCATCGCGCCCTCCTCCTCCTCCTCCTCCTCCTCCGCCGCCGTCGGGATCAGGATACAGCTCAGGTCCGCACCAGACGTACCAGCAGCACGTGCAGACCATGGTGACAGGCTCACACCAGTCTTCAGCTGCTTCGCAGGCTCATCGTTCATCACTCAGTATCGGCGGGCACGGGGCCCTCTCCTACGGACACTCCACACCCCCGACCCCCGTGCAGGGTGCGCCCCCGGGGCCCGGCCAAGGTCCCATCGGCGCACGATCATACACCCCGCCCGCAATGATGCATCCACACGCTGCGTCGGCGTCGAACCCGGGCGTGAACGGGCTGGTGTACGGCGGTGGAGGCGGGCATCCACTCCATGCACGACCTGGGCCGGGCGATGGAGCGTCGTCTGTGTCGTCGCATGGCGGGAGTCATCATCGCGTGTACAGCCAGGGGTCGAATACAGGGTCGCTTCCGTCGCAGTTGGGACCGAGATAAAAAGCCCTAGTAGTAGTTCAACTGCCTTAGATGCAATTGTATTTCTATCTTATTTTTTCCTGCTTTCCATGTATTCTTTTTTTTTTTTATGTATAATATGAGTAATGATGAACAATCAATACAATACAGATGACAGTAGGATATTTAGGATACTAGTCTGTTTAGAACTAACTCTCCTGCTGGTTCATATGACTAGGCAGATTCCACGGATCATAATCTAGATGCACAAATGCCCGGTCGACCGTGGGCACACTTTCAAGCATGTACTGCAGGCTTTCACCTAGATCGTGGCTATCTCGTAGACTGGTGCCCTCGTCGAGAACAATGTCAACTTCTACATTGAGCTTATCGCCGGCGTAGTATGCCTTGAGGTCTTGGATCTTCTGGATGATCCGCGAAAAGCGCATGGTCATGTATAATAGCACGTTGTGTTCTTCGGGCAGGGCCGCCGCGCCGGTGAGCCGCTGGATGTATTCGGCTGCCGTGGAGCTCCAGTTCCACATGATGTAGATTGAGAGGAGGAGGCCGCCGAGAGGGTCCAGGAACCAGATTCTAGCAAAGGTGCCGACTGGATGGTTAGTGTTTTTAAAACAGTTTGCAAATAGTGTTACACAGGGGGGGAACGTGAACGTACTGAGAGGAAAAATGATACTAAAAGTATTAAAGACAACGTCGGTCATGGCGTCCTGCGCCAGAGCTTGCACGCTGGAGTTGGGGATGGACTGACACCATACCCAGCAGAGACCCTTGACGAGAACTGTGCCGCCCATGATTGCAATCGAGGGGATGGTCAGATCGACGACGGTATGGTCGTCGGATAGCAGCTGCTTGGCTGACGACAAGGCCACCTGGAAGAACGATGTGACGATGATGACGGCGAAGATCAGCACGCTGAGGGGCTCGAGTCGGCGCCGGCTGATCGGGTAGCGGTTGCGGTCTTGTCGGCGGATGAGAGTGGTGGTGGTCCAGATGATGGCCGTGCTGAGGAAATCCAACACCGCGTCCACCAAGCTGGCCAGCACGGACATTGAGCTGGTCAGGGAGATGACCACGATCTTGGCGACGAGGAGAAGCACATTGGCGATGAAGTTGATGTGAATTGCGAGGGTGATCACTCGCTCGCTCACATCGTGAGACGGAACATGGTGGGCCTCAATGTCGTGGACTGGTTCGTGACGGTCGTGGGCGTCTCCTTCTTCGGAGTGACTGTGCTCGAGTAGTGGCGACAGCTCGGTCGGGACGCGGTACAAGTTGCGCTTAGTCCGTTTGATTTTCGTGGACTTGCCGTTCTCCTCGGAATGAGGAGGTGACCCTGATCCTTCTGGAGCATTGTCGGAGTATTCATCGATGAGATGATGCGGCAGCGACGAGTCGAGCAATCGGTCAATGTAGAGGTACTGCGCGATGAGGGAATTGTTCTTCTCATAGTATTTTCGCCTATTAGAATTCCATCCAGGTTAGATCGAAATTGCAAGACTCTGACGGTTCCAAATTACTCACAATGGTTTCGATAGCCCTTTCAAGGCTTCCTCTGGTTTATAGAACCGATCCCTACCAAAAACCGATGAGAAACCCCCCCCTTGCATGGCTTATCCGCATTCCAGGCTCACCATTGGTACCGCGGATTGCTATTCCCAATCAACTTCAATCCTCTTTTCAGAAACCGTCTCTGCTCTTCAGTCTCATGGATAGGTAGTCCACACTCATCCTCTTCGAAACCGTGTGAGGTGGTGAAGGAGGACTGTTGTGATAAGAAGCTCAGTAGCCGCTGGCCGCGGGTCGCGAGTATTTCGCGCTCAGGGTCTAGGCTTGGTCGACGTGGTTTGATGAAGGGTGACGAAGAGGGAGAGGACGAGGGGATAAAGGGCGACGATGAGTCTGGCGAAGAGATCATGGTGGAGGGCAACGCTGAATGCTCTGTACGAGGAGAAGCGCAGAAGCCTGAAGGTCGCCGTCGGAAGCTGCAAGCAACACCCGATCTACTAGTCCTTTTACGGAGTAGCCTTTGCACTAGTACCGATCAGGGTCCGGTCCACACTGGGGCAGCCGCACGGGCTCTCGTAACTGAGTCAGAAATTAGTCAGCATATATTTTTGCCTCAGGCATAATGTCTGCCTTGGACATGAACACTCTATGCTTCTGTGTACATACGGAGTATGGTGATACTGGGAAGGTCATAGTGTGTCCTTTTTAATCAGGAGTCTTTATGGAAGGCCTAATCTGCTGCTATCTTACAGATGTAGTTTTACTATTATTTACAGGACCTGTGCTACCTCAACTATTATAAATATATATTAGAGCCTACATATTTCTTTCTAAAATTCCCGTATAAGCTGTCAGGTAAATCATATTTATATAAAAGGCACCCCAAAGTGGTCTCATTATCACTGTAGATTGTCTCTCATGCTTTCCATTTGACCAGACGGCAGATAATCGAGGCTGCTACAGCAAAAGGCCCGGCCATGCTTATATCTGGGAATCGCTTAGTATGACAGTTGATACAACAACAACAATAATCTTGCTGTTGGTACTGCTGACTTATAACCTTGGTATTGTGCTGCGGTCTGCAACAGAAGAGTGAAGACAAGAGGAAAATAAACGAGTAACCGGCCGGGCCAGGCAGCCGCAAAGGGCACTCAGAGAAACACTGAGACTATTCACCACCCTAATTGTCAATAAAGACCAACAGAGACAATCAGCATTGCCTTGCAGACTCACTAGTTTTATTTTCCCCTTAACACGCCTGCCTCTAATTCCCCTGTTATTGAAACCCGATCACCTTACGTCCTGTTTCAACCCCGCCGTCGACATTGCTCTTCGTGTAAGAAACCTACCAGGATTCATAGGTACGATTATACTATCATGGATCAGCTGTCAGCATTCGAATAGGAAATGTCATGAAATATGGAAGGCAATACCTCTGTGCTCATCGGATACTGGAATAAGGCTGTTTCTGCCTGCGTATGGTTGGGTTAGCGCTATCCATGACTCGCAGTCGGCGCGTATATCTCTCAGCTGCCGCAGCTCTCTCGCTTATTTCTGTGTAGGCTGAATAGATTGCCTAGCTGGATTCCTCGAATATTCTGCTGGCTTCTGATGAGCCGACGAGCATCTGAAAAGCAGAAAGAGAAAATATATCAGCATGTACAGACATGGATAAAAATGGTAAAAAGAAGACTCACATAAAAACAAGCTAGCTCCGCCTTCTGGTAGAGCTTCAGTAAGTCTTATATTCACAAGGTGGTGGGTTGTAGAAGTGAAGGCTGGCCACAAGGCGCGCTTCCGGCGTTATGGCGCAGCAAACGCAGGCAGACTGCGTCTCGTGACCTGCTGGGTATAAACACCCTGTGCCTTCCTGATTCTCTACCTGGCAACACTCCTCCCCCTCCTCTCTACCACCCTTCTTCATTACTGTCCTCACAGACCTCTTTGTTGAACAACTTGCACGCGGCCGCTGAGCCCCAGCCTTCTAGACATGGGTTCCTCAGCCGAGCGCTCTCGCACTGTACTCGAGTCAGTGATCGAGCACATCGTCTTACCTCGCGAGCTTCCTGGAAGGCAGGAAAAACGGATTGCCACCATCGAATCGGACCTGACCAACTACGTGATCAACGCGTGCAGTAGGCTGCGAGATATTCTCTGCAATGGTGAGGGCCAGTATAACCTGTGGGAATCCATTCGCAATGTTGCTCAAACAGCCTACACTCTCAACCGTGGAGGCGTGTTGGATGTAACGCACCTGTTGAATGCGTTGGTTGCTTTGCAGCAGCAGTGTCCTTTAATCCTCCATGTTGCGGCACAGAATGCTGGGCTGCTGATTCGAGAGACTTGTCAGAGGTACGGCATCATTTTAGTTTTATCTCCCTTGAAGGAACGTCGTTTACTGACAGGTTCATTCTCCTGGGTTGCTCTCACAGTGAGAATGGACAAAGCTCCGTCATCATTGAAGCATTCGAGGCCTCGCCATTGTCAGAACAAGTCCTTGCCGCCAAAGGTGCTCTGATCTGGAACTTTCCCGGCACAAGCGTTGCAATTCCTTCAACCAGCCTAAAGACTACAGAGATGAGAAACCAGCTTGCAGCATTCTTACAACAAGCCAGTATCGAGCATATTTCTCGCTTCGCCGCTCGTGCAGCCAAATCGGGATCACTGGCAGTGGAGCCCAGAGAGACCGTTGATCCGACCATGATTACCGGGGTTCTCATGACGATCTTGGAAGCTAATGGACAACAGATAGCTCCAGAACCTTTGCAGAAACGTGTCCGCGATGATGTCTGTTGGACCGAGGGAGAAAAGCCGTGGAGACGCAGTGCCTTTTGGCTCGTCTTCCGGGTTGGTCTCAGTCGGCACTTGGCCACTGTCCATGGAAAAGAGATAGGCAGAGTGTATTACAAAATCCTTCTTTGTGTATTGCTCACGCTGCTCCTTGAAGACGCCGTGGCTCAGCGCCTGACCCCGGAAATCATCATGTCTCTTGTCAACAAACTCGGCCGTCGTCTGGCAAAGATGGAACTCAGTTATCAGCAAGCCTCCTCCGGCGCCCGCCTTGCCTACGAGGCTACTTTTTGCAAACTACGTGCCCGCTTTCAAGACAAACTCGAAGAGGCCAAACAGCATGTGATCTCTTTGTGGGAGAAGTATAAACGAGAGACAACTAAAATCATTCGACCGTTGCCACAGAGAGCTGATGACACGGAGCTGACGCTCAGCCTACCCAACAGCCGTCAATACCTGAACAAGGTCCTGGATAGAGGGCCTCACGATGCCTTCTCTGCCAAAGGACGTGCACCAAAGCGCAAAGATTCCCATAGAGGGCCAGTACCACAGAACCAATATCGAAAGGCAGCTGATCACTATTATGCATTGGCACAGCAGGAGGATGCTCTCGCTTTTGCCTCTCCATCCGTAGAAGACAGCGATGAAATTTCTTGTCTCTCATTTGCAAACAAGATCAGTCTGTATTTGATGAAGGTCACAGATAGCTACAACTCGAACCCCGAGCAGAAGAGCATAATGATCTTAACGGTCATGCGCTTGTGGATGCTCATGGACCAGTGTGCCGTCAATGCATACCCTCTTCTCGCCGACTATGACCCGGGAATTCCAGCCAGGATCCTGGACGTTTTGCAATTGTCGTCCGCCGAAGAACTCATCGAGTTGGAAAAGATACAAGAATACCTCCGCACTAGACTCCAGCGCTGCCAGATCCGTGGGAGGACAATTTTCGAAGACCCTTCGAAAGGGTGTTTTGCGGAAAGGTACTTCGATAATTCCAAACATTCCTCGACTATGGCCAAGACTCTTCAAGAAGTTCAAGATGCCGCCAAAGATGCACGGGAGAGGAAGCACACTGAATGGCAAAAGCTCAGCGCCGAGTATGACGATTTGCAACGCCAGATTATGCAATCGACTTGCATGTGGATCACGGATACGTTCCAAAACAAACACGATGACCGGAACTGCCGAAGATGCTATTTGGAGCGTACTGCAAACCGGATGAGAATAAACTCTCATGAAGACCCTCTCCCGGAAAACCCTGTTCACGCAAAGGCAGTCATATTTGAGCTGCGTTGTCCCTCAGCGTTCCGACTTTATCGAAACACGACATGGAACATAATCGGGTATTTGGGTCGGAGAAAACTGGTCGAGACACAGGCACCTCGGTTGCATCTGTGCGAATATTCGGAGTTGCAGCCCTTCATACGTTCACCGAAGAACACAGGAATCTCGCTGGCGTCAACCACAAAGTCATGGCTCACCACTCATTACCGAACTGTCCGTCTACCAGCCAGCTGGGAGGATATTTGTTTCCCAAACGGTCTCAAGCTAGGTTATTATGATTGGGAAACAAAGCTGTGGACTGGGCGCCAGACGGGTTCGCCGACCTTTGCCCATCACTGTGAGATGATAGTCCAGCCGGATTCTCCCTTTGCAGCGCTCCATAAGCTGCCTCGGTTTTCAGTTGACTCTACGGGCCCGTCTTCATATGAGATCATTGCCAGCCAAACCCAGTGCCCAACTGGTCTGAATTTGCACGAGTTCATGGCTTATCAAACCCTATTTTCCGGAACCTCCCGTCGATGGCTATCTATCCTCATCGAGCTCGGCGCTTCCAATTTGAATTTCAGTGCCGAGGCTACATCTCTGCTTGTTTCTCAACTGGTTCTCATTGCTGGGCCATCTCATGACAGTGACTTTCTCAGGTCTACACATCGCATTCTGCGTGATTCGACCTTCACGACCAAGTTGCTCGATCTTGTCGAAACTCGGATCAAGGGTATATCCTCGAGCTGGAGAGAGACGAACTGCATGTCGATGCTTATCACTATCCTGTTGCGCGTCAGATCAGTGACTAACGGAGATGCTGCTTCCTCAGCACTGAGACTGCTAGAACTAGCGAGAAATGTGACTGCCGCTTGGGTTCGGAAACTTCGTTACGAGATCCATCGCTGCACAGATCCTGCAAGTGCAGCAGCCTGTTCCCGCTACGGGCTATGGGCAGCTTTGTTGTGTCGAAAGACATTCTCTGTGTATAGCCATCCGCGATCAACCGGCTGCGGGCTAGATGCTCTTGCATTTCGTGACTACATCGAATGCTCCGTGATACTCCAAGAAAACATGCCAAACAATATCACTGCACTACCATTGTCGCTCAAGAATGCGTTGGTTTGGGATATGAAGATGGTCTTTCGTATTCGCCACGTTCTGAGGGATGCGATACTAGCCTTCCCTGGTGACTTTGAACGCTCCATAAATGCTAGCTGGAAACGACTGGAAGCCAACCAAGATACTGACAGCGCCTCGTTATTTTTCTCGAACCCAAAGCCTTCAGATGATGCCAACAACTGGTGGATAGAATGGTCCACCCATCCAGGGAAAGAAACACTGCCCCAGTCAATCCGATTCCATCTCCTTGAAGGACATCTGCTTATTGATGGACAGCCGCTAGGAAAGTTGCCTTCTAAGTACCGCGAATCAATGATTCTAGAACATCTGTTTGGCAAGCAAGCCTTGTTGACATATCCATCCAACCTCCCTGGAATGACTTACATGCTTGCATTTACCATTAAAGAACATCATGTCCACTTCGGAGTTCGTGACGAACAACTTATTGTACAAGCCTATCGTGAGGATACCGTTCTGGAGCTTGTCCTACCTGATATTTTCCGTGGTCCCAAAACTTGGGATCTTCCAGCTACCTTAGTGGATAACTGCTGCCATTGGCTAAACTTGAGGAGCGGGATTCTGGAGATACGGCCTCGTCCAAATATATGGATTCCAAAACGGAGTAACTGGGCTCTTGATGTCCGCAATCGTCAAGCATACCGTCGTGAAAGTTTGCTAGTTGATCCTCATAGCCGCCTGTTTTCTAAAATCGCATCAATTTTCCAAGGCTTCGAACATCCTAAGAACCTTACTGTCTTTCAACCGCCAAAGAATCCACTCTCAGTTGAGCTTCGTCGCCTAGAGTTATCATTTTCTGTCAGAGGTCGAGGCTTCCTGCATTGTCGCCAGCTCCGTTGCCAGATCGACGAGAACCAGGACGCCGGGACATGGTATGGTCTTCGAAGCAAACTTGTCTTGTGCGATGCAAGAAACCCTCAACAGCGAAGTATCATCGTTCCGATGGGACCGGTCCAATACTTCAAGCATGGGTGCCACGTTGCAGTCGACGTCGTGAATTGTGGGAATTACGGCCGTTATATGATCAACGACGTCTTGGGCCGCGTGGACTGCCCGGCTGAACCGCGACTTGTGTATTCCAAAGTCATGTTTCATGCATACACCTCTTTCGTTCTACCTGATGCCTTGACCGGGACTACAGGCACAGAAGAGGCCCTAAGGTACTTGCGCTCTGGGCAATGTCAGCCCTGGAGACCACTGACCTTGGGGCCACAAGAGTCTCTGGAGTTTATCGCGCGGCTGACTCCTCGAAGGGTATATTACCCGGAAGATATGAAGGTAATGCAACGGGTATACTGGGATCCCGAACTGACGGTCACGATTCAGAACGAGCAGTATCTATCATTGGTCAAATCCATATGCGAGAAATCACAGCGTCTGGCTTTGTTCTCCCTCGGAAAACATGACAGGCTTGACGTAAAACTTGCAGAAACCTCATCTCATCTGAACACCCGCAGCACTGCCACATCGGAACTCTTCCAACGGTCCGTATCAATGGATGAGGATTCAATTGTCGAAGATGCCCGTTACAGGACTAGGGCCCGTCCGAGAATAAGCCAGGCGCGGCAGAACGTCTACGAAGTGGCATCCCTGGTTCTCGAGTGGAAACAAGAGTTGTGCTCAGCGAGAAATTTGGCAGCAGCTTTGCAAACCTGGCCTGCGATCGGTGGCTATGGAGAATCTTTCAATAAAACCCTACTCAGTGATATTTTGCAGGTTGACTTTGCCGTGGAATGGGGTTCCCTGGCGATGCTATGTCGATCATTTTGCGAGAACGACAAATTTCGGTTGATGTTTCTGTTCGGTGTCATGGCCTTTCGCGATAATGCGCCAATGGATATTATCCATACACTTCTTGCATTTGCCATCCTGCAAGATCTGAAGGGTGTCGTGTGTCCGGAATGGCAGTCCTATACGCACTTCCGATACAAGCAAATACCCAGCATCGAATACCTTGAGCAATTGATAAAGCCCTTCTGCATTCCATATGCAGATGATGAACGTTCACTTTTCCCCGGTCAGATTGCATCCAAGATGCGCCGCCAGCTCGAAAAGGCCGAGAAAGCTCACAACGAACAGGTGGAGGGTGACTGTAAACTCCTTGCCCAGTTGTTACACAAGCAATGGCCTTGTAAGGAGCCATCCCAGGGCACCCTACCCGAGGGCTTGTTGGTCCATATTCCTCAGGCTCTAGCTGTCATACAGCCAGAATGGCTGCGCCTATTCCAGAACTTTGAATTCTCACGCCACATTGACCAAGTTCAAGGCATTCTGGATCGCCATTGGAGCGACGTGACCATGATTCTTCCCAAGCCAGCATCAGCCAGAGCTGCCCCCAATATGAACCGTGGAAATTATTCGTTGCCGACACTGCCGCAAATCCTCCTGGGAGCTGGTGATCGTGTAGCCGAGGTTGGAAAACAAGTCGGCTGTGCTGGGGAGAACAGAGTGCCCTCTGTGATCACTGGAGCACACAAGAAGACAAGTTCATTTTCAGAGAGGCCACAAGACCTTCAAGACATCAAAGAGCTGGGGAAAATCATTTATCGGTTTACAAACTCTGACTCGTTATTGGAGAGAAAATATGGCGAAGATCTTCAGCAAAGTTTAGATGCCCTGAAACGAGTTAGACGGACGTCTCCGAAAGAGAGTCTTCTTTCTTCTCCAAATGAGCCTTTCATAATGACATTCGCTGCACAGTCGAGAGTGGAAAGTGCCTTCGAGCAGATATCAGCTCTACTCGAGGAGAACAATGTCTGCGCGAGGTGGCTGAAAGCTGCTAATCTCTGGCCTTGTATTACACCAGTGACTCTGCTGGAACAGCTGCGATCGACATCAAAGATTGAGGTAAAAGGCTGGATTAAGGACCTTATCATGGATTATGCACTTTCCATCACCGGACTACAACGTCTTCTGCGAATCAGGGACGCCAGTATCAAAAACGATATGCCGCACGTGTCAGAAGAAGAGCGCAACGCTGGCCATGCAAACTGGGATCCGGCAAAGCACACGGACTGGCTTCTTCTGGAGATTGATAGCAACATCCTCATTCGAGATATCCAGATCGAAGTCGCGATGGCAATGATGTCACCAGCCTCCGGACGCAATTCGGCATTACAAATGAATATGGGGCAGGGTAAGATACATCCCCCTTCTTTTCTTTCCCTAGAAGAGAATTCGCATTTTGATGACTAAATGGAGGTATCAGGCAAAACATCATGCATCATACCGATGATCATTGCAGAGCTTGCAGACACCCAGAGACTTGCCCGAGTCGTTGTTCCAAAAGCATTACTTGTACAAACGGCCCATCTGCTTCAGACTCGCCTTGGGGGACTGCTCGGCCGAGAGGTCAGCCATATCCCCTTCTCACGGAAGACGCCGACAAATTCAGATACTATGAAAGTGTATTTCCAGCTGCACAAGGATATCAAAAGATCCTCTGGGGTTATTATAACGTTGCCAGAGCATGTCTTGTCGTTCAAATTGAGTGGGCTGCAACGCTTGTCCGACAAACAACTTCAAACCGCAAACCAGATGATCAAGGTCCAGAGTTGGATGCAGAGAGTCTGTCGCGATATATTAGATGAGTGTGACTTTACGCTCTCTGCTCGGACACAGTTAGTCTATCCTTCAGGAACTCAAGCGACGGTCGATGGTCACCCCCACCGGTGGGAAGTTGCGGAGACATTGCTACATGCTGTGGAGAGTCATCTGTGGAATCTCCATGAACAGTATCCCTACAGCATCGACGTTGTGCATCGACGCCAGGGCGGATTTCCCATGGTCTTTTTCCTCCGCCAGGATGTTGAAGAGGAGCTGCTTACACGACTAGTAGGTGATATTCTGGATGGACGGGTTCTTCTCTTACCGACATCAGAATGTACCCAAATGGAGCTTCAAGTTATCCGGCAATTCATCTCGGACGATATCATCCCACCGGCTGCGCTAGAGATTGTGGATCATCTATTCTCTGATAAACCTGCAGCTCGGCAGGTTCTGTATCTTCTGCGAGGACTCCTAGTTCATCGAATCCTTCTTTTGACATTGAAGAAGCGATGGAACGTTCAATACGGGTTAGACCATCGTCGGGATCCAATTGCTGTGCCATATCACTCGAAAGGTGTACCGTCCGATCAAGCTGAATGGGGTCATCCGGATGTTGCGATCCTTCTGACGTGTCTGGCGTTCTATCTTGGAGGACTAGATTGCAGCCAGCTGCAACAAAGTCTGGAGCATGTCTTGAAATCCGATGACCCGGCGAGTGGGTACGATCGCTGGACCCATCAGTGTAACGATCTACCGGACTCTCTCCGGGTGTGGAATATCATCAACGTGGAGGATTCGGTGCAGATGCAGGAGCTCTGGAAATACCTCCGGTATAATATGGTTGTCATCGATTACCATCTCAACCACTTTGTCTTCCCGGCACATGCAAAACAGTTTCGGTTCAAGCTACAAGCGTCCGGATGGGATATTCCACTCTTCTCGGCGGACGGAGAAGGGGACTTGACGACAGGATTCAGTGGTACCAATGACAACCGGGACATGTTACCACTCACCATTCGACAGGATGACTTGCCGGGACTTCAGCACACCAACGCCGAGGTGTTGACGTATTTGCTTCAAAATCGCAACACGGGCTACATGCTTGCGGCAGACCGGAGTGGCCGGCATATCACTGAGATCGGATTACTAGAGAAGCTAGCAAATAAGAAGATTAGAATTCTTATTGATGCTGGTGCTCAGATCTTGGAGATGGACAACTACAGCCTGGTCCAGGCTTGGCTGAAGATTGACTATGAATGTCCGGCCGCAGTTTTCTTCAGTCACGACAACAAACCCTTCGTGTTGTACCGCCAAGGATCCATGGTCCCTCTTGTCGCTTCACCCTTCGCCGAGGACCTTACAGGATGCCTGGTTTACCTGGATGAGGCTCATACCCGGGGCACAGACCTCAAACTTCCATCAAATGCCTGTGGAGCATTGACCCTGGGATTGGGCCAAACCAAGGACCACACGGTTCAAGCAGCCATGAGGCTTCGCCAGCTTGGAACCACCCAAAGTGTGACCTGGGTTGCCCCGCCGGAGGTTCACCAGAGCATTCTTGATTTGCAGGGAAAGGGTCAGGATGCTCGATTATCGTCCTTTGATGTGATTTGTTGGCTTCTAAAGCAGACGTGTAGAGGTATCGAGCAACTGCAGCCATTGTACTTCTCTCAAGGGCTGGACTTTTGCCGACGCACTGAGGTTGGTTTGACCAACAATGACTTCCTCAACAATGAAGGCCAGAGAAAAGCCTATCTCACCATCCTGCGGTGTTCCGAACAACAGACCCTTGAAGAGCTGTATGGACCAAAGAACTCTGCGAAATCGACGCCTGGTCAAAAATTAGCAACTTCACAGCTGAAGGAGTATATGAAGGAGCTTCAGACCCGGAGGAGGGAATTTCAAGACTTTGGAAATGCCGTGCATGGCTCAGTGCTCCAAGAAGTCGAGCAAGAGCGTGAGGTGGCGTTTGAAGTTGAAGCAATCCGCCAAGTGCAGAAGCCGGTTCACTACACAGCCCTACGCTTCCCTGGCATTGATGATGGCCTTCTTCAATTTGCAAAAACTGGCCGTTTGACCCCCGACGGTAATGGCCTGGAGCCTGCCTATACCGCACTCTCAGAGACCGATGTAGGCCAAGAAATGAAAATCAACAAGGCTTTCTTTGCTGGATCAAAACTGTTTGTCTCGAAGCAATTCCGCAGGACAGTCGATCTCCCCTTGGGCCGGTTGAACGATAACATGCTGGTGAGAGTTTCCATCTTGATCCAACCTTCTGACCTCCTATCACTGACTGACAAAATTTCTTACAGCGCCCTGTAAACTGGTTACTATGGAGCCCCGTGACGAAAGTGGCAGTTATCCTGATTCCTGAAGAAGTTGAAGCGCTGTTGTCGATCCTAAACGAATCGAGAGATACCGCTGCCCCCACCCATCTACTCACATATTCGGCTCCAGCGACACGGGGTATGCTCCCATTCAACAGTTTGAAATACTACGCCATTCCTCCGTTGCCTGCAAGCTGGAAGGCTCCCACCTGGCTCGCCATTGAGCTGGGTATCCTGGCTGGACGTCTGTACTTTAGCTTTAGCGAATATGCCAATATCTGCAACTATCTACGGATTGAAACGCGGGAGGAGACTGGGAGGAAGGATGGTGACGTGATGATGCTCTCTGACGATGAAGAGGGCTTCGAGGGAGGCAGCCCGAAGAAAAAGGGAACGTTTACCGCGAAACCCCTGTCATTTCTACAGAAGTGGCTGTCAGTCCGACGTAAGGGACAGGACTTTGTGCACACACCGATGGGGTACGTGTGTCAGGGCAAGTTGTTGACCGAGTCTCATCCATTCTTTGGAGGTGCCGTGCAACGTGAGGAGAGTGGAGGAAGAGGAAGGGGATACAGGAACACGCCCATGGAGATAAAGGAGATCGAGGAACAGGAGGAGCACATGGGCAGTGACTATGAGATGGATTAAGAATGTATTGAGTACTAGTTATCTGCTTTTCTTATGCTAGTTAACAATGTATCAATACATCGATACGATTAGGCGGTCTAGAATGTATGTTACCTTTTCCAAGGGTCATATTACGGAGTACATCATTTGTCTCATCTGATTCCGCGTCAGGACGGAATTCACGCCGCCCGAGGGACTGCGGCTAATACAAATAATATGAATGGCCCGGGCAGGGAGATCCGCCTCCCCCACTCCCGCAGATCCTTCCCCGCTTCCCCCGGAAATATCCCGCTTGACGATTCTCTATATCTTGGGGGATGATTTTGTCAGAAGATGTAGCATAATATCATTCTCTATAGTCTACTATCCTATCGTTCGAAATGCCTCAAGTCATTTTTGCTGCCGTTGTAGCCGTTTTCTACTTCCTCCTCCGCTACTTCAACCGCACTGACGTCCCTAAGATCAAGGGGATCCCCGAGGTGCCTGGGATTCCTATCTTCGGCAACCTATTACAGTTGGGTAATGACCATGCCCGGGTAGCAGCGAGATGGGCTCGGGAATACGGTCCTGTTTTTCAAGTGCGAATGGGCAATAGGGTATCTTCTCTCTTTTACACATACTAGGTAGTTACTGTTTTTAACTATGACTATATGCTGATAACGTGCCAGAGAATCGTTTTTGCCAATACATTTGAATCTGTGCGGCAGCTGTGGATCAAAGAGCAGAGCGCCCTGATTTCGCGGCCGACCTTCCACACCTTCCACAGCGTGGTCTCGTCGTCGCAGGGCTTCACGATCGGGACTTCCCCCTGGGACGAGTCGTGCAAGCGCCGACGCAAAGCGGCGGCAACCGCGTTGAACCGCCCCGCGGTGCAATCGTACATGCCCATCATCGACCTGGAGTCGACGGCGAGCATCCGCGAGCTCCTGCAGGACTCGCAGTCTGGGACGGTGGAGGTGAACCCGACGGCGTATTTCCAGCGGTTCGCGCTCAACACCAGCCTAACCCTCAACTACGGGGTTCGCATCGAGGGCAACGTGGACGACGAGATGCTGAGGGAGATCGTGGCGGTGGAGCGCGGGGTGTCGAATTTCCGATCGACAAGCAATAACTGGCAGGATTATGTGCCCTTGTTGCGTCTGTGGCCGAGCAAGAACCGTGAAGCGGAAGAGTTTCGCCTGCGCAGAGACGCATATCTGACGACCTTGTTGGATATGCTCAAGGCGAATATCAAGGCTGGCACCGACAAGCCGTGCATCACGGGGAATATCCTCAAGGATCCGGAAGCGAAATTGAACGACGGTATGACTCGGAGTCGAATGATTTGAATGTGAAGTTTTCATCCTGCTAATGAAGGAACAGCCGAGGTGAAAAGCATCTGCTTGACGATGGTCTCTGCAGGGCTGGACACCGTCCCGGGAAACCTCATCATGGCGATTGCGTATCTGGCAACGGAAGACGGCCAGCGCATCCAGCAGAAGGCGTACGACGAGATCAACGCCGTGTATCCCGACGGGGATGCCTGGGAACGATGTCTGCTGGAGGAAAAAGTGCCGTATATCACTGCTTTGGTGAAGGAGACGCTGCGGTTTTGGACGGTGATTCCCATCTGTCTGCCGAGGGAGAACATCAAGGAGATTGAATATCACGGCGCTGTCTTTCCTCCTGGCACGTCCTTTTTTATGGTAAGTTTTTTCTCCCCCGGTTCAATATGGTTTTTGTACTGATTAGTAGAATGCATGGGCTGCCAACTACGACGAAACACACTTTGAATCCCCTCAAAGATTCTATCCCGAACGATTCCTGACTTCCACAGAAGGCGCAGGAACACCGCATTATGGCTACGGCGCTGGTTCGAGGATGTGCGCGGGGTCTCACCTCGCGAACCGGGAATTATACACGGCCTTCCTGCGTCTGATCACGGCGTTCACCATGAAGGAGGCCAAGAATGTGCAGGACAGACCGATCATCGATGCGATCGAGTGTAACTCTATTCCCACGGCGTTGACCACCGAACCGAAGCCGTTCAAGGTCCGGTTCATCCCCCGGGATGAAAGCCAGCTGAAGACATGGTTGGCGGAGAGTGATGATCGTACAAAGCATTATAGCTAGGTACTAGCTTCTGGGTAATAGTTTGTATTTCGTTTAAAAATATCTAGCTCAAATTGATTGAAACAACTTTCGCAGGCTCGATGAGTGTCCCTAGGATAGGTCCGATCTGGGCTCCTGACGTCGTAGCGTAGAGAACTGACCGGTCACGACTGAACTGCAGGGCCGTCACGCCAGCGAGATCGAGTTTATACGCTTCCCCTGCGAGTAGAGAGAGGCTGTAATCAGCATCACCATCATTATGTGGATTGGATGCTTTGAGGATTGTGTTCTGTGGGTTCGTAGCGATGTAAACCACCTCGTTGGTGTCGTCGATGATGAAATCGTCGTTCAGGACCCCGGAGAGAAGAACCTCCACGGCGCCCGTTGGGTTCGCCTGCTCGTCGACCGGAACGCGACAGAGCAGTTCCCGCGTGGTAGAGGTATAGTAGATGTACCCGTTGAGCACCTTGACGCCGTTTATCCCTATCTGGACCGGTTGATCGGGTGACGGAAGCATCGTCTCGTCTGCCACGGCGACGGAATATGACGGATCAGGGGGGGAATCGACCGAATGCTGGATCTTCCAGATCACGCCTTTGACGGAGTCGGCGACGAGGAAGATCTCATCGCTGAAGGTGGTGATCCCGTTGAGAAACTCTGCCTCGGGAATATGAAAGAAGGGGATTGTCTGCACTTGATCGCTCTCGTCGAACCAGACCGTCCAGATGGAAAAGGAGCCGGGCGTGGCGGACAGTTCGGACAGGGAGAAGTTGCCCGTCACGACGGCGTATCGATCGGTGGTCGTGCCGTTGCTGGCAAAGGGAGTGATCCCCATCGCCCCCAGGGCATCGGGGAATTCGAGCAGCTTTTCTCCCCTCGACGTGGAGGGATCGATGGACCAGAGCTCTGGCACGTCGAGGCGGGTGGTTAAAAGGAGGTTGTTCGGGCGGACCGCGAGGTTTTCCAGCCACGTTCCGTTCGAGACGTATTGGAAGACCGTTTCTCCTACTGTGAGAGCAGCAAAGATGAGACTGAGAGTGAGTTTAGGCAGCATCTTTTCACAGTAGTTATGAATCTCCAGTATTAATTGGTTTCTATACAGCACTCTAGCACTCCAGCAGTCCACCAACGACCAACACTACAGTATTTATACCTCTGTGATATCTACAGAGCAGTTTTAAACTTGTCTATCGAATATCCAATTCAACCAAATAGTTCGTTTCAAGCCGATTACTGATCTAGACCACTTGGTTGACTGTAAATCCGTCGTATTCTAAAGTTGTGCTGCGCCCTGTCCGAATGCGGCGATGACGACATGACTACAATGGTACAGTATAAATAGAATTCCTTTGGTATCCAGTATATCGTCTCCAATAACTCATCTTCAGATAGTACCTGGTATACTATCTTGTATATAAACATCTATTATATCATAACTACACGACTCTACAACTACTTACAAATCTACACTCTACTCTACACTCTACTCTACACTCTACACTCTACTCTACACTCTACACTCTACAATGGGCCTCTGTCTCAGCAGACCACGTCGAATGGACATGTACCCCCCTCCACGCCGACATTCCATCCACATGAGACCCGGGTTTGGGAATGCAGGACCCTTCGGACCGAGCGTGGGATACGGCGGCGGAGGGAGATACGGGGGAGGCGGACCACATGGGGGATTTCGAGGGGGGGGGAGGGGAGGGGGGCATGGAGGGCGAGGAGGGAGATGGTGATTGATGTAAATAGAGTAGAATAGAGTAAATGCATTGCAGAATCTCTCTTTGCGCAGATATACGTAGATTATACAAGTAGCTGTGCTTGTGCCTTACACTGGATGCCTTGGTGCCTTAATATTCTGCCTTAATGTTCTGCCTTACTGCCTTATGCCAAGGGTCTTCAAATTACGTATTCTTGCCCCTCTATACGAGTTATTCCTACGAATGGAATACCTATGGTATGGATTACCTAGACCAGGAACACAGAACCCGTAAGTATCTTCCCTGATAGCAGGATTTGGATGCTCATATTTTGCTTCTCCAGACATCTGGCTTGGCCAGAAATGGTTCGACGCCTTTCTTGCCTCATGGCTCCTCACCAAGTCGCAGGGCCTGTACTCGGCGGCTGAACTGGAGGTACTATCCCCGTTGCTTCGAAACGGCTTCCTTTTTTCTTTCTAACGCTGGTTGATAGAAACAACATTCTATCCTGGTGGAGCACGACCTCTCCTTCGCGGACATCTGTCGCGTCCTCCAGCTTTCCTTCAACTTCACGGCCTGTGGAGATACCGCCCATGAGGATCTCTATCTGTTTCTTGGGGCGGCGTACCATCGCGTCATGCACGAGCAGGACCAGGAGTCGGTCATGACCTTCTCAAGGATCCAGAACGCCCTCACGGAGTATCTCAAGCATCCCTTGCTCCGGACGGCTCAGTCGCCTGCTCGTGGTCCGAGGACGACGACCAGTCACAGTAACAGCAGCAATGGTGCCCGAGGGCTTGGCGGTGGTGTTCATGTCCCCTCCCCCGTCGATTCAGCCCTGTCGACCATGGCGTACGCCCTCAGCCAAGAGTCCGTCCTATCGCGCACCCACCATTCGGTTCTTTCCCCCCCGCCGTCTTCGTCCGCTGAGGGTGGGGGGGGGCCCTCGCCGCTCAAATCACGCTATCTCGTCCTGCTCAAGGAAAAGGGAGATTCTGACGGCGTCGTGCCATTGTTCTCGGAGGTGATGGAGTGCGAGACCCCCTCGCGGTGGACGTCGACGGCATCGTATTCGGGCGTCGTCGGCACCGCGACGGCGCGGTCGAAGAAGGAGGCGCGCAATCTCGCGGCGAGGAGTGTTTGGATCAAGCTTGGCGGCGAGCCCACGGACTGAATGGGTTGATCGAGGTTTGATGATATATTTATGATGGCAATTATCAAGGCAACCATAGCATGGAGTAAATTCGGACAGTAATCCTTTCGAGGAAGTTGCTTGTTGGGCTTTGTTTTTTGTTTTTTGTTTTTTTTTATTTTTTTATTTTTTTTGTCTTTCAGCAGCAGCAGTCAGGTGACACAATATATATATAAAATATTCAGAATTCGACCGGTAACACTTTTCTCTCTCCCACTTCCACCCCCGTTCCTCACCTTTTTCTCACCTTTTCTCATCCTACATAAGGATACAAGAGTATGTCTTGGAAGCTTGAAGCCAGTGTCTCAGCCGCTGACAAAATCTAGGTTTGTCTAGCTTGAGAACCCCTGCTGTCTCTTCACCCCGTGTCGAGCCATCTGCAATCTGTCGCGTGGTCTGAACTGAACCTCCGGCCAGTCCTTTGCAATTCTCTCCTGGTTAATCCCTGGTTAGTTCTACACAATTCCACTATTTGCTTGTTTACTGAGCCAGCCCTCAGGCCACTCGTTGACTGGAAATGTGATTCCCACTCCTCCAGGATGAGACCCCCCCCTCCACTTCAGCACCAGCCTCCCTGTGTGTGGCTCGATTAGGATGGGATGCCTCTTAACCACTGCCTGAACATCCTGCTACACCACGATGCCAAATCACACCCTACCATACCACGCCGAGCGTGGTCTCTCCAATGATGATCTCTCAGGTGACCGCTGAAGGCGTCAGCTTTGTCTCTAGGCCGTATTTGAGACCAGAATAAGCCTAAATAGGGGGAGGCGCCTTGACATGACAGGGGTTCGCTGCGGTCCTAGTCGGCACGCGACTGGCCATGTCTTTTGGATCAATTCCCACGACTCGTCTCGTGATTGGATTGCCTATAATATCTAGTAACTCTCCCCATGCAGCCGTGCACCTCGGCTGTCTCTCTCTCCACGGGGTCTACGGACCGCCAATCCGTCAATCCGGGGAAGGTCGCTCTGGGCTTTGTTTCACTAATTCTATATACGGCTTTGTCTTGGCTTTGAGGTAGTAGTCGAAAATTGCAGAATCAAGTATAAAGATGTGATGTGACCAGCATCTCGTCTCTCTACTTGCTTGGCCATGTGGATCGCGTTCTCATAACAGTCATTCGAGTCAAACTGAGCTGAGGAGCTACTAACGACAATGCCTCTCTATACACCCTCCAAGCCCACCTTCGAGGTCGGGGGAAGAGAGTTCCCCCGCATCACCTGGTGGAAGGAACCGGGCATGCGCTCGCTCTATGTCTGGTTGCTATTTGCTGTCCTAACGTCGGCCACCAACGGTTACGATGGTTCTATGATGAATGGCTTGCAGGCGCTCACGCAGTGGAAGGATTGTAAGAGCTCTTTTTCTTTCTTGACCGTATTATCATAGTTACTGACTATCTCCTGTCAGCGTTCAATAACCCCGGTGCCTCGGAGCGCGGTCTGCTCAACGCAATCATGTCCGTCGGCGGCATCGTCTCGCTGCCCCTCGTCCCCTACATCGCCGACTATGCTGGCCGTCGCGCGGGCATCCTCACCGGCTGCGTGCTCATGATCATCGGTGTCGTCCTGCAGACAGTCGGGTACAATATTCACATGTTCATCGCCGCGCGATTTCTCATCGGCTTCGGCGTCTCGATCGCTCAGGGTTCGGCTCCCTTGCTCATCGCCGAGCTGGTTCATCCGCAGCACCGCGCTGTCTTCACCACCGTGTACAATGCCACCTGGTATCTCGGATCGGTCATTGCCGCCTGGGTGACATTTGGTAAGTTCCTCCTCTTTTTCTTCTTCGTGATGGCTGGCTAATTCGGATAGGGACTTTTAATATTGGAAATTCCTGGGCGTGGCGGATCCCTTCACTTTTCCAGGGTATTCCTTCAGTGATCCAGCTGATGGCCATTTGGTATGCTTTTTTTTTTTAGGGAAGACACCGAGTGAAGCGGTTACTAATAATCTAGGATGGTTCCTGAATCCCCTCGATTTCTTATCGCCAAAGGCAAACACGAGGAAGCTCGTAAGGTGCTGGCTAACGCCCACGCGCGCGGTGACGAAACGGCCGAGCTCATCGACGTCGAGTTCCGCGAGATCCAGCAGACGATCAAGCTGGAGCAGGAGTTTGAGAGCAACGGGTGGCAGGAGCTGTTCCGTACCCCTGGCAATCGGCACCGCCTGTTCATCCTCATCAGTCTGGGCTTCTTCTCGCAGTGGTCCGGCAACGGGCTGGTCTCGTACTACATGACCGATGTGCTGGACGGGATTGGTGTGACGAATACCGACCTGCAGCTGGAAATCAACGGTATCCTCAACATTGTCAACATGGTTGTCGCGACTGCGGCCTGTTTCTTCATCGACCAGTTTGGCCGGCGCCCGCTCTTCCTCTTTGCCACGGGTGGCATGATGGTCTCCTTTATCTGCTGGACCATCTGCGCCGCGGAATTCGTCAAGACGGGCTTCTCAGCCGCGGCCAATGCCGAAATTGCGTTTATCTTCATCTACTACTGCTGTTACGACTGCGCCTGGACGGGTCTGCTTGTGGGATACTCGGTTGAGATCTTGCCGTATCGGATTCGCGCAAAGGTATTCCTTTCCTTTCCGCGATTACTTATTAGCCTTTCTGTCCATCCAATCCTGACATGCTGCTTTTCCTAGGGAATGGTCATGATGTTCCTCAGCGTCGACGCCGCCCTCTTCTTCAACACGTACGTCAACCCAATCGCCCTGAACCACCTGGACTGGAAGTACTATATCGTCTACGACGTGTGGCTCTTCGTCGAGTTGCTCGTTGTTTACTTCTGCTACGTCGAGACCCGCAACACCCCGCTCGAGGAGATCGTCCGTTTCTTCGACGGCGACGGCGCCCTGTTAGGCGGCGACCTTGCCACGACCAAGAGCCGGCAGCTGGCGGACACGGTGGAAGTGGCGCCGGTTAAGACGGAGGAGAAGGCTTCAGCGGTGGTGGTGGGTGTATGAGATATGAGAGAGCATGTAGTGAATGGATATCTGCCTCATTTGCTACATTCCTCTCCTTTGTATTATTTGCATTGTCTGTTCCACCCTCATGGAGCAAGCATTAAAAGATCTGCGCCTCGAGCACGAATTGGGCGGCCTGAAAATACAGATGGTTTACACACCTTCCCTATCTAGGACTAGCGCTATCACGTTACGGCCTGCCTTCTCTTTCAGGCTAGCGTCTCTTATTGAGCGTCTCAAGCTCTGTTCCTTCCTCTTCAGCAGTACGAATACTCTCTCTCCTCCAGGCTTCAATAAGAGAACTCTCTTGGATACCTCGGTACTGCTGAAGTCATCAGGACTACTCCCGCCTACTCCATGGCGTACTTTAGAAATGCCTCCACCGAAGCTGGAATGCAGGGAGCAGTGGACAGTGGACTGGACGGTGAACATACCGGATTGTGTCCGAGTCGTTGCAGGTCGCACAGCTAGGCCATCCCTGCCCACTCACCACTTTCTTAGAAGCTAATATGGAGTCCTGGAGCCGGGCCACAGCAAAGCACATCCTTATCCGGCGATTCGGTAGCTGTGTGATTGGTTTGACTTCATGCAGAGTCTGACAGCCACTTGGAGATGAGTGATTTGGAACCGAAACTCGATGAATCAATCGGCTCCATCCTGCAAGAGGACACCGCATCGTGTGGAGCACACGCCAAGGTGACCTCGGGGGCATCTTTTATTTATAGAGAGCTTTTCTTTCTTGTTTCGGGGCGGAGGTAGCTAGCTGACCTCCAAGGGTAGAGAGGATAAAGGACAGTCCTCGCAAAAATACAACCATGGAAAGCCTGAAGAAAATGGTCCTCACTCCTCCACAGAGTATGGCTCTCGTGGACTTGGAATCCAGATCCTTCTTGACCGGCGTGTTTTTCTTGTTGTTTGGTGTATTGTTGGTTTATCGCCATCTCTTTTCTAAGCCCACCTATTCTCTCCCCCCGGGACCAAAGCCACTTCCAATCGTCGGGAATATCCTTGATATGGTGCGAAGCACTCCCATGGACATGTTTACACAATGGCATCAAAAATTCGGCCCTATCATTTCCCTCCGTTATGGCCAACGTCAGGTCATCAGCATCAACTCGTCTAGCATCGCCCATGATTTGTTGGACAAGCGTGGGGCTATCTATAGCTCGAGACCGCGTTTAATCATGGCCTCGGAACGCATGCTTAACAGTATGAATATTGGTGTCCTTCCATACAACAAGCGATGGAATGTCCATCATCGCATCATCTCTCCTTTCTTCGAAACGTCCATGGTCAAAAGATATGCGCCTATCTTTGATCTGGAGAGCAAGCAGGTTATCGCGGATTTCCTATCCTCAAATGATTTTGATTCTAGCCTGTCCCGATTTTCCGCAAGCATTTTCCTTGGCCTCAGCTATGGTATACATTTAGATAGCAACGAGAGTACCGAGGTGACAGATCTTGACCGGATCAACCAATTCTTCCTGGACGCAATGAGCAGCATGTACTGTCGTCTCGTGGAGCTCTACCCCTTCCTTGACCTGACGCCTTACTGGCTGGCACCATGGAAATGGCTTGCCGCCGACGTGGAACGTCAAACCACCGCTGTACATATGAGGCATTTCGAGTTCGCCAAGTCAAAACCCACGTGGAACTGGCTGCAGGAAGCCAGAGCGTCGAAGCTCGGAAGTCAGTTGCCCGACAAGGAGCTCGCCTATGTGGTCGGCACTTTGCATCAAGCCGGGGGCGAAGCCATCATCACCCTCAGTCGTCTTCTTGTAAAAGTCATTGTTCTTCATCCTGAATGTGCCGCCCAGGCGCAGAAAGAGCTGGACCAGGTTGTTGGCCCCAATCGACTCCCCAACGTTGACGACCAGGAAGATCTTCCCTACATCAACGCCATGATCACAGAGGCAATGAGATGGCAACCCGTCACTCCCCTGATCTTCCCGCATGCAAACACCCAGGATGATGAGTATATGGGCTACCATATCCCCAAGGACACGATGATTCTCCCAAACCTTTGGGCGATGGGTTACGACCCCGAGATCTATCCAGATCCTACTGTCTACCGACCGGAACGGTGGCTGGAAAACACTCCACCGCATCACCCTGCCTTTGGGTTCGGTCGGCGAATCTGCCCAGGTCAGCAATTGGGCTCCATTAGCGTGTTTCTCCTCGTCGCGAGGATCCTCTGGGCATTCAACACCACGCACGCTTATCGCGATGGGAAGAAGGTAGAAATCGATCCCTGGGACCTGAAGATCACCCTGACGCTCTCGTCGAGTCCCTTTGAGGTAGAATTTCACGCGCGAAGTGACAAACACCGGAAGATCATCGAACAGGAGTGGTTGTCGACTGAGAAGGATGTCGGCGTCATTCTGGAGGAAATTCGGCCACCCAGACGGGAATGATGGTGGGTTTACTATTTCGGAATTGTTCACCCTTTGGAGGTCGGGCAGCTATATATCATAGACAGTATTTTGGCACGGTCTTCGAAGCATTGCGATATCCTGGGTGCTTGCCTTTCCATGCTGTATACTGTTGCACACCCAACCAGCTATCCTTGCATCAACAACATAACACACGTTGTTTCCCCCCGGACCTTCGGAGCTGGGCTACAGCCAGAGTAATAGTGTTCCTACTGGGGGTTGATTTTCGGTCTTCCCCCCGGGGTATATGCAGCTACTCCACGATCTGTCAGGGGTCGGGGAAACGCTTTCCCTCGCATTGAAGGCCTGAGCCATACAATCCTGGGGCAGTTATGGGGGAAAGCATTGGCCTGTAACCTCCAGGCCCCTGCAGCCCCAATCACCAGAGTTCTCCATGATGACTCGGCTTGATTCTGGGGTAGAGTCTTTTGCCGCCTTGCATGGGTAAGAGTTGAAATAAGAAGACACTTCTTTCCCCCGGGCGATCAGACTTTCAGGCTTGTCGAGGACTCCTTTCACTCACGAGCAAAGTTCAATCTAGGCTGACGTATCTCCCTTCTTTACCATTTGTTCCCTACAACATGGGTATTCTCGCCCTGGTAGAAGACAGACCGACTCCCAGAGCAGTTTACAACTGGCGAGTATATCTGCTGGCGGCGGTGGCGTCTTGCACGTCATGCATGATCGGGTACGACAGTGCCTTTATCGGCACGACGATCACATTGAGTTCTTTTGAAGATGAATTCGGGCTCAACACCATGAGCACCTCGCGGCTGGACCGAGTCAGCGCCAATATCGTCTCTGTCTTCCAGGCTGGCGCCTTTTTCGGATCCTTCTTCGCTTATCCCGTCGGTTACATCTGGGGGCGACGGGTCGGACTGCTCTGTGCCGGCCTGATTTTCATGCTCGGCGCGGGTCTGATGCTGGGTGCCAACGGCCAGCGCGGCCTGGGGCTGATCTACGGCGGGAGAGTGCTGGCGGGGTTTGGCGTCGGCGCTGGGTCGAATATGGCTCCGATTTATATCTCAGAGCTGTCACCTCCTGCCATCCGTGGTCGATTGGTAGGGACGTATGAATTGGGCTGGCAGATTGGAGGGTTGGTGGGGTTCTGGATCAATGTAAGCCTTTTTGTCTTTGATATTTATTGTTTTTTTTATTCTTCTCCAATATTCTATACCAGTACGGCATCTCCTTGCACATCGCGCCAGGCCCGATGCAGTGGATGATCCCCTTTGGCGTGCAACTCATCCCTGCTGGGCTCTTTCTAATCGGGCTCCTGTTCATCCGGGAATCGCCTCGCTGGCTGTTCTCCCGCGGCCGTCGCGAGCAAGCCATCAAGAATCTCTGCTGGATGCGCCAACTCCCAGCAGATGATATCTACCTGATTGAAGAAATCGGAGCAATCGATCAGGCGCTCGAGGAACAACGGGCCAGTATTGGTCTCGGCTTCTGGAAGCCGTTCCGTGCCGCTGCAACGAATAAGAAGGTCATGTATCGTCTCTTCCTCGGGAGCGTGTTGTTCCTGTGGCAGAATGGTTCTGGCATCAATGCGATCAACTACTACAGTCCGACAGTGTTCAAGAACCTGGGAGTCACGGGTGAGAACACCGACCTCTTCAGTACCGGACTGTTTGGGGTCGTGAAAACCATCGGCACCACCCTCTGGCTGTTGTACATGATCGACCGGGTTGGCCGGCGCATGCTTCTTATGGTGGGAGCGGCGGGCAGCTCGGTCTGCTTATGGATCGTGGGGGGCTATATCAAGATCGCTGATCCGTCCAAGAACCCTACCGGCAAGATTACCAGTGGCGGGGTGGCTGCCATGTTCTTCTTCTACCTGTCGACTGCATTCTATACCCCGACGTGGAACGGTACTCCGTGGGTCATCAATGCGGTAAGTTGAAAGGAACAGTCATGAAGGAGAAACATCTTATTCTTTTTTTTTCTTACTCTCTTTCTATTAGGAAATCTTCGAACCAAACATGCGATCGCTAGCTCAAGCTTGTGCCGCTGGCTCGAATTGGTTCTGGACCTTCTTTATCTCCCGTTTCACGCCCCAGATGTTCACCACGATGAGCTACGGGATCTGGTTCTTCTTTGCAAGCCTGATGGCCCTCTCTGTCGTGTTCGTCTTCTTCCTCATTCCCGAAACCAAAGGGATTCCCCTGGAAAGCATGGATCAGCTGTTTGCGCACCAGCCAATCCGGCAGGCCCATGGGGTGCTGCTTCAACAGCTGCGTGAGGACGAGGAGCGGTTCCGCCATGATATTGTCGAGTCGGGGGTGATGGATGAGAAGCGCCATGTGGAGCAGGTTGAAGTTGTTGTTTGATGGTGACATTCTCCCTTAGGGAGACCACACTAGCCGTATGGCTCACGACACGAGCCAGCGTGGCATATGCGCTCTTACTAGGTCGCGAGCTCCATCAATATTCGTTCCTTCCAGTCCTAAATTTAATGAATTAGCGTAAGTTCTGATGGCAGGGTACTCAGCTGCTCGCGGACCTGACAGGTTGGGAGTTGGCAGTCATGGAGCCTGGGGACTCGTTTTGAACCCCCCACACTCACATCCTGGCAGTCTGGACGACTCTCGTGATGGATATAATACTGGTATAGAGTACTGAAAGTGAATCATGGAGCAGCTCTGGTGAGAAAGTAATGTGTTGGCAAGTGGCTGGAGGAAAAGAAGACCAAAGAATCTGCTTAAATATGAAGGACCTGTTACTCACATTGTATGGAGTAATGGAAATCTCATAATACACTACGCAACTATCGACAAAGGATAAACATCCTTATTTCCATCACTGATAGGTACTGGTCAAGGCATTGCTGCCTACTGCCTACTGACGACCCATGGAACACAACCAAGGCAACAGACTGCTGCCTCCCGCAAAAGAAAGATATAAACCCCCTCATTTCATCTGTTTCATATTTTCCCCTCTTCTTCCTTTCACTGCCTCTCCTCCCTTACTGTTGGGGGAAGCTTGAAGAAACCCCCCCTCAAATAAAAAAGCACGCGGTTATGCCTGGCTCCCCTGTTGAGGACTTCCTTGGAATGACCTCCTGGGTTGAAGACCTGGCTGGCTCAGGCCTACTGTGGTAAATTTTTGGAACCTGGCACGATCTGCTATTATGCTCTGGAAAGAGTGTAGTTTTGTTGTGGAGGCGATGTCGAAGACAAGAAAGGTTGCTTTCTCCTCAACGGCGTGATTGATAAAGGTGATCTCTGCTCTTGATTTATCTGTGTCCATACTGACAATTCTTTAGGAACCGAATAGACTGCCGAGTGTATCACTTTTTTCCACTAGAGTCGTACGTTTCATACTGCCATTACCTCGCCATCCACCCTCCATCAACCTATAATCGTTAGATGATGGGCGTTCTTTTCATTTTCGTTTGTTTGGCATACCATAATAATCTCACCAGTCATGTATGAACTGGCATCACTGGCTAGAAAGACCGCCGGCCCCTTGAAATCGCGCGGATCTCCCCAGCGACCCATGGGGATTCTCTGCGTGATGGACTTGTAGTAGTCGCTGTTCGAGTCCGAGCGGGTATCAGCATTCATGTCGGTAGCGATATATCTAGTAGAATTAGACATGTTGCATATTTATATGGAAACGTATGGAAGTATGGAATACCCCGGTGCAATGGCATTAACACGAATACCATATCCCGCCCATTCATTCGAAAGCGCCTTGGTGAGCATCGCAATCCCCCCCTTGCTAACCGCATACCCGGCCATCCTCACTCCGCCCTGGAAAGAAGCAAGACTCGCCGTATTGATGATCCTGCCCTGCACGTTGTTCGCGATCCAGTGCTGGCCTATATCGCGACAGAGCGAGAACGCCGAAGAGACATTCACCTGCATCACCTCCTCAAAGGTCGCGTCGCTGTATTCCTCTGCGCGGAACCGGCGCTGGATCCCCGCTGCGTTGAGCAAAATGTCCACGTCTGGGTGGGCGGCGAGTACGTCCGGCACGAGCGCGGAGACATCCTCTTTCACCGCGAGGTCGTAGTGGTGTACCCAGCATTTACGACCTAGTCGTTCGATCTCCTCTTTCGTTTCCGTTTGAGAGGGGGTGCGCTTGTTTTGTGAGAAATAGTAGCTAATTTGAGAAGCAATATGCCATGTTTCTCACTCACCAGAATTAAAACGATGTCTGCCCCCGCTTCGGCGAGGCCGATCGCCATCGCTTGTCCGATTCCTCGGCCGCCGCCTGTCACGAGGGCCTTGTGGCCTTGTAGATTGAACAATGTAGCCATTTTGGAAGAGATGTAGAGGCGGTTGAAAGTGAAAGTTGGAAGCTGCAAGTTTTCTTGCTCACGGTGCGGGGATAGAAAGTTCGGTGCCGAGAGTGCGGGGGGAGGGCAATCGGAGCCGAAGTATACAAATAAATATTATGACATCGTTTTTTTTGACTATTATTTGTGTCCATCTCATTATATCTGTAGATAATCCTCGAGCTCCGGCCATGCAATATCGCCGATCTCGTACGTCTGGCCCGCCCCGAAGAGCATGGCCAGCTCTTCCTCGCCTGCCATGGGGGTGGGTTCTGTCGGAACAGAGGGTGTCTGGGACTCCAAGCTCACTGCTAGATTCACCTTGGTGTCGCGTTTTAGCTGCTGTAGTAGGTCGGAATACAGGCTATAGATGCCATCGGCGCCCGGCCAGAAGCGTCCGGCAACAGACGCCGTGGTCAGCAAACGCTCCAGACGGGCCTGTGCCTGGATCTCCAGCGTGGAATTGTTGGTTTGCAACGCGGAACGGGCTTCGGAGCTGAGCTGGATCGCGGCCGCCAGGAGGGAGGTCAGGCAGGTGAACCAGCATTGGCTGAGCTGGTTCGTTGCGATCAGCGAGTCGAACGTGCTGGCGATGGAAACCGCAGCGGACCTGCAGATTTCATCGGATACGACCCGTGTGTGAATCGAAGAAGAAGAAGAAGAAGGCGAGGGAACTGGCTGCTTGAGGCGATGCAGATGAAGCAATGCCATGTGGTAGTGCATCTGCAGCTGGAGGGGGAGAAAGGTCGTCCGCTCACGACGATGAGTATCCGCAAGCCTTGCTGGGAGCTGCAGGAACCAGCGGTTCAACTGCATGTCGAGCGTGGATTTGCGGGTCTCGAATAAAGACGGATCCGATGCAAATTCCCGCGCTGCGCCGGGCGATGCCAGCCGCAGGATTTGAGCCGTGATGTCACAGAGAACTGAGTGTTGGATACAAAACTCGGCATCCACGCCGCGGCTGAGCTCGGTTCCCTCTATGAAATCGTTTTCCTGCAGCGGGGGCTGGTCACAGTCTTCGGCGGCGATCATCAGCGGCCGCCCGGTATGGAGACTCGCCAGCACGTCGAGCTGGACCAGCGTCCACCATATCCGCCTGTATATCCGTCGCTCGTCGGCTGGCATCCGACTCTTTGCCGCCACGGCCAAGTTACGATGCATCCCCAGACCGAACGCGATGCGACAGGCCACGCCGACCCAGTAATACGCGTTGGAGCTTACGTCGTCCGCCCCCTCCGATTGCCACGTGAAGAGCAACGCAGCCTGAACAAGGTGCATCCGGTCGTTCTCATACCGCAGGTCGAACAGGGCCTTGGCCCGGCGGAAAATAGCTGCTTTGACGAGCCCGCGCGACTGGGAGATCTTTGCATGTTCACACACCTGTGCCCCCACCAGCAGAACCGCCTGCAGCAGTAACAATGGCGGCGGGTGGTCTGACGATCGAAACTCCCGCTCATTGATGATGGGGAATCCCGGGTGCACCTTTTCGAAGAACGCGTCGATCAGGCTCTGTCGCAGGTCCGGCGAGGGGAGGGAGCCTATCTCATCGACCGACCGTAGCATCCGTACGTCGCCGTCTGGTTTCCAGGGCAGAAGAGGTCTGATCGAGGGGAACGGGAAGTGCAGCGATGCCGCGTGAGGCCCGTCGAAGCGGGCCTCATCTGCAACCAGCTGTGCCAGGTTCGACGCTGGGGTCCCGATATACGCAATCCGCATGTTGGGGCCGTCGCCGAAGACGCGCCATGACGAAGTTCTGATGCTCTGTTGCTGGAACTGTGCCAGAGCTGTCCGATCGGCCGATCCGTCGTCGTTTAGTTGTTCTTGTGGACGTCGTTTCTGTCGTCTGCGGGCTGCGTGTCGCTCAGCAAGGAGGAACCTGGTTTTCATTGAGCATTACATTAAATAATAACAAAGACTTGACTGACGTGCATTCCACCTTTGAGCGCATGCAGGCTAGACACGGCCTGTTTGCCTCGGAAACGCAGCGCACCTTGCGACGGTAGCAGGTGTCGCAGGCTGGCATGGATTTATTGTGAAGAATTTCTGCTGTAACTCCAAAGCGATGATTTATTCTACGATGTACTTGTACAACCTGCTCATGGAGAAGTATTCAGTCAAATGATTCATTAAACCCATTCAATCCATGGAGGATCTTACAGACTCGTGAATATTATTGTCGAATTCGTTCGCTAAATGACTCGGAATATGTCTGAGCTATAGAATTGCTTGGTTTAGATTGGTTCTCCAGCTATACAGCGCTGTCTGAGCTGTGAGTCTGGGCTGTGGGATTCTGTAGAGTCATCATTTGATAAAATGAAATAAATCCCCGAGTTTTAATTCGGCTGCACCGAGGCCGAGCTGACTTTCGGCGCCGAATACCAACAGGATCAAGACCAGAAGAATATGAACTATCTTGACACTTCTTACCTCTGAGCATTCTTCCATAAACATACTCAACAAAAGCCTCGCACAATGGAGTCATCCCCTGTGACCACCCATAATCCGCCCGATTCCTTCCCGACGAGTTATTCCCATGTTGTGACTGTCGACGGCCCCGCGAGACTGATTTACACTGCCGGCCAAGTGGGCCGCGATAGCAACGGCCAATTCGCCATGGGATTCGAAAACCAAGTGCGACTCGCGTACGAAAACCTGGGCCGATGCCTCGAGAGCGTGAATGCGAGTCCGCGAGACATTGTCAAGCTGACATGGTACATTGCCAATTATGACCCCCTCCAACGGGCCCATGTGGCCATCAACGAGGCCTTTCTGGGCGGCCACCGGCCTGCAATCACTTTGGTTCCGGTTCCCCAGCTTGCATCCCCGCAGATGCTATTCGAGGTGGAAGCTGTGGCCGCCATTCGAGACCGGGCTGAGTAAAGCTGCCAGAAGGGTTTCAACATCGATGAAGGTTACCTGGAAGATGTCTGCATTAGTAAAAAGAAATAGCCTGGGGTAGATAGCTGAGAAGGGTCAAATCTTCAAGTCGTGCTGGGAAAGGAGCCCACGCTGAACTGTCGTTCTTTCTGCAGACTCGGTCAATATCAACAAAGCAAGTCTAGTGCTGTTCTGTCTGAATCTAGGGATTCCGTGTGTCGACAGCAAAAGATAAACAAAGATTCAGCCTCAAGTGAATGATGTCCTCGTACGTACACTTAATAATTGTGTAACTGGGTTCGTAGAGCGTACTCGGTGAGTTCTCGCCTGAATGTGAAGAGGCCCCCTGCTCAAAGCGGTTAGGCAGCCACTTCACAGACAAAGAAATCCGACCTTCAACTTTCTGCCTCGCGACCTTTTCTCTTCTTCTATCCTATTATTATCTCACCATGCAAGCTCTGAGCCAGGGTCCCCTGCTCCTGCTATGAAGAGGAAGTTTGCCCCTCGAGACATATCACACATATCGTCGACAGTCTTGACAAATGGGCTCTCCAGAGGTCCAGCTCATAACCCATGTGGCCAGCGCTGCTCAAGCAGGGGCACCTAGTAGGTACGAATCTCAATGCTGTGAATACTCTTCAACCTGGTTTTGGTGGACTTAAGAGACAATTTCGAGTGTGAATCTAGAGCCTATCGTCGCCAATTCATGTTACTCTCCCATCCCTTGCAGGTGTCCTCAGGTAAAGTGACTACCTATTCCAGGATCTTTTACTTCAAGTTCTAAATAGTCCTAACCATTTTCTTCTTACAGTAACTGTTCCAGCGGCTTAAGAAAGTTCCTCTGACGGATAAACAGCTCTCCTGGCCTTCTTCCAATTGGATCTCTAGGTACACCGTCGACTGGGCGAAACTGACCCGAGATGACAATGTGAACAATGAGACCCTGATGCGACAGGTTATTGGCTTCCCCAAAGAATCTCTGGCAGGATAAATGACCCCGTTGAATCATTCTAATTGTCTTGACAATTTTTAACGGTCGAGTGGTGAGCATCCCTTGATTTTTACTATTTCAGCAGAACTGAACAGCGTCTGAAGGATGAATCCAATTTGTACATTCCACCAGGCCTATCGAAAGCTGTTCAAGCGGCCTGATTATAAGGCAACCTGGCCTCGGGCGACTTATATGAAACCACTTTATGTTCTCCTAGACACGACATCGAAGATAGGGAACTTCTGACCACCATTGCGCCACGACCCAAGCCAGAAAATACTAAAGATAGTTAATTCCGCACTACTTCTTAGTCTATATTCTGTCCATATGGGAACCAGTCTCAGGTATGCCTTGTCTATCTCATATACAACCCTCTCCTGCAGAGCTCAGCTCATTGGAGCTAGCTTCAGACCTCACCGCAGTTTACAGCTCTGACACTGGCTAGCTCGATCTTATGACATCCTCAGCGGTATCCTATACGAAGAAATAGGTAATGGGCTGACGTTCGATCTACCCACACGGAACAAGACACTTGGTGAGGCTAATGCATACGGAATAAACAGAGACAGCCACAGGTCTATTGATTCTTGCGGTCTGCGAAGATACTAGGTCAAAGACAGACCATACTAGACCTATAAATAGAAAAGTCAACACATCTAGAATTTTTGAGTACGGAGTGACTGTAGGAGTAGAATGATTTGAATTATTCTCATAGTAGCTGCTTTATCGGAAGATAGTACTAATCGATATCTGTCTGTACTACATCGTGAACGATTGACGCGTCACATTCCTCCCGGATCGACCGGCAAAAGAACCGAGGTCCTGGGTTCGTTTAGGTAACAGCATTAACTGTCCTCCCTGAAACCAATCAAGCTACCACTGCGGAGTCTCCCTGGTTCAGGGTCTCGACCAAACCTGTTCCTGACGGTGATAAAAAGGTTGATTTGTTGCCTGCCGTGGTTGAAGTCACCGTGGAACAGCTTCCCCTCCTTGAAACGCGTCCGGACGTGAAACCGCCGTGATGAGCGCCCTCGAGAGCAAACGCAAGTTCCTGCTCTATCCGACCGCGAAGAAAGGGTATACTCTCTTGATCTATCTATCTATCTATATATTGATTGTAATTGTAACGATCGACTAACACGCCTTCAGACCAGATGTTCCCTACAAGAACCAGCGGAAGAATAACCCGACGCTGAGGGGGTTTGTCGTCGTGCTCGCTGCGATGCTGTACGTGTCATTTCTAGGCTCTTTCATATCGATTCCAGAGTCGAGCAGGTACTGAATCCCAGGTGCACATGTATACAGCATGCGATGGGTCGTGTTCCTCCCCAAGACCGTCTGGAAGACTTCTGGTTTCGGTATGTTGCGACCGATTCGCAAGTACATCGAGAATTACGAACCACGATACGATCCCACTGTCGTTCCGATTGAGGACCCTTTTGCGGATGAGAATACTACAGAACCGGTTGAGTCGACGATGACTCGGAACCCCTCGCCAAGAGGACCCGCGGCACACTACTACTCGGTGGCGGACTACCATGCGCTGTATGTCTCGGGTGAACTCACGCCCACTGCGGTAGCAAAGGCGATTCTCCCGCTCATTCGGCGTGACACTAGCCCGCCTGGCGAGTATTCCATTGGGTGGTTCGACTGTCAGGCGGAGATGGTGTTGGCTGCCGCCGAAGCATCGACGAAACGGTATAAAGAAGGGCGGCCGTTGGGGCTATTCGATGGAGTGCCGACCGGCGTCAAGGACGAGTACGATCTCGATGGATACCGCACATGTTTGGGTTCGTTTAATGATTACACAGGCCAGGTGGCTGCAGAGGATGGATCCATTACCAGCTGGTGTGCCAAGAAGATGGAGGAAGCCGGGGCGATCATTCTCGGGAAGCTTTCGATGCATGAATTTGGTTTAGGTGAGTTATGAATCAATATACGCTCTGGAACAGCCGTCAAAGCTAAATGCTCCACAGATACACCAGGAATCAATCTCCGCTATGGCACGCCTCCGAACCCGTACAACCCTCGATACTACCCTGGAGGTAGTTCGTCTGGGTGCGCGTACGCCGTGAGCGCCGGGCTCATCCCCATCGCGTTGGGCAGCGATGGTGGCGGCAGCATCCGCATTCCTGCCTCATTCTGTGGTGTGGTCGGTTTGAAACCCACCCATGGCAGACTCTCGCACCATCCGGGCGTGAATCATGCGGTAACCTGCTCGGTGAATGGCCCTCTTGCCGGTGACATGGAATCGCTCTACGAATATTATCGTATCATCGGGGTTCCGGACCCTATGTCAGACTTCCCCATGCCTCCCCCCCGGCGGCTTCGGAATTCCTCGTCTTCTGGTAGAAAGGTGCTGGGGATCCCTGAAGCGTGGTTCTCCCGGGCCACACCCGCCGTGCAGCGGTTATGCAGGACCCTTCTGGTGAAGCTGACCTCCGAGTATGGCTACGAGCTGGTTCCCATCGAGATCCCCTTCCTGGTCGAAGGACAAATGGCCCACGCGCTGACCATGCTCACCGATGCCGCCACCCTCCTGCCCGAGAAACGCAAGAAGTTCTCTCCCGGCAACCAGATTCTGTTGGAGCTGGGGTCAGCCACGCCATCGACAGATTACCTCCTGGCCCAGAAGCTGCGACAGCTCCTCATGCAGCACCTGGCGTACCTGTGGAAGCAATACCCTGGGATGCTCATCGTGACGCCCACGACAAGCTGCGCCGGCTGGCCGATCCGCAGCCGATCCGAGCTCAAGTACGGCCTCAGTGACGGAGACCAGACCCTGCAGTCGATGGAGTACGTCTGGCTGGCCAACTTTACGGGCACCCCCTCGGTGACGGTTCCGGCCGGGTTTGTCGGCGCCGAGGGCTCGCCAGAGGCAGGCCAGGAGGTCGACGAGACGTCCACGGGGCGGATCCCCGTCGGGCTAATGGCGACGGGGGAATGGTGCAGCGAGGATCTCCTACTTCACTGGGGGGCTGAGGCTGAAGAAGCGGGTGCGGACCGACTTGCTCGTCCGCCCATCTGGGTCGATGTCGTGGCGCGAGCGAGACAGGAGATGAAAGAACAGAACACCGCCCCTTAGTCCTGTTTACAGTATAAATTAAACTTGGACGCTATCAAAAAATTATATTATTGGCAATACATGGATGCATCGGAGATAAAGCCTTTCTGCTGCAATGTCTGAAGAAGGATCATTTGCGCCTCAAATACCGGAGTCAAGAACCAAAGTCTGCAGTATGATGACAGCGGATTGGCCATTAGATTTTGATTGTAGGTTTGATCATGGAGATTCATCTAGAGAATCGGTGAGATAGACCGGGGAAGATCAAGCGAGTAGAAGAATTTTGGCTGCTTCTACGCATCACCCAGTCTTAGTACCTAGCTTAGCAGTGCAGGTATCTCATTGACCATTCACTATTAGAGCATAACTTGCTATCTTTACCTTACCAACCAAGCGGCACCCTAGCAACAACCAGACTATTCCACATCACATTGTAAGAAGGCACAAGGAAAGAAAAGCAGTCACTCCTCATCCTCTTCCGCCTTGACCTTCTTGGCAGCTTTGGGAGGACGACCAGGCTTCCGCTTTGGAGGCGCAGGAACAGGCTTCTCATCCCCCTCGGCTGTACCAGTGCCAGTTTCCGTGCTGGCAGAAGCAGCTTCGACCTGTTTGCGGAGTCTGATTACTCGCTTCTCGGCGGCGCAGGCGGTGCAGTGTATTCAATCGGGAACATGTCAGATACTTGCTTCTCTTTTTCAAAAGGAGGATCTAGAATTCATACCTGGGCCCATGTAGGCTGCGATCTCCTTGTAGTCGAGCTTCATCTGGGAGGTACGCATCTGATCGAGGATGGCGAGAAGGAGCTGGACAGTTTTGTGTCAGTTACGCTGGAGTTGTAGTCCTGGGGATAGTCGTGTACCTTCGCATCCGCGGTGGAATCCCAGGTCATCGGCATCTTGATGAGATGTAGTAGAGGATAGCTATTGCTGGAGATAAACAGTATCTTGTCTTGAAGTAAGAACAGTGTGTTCTCAGGTGGAGGAGAGATGTTGGTGAGTAGGGAGGGAGAACGGAGGACAATAAATAATGGAAGGGAAAACTATATATAGAGGAGGAAAAGACCAAAGTGAATCACTCTAATATCTCAGTCACTATAAAGAAATATATTGTTATAGTAAGACCTGACTATAATAATTATATTGATATTAAATATATAAATATACCTTCTTTCCCTTACTTGACTTTATTATACAATTCACTTTGTTGTTATACTTCTTCTGCACTCTCTGGCTGTATGAAGGAGATATCAATATATATTCTCCCTAAAAAAGCTAAAACCATGACATACCCATTTCTGAGTTTCCAGGACGAGTCTGTAGAAGATGAAAGAGATAATCCTGTCAGTTTTTGGTTGATTTATACCAACACCAGCTTATATGGGATGCTGTTGATGGCCTCAGGCATCAGAGATGCAGACAGTCAATGCAAACATGCAAACACAAATGTAAACATAAAACAAACACCACAAACACTTGATTATATTGAAATGCAAACATGCAAACATGCAAACATAAAACAAACACTCTATTAAAATGCAACATGCAACATGCAAACACCTCAGTTGCGTGAGATTCATCCTGACCAAGTGTTCATTCAAAAGAGATATAAGAAGGCTCCCCCTTGGGTAATAACAATATGAGCAGAGATATCAAGTCGAAGCACAGTCGCTATCATGGCTACCGCAACTATTCTCCCCCCAGCCCTCAAAAAGGGTGACACCATCGCCTTCGTGTCACCCTCTGCGCGTCTGAACCAAGTCCTCCCGACGCCGATCGAGCGGGGAAAGACCTTCCTTGAGTCCCTGGGGTTCAAAGTCAAGGTCATTTATACCCCCGTGTCATCTCGGATGGCTGAATCCGTCCGGGTTCGGTGCGAGGAGCTGCACGAAGCCTTCCGTGATGAAGCCGTGACAGCCATCATCTGCACGATCGGCGGGTCTCATGCGAACGAAATGCTGCCGTTTCTCGACTACTCGTTGATCCAGGCAAACCCCAAGATCTTCGTGGGCTACAGCGACACCACGTTTCTCCACTACGCAATCGAGTCACGCACGGGTTTGCGCACATTCTACGGCCCCAGCGTGCTGACAGATCTGTCCGACTCGCCGCACCCGATCCAGTTCACAGTCGACCATTTCCTACACGTCCTGGGCGGCACTGGAGAACCCGTGGGCCCCGTGCCTCGCTCACCGACGTTCTCAGTCGAACATAACGACTTCTTACTGCATGGGGAACTCTCTGAACAGCCTCGTCAGATGGTGGAGTCGCCCCCGTGGCGGTGGGTGCGCAAAGGCCGTGCGACCGGCCATCTCTACGGTGGGACGGCGAGCTGCGTGACGCGACTGCACGGAACGGCGTATTCTCCTGCCTCGTGGAAGGGCAAGGTTCTCTTTCTCGAGTCCTCCATGGGTGACAACACCCAGGTTCCGTACAGCGTCGACAGGTTTCGCGGAAGCCTGGTCGATCTGGCTCTGGGCGGCGTACTCGGCGATATCAGTGGCTTGGTCATCGGACGGGGATATAAATACGATGCCAGCATGCAGGACGAACTTGCCGAGGCCATCACAGACGTATTTGAGCTCATTGTCGGCCGTGATCGCAACGACGAGCTGCCCGTCCTGATGAATGTCGACTTCGGCCATACCAGTCCCCTCCTGACATTGCCTATGGGTGCCCTCGTCAGGCTTGATTCCGAGTCGGACGAGTTTACCATCTTGGAATCTGGTGTTCACATTAATTAATCTATTCACATAATTACTCTGTATAGAATTATTTCATCTACAATTTTTTTGACCTGCGAATAGTTGTTTATCAGTCGCTGATAAGAGCTCCCCTCCCCCTCTTCAGTTGGGAGTCTCACCCCCTCTCCTGAATAAACCCAGCTGTTGCTAGCTCTACTGATCAGCAGAGAGTCTACATCCTGGAAGTCCATTAATTTACTAGAAAGGAAATCAACTTCGCTAACGCATCCGCTCGCAAGAGGATGCCGAACAGTTCGGCTGCGATAAGCGCATGACGAATATGTACCTGCGGCTTCGCTATCCGAGTCTCCAAACCCCCCACACAGAAAGGGTGATTGGCGCATAAGAAGAACGGCCACGTCTGCGTTCGACAAGACGCTTTGTGTTTTCCTTTTCTTCACCGCAGAGAAAAATCGAACCCCTCCAGAATGGCTGGTACTCTGAGCGCCCTGCCTGTCATCCCCCTCGACGAGGCCTACGCCCTCACGGCAGCCTACAATGCCGACTCGCATCCGGAGAAAGTGCTGCTGGGAGCTGGCGTGTATCGCGACGAGAACCTCAAGCCCTGGGTGCTTCCAAGCGTGAAGAAGGTTCGTAAGAGCGAGGTTAAACTGCTGGGTTATTGATTTTCCACTGACCGTTCCAGGCGAAAGAGATCCTCCACGAAACGGTCGTCGACCACGAATATCTGCCCATCGCAGGGGCCCCGGGATTCCTGAAGCTCGCGCAGCAGCTCATCTTCGGCCCGATCCTCGACGACACAAGTCGCAGCCATGCTATAACCAGCGTGCAGTCCATCTCGGGCACGGGCGCCAACCACCTGGCCGCTCTCTTCCTCGGCCACTACCTGCGGCCCGCCCACGTCTTCATCTCCAACCCAACGTGGATGAACCACCATGTCATCTGGGAGCTCGCGGCTCCCAGCGTCGTCCGCAAGACATATCCGTACTACAACCCGGCGACGCGGTCCATGGACCTCGACGCCTTCCTAGCCGAACTGGAGACCTCGGCCGTCGCAAACGACGTGGTCATCCTACACGCCTGCGCGCATAACCCGACGGGCTTCGATCCAACCCACGAGCAATGGGACAAGATCGCAGAGGTCATCCGCCGCAAGGGCCTGTTCCCCATCTTCGACACCGCGTACCAGGGTTTCGCGTCGGGCGATCTAGACGAAGACGCATGGGCGATCCGCCACTTTTACAAAACCCTCTTCGAGGAACCGACTACTTCTCCTAGTCCTGGGATGATTGTGTGTCAGTCCTTCTCGAAGAACTTTGGTCTATACGGCGAACGTGTCGGGGCTTTACATCTCGCCCTGCCCCCGGGCTCTTCTCTCGCCGGAGCGGAGAGCCAGTTCGCGCGCCTGATCCGCGGCGAAGTCTCTACTTGCCCCCGATTCGGCTGCCGCGTCGTCGAGACCGTTCTCTCGGACCCCGCCCTTCGCGAAATATGGCAGGCTGATCTGAAGACCATGGCCGCGCGGATCCGTGCCGTGCGGCAGGCCCTGCGCTCCGAGCTCGTCAAGCTGGGCACAAAGGGTGACTGGAGCCATATCGAGACCCAGATCGGTATGTTCAGCTATACGGGTCTCTCCGAGGCCCAGGTCAAGCGTTTGAATGAGGTCCACCATGTGTATATGATGGCCAGTGGGCGGATTAGTCTTGCTGGCCTCAATGAGAAGAATGTCGGGTATGTCGCGCGGGCGATCCATGAGGTCGTGGAAAATGCTCCTTAATCTAGTACATAGGTCTTTAGTTAGGTATATATGAAATATAAAAATTCTTGTCTATTCTTTGTTAATCTTTCGATTTGTTGATTCAACGCGGCTACTTCAATACTCACAAGATCTAGACTAATGCCGCATAGTTTGTCATGGCATCCCCAAAGATTGCTAGGAGCATCGCTTCCACCTCAGCAGACCCGTCGGCCGTGCCAATGCGGAAGGTTTTTGCATCCGCATCCAAGTCCTCCAAGGCCGCTTCACTCCGTCTGAGGATAAAAAAGCGGGCAAGACGCCCTATCGCCACAACGCCAAACAAGTCCCGCCGTCCTCGCGGCCCGGCTGACCCTCTCCACCGGAGCATATAGGACTCAAGCTGGCCCTTTCCCCGAGTCCAAGTAGAAGGGGAAGGCTCGTGGTGTGCCTGGCGGGGAGGCCGCTTGCATTCAACAAAGACGATCGTTCCCTGGCCGCGCCCATCGTCCACCGAAACCGTGATATTTGTGCGCCTAGTTGAGGTTCCGGAGATATAGGCCTCTCTTTCAAGGCCAAAGTGATCGAGAGGGAAATACAATCGTAGCATCTGCAGCCAAAGGTGGTCGACTTCCACCTCACGGGCACCGGCCCTGACCCGGCCCAGATATCTTTTGATGACGGGCTGGTCGAGATACTATTTCAGTTAGTATCAAGCTGAGTAAATAATCTGAAAGGCTTACAGATGCCATGATGGGTGATTACTTGAAAACGGGAATAGATGAGAGTATCTTTAGTGCAATTTTCAGAAGAGTTCAGAAAGCTAAAGTGCTCTGAGAGTATGGAAATACTAAGGTGAAGACCGATGGTTCTAATGAACATCTTTCAACTTTGTTGTCATAGGAACGCAGACTTGGGTATAGAGGGAAGCACCAAAGGAGCACCCTTCCTCCCAGGACCAGAGCCACTGAAAGGTCTAGCAGGATTCAATAGCTATTCTCCGCCTCTTTGTCGGACGCCATTGCGAGCAATGCCGATTTCGAAACCTGTCATCCTGCAATGCTAGAAGCGTTGTTAACTATATGTGAGACTTCCTTTGCAGGGAAGATAACCTAACTTACATCGAAAGTCCCCAAAAGGGCTCTGATGGGCCGATTGGTGGTCAGAGCCTTCTTGCCCATTTCCAATCCCACGATTCCCATCTCCTTTCCCACGATTCCCACGGGCTGGCCTATCCAATCCAACTCCCCTGCGGTAGTGACAGAGCGAATAGCGTGGACCCCATGTGCACTGGTATTCAGTATGAATCCTCGCAGTTTCTGCTGCGGTGAAAGATTGATCGTCACTTGCTTACCGGGTATTCGATAGCCTAACTGGATGTTGGGGGCTCCTGTACTGTCTTCGTGGATCAGCTTCAGCCCGGCAATATATGTATCCTCCCCCTCAAACAGAACAAAGAAGGTAATTTGGACCACAGAGCTGGAGAAGGAAGCTTTCTCTTTGAAGTAAATATGCTTCTCCAGGCAGCGATGACAGGCCTTGCGATTATTACCATATACTTTCTGTCTTTCGCATATGTACTTATCATCAAACACTTTCTTCCATCGTAGGGGGCCTTTTTTCCTGGCCATCTCCAGACCAACAGTCGATGTCTGCTGCGTCATATAGTATCTGTCGTAAATATTGGTGTTGATTCTCCAATGCCGTCGCATGGCTTGGAAGCAGTGGCTCGGTTGGTTCACACGGTCTGTATGGCCCACGCAGTACACATTATTGACGCAGTTCTCACAGTAGACTGGGTTTACATGATTTAGATGGTTGATATAGTCGATATACTTGTTTAGGTTCGTATGGTGGTAGAGTAATCGCCAGCGGTGTTCGGCAGGATAGTCATCAAACAGATAGCTGACGAAGCCACGCTCCTCATGGACCAGGAATCGAGTGCGCCAGAAGGCCTCGATGTCAAAGACCGCAGCCATGGCGCGCGAGCAATAGCGGAGGGTCAGATAGTCACTCGTCGAGAGGTGGGTGGCAATCTCCAGGCGCATTTCCACAGGGAGTTGCGCAAAGCGGTCATCGGCAGATGCTCGACTCATTGAATCTTGCACTTCTGGGCTCGGTGTGGGTAGCGCGTTTTCTGTTTCTAGTTTAAGGTCTGGCAGCCGATGAGGGTCTATATAGCTGAGATGGGTCTCTGCTTCCCCTAGTTACAAGCACCTTAATAACGACATGCGCCTCACATATGGATAAGGAACTAACCTGGATTACTGGCAAAGTACGGGAGGTCTTTCAGGACTTCATACAGCCGGTCAAGCGAAAGTTGATCAGGGCTGAAATGGCTGACCAGGCGACGCCAGCAGTTGGTATGGATAAGGTGTGTGGTGTTTGGCGCATTCTTTCGAGGCTTTTTGTGTCTATGTCTGACGGGGGTATCAGATATTCGAGCACCGCTAGGGGCTATAGATACTGTATTGAAGTTATTTTCTGGCCGATCTTCAGCAGGGAAGGATGAATCAAGACGTACTTGCATGGTATTCGGCCAGCCAAGGGCGCTGAGCAGTAAACATAAACCCACACGACGCGCACTGCGCAGCGTTGTCTGCCCGCATTGTATATAGTGCTGTGATGGCCTAGACGATGATGACCAATATCAGAATAGTAAGCTGGGTTGGCAGTAGAATAAGTTCATCAGCAGGTCGTCTGCTCATAATTACATAATTTGATGCCTGTCTTGGTGAGAGTATCCATCAGAGGAAGAAACTCGCGGGTATAGAATCTGTACATGGTCAAAGAAGCATCCTACCATGGGATAGACTCATCAGAACGACACCTCATCTGTCAAAATGGTCTCATTGTATTGAAAGGATTCCCAAACCTAGACGTGCCCTTCAGAAGCGCGACGGGATACTATGAATAAAGTTGCGGCTGAAACACGAGCCACATTGAGTCACGGCGTGCCCATAATACGAACGGCCGCCTATATATAGCCTTAGGTGATGGACCTTGTTTGTATCTATCCTTCTCATTGTTAGGCTTCAAAAAAATGCCGGGAAAATATCCATACATGGTGGGCAAGCTCGACTTCGAGCCATATCCCCCACAACCCGCCCAGCCATTTGCCGTGATCTCGGCGGCGGCGCTCTCCCTACTCGCGCCGAGTCGCGGCGTTCTCCATTGTGCCCGCACAGGATCTGCCCCGTCGCTCGTGGCAGGCCTGTGTCTCGGCGGGTTATACAGTGTCAGCTATTACCGACAAAAACATGAGCTGACGTTTGGAGAGGAGACGGCACTGTTGGCGTCGGCGGTCTGGACGGGGACATCCTTTGCTCGAGGCCTTCGCGATGGTCTGCGCCCAGCATCGGTTGGATGGAGTGCGTTGGCAGTATACGGGGTGGCGGCCTTTGGAGTTGCAGTGAACAACAAACGGATTGCGAGTGCAAATCAGGAGTCGATATCATATCGCTGAACTGGTGGGAGGCGCCGGGACGACACTGGCTGGTGACAAAAGTGCCGACGATATCCTTGTAAAGTCAGGTACCTCAGGCATCAGGCATACATTGACAACGTCATGCAAAGTCGCCAAATCGTGCAGGTAACGAGATGCTTGATATCATGACTCGTTGGTGCATGTATTTTCCCCCGCAGTCTGCGCCCATTGGAAGGGTCGTGGAAGATACCAGGTTCAGCGCATCTTGAGCCTTGTCGAGGCAGCCACCCAAGACAGGCCACATTTCAACCATGCTTTTGATCGTCCACATCAAAGTGGGCTTATAGATACTCATCTCTGCTCATAGAGAGGTGAAGCACCTCCCAAAATCTGGATTTTGTTATCATAGCTTTTCATACCACTCTCACAAAATTTCGCTATCATGTCTGTAGAAACTCCAACCCCGCAGCACACGGACGAGCCAGTGGCTATCCAAGAAATCAAGGATCTCCTGACACGTCTTAAAGGTATCTGCAGCGAGACAAGCTTTGAACAGGCTGTGTTTGTATTTGACGAAAATGCTCATCTTCGCTCCCAGCTGGCTGATCTGCAGAAGGAGCTTGAGGAAAAGGATAGGAAGCGGGATGAGGCGATTAACACCATGGCCGAGTCTCTGCAACGCCAGAAAAAGGAAAAAGAGGACACGGCGAATCAAGTAAAGTTATTAGAAGAATCTGTCAAGGAGAGGGACCAAATCATTTCCGAACAAAAGGAGACGCTCGACACCCGACAGAAAGATATTGACGAGATAATGACTTTTTTGGATGAGGAGAAGAAGAAACTGGAACAAGCGAATGCAGATATGACGGAGGTTCAAAAGCAGCTCAAGGAAAAAGACGAGCTCCTGGCCAAGATGAAAGACGCTGGAAAATTGTTGAAAACGAAGTTTGCTGAGAAGGAGACCCAATGCCACCAACTGAATCAGGATATGAAAGCATTGCAAGGTGATTTGGACGGCGCTCGCAGGAAATTGCAAGATCTCGACGCGTTGGCCGCTGGGTACTATGATGGTGATGAAGAGCAATTGTAAACATACCCTTCACCTTCGCACGGCTATTTCTGAGCTCTAACGCTGGCTAGGCTAGTCGAATTCACGGCGTTTTGGGCTACTGCAAACGTCCGCTTGAACACATTGTTGAGGAAGGATATCGGCGGAGAAGGAGTCCAGGTAAGATTGATCACCGTCATTTGCTTTTCTCAGTCACCGAGACAGATCAGAACGCGGCCCCGAGTGGCCCCTCTCCTTGGGAACAGTTCTCGCGAGTCAGCCATAGCTCTATGCAGCATCATGTTCCACTTCCGCTCTCCAACTCGGATGCAGCCAAGGATATGCGTCTTGCAGTGCTACTGGCAATCCTGGCAAGGGAGATAGACAGGCATATTTTCCACCCAACGTACATTTTGTCGGAGGATAGCCACATCCGCGAGACGCTTGTGAACCTCGCAATGAAAGACTCGAAGAAAGAATTCTTCTGCCGCCAGATCCTGCTTTCCATCGATCCCAACAAGGAGCAGGAGATTCTGGGAGAACGAATCCGCACCGTGACTCGCAATGTCATGCGTCTGCTGAGCGGCCTGCCTGAGGCTTTCTACAGCGAGATGCGCGACGCCATCGAAGGTCTGGCCACACAGGCAGGCGAGCTTTGGAGTCGGTTCCGACGAGCAGAGCGCAAGTACGAAGTGGACTTTGATCCTTTGAAATGGGGAGATGATGAATGGAGACCATTCGTCTTCCCAGACCAGGCTGGCGCTGTTGGGGAATCTCCCGTGGCCCGTACCCTCAGTGAGAGTCTGCTTACTGTATTCCCACGCATCTGTACCGTGGAGGATGGTATACGTGACGCATATACATTCGTCATTGAGCTGAATCGATCAATGCCTCAATGTGTTGCGGCAGGTAAAGAGTTGATCCGGGAGCCATCAAGTCCCACATCGAATGGACGAGGTGCATCAAACCGGCAAAGGCGGATTTCTATCGCCTCGAGCAGTATGAATGGTCAAAATGGCGTTTCTCTAGGGAAGAAAGGAAAGCAAGAGGGGTCAAAGCAGGGATGATTGGGATCCTACTCCGGCCTTTGCATTGATAATCTCATCTCCCCGCGTTGTTTTTGATACCATGTATAGTGTTTCTTATTATCAAGATACTTCCGTTATGAAGTATGGTGAAACCGATCTGAAGGACGAAGGAAAGTCGCAGCAGAATCGGATGAGGCGAAGCCTCTAGGCATTTTTCATGGTAACAAGGCTCTGTTCTAGAAATTCAGTACTAGTCAGTTGAAATCTATTATATAGCTCATATTTTTCCACCGGTTTGGTGTAAAATTAAAGCAGCGTTTCTCACCTCAAACCGCCTTTAATCTCAGTCAACCGCTTTGCTCGGGCTCTGATGGTTTCACCAATCTAGAGACCAAAATCATCGTACTTTGCCAGATCCCAAGACCACCCATAAGATCAGAGGCCTCCCCAAGGTCTGCTGGACGGTGTTTGGAATGCTGGTCAAGTGAAAGAAGACGTGGTTCTCTCTCGAGGGGTTAAAACAGTCCAGAGCAGGCGCGTCACGTGGGTAGACATGTGACAACTGCCAGGCAACTGTCCCCTACGTCTTTTCAAAGATACAATCGTCCTTACGTCGATTGATACTCTTGCTGCCCCAGAATCCAGTCGTTGGGACTGAAGAAAATAGGTCTGTCGGGTCTGGTATATCTCAAACAACAGTGGATGACATTATAGATCAGTTCTTGAGTCTCTACGTAGCCAGACTGCAGCATTCAGGTTTCAGGTATGAGATCCCTTCCCAGAGTTATTTGACATTACTAAAAGCGTGGAGGCTGACCTCGGAGTAGGTAGACCATTATATATGCCTATTGTCAATATTCGAAGGATGAAAGACGGTTATTTCGTCGGTTCAATAGGAGATGCACTGAAGACAGACAGACTTCATTCCCAGACACACTCCGTATGGCTAAAGCAATGACGATATTATGGATTGAGTTGGCAACGAAAAGATCAGATCGGATGCCATAAACCGTTAATTGCCGACGTGGCCAATATTGGAGTGCATGATAAATTCTAATATGATCTCATCATCAGAAATCGACAAGCAGAAAAGCTTAGATGTCTAGGGTGGCCCTCTAAAGGCCTGATTCCTCATCAAAGAAAGTCATGAAGAACGTTCAGCCGCAAAATTATTGCTACCGACTGCAAAGAATAAATCCCGAGGCACCGAGAATCGGTGGCGGCGCAGAGGGCCTGAGCTATTCATGGAAACGAGTGCGGCTGGATCGATCGATACAATACCCCTCTCACACCATCAGCGACACGAATGAGTAATAACTTGAAGGCAAGGCTACTGAAAGCTACCAGACTGAGAGGTGCATATAATAGGGTGACGAAGTGTACCGAGTCCGCGTGGTGTCGCCGTTTCCGGCGAAAGAGGCAGAGCTACAACAAAGAAACACGGCAGGGAAGAGAGGCTTTAACGTCGGACGCCTCAGGCGCTCTTCACCCCCGAGCTGCCTACGTGCGAAGAACAACAATGAATTCCTCGTCAATGGAATACAGAGAGTTGCGAGTGATATATAGGGGGTTTGAGACGGCTGGTAGTCGAGCGTACTACTACACAGCCTATCTATCATTAGTTATGGATAGTAACTTGATCTACTTCTCCCAATGTCAGACTATCGCAGGAATTTGACGATTATCGTGACGGCTGTGATGCTGGTCGTCTCCACTGCCGTGTACGGCCTGCGACTACTGGCTCGGCGCATGCTGAAGAAGCCCCTGCGCATCGACGATTACTGTATGGGTGTGGGGGTGTTTATGAGTTATGTCATTGCCGTCTGCAACTTTGTTGGTACGTCTTGTCTGTCCTTTCTCTTGTTCTCTCTCTTGTGTTCATGGCAAGAAAATAACAAATTTAATTAGCCGCTGCGAACGGCCTCGGGGAGCATGAAGATACATTGAGTGCGAAGCAGAGAACGAATGTTCTGATAGTGAGTAAGCATCTAGTCTATTGCAGCCGAGTTCACAAACTGATTTGGACAGGCCACATTCATCTTGGAGAAGGTACGGAGAAAGTTATACCATCCTAGTGGACATCTGCTGAAGAACAGGTCTGGTCATTTGCACTCATGTTCGTCAAATCTTCGATCATTCTCTTCTACCTCCACATCTTCCGCGGCCCGCGGTTCAGCGTGGCGTGCTACGTGCTTCTTGCCTTCACCGTGTGCTGGATGCTGGCTGCCTTCCTGGGAAACACCTTCCAGTGCACACCCGTGCGGTACTTTTACGACAAGTCCATCGTGGGCTCCTGCATGAATCCCCGGCCATTTTTCCAAGCGATTGGCAGCATTAGCGTTGTCGAGGACGTCGCCATTCTCTGTTTGCCGATGCCGATCCTGTGGCAGCTCCAGATTGAGCCAAGAAAGAAGGCGATCTTGATTTTCATTTTTTCCCTAGGTGGTTTGTAGGTTTTTCTTCATTCCATGAATGTTATTGAGGATGTACTAATTTCAGTGTCTGTGTCGCGAGCATCATGCGTCTCATCACTTTCAATGAGATCCGCGACGACGATTTGACCTGTACGCCTTCTTGTTTTCTTCTTCCTCAATACCGAACGCACATCTTGCTAAGGCCGAGATAGATACCAATGTCGACTCCGGATTGTGGACGTACATCGAACTCGCGGCCGGCAGCATCTGTTGTTCCCTCGCCCTGCTCCGCCCTCTTTTTGGCCGTCTCTTGAATATTGGACGAGGCAGCCAGTCACACACGTACCGGGAACACGGCCGAAATACCACCCCAGATCTATATGCGAAAGCATGGCCGGCGAGGACGGTCAACACTGCTGCATCTGTGGAACCCAATAACGACGCAGTACAGCTGGGGGGATTCATACGGATCAAGACAGATATCCGTCTGGATGTTGAGCAATCACCAGTATCTATTTAAATGCATGTGGAGCCAAATATTCATGAAGGACCCTGGTTATAGCTTGGCAAGCACTTGAATTTAGCTCATTCTAGCACTTTTTAGCGACATCCCACACAATCCACCGCGAGGTTTCCGTAAATCCGAAACAGGCGGCCGAAACCTTCGCAGTTCCGAAAAAAGGAGCCTGATTTTGATGCCTGAGGCAGAAGGATCGTATAGGAGTGGATACAATTTCACTGTTTCCACCAATTAGCAAGTCTCAGACCCTCCGCGGGATCCGATCTGATAAGATCTTCGGCCTTGCACTGTCCGCTCCGAAAAGTACCTCCGAAGGGTAAATAACAGCTCTTCCCCCTCTCCCCGAGCTCGCGCGTCTTTTGACTTCAGGCGTTTGGAGTGAGTAATGTGAATTCCTGCACGGTCTTGGAAGATATCGGCGAAAATGATATCGGGGATCATTCTTACATTCAAAACCCTCGGGGTGATACTCTCGTACATGGTACAGGCAGCCATCCAGTTCCCCTACGCGCTGATACACCGACACACCTACCGGGCGCTCCTTTCGCCAAATGAACCGCCCAAGAATATCGTGGTGATCGGGGCCTCGTTCGCGGGGTTTTTTGCTGCCAAGGAACTCCTGCAGACTGTTCCGTCCGGGTATCGCGTGGTGGTCGTGGAGAAGAACTCGCATTTCCAGTTCACATGGGCGTTCCCTCGGTTCTGCGTTTTGTCGGGGTACGAAGGACGGGCGTTCATTCCTGTCCGAGACGGACTGAAGGGGTATGCACCACCACACGCGTTTCGATGGGTGACTGGATGTGTGGAACGGATTATTCCCGACGAGAAGACAAACGGTGGTAGCGGAGGAGAAGGGAAGATCGTGTTGACTTCTGGCGAGAGCATCGAGTATGCGTATCTGATCGTTGCCACTGGGGCGACTGCCACGCTGCCTTCGCGAGTGGGCAAGAACGACAAAGCCGAGGGGATCGCGGAGCTGCAGCGCGTGCAGGAGCGGATCGGCCAGGCAGAGACCATTGCTGTCCTGGGGGGTGGCGCGGCGGGTGTCGAGTTAGCAGCCGATATCAAGTCGTACCGGCCGGAGAAGGAGGTGACGCTCATCCACTCGCGCGGGAGTCTTTTGAACACCTACGGCGAGAAGCTGCAGCAGGCCGCGTTTGATGAGTTGACGAAGCTCGGGGTCCACATCTGTCTGGGTGAGAGGGTGCAGCTGGCTGAGGGACAGACGGAGGGTGAGATTCAATTGAAGGATGAGGCGGTCTCGTTTGATTATATTGTGAGTTTCTCGTCTCCCTGCATACAGTCAATCACTAATGCTTGAAAGGTCAAATGCGTCGGTCAGAGTCCCAATTCACAGGTCATCAGTGCCCTATCGCCCTCCTCTGTATCCCCCTCGGGCCATATCCGTACACGTCCTACATTGCAAATCGCAGACATGGACTTCCACAATATCTTCGCGGCAGGTGATATACTCGATGGAATACCGCTCAAAAACGGCCGTGCAGCTTGCGAACAGGGCCAGCTCGTCGCAAGGAACGTCGTGCGGGATATCCAAGGCCGGGCGATGCTCCAGTACCACCAGCGCTGGTGGGAGGGAATGACCAAGATGACATTGGGCCTCGTTAGTATTACCTTTTTTCGCCCTGTTCCCATGGAGGCAGTACTAACTCAAATAGAAAAAGGGAGTTTTTACTATTAACGACGGCGTCGCTGAGGCGTGCATCTTCTTCAAGGGTCTTCCTTTAGACATGGGAAGCCATCATATATGGAGCACTCTCGGCGTTAAGCCAAGCGAGGAGTTTCAGTGATTTTGGACTAGAAATTTAGTTTCAGGTATACAAGGGGGGCAAAATGGGCTACATAGGATGGCAAGGCGAGTTGATAATTTACCTAAATATTTGATTGTAAGATTTTCCAGTGAATGAATGATATTAATTTCCTGCCTAGCTCTGCAAGTCACTAGTATATAACCAACTTATATATAGTAAATATTCTTGTATATTTGATTCACCATTGGTCCTCCCGTCCATCCTGCCAGCTGGAGCAGTTGACACAGCGCAGCGCCTAACCATCAGCAACAATATATCTAGAAACAAGCATTCGACATACCTTTTCACCAATGTATTTACGACAGTACCTGCATCTCACTGTGTTCTTGATGATAGGATCGTGCGAGAGCCACATGTACATTCTGGCAATGGCGTACAGCGTCAGACTCATCGCGAAGAAGCTCAAGACCTTTTCCAGAAACGCGCTAAACCGTCAATCAAAAAGATCTCATCATGGAAGAGAGGAAAAATACCCATATGCTAGGACCAAGGCACCATCCGATCTGGCCTGCGCGAGGGTATTGTACCCCTTGTCGGCGACATAATTTGACCCGGCACGGAGAACAGCGAACTTTTCATCTAGGTTGCGATGCAGGAACGGCAATAACGAGACGAGGGGCAGAACGAGATCCGAGACGAAGGATGTCACCAGGTTGGTAAATGAGGAGGCGATTCTATTCCATTAATCAATAATTTCTCATCGCCAGTGGCTATGCTCCGACATACAACAGCCCCAAGGCCACCTCGAGCACGTTGTCACGGATGGCAAAGCTGAGGAAACCATGCCAGGCCCGGCTGATGCGGCTGCCGGCATGGCCTAGAAGGGAATCACTCTCCATGGATTCTTCAGCCATGATACCTGCGTAGATGAGGGGGATTTGGGTTGTCGTGCTGGTCTTGGTGGTGTTTATATGTCGATCAATGATATCACTGTACAGCGCACATGACCAGGGACCAGTTCTAACTACTTATAGCTAGGGCTACTCTTCACTGAACTAGTCTATATAAGGTTAGGTATTTATGCCATCTTCTTCAGGCCAACTCCAGCTCGCCATGTGACTACAGTTTTAGACTTCCTATTCTCCTTCCTCTTCCTCTCTCATTCTTCGATTTGAAGCACTGACAGGGACCGGTTTCCTCCACCTCAGAAATGGCTCGAATGTGGCGATTGCTTCACCTGTTGCCGCGTCCTCTTAGCTAGTTATGCCAAGAACCTTGCGAAATTATCCCCGGTGGATAGGGGGTAGCAGACGGGCAAGTTTGATTCCCAGCTCTCCAATTGCTCGGCTCCGTTTGACTAAACAATCAAGGTTTCTCACTTGCCCATACATCGGCCTCCTTCCGGCCTCATGGCTTGTGTGAGGGCCAGTCCATCGCTTACGAGCTACGATTATAGCCCTCGACATCCACCCTGTGATCCACCAGTGCTGAAGACTCCACTGTGGATGAAATGTTGTATGCTGGCGGTATGCTTGATACTTATCTATATTAGCAGAGGTGGGTGAATACGGTGCACTGTGTGCTTCAGGACTTATTAGCACTGGCACTGGCTGAGAGCGAGTGTTTCTTGACATGACGGCCAGCTCTATCGCGTCCTGCGGTGCCTACATGACCGTTAGGATACAACCAAAGTCGGGGATGACATGGCAGAACTTGGAAGGAAGGTTGCCATAATTAGGTTCATTATGATATGATCTGGCTGTTTGCAGGGGTTCACGATAGTCCTGAAAAACGGCCTACACAAAGTGAACACGAAGTGAACATGAACAAGATACGGCGCACAGTCTAACAGCTCGATAAGTAGGAGGTTGGAATTATAGCTGGACCATAATGCTGCTTGGTTAGAACCGGGGATTGAGACCAAGGTGGTAATACTCAAAAAGGCAAGACTCATACAGAAGCCGGAGTCTAGATGCTATAAGAGCCATCTCGACACGCTCGTTGCCTGATGAGTATAAAGTACGTCGCTCAAGTTTCTTCTGCTAGTTAACAAGCTCCTTGGAGGCCTTGCGCGGGACGCTCCAATGGGGCCATAATCATTCAACTTAGAGAAGTGTAACGGGTATATGAGAATGCAGTCATGGTGGCTCATTTACGTCCAAGATATACAGAGGGAGAACCATGCCTTCCACGACGATTGCAACTCTAGAACGACCAACTACCACACCCTTGCACCCTGTCACCATCGCTAGATAACGATTTCAGAATCAAGATCGCACGAGGGCGGAATCATCCTCGCCGAGAGATCTGGCTCGGCCGTGAAGTCGCGATCAAAAGGCCACATGGGCCTACGGATCCGCCGATGCCCCAGTCGCTGTAGGTCCTGGTCCACACCCCCAGGTGTGAGAGCAAGTATCCAGTCCGCCGCCATGGCATACAGCTCTGGCTCGAGGTATCCGATCTTGACGACCACGATATCGCTCGCCCGCGGCTGAAGGTTCAGCTCCGTGAAGTCTCGTTCATGGTGGTACGGTTTCCGCAGCTGGGTGAGAATGACAAACACGCTGCCAACCTGTAGCACGACCTCAGTCAGCGCATCGCGGTCCCCATGCTTGATCGCGTACACAGTTCCGGTCATGGTGATCGGGCCGGCGTGCAGATCATCGACTTCGGCGCCTGCGCTCACCGTCACCGTTGCCCCGATCCCTGCTGCGACGGCCGTCTGCACAGCCTGTGGCCCCGGCAAACTTGCGTAGATGACTTGTGGGCAGTTTCTTTTCGCGCCCTCCTCCTCCTCGTTCTCCTGCTGAAACTCCGGGCGTGCGAGTAGCTGCGTCAGACTCCAGGTGACGTCGCCCGCACCCCCTGCTGTCGGATTATCGCCCGAGTCGGAGATGAAAAAGGGCCGCTTCGACTCCGGCGCCTTCAAAGCTGTGTCCAGACATTCGGCCAGCGATCCTGTAGGAGCCACGAAATGAAAATCAGCGTGGCACGCCCAGAACTGGCGGGCGAGCCTTTCCGCACCGGCGGTCACGGCGGCCGCGTCCCAGCCTGTGACGACGACGGCGGCGTGGTTGCGCGGCTCATCGGCCCACGCGTACCCAACCCAGACGGCAGCGTCGAGGATGCCCGTCTCGGCCTCGACCTGGCTGACGGCCGCGTACAGACTCTTCGCCGGCTCGATCCGCGTCGATGTCTGTTCGCCGGGGAGCAGGATAGGGATGGGAACCCAGGCTTTCAGCGGTCGTGGTAGCCGTCCACTGCTCGCACTCTCTCTGGGGAGCGATTCTCGTGTTGTCAACAGCTCGACCAGCCTACGGCAGGCGCGCTCCTTCGTCTCCAGCTCGTCTTCGTGCGGTGCCATCCGGTAACATGTGATTAGATCCGTCTGGTGGACGAGCGGCCGCGACACATTCCCATGGAGGTCCATGGAAGCTGAGACCAACACGTCGGGTCCCAGGACGGTGCGGATCCGACGGAGGAGCTCGAATTCGGCGTCGTCGAGACCCTCCACGCACATCGCGCCGTGAATGTCGAACCAGAGACCATGGATCATACGTGTTGTTGCATCGAGGAGGTCACGGAGACCGACGACGATCTCGTCCGCCAGCGCTTCAAAGGCATCTCGAGCGACAATCCCGCCCGGCAAGGCATGCCCTGTCAGAATCCCTCGCCAGTCGGCTGCTTGCCCCAGCGGCGTGTCGGGGTGTAGAAAGGCGTACTGGTCGATGACTGCCTGGCCACGGCGGGGATGGAAGGCGGGGGCGAGAGTGCGGGCGGGGGAGAAGGTCGATGTTTCACAGGCGAGACCCGCGATGGCAATAACTGGCAACATGACGGATCATAAAAGAATGTAGACAGAATTTCGCAGTAAATCGATGCGTCAATGCATGTTTACCAAGTGGGGGGAGATGAGAGGTAGACATTATTGATCCCACTATCGGTAGTAGTTAATACCGTGGCTATCTGATCGGCGAATGCATATGCTACTTCAACCATGGTATCAATAAAGGATTCAACTATGTCGATGATATAGTATTAGACCCAGACATCGATGTTGAAGACGCCACTGAATATTACTTGTAGAAAAGAAATGGAAGGATAGAACGAAAAACTGTAGAATGATAACTCTTGCTAAACCTGAGTCTCATCACTGGCAGCTTCGCTGTTCGCAGTCGGAGATCCGCTTTGACGCCTCTTCATCTTCTCCTCGGACGGGCCAGCCGTACGATCGCCCCCGAGCCGGCGATAGACGATGGTAAACAAGGGTCGCATGTTTGACAGGCAGGCAGCCGTGATGCCCACGGCGGGTTCGATGCAGGTCCACACGCTCGAAGGCACTTCGTTGTCTGGATTATGAAGTTAGTCAACTGCCTAACTAATGCATAGATAAATGGATATAATTTCAAAAGGGAGGAGGTCGTACAGGTCGCATCATCGCCGGAGTTGGCCAGTTGGATCAAAGCGATTAGTCGGATGATGTCAAAGATCAAGGTTCTGTCCCGGTCAGCATGCATCAACAGCGGGTGGTTGAAGCCCAACATACAGAAAACCGACGACAAAAATGCCCGAGAGCAGTGACTTTTGCACGCGCGAGATGGGTAGATCCCAAACGATCTTCATCGGCATTATGAGAATCACCGCATCGGTGATAATGTTCGGCCCCTGCAGCCCGTAGTAGAATTTCGGAAGGTCGATACACCCCCCTGGAACGGTAGGTTCCCAGAGTTTATGGAGCGGGATGCAAGTGACGGTGGAGATCAGGCAAGCCCCAAAGCACCATAGAACGACAATCGCGCCGACGATGTTAACCGCTACGAGCATCGACTTGGTGGGGAAAAGCCGTCGGTATAGAGTAAGGATGGATAGTTTGATGCATGCGATGCAGCATGTGTAGAGGATGGAGCCCGTAAAGAGAGTCTGGTTGTTAATATGTTAGTAACTTTAAAGAGTCTCTTGCTCGTAGTATTTACTCCATACCTTCATATACACGACGAGATGCTCTGACGAGACATAGACCAAATGCGTGCCGAGGCCATTATACATCACTGCAACGTTAGCCAAAGACATAAAATAAAGAAACGTTGTTTACATACAGACTATTCCTGCAATTGTGATCCCATACAGAAAGAACTGTTCGAGTTAGCTGGTTACCGACTCCCCCAAACAAAAGAGTCTTAACCGACCAAAGCACCGATAATAAAGTAGTCGTCGATGAAGAGACCCGTGCCGTTGATCTTGCGAGAGACGATGCGCAGCACCACCGACACAGTGGAGAGAAGGAACGCAAAACAGGTAGCCGTAATGACCACATGGTGGAGATTGCTGTGGTCATAGCCGGTGGTTGTGGAGGTTTGTGCAGACATCTTTGAGTTGTGAGGATACTGTGGAACAGAGGGAGACCACGGATGATTCTCCCCTTTAAAACACGATGAAGGGTTTGAATATGACGCAGAGGGTCAATCAACGCCAAACACTATCAAGTGCGGAATACGGAGTGCTTGCTCCGTACAAAGGTTCTAGATGGAGGTCTCCTATCCCAATGGAGCGACTGGCAGTCATGACAGGTCGAGTCCCGAAAACGTGGAATGATCACGATTGGCTGCACGCAACCTCCTAGAGGCTGCACCGAGAGATCGATCAGAAAGCGAGTCTGTTGAAAATTTGCCGCCAGTGATTCTGATCCACAGCCGATCAACGGAATTCCTTGCTTGCCCTCTGCCTTTGCCATCGACGGTTCAGGAAACATTATAGATCGCCACAATCAATACAGAGCAAAGCTCCTGTCGAACTGACACATAATGGATTATGGAGTGATCTTTATTGGAAAATGCATGCCATGTTCATCTGCGATGGTCCGATCGATCGCAGGATCGGGGGTTCTGCAGAAATGACAGATCAACACTCCTGAAACTTAAGACGCAACAAGACATTATTGATCCTTCGCTCCACCTTTACATCTCGTCTAACCAACGGTTCGTCATTTGTTTTGCTATAATCGCTGTCAGAATCGAATACAGCTGTCGATTTGCGGGTAAGATAAGAAGTAAAAGGCCTTGAGTGATGGATCTCGACCTGAGGGTTGACTCTTCGTATACATAGGCTCAAGGTAGCTACTCCGTAGTCAGCGATGACCAAATCGAAAGCCGCCATGCATTGTATTATCACATATTATTCATGATCTTACCCCATAGAGTATATCGTTCATGATCTACCTCATAGACCTTCCAATCCACCCCATAGACTCATGCAAGGGGCTCTGAGGATGGCATCCCAGAGGCCCCTGGACTACCATGTGCTGCCCCCCTGTACTTATACTCTGTATGGGCTCTGGAAAGCCAGCCTCGTGAAGTCTTGTTTGAATGTATGCAATAAATTGACTGTATTGGAAGAAATCGTCAAGAAACGGACTGGCAGCCACTTCGCTGCGTCTGAGGGGGGTGCTGCATGCTGCTCTGTACCTGTAGGAGTGGTAGATGAATATCCGAAGACACCTATCTCCTTGAAAGCCCCTTGGATCCTCGCAAGGAGAGTCTCGCAAGATTATATTAAGGGGGGAAAGGAGAAGGAGAGTTGGAGTTGCTGACTTCCAGTTGTGCTTTGGGCAATGTGATCTAGCACGTGTTTCTGCCTGGGGTATCAATATTCGCCTGAGGCAACCCCATGCGATGCTCCCCTCGCCCAAAGAACACATCTGAAAGACTTCATCTCGCTCCAAGGAGCACGTCAGTACAACAAGACGAAGGACTCAACTTGAAGGGACAATTAGCTATCTTGTCAGTGAAAATTGATAGGGAAAATGCATGACCAAGGATATCAGTAAGTATTGAACCCCCTGTTTCTTTTCTTTCGAAGAGAAGCTTATAATGAGATGTCCTTATGTAGTTGAAAATGTGATAAAGCTTTATCTGAATCTACCCAATAATAAGAAATCCACAAATGCCATAATCTTGAAAGTCTTTGAACCATTCGCTCTTTCATCTATGCTGCTTGTTCGGCTCGATTGCCCGACCTTGCCCCCTGTTGAGATGGTATTGAAGCTTTTCGACCGGCGATTCGCAACACAGCTTCGGGAAGAGGGAAAGAATAGTGGTTGGAATTCTGATATTGAAAAGAAGTATCACCAATTCATGACAGACGGGGGTGCGTCAAAGTTCATTGCTGAACTTGAGGCGGAAAGCAAAGCAACACATGAAAATGATCATAGTTGGTCTCCTTCTCAGGACGAGGCTTATCTTCATAACCACTTACGGAGTCTTTATGAAATAGAAGTCGAAGTGTATAACACATTGAAGGATTTACAAGGGGAAGTCATTCCACAGTTCTTTTCATGCATCACGACACCCAGTTTTCCAGCAGCAGACACTGCGCAAGTGGATGAATATACCAAAATCCATGGCTTCTTTCTACAACATATTGAAGGTTTCCCTGTCTGATATTGCCAGCCATGCTCCAAGAGAGAGCTGGCAAGTCATATGCGAAGAAGCCATTTGGATCATCCTTCTGATCAGTGATCATGGAATACTAAATGAGGATATCATGACAAGAAGTTTTATTGTTCAAAAGCACATGGATAATAACTTTAATATTTTTATGATTGACTTTGCACTCTGCAACTTCCGTGAAAACTATGAAGGTGAAAATGACTGCAATTAATGGAGGGCAATCCAGGATGAGGAGGGGGCCATTGAGTATGTCATGCAGAGGCGACTCGAAGGTGGTTTTGTTTACAATCGGTCTGCTCAATATGAGATGCTGGACGAGGACTACAAAATAGGGGAATGCGGCTGGTATTATCAATTTGCTGCAGGCCTGGTTACCTCCATATAGCACTTTCTTAAATGAAAAACAAAAAGGGTGAAGTTTTGATATAATAAAAAAGTAGACCTGAGTGAGAGATTCTTAGGCGCTGCAACATTGACTGCCTCAGGCAGCAACAACACCATCATGTTTCCTCTTCTCTCTCCTTCTCTCTCCCTCCTGTTCTCTCTCGTTTGTCTCTCTTGCTTCTCTCTCTCTCTTGCTCACTTCGCTCCATCTAGTCAGCATTCAGAGAGACCTACGTCTTATCACCCCTCCTCCTACTCGAACCGCCTTATCTTTCGATAGTGGCTGCAACCTCAAGTGAGGGGAAATCTGTCCGATGGTGTCACCAAGATCGGCCAAAGGCCCCTCCGCATTGTCGCTGTCAGTTCAATGGGTTGATCGGCCATGACTCCTCAGATGTTACATGATGAGGCGTAAAGAGGCTAACCCGCAGCCAGTATCAGACCTGCAGAGAAGTGGTGGTGACAGATAGTAACCCCGGATATATATAAATACAGAGAACCCTGCAGCTGTACGCCAAGATCAACGCAGTGCTTGTTTGCCCATCTGGCCTGTCCATCATGCTGAAGAAAACCCCCACAGGCACATGGATGCCGGCGTGGGTACCCGAGACGACCGTTCCCCTTGCGTGCCTGCTGCTTGTGTGCTCCATGGTGCAGTCGTCAGTGAGTTGACTGTTCTTGCTATTTTGTACAATGGAAGAGAGAGTATTGACTATAGTACTACTGCACAGACTGGCGGCTATGATGGCTCGATGCTGAACGGGCTCAACATCTTGCCCTCCTATCTCGACTACTTCCACCTCAACGCCGCTACGACGGGTCTGAACACGGCCTCGGTCTTCATCGGCGGCGTCCTGGGTCCAATGCCGGCTGGGATCCTGTCCGACCGTCTCGGCCGCCGCCCGACGATCTTCTGGGGCTCGTTGGTGACCATCATCGGCGTCATTATCCAGACGGCGGCGCAGAATATCGCCATGTTTGTCGTCGGGCGCATCATCCTTGGGTTCGGCTCGGCAATCACCGGCGTGGCGGGCCCTGTCTATCTGTCGGAAACGTTCCCCAGTCGATGGCGAGCCTGGGGGGTTGGGATCCTGAATGACTTCTACTAGTGAGCAAGCATCTAAACAGAAATTGCTTGTTTTTCTTTCTCTTCTGGTTCCTCCCTTCTGACCATTAGTGTTGGGGCCCTGATCGCGGCTGGAATCACTCTCGGGACCGGCCAGTGGCAGTCAACATGGGCATGGCGAGCCCCCTCGCTCTTCCAGGGCATCTTCTCGCTGCTCTGCATTATCATCCTTCCTTTCATGTATGTATTTTCGTCGGACATCTCTAAAGGATCCCCTGCTAACCCGCTTGAAGCCCAGAATCCCCCCGTTGGCTCGTTCATCAAGGGTACTACGACGAGGCCCGGATCGTCGTGGCGCAGACCAACTCTGACGGCAAGCTGTCGGATCCCGTGGCCCTGACAGTATACAAGGAGATCGTGGACACGCTGAAATGGGAAAAGGATCAAGGCCACACGATGAGCCCGATGGAAATGATCCGCACGCCGACCGCGCGGAAGCGCTTTCTCATCGGCATGTCGCCTGGTCCTTTTTCGTGCATCGCGGGCAACATCATCGCCTCGTACTATCTCGGTGACGAGCTCGACACGGCCGGTGTGACCAACACGACGGCGCAGCTGCAAGCGGTGTGTTCTCCTCATCTTTTCTATATCAACGTATTTAAAGCGTGCATCGCATCCCTAATCAAGTCTAGAACGTCGTGCTAAACGTCTGGTGCCTGTTCTGCTGTCTGGCCGGCACTCACCTGGCCGCCCAATGGGGCCGCAAGTCGACCGCGCTGTTGTCCGAATTTCTGCTCGCGGTCTGTCTGTTCATCATCGGCGGTCTGTCGAAGCTGTATGCGGAGAATCCGGCGGGCGCGTCAAGCAGTCTTGTATACGGCAACGTCGCCGTCATGTTCCTCTTCCAGGGCTTCTACTCCATCGCGTGGACGCCGCTGCTGTACATCTATCCGCCAGAGGTGATGAACTATTCCATCCGAGCGAACGGATTAGCATTCTCTTCTTTTGCTTTGAATGGCCTTGCGTAAGTTTTTCTTGTCTTCCCTTTTCTCTCTCCGATTCTTCGTTTTACCTACTAACTTGCCAGTCTTGTCTTTGTTTTCATCATGCCCATCGGCCTGGCCAACATCGGCTGGAAAATGTACATGGTCAATGCCTCGTGGGATGTTGTCATTTTCGGTCTCATCGTTAGTTTCTCGCTTCCTCTACCCCTTTTCTCTCTCTTTTTTCTCTTTCTATCAGTCTCGCTAACCCGCCAGGCATACTTTTGGGTCGAGACCAAGGGCAAGACGCTGGAGGAGATCGACGCCATTTTCGACAGGAATAAACACAGCGATGTTCCGGACGTCGAAATGGTGCGCAGTGGTAAGGGTCGTGTTGATGTACAGGCCTTGGAGAAGGAGTTGGGTGCCAGCCAGGGCGTCAGCCAGGGATAGCAGTAGCAGGAGCAGGTAGCGATTCAATTTACTTTTCCTTCAGACTCGAAATATCTATATATCCTTCTGTACGTCCAACACCTGTTTTAACAAGGTCTCTTTCTTCTTGGCCTTATCTGCAGTAAACGGCCCATACGCCTCGTTCACCTGGTCCACGACTTTCTCCTTCCACCGAACGACTCCATCATCCTGGACTCCATCATCCTGAGCATCAACATTCTGGGGTTTCACATTCACAGTCCCCAGGCCATCCCAGACCTGCTGCATCGTCCCGCCCAGCTTATCTAGAAAGGAAGCTAAACCGCCCTCCCCGCCCCCAGCATGGTAACTCTCAAACACACCCTGCGTGGCCCACCGCGGGCCCAGACTCGCCATGACGATAGTATCGAGGTCACGGGCATGCACGACGCCTTCATTGACGAGCGAGCATGCCTCGCGGAAGAGAGCAAAGGCAAGTCTATTCCCCACGAAACCGGGGATTTCCTTCCTCACAACAACGGGGCGGTGGTGTCCGTGTTTTGAGAAATAGGCTACGGCGAAATCGACGCATGCTTGCTTTGTCGTCGGGCCGGGCACGATCTCGATCAACGGCATGATATGCGGCGGGTTAAACGGGTGGACGACTAGTAGACGGGACGGATCGGTCATTTGCACGTTCTGGATCGACGCCGCGATTCCTGATGTGCTGCTCCAAAATTGGGCTGAGGGTAGTGCGAGTGTTTCAATCTCGCGCCATGTTCTCTGCTTGAAGGCCTCGTTTTCTGGTCCTTGTTCCTGGATGACTTCTGCGGAGGAGACCGCGCTCGACAGGGTATCGTGGATGGACAGACGGCTGTTCGAGAAGAGGGTGTCAACGAGAGTATCCACGGGGCCTCCTTGGGATGATGATAGGAGCTGTGGGAGACGGCGGCGGATGTATTCGTTCAGGTCTGGCCGTGGGTCGAACACGGCCACGCTCGTGTCTTCCCGGTCGAGATGGAGGGCCGCCATCGACAGGCCGATGGTGCCTAATCCGATCAAAGCAATTCGCGGCATTGGTAGGGATGATAGAGGCAGAGCTGGAAATGATAGTATTGAAGGGATGGAGATGGTTGTGCGCAGTGAGGGTGTGGGGAAGAGGGGTAAGACAAGCTTCAATACAGCCAATAATACCAGTAATACCCTAGATCCATGGACATATTCCTAGTTCAATCGGTGGAGAATCTCACTCCCTGATAGCCACCGTTCCACGTTTTCCGCCGTCTCCTCGTACCAGGTGTGCATGATCCCCTCTTCGACGTAGCCCATGTGCGGCGTGATGAGCAGGTTACTGCTGCCTTGTGTTCCCCAGCTCGTCGATCGCCATGGACTATCAGATGGCAGAGGCTCGATATCAAACACGTCCAGCGCGGCGCCTCCAATCCGGCCTTCGCGCAGTGCAGCGAGCAGGGCCGTCTGGTCGATCAAGGGCCCTCGCGACGTGTTGATCAGCAGCGCCGAGTCCTGCATGAGCTGTAGCTCCTGGGACCCGATGATCCCACGGGAGCGTTCACTGAGTACGTAATGAACGCTCACCACGTCTGCCGTTCGGAACAGTTCCTCCTTACTGACGGCCCGGAAGGTGGGTTGCTCGTGTTCGTTATTGGAGGCAGAGGGGAAAGGGGACAATCCCATCGCTTCAGCCTGTGCATTGGCTTTCTCCTGTGTTAGATTCTCACTCCAGCAGACCACCTTCATCCCCCACGCGAGTGTTCCCACACGCGCGACGGCAGCACCCAACCGACCCAGGCCGACGACCCCCAGCGTCGCGCCCGTCAACCCCTTTGCCAGCTGCGTCTGCCACGCATGCCGAGCGGGATCCTTCATCGCGGCATCGTCGCTCGCGACATTGCGGGCGAGCGCTAAGATGAGCGCCCATGTATGCTGCGTCGTCGGATGGCTGCCCCCTTGCTTGATGTCCAGTTTCGGACGCGGGGGGCGCCCTTGCATACGTCTGCCGTCTGTTCGGCCCTTGCCCGGGGCCGCAGCGACAGTGATGCCTAGCTCTCGCGCGGCGTGCAGATCGAACGTTTCAAATTGTGTGCCTGTTGCGAGCAGTAATTTCAGGTTGGGCAGCTGGCGGAGTAGGTCGGCGGGGAAGGGTGTGCGTTCGCGCATGGTGGAGAGCACGGTGAAGGGTTTCAAGCGGTCGACAATGGCCTCTCGCTGGGCTGCTGTGGTCTGTGGATGTGTGTATGCTGGCAGCGTGTCTCGAAAGATAGTAATGGGCAGTTTATCTATTGGGATAGACGCGAAATGCGGCCGCGCAATGTCCAGGAAGTCGTCCAGAACGGCCATCGACAGTCTTTTGGAAGCCATTTTGTTTGAATTGAACTTCGAATTTGGTTTCCCTCTCTTCACTCTGTAATAATAATTGTAAAAAGTCAACTCTTATCCTCGCGTGAATTATGCGAGTTTCGGAGAAAAAGCCCGAATTTCGGATGGACACTCCGCAGGAATAACCGAGAGAAATGGTCGCTGATGTGATCTTTAGGATCAGCTAATTGCTGACTGATGGACGAGTCGTATGAATAGATGACAAGGCCAGTGGTCCTCTGGTCACCAGTCATAAAAGTACGTATCCAAGGAACAGGGATATCCTATGATAGACTATCCCACTGCTGAAGGCTAACTTGTCATATTGTTGAACTTCTCCAGGCCTCTCCTTGACGCAGCGCTCCTGTGATATTGAATACAAGCACGAAATGCCCACTCCCACTTACTGTCGCTATGACTGTGATGCATAATGGCATGTGTGCTTGTGGCCTGGGTGGGATAACCGACAATATGAACAACAGGCACTTGAATAAAGATCTCGTCAGGTCTTCTCCCACTCGGGTCCTCTGGTTCGAGAGACGGCAATGCATGTTCCATATACTGGGCTCGGATGCCGCACTAGGCAGACTGCTCTCCTGGGCCCAAGGTGGTGGTGGTGATGAAGATGGCCACACCCTTGGCACAAGCGTATTTATCAGCCTGTAGATCATCTCATCGGCTCTAGGAGGTTGTACTGTGAGTGTCGTACAAGGGAAGCCGCTTACAGCGAAGATGGCAATGAGCTCGTTCGGGTCTCCTTCTTGATTCGATTCCACGGCGGGAATCCGATCGAATGGTAAGATCACAGTCTGGTAAATGGCTAGTTAGTAAAAGAGCCTCCAGAAATGAGCAAGCACCACAGTGGCTCTTGTCCCTGTCCTATTTTCACACCATTGTCCTCTGCAAAGTCTCGACCACTGTATCCAATATAGGCATCTAAAGGCGAGACAGAAGCGTCAAGAAAAGCACCGACAGCTGGTATGACGTCCCAAGTCCAGAGAGACTCGAGCATGCCAAAGACAGGCCAGGCCCATTAGCTGAGACTAGATTGCTGAGGAATCAGTGGTCTGCCAGTGGGACTTTTCGCCTGAGATCAATCTATTTGTCATTTGAGCCAGGAGAACTGATCTTGAAGACAGTTTCGGCGTCTGCTTTGTATCTTCAATACTAACAGGATGGGATTCAGCAGCCTCGGCACGACCAGAGCGATAAGGACTGCCTCACAATTCGAGAGCCATATCTTGTTATTCAAACGGGACGAGACCCGGAGATAAGGCTTCCCAGATTGACTCATTCATATCATGGTCTAGAGAGGGATTCATCTGCTTGAAGAAGCACTGCGATGAGTTGTTTGTGTCGCTTGTTGGAATCTCCTTTCTTCATGTCAACAAATTTCCGGATTCACTCACCGCCTCATATCGAGATCACGTTCTGCCGGGGTAATTCCAACCACGTGAGATACCGCCTGTTGATCGGAGCAAGACGCCAGAGATGTTTTTGCCTTCGATGAGGAATCAAGACATCGTTCTCCTTCCCCAGCTCAAAGGAATACAATGAGATGGACCAAATCGAAGCATTATTGACCGGTATTATGGGGAAATACCCTGAATATCGTCTTTAGACCCCCCTTTCCTCATGGTCTCCTTCCTCCAGCTTCCCGCCGAAATCCACCTGCTTATCGCCGACTGCCTTACCTTCCCAGACGTTCTCTGCCTCAAGCATGCCTGTGTGTATCTATACGACCTCGTTCCGCCACTGACTCATGCGGAGCTGCTTGTTGCAGAGAGCTCATCACTTGCCCGGCAGAAGAACCTCTACGCATGCCGGTACTGTCTACGCCTGCTCCCCGCCAGCCGTTTCGCCGATCGCATGCTGCACAGTCGTCGAGACAGATCCGGGCGTGACGCAGGACGACGGTTCTGCATCCGATGTGGGTTGCAGCCCAGAGATACAGGTGCTGCGCGCTACGGACCAGGGGCCCAGATAGTTGTCGACGGTGTCTTCAAGGTCTTCTGTCTGCATTGCAAGGGGTTCCGGGCTGGAGCGGTGGATCAATGGGGGAGACGACTAGGATGGTGCGTCCAGTGCTGGGCTGAGAGAGAGGGAGAGAAATATAATTCCAGGATCATCCATGGGATGGAGTGATAAATGAGCTGACTGGCTTGGTTGTGTGATCAAATCCTGCCCTGAATCGGTCAGAGCTCCCTCTAGCAGTGGTTGGTGAGGCAGGAGTATCTCCTACGTCTGCTCATTCATCGGTGAAGAGAACTCAGAAGGGTACAATACTGCCTCCTGGCGTGTGTCCTGGGCCCTGCATATGATCCTTGCCATTTTCCTCTCCACCGCCATGTTGTTCCTACCCCGTTGACTCACCCGTCAGGACCGGTGGAGGAATGCTACGTATTTGGTTATCTTCAAGCTGAAGATGCTAAACCGGACCATCTTCGCGGTGTTCAACACGGTCATGCTCTTCTACGTGTTGTTCTTGTTCCTGAGACATCAGGGCAGACGCTGGAGACTACCCGGGCGATCTTCGAGGACCACAAGGGGATTTCCTACATCGGAACGCCGGCGTAGAAGACCAGCAAGAAGATCAAGGTGACCGATCAGATGGAGCACCCCGTGGAATTTGCGAAGGTCGAATACTGAGGAAGGGTTTAGGTACGGCTCTATAACGAACAATCAACATCACTTTAGTAGCTACCATTGATTACCTGTAAACTGTTCACATTCAAGGACACGAGCTTAATATACTATCAATAATCATTCAATAGATATAAGTGCTATATCTATAATCCGTATTGATGACGGGTATCAAGGATTATTTATTTATCTTCATTATTTATGCATTGCTAACGGCCCCCACGCCAAAGCTGCTGCCTATCTTTCTTTACCTGTTCCTGGAGGCAGACAGACAGCCAACAACCACTCCTACCTGCCAGACCTTCGATATGTACGATAGCTCAGTAAGTAATGAGCACGGAGCACAAAGTCTCTCCTTCCAAGAACACAACCCCTCTGCCTCGGTCTCCGTCGTCTTGCTTCATGGCAGCCTCGCATCCGCGCAGGAATGGAACAGCGTCGTCCCCCATCTAAAGGGGTACCACCTGCTTGTCGCTGATCTGCCCCAACACGGCGCAGAGGGTAGCGCGTCGTCTAAAATCCGGTATTCACACGCGACGGCGGTCGAGTTCATCGCGGCGTTGATTCGCACACACGCTCGGGGAGGTGTCGCGCACGTTGTCGGTCTCTCGCTGGGCGGATATCTCGCTCTCTCGCTCGCAGCGAAGTATCCGGAATTAATCCTCTCCCTGTTTGTGACGGGGTGTGCGCGACGGCTTGATCAGGGAGAGGGGGGCACCGCTCTTCCTCCCTGGCTGATGAAGGGTGTCGTCTCGACTTTGACCACACTCACGCGTCCGATCCCGATAGCCTGGATGCTGAAGTTGCAGGGGTGGAAAGACATGTCGGCCGTGACGGAGGAGCTACAGGCGGATATGCAAGCGAGTAGTGCGCGGGCAGGCCTCTCCGCCGCCATCATCGACGGGCTGACGAGCTCTACGTGTACGGGGCCTGATGTGTGGAAGACTGTGGGCGAGTCTGGGGTTCGCGTCTGCGTGTTGGCGGGGGAGAGACAGGATCCGGTACAGACGACGCGAGAGCAAGGGAAGACACTGAAAGAGACTGGTCCGGCGAAGAACCAGACCGAGAATAAGGCGTTCCTTGTTCGCGAGGCCATGCATGCTTGGAGTTTGTCCCATCCTGCTTTGTTTGCCGAGGGTATCGACGCTTGGATTGCCCGGAGGGAAATGCCGGTTGGATATGAGGAGATCTGAATCATGTCTAGGAATTCATCCTGCTTTTACGTAAATATACTACCTACATGGTGGTGGTTCTAGTAGGTTCAATAGTGACACTATAGTGGCTTCAATCCTTACTACCACCTATGTATTGACGAGGTATAGAATGACTATAATGACTCTACAACTACAACGTCATCCCGGATGGCATGTCTCACCTTCTATGACCACTGGGTGTGGCACGAGCCATTCTTGAGGCGCATGTCTCACTGTTCGTATTGACTGGAAGCTTACAAATGAAATTTAAGAAAATTCATAGGTAAAGCTAATTTGATATGACATTGAAAAATATAGTTCATATATTCAAAAAATGTAGTTAGATATTAAGGAGCGGATATTATACCTATCGGCATCAGTAGTTGGCAGCATAAGGAGCGTCCATCGAAGTAGTTGAGGGAGAAAAAACAACTCTTGCAGAACATTCACCACATCATCAAGATATATTCAAAGTTCAAAGGGTAAACGAGAAATGTTCAGTAGAGACTAGCGATACGAAACAAAGGATGACCATTGATCGCTACGGAGTATTTCCTTAGAGGCGCCAGTGGGTCGGACCTTTGGGAACTTTTACCCCGCCGGTTCCTGTCGCAGTCCGAGTGGAAGTCGTATGGTCACTGCTTGTTCCGCTGGTCTGGCTCTGGGTGTGGTGAGAGCCTGTGCCCTGCGTTTTGGTGTGGGTGGTGGTAGTTGTCTTGGGCTGCGACTTGGTGGTGGTCTCGGTGACTTTGCTCGTGGTAGTAGTCTCTGTGGCTGTATGCGTCGGCTTCGACTTGGTCGTTGTCTTCTCTGTTTCCTTGCTCGTGGTCGTCGTCTCTGTCACTTTGCCCGTCGTAATGACGGTAGCGGTGGTCTCAGGAGGAGGCAGCACCCAAGTCTTGGTGACACCCGTGGTGACCGTGTAAGTGATGGTCTCGCACTTGCTACAGTGGCCACCGCCGTTTCCAGTCCATCCGGTAGGGCCCCAAGGGCTGGAGGCAGTCACAGTGACGGTATCCGTCACGGTATCAGTCGCGATATCAGTCACGGTGAGAGCCGCCGGACAGGTCGTGGCAGCGGTCACTACAACCACCGGAGCAGTGGTGGTCGTAGTGGCGGTCTCTTCGGTGGAGTGAGGGGCAGCAGCCTTCGTGGTGGTCGTCGTCTTCGGGGGAGGAGCAATCCAAGTGGTGTGAGGCACCTCGGTCGTGTAGCAGGTGGTTGTCGTGTAGACGGAGGTGGTCAGCCAGGTGCTGTATATGGTCTTCCCACGTGTGGTGGTGACGGCCGTCGAGCAGGGCACAAAGGTAGTGGCGGTGATCGTGTCGGTAATGGTGGTAGTCTCCTCAACCGTCGTGAATATCGTCTCGGTTGTGGACTGTCCTGTGGCAGTGGTGGTCTGATGATGCTCCTTTGTTGTCGTCGTCATAATCGACTTCTCCGTGGTAGTGGAATTTGGATGATGCTCCTTTGTCGTCGTCGTCATTGAGCTCTCTGTAGCGGTGGTAGTCGGATGATGATCCTTTGTCGTCGTTACCATCGTGGAACCTCCGCCAGAGTGATCAGTAGTCAGGGAGACCGTGTTCGACCTGGTAGAGTGGGTGGTGCTGGAATGATCCTCCGTGGAGTGAGTACTGGTACTGCTGGTTGTGACCGTGGCGTTGGGCCAAGTCTGGTGATAGCCTCCCGGCAGCGCCAGGGCGCAGCCAGAGAGTGCCAGCAGGAAGAGGGTCGTAGGCCGCATAGTTGGTGATGTTGAACAAAGTTGTATATAGTATATGGATGAAGATATAGATCAACAAGCGAAGGAGCTGATTAGTAAACCAAGCGAGTGGTTGACAAATAAGAGAAAGCGACTGTGATTGATGAGGATGATCTAGAAGAGAGTGACAGCCCGGAACCAGGCCGACGACGCCTTCTTATAGAGGCAGCCGGAAGGTTTGGTGATACTCTCCATCCTTTTGGTTGCTTCTCGTATCCCATTCGGGCATCTATAGCAACACAACTGTCTTACCAGGATAAAAATAGAGGATGATGAAATTGATCTTGGGTGTCAACCCCGGCGGCAAGGCCCGAACCGTGGTAATGGAGGAGATCCCTCGCCACGCAACCTCTTCCGGCCACCCAGCACCCACTCACTCGTCTCCAGACTTTCCCATCGCGACAAGATTGCCAAGTCCGTCGACGGCGAGGTGGTTGCCTCAGACATTCGCACGCCGCCAATCACCTGACGGCGGCGACCATGGGATGATTTCACTGCGTCTTCCTGGATTGGCGGGTGGAAATAGGTCTGATGAGACAGGTTTGGTAAAGCCTCGAGATGTCTTCAAGAGGATTCCGCTCGCGTGTGGAAACCTTGTCAGCGACGAGGCATGGCCTGTGTGTGAATCAGTTCCAATCAGCGTTGAGCGTCTCTTCAGACCATCTCGTGACTCCCGCGGAACGTCGTTCTTCACCACCAACAGCCAGACACTTCCCTTCCCCGGTCTCTACAGTCTATTGGCATGGATCCTGGCTGCAACCGAACGCTCCTTGGGTAACCTTGATATGTAGGGAGGTATAAGGGCCTGAAGGGTTGAATGTGGCAGCTCTGTCGTTACACTACCTGCAACGCTTTGGGCTCTGCCGCTTCCCTTGCTGTTTCTTTTTGGGTATTCAGCGATATCCCATGACGTCTCAAGTAGACTAGACTTACAGCTCGTTCCTTGAGTGGACGCAGAGTCTCAACGGTGGTGTTGCATCTGGCATTTCTGGAACACTCCGTCAGCTTTTTCATGAGAGAACATCACCATCTGCCCACCAGTAGAAGTGATCATCTTCTCTCTATGAGAACAGCTCCAGTCTGTCATTTACCTTGATGTTTAATCGTGGGTTTCATCCACGACACAGCTGTCAACCTGTACGGAGTAACCTGCCTGTCCCCTCCCCGCCCACTGCCGTAGTCCTGCATCTGGCCGCATCTCGCATGCGTCTGCAGCACATACGTGTGACTCCACGGGTGGCACGACGGAGATTATCTTCCGGCCGTTGCCGTGAGACAGTGACAACAGCAGAAGCAGGGAGTAGCTGCTGACAATGGCCTTGAGCGAGAGGAAGCCAGGCTTGAGGCGGTCAATGACTCAAGGCGGTCAAGACAGTCACATCTGGCAGAATAGTCACATGCTAGCACGTGACACCTTATCAAGCCTGACTGCCTCAGGCCCCCAGGCCAACACGGCACGTGCTAGCTTCAATACCACCTCAGGATTCAGGAATGCAGCCAAGCAGAGCCGCCCTGGCCAGCACGGGACGCCCTGCGGCCAATCAGTATGGAAAGACACTCCATGCCTGCGTCGACAACGTGACGCCCACGTGCCGCCGGTGAAGCTGAAACTTGGGATCGACTGCGCGCACGTGAAGATAAAATGGCGCGTGAAAGATAAATACTCGAGGGGTTACTGCCCCCCCCCCCTCTCCGTGAGACTCAGCTGTTTCTCAAGCGACAATGGACGTCGAGAATCGCGCAGTCGCTGCCATGGTGGCAGACAAGAACCAGCAGAAGAAGGGCGACGACGGGGTGGAAGCGCGATCGATTCGCTTTGGCGAGAATGACCTGTTGTCTGGGGAGATCAAAGATGAGGTGCTGGCGGCGAAGATGACCTTGATCAACAATGTAGGTGGAGAGAGGGAGAGGCAGGGAGAGGGAGAGGAGGATGGACAGTGCTAATTCTAACAGGCGATTGACGAAATCGGGTTTACCGCGTACCATTGGAAGCTGTTCTGTCTCAACGGGTTCGGCTACGCGGTCGACTCGCTGCTTCTACTGCTCCAGTCCATCATCGCCACCCAGGCGAAGCTGGAGTTCCAGCCAAGCTTCTCGACCGGTCTGACCATCGCCGTGTACGTGGGAATGCTGGTGGGGGCCATCTTCTGGGGGTTTTCCGCCGATATCATCGGGCGGCGCTTCGCCTTCAATGTGTCGCTATTCATCTCCTCCGTCTTCACGATCGTCGCTGGTGCCTCCCCCAACTGGGTTGTTCTGGGGTTGTTTATCTGCCTGGCCGCGTTTGGCGCTGGCGGGAACCTGGTTCTGGACACGGCAGTGTTTCTCGAGTATCTGCCCAGTAAGGAGCAGTGGCTGTTGACTCTCATGGCGGCCTGGTGGGGTAAGCTTAGATTGCTTTTTTTTTGGCCCCCCTGTCCGAACCAATACTCGGTCGAATAGTCGGTCTAACAATCGGTCGTTATCAGGTCTCGGTCAGCTTATCGCCGGACTCTTTGCTTGGGCGTATCTGCCTCGCTACTCGTGCGCCGACGCTGCCTCGTGCACCTACAAGAACAACGAAGGGTGGCGGTATGTCATGTACACGTCGGGCGTCTTTGTCCTGATCCTGTCTGTCCTGCGGGTGACGGTAATCCGACTGCACGAGACCCCCAAGTTCTTAGTCGCCGAGGGCAAGGACGAACAGGTCGTCCGGGTGCTGCAGGATATCGCCGAGAAGAATAACCGCCCCTGCAGCCTGACGCTGGAACAGTTCCAAGCCCTGGGCCCCACGGCACGGGTTTCGAAGAATCGCATCTCGCTCGCAGAGGTCGGCTTCCATCTGCGCGGCCTGTTTGTCACGCGCAAGACCGGCCTGTCCACCGTGCTGGTCTGGTTCTCGTGGCTGCTGATCGGGCTGGCCTACCCGCTGTACAATGTCTTCCTGCCCACCTATCTGGCCTCGCGGGGTGCAGATTTCGGCACCTCGAGCGCCTACATCACCTGGCGCAACTACGCCATCAACAATGTGTGCAGCATTTTTGGTCCCGTCCTGGCCGGCTTCATGTGTCGCTCCAAGTGGTTCTGGGGTCGGCGCGGTACGATGATCATCGGCGCCATGGTCACCATGATCTTCTTCTTCTGCTACACCCAGGTGCGCACCGAGAGCCAGAATGTGGGCTTCACCTGTGCCATATCTTTTTGCTTGAACATCTACTACGGAACGCTGTATGCGTATACGCCGGAGGTGAGACCTTAATTCTTTTTCTTTTCTCTTCTTTTATGTTATGTCTAACTCGACAGGTCTTCCCCTCTGCTCATCGCGGAACGGGTAACGGCGTTGCGATTGGCCTGAACCGAATCATGGGGATCATCAGCGCGATAGTCGGCAAGGTAGCCAATGTAAGTTTCGCTGCATTCCGTTTCTCTGTTTTCCTTACTGATCGATCAGACCAATACTCCGGTTCCGATCTATATCTGCGCCGCTCTCTACATTGTGATGGGAATCGTTGCCGCAGGTCTTCCCTTTGAACCATATGGTCGCCGAAGTGGATAGAATGCGAAATTATATGGAATGGCATGGGGGTGTGCCGATGCCAACATGATGATTTATTGATATATGTATGATACGTGGGATGTATAATGACGCAGTTACGGCAGACGTACCACCATCATTCTTAATACTATATTTATTCCTGAGAATCTTTTCTTCCTCCCAGCTCACCCATCCGCAAGAGTAGAATTATCGCTCTCCACATGCCCCGCCGACAGACAATCCGGGATCACGAATCTATCCTCATTTGCGATACAGCCATCGTAGCAGTCCTTGACGACGGGGTGCGGGTTCGTGGCCGGGTCCTGACACCAGTAGATATAGTTTGCTTTCAGACGCAGGTCGCGACCGCAGTAATATCCCGATCCGATACAGTTGGTCTGAGCGGCAGCGAGGGACAGGTAGAGGAAGAGGGAGAGAAGTGTAATTAAATCCATCTGATAGTCGTTAGTCTTGCTTGAGTCTCCCACGCAACGATTCACTGACTGACTCACTCGATATATACTTTTTGTCCAGGCACTGCGTACTCAGTGGTGGCAGAAAAGGTCAACCAAGTTTTCCAAGGGGGAAAAGGGAAAATGCAAGGCAGCAATATAAACACATCCTCGATATTAATCTAATTAATCCGTCAATTCTATTGCGGAGTCCCTGTTGACCTCCTGGCATTGGCGCCATCCGAGCCAATCCATCGTCATATCCAGGGTACGCTTGGCGCCAAGGAGGGAATCCAGACGGTGATTTGCCCGCTGTGAGGAAAGAGGGTCTCCCTGATTATCGTGTAGAATCTCAAAAATGCGTAGAAGATCGGATGAAGACTCCCTTCTGGAGAGGCAGGAAGAGGTCGTTGCGTCTTGACCGATTGTCGCTGACGATTGACGGCTGACCTCGTGATGTGCACGTGAACGGCACACGTGATGTCATATGATTTCCCCTGTCACGTGGCTTACGTCATCGCCTCGGAGCCACGCGGCTTCCGAATCGCCGAACGACCGAGGCAAGACGACGAGACGACGAGGAAGTCCTGCAGCAGGAAGCAACAACCCACTGCGTTGACAGCTGAGAAGGATGGAAGAAGAAGAGGAGTTGAACGTGCAGCAGGACGACGAGTCGCTTCCACCGTCCAAATACCAGGTGCCCCGGTCGTGTCTGCACTGCCATAAGCGCAAGGTCCGCTGCAACAAGGCCAGCCCGTGCTCCAACTGTGTGCGGCTGCGGGTGCCCTGTCGGTATCCTGGGCCGGTGCAGGGCAAGAGGAGGGCAGGGAAGACGTCCATATCCGATGTGTCGGAGCGTTTGGCGCGGCTGGAGCGGACGTTGACGGCGCTCTCGTTGCCCGGCGGTGCCCGCGAGGCCGCGGCGATAGTGTCGCGCGACCGGGGGATTGGATCATCGAACACGGAGTCAGAGTCTAGCCAGTCGCCAAGTGAAGGCATCTTGATCCCAGGCGGGTCATCGACGCCGTATATCAATGACCTATTGATGTCGCAGGTCCTTGAAAAGGTATCAAATCCGGGCTTGTAACCTCCTCCTCCTCCTCCTCCTCCTCCTTTTCCCCCGGCTGAGAGTGTACAGGAACGAGAACTACAATCGGCCTTCCGCAGTCAAACAGACCTCTCCCATCATTCCGCCACGCGAGCGACCATTTTCGGGCATGGCTTGATCTTCCAGCCGCATCGACCGGCGGCGTCGGTCTTGGATCTGTATCCGACTCGCTGGGAAGCGACGCAGCTGTGGCAGGTTTATACCAACAACGTCAGCCCCGTTGTGCGAATACTGCACATCCCTAGCATGCAGAGTGTCGTCTTTGGTGCCATCAGCAACACGAAAGACATCCCCCACGATCTGGCGGCGCTGCTGTTTTCCATCTACTTTTCCGCGGTGACCAGCCTTTCACCCGAAGAGGTGGCCACCTTACTCAAGATGGACAGGGTCTCTGCTCTGCTCAGGTATCGGGAGGGGCTGGAGACAGCTTTGTGCCATGCGTCGTTTCTGGAGACGCCAACCCTTCCTGCACTGCAAGCGATAGTACTATATGTTGTATGACACCCTCCCCCTTTATAAAAAAACCAAACAAAAAGCTTTCAAGCTGACGTGACTTGCTGAGACTTGTCTACGTGCGCATCACAACGGCCGGTCTGCCTGGGCGCTGAATGGCCTGCTCATTCGGACCGCGCAGTCGATGGGTCTGCACCGTGACGGGAAACAATTCAACCTTACTCCGCTCGATGCCGAGATCCGACGGCGACTATGGTGGCAGATCGTTGGCTGTGACAGTCGGGCAGCTGAAGATCACGGGCTCTACCTAGACAGCGGGTTTGAGATGTACGCCGCGGACACGCAGATGCCGGCGAATATCGATGACAGCGACCTTTCGGCTTCGACCACCGTGCTGCCGCCAGACAAGCCGCACTGGACGGAGACGTCGATCTCGCTGATGACCTGCGCGATGAGTAAGATGTTGCGAGAAGTGACTCGCCCGCCTGGGGAACGCACCCAGTCGGCTCCACAAGTTTTGCGTGATTTCAAAACCCGCCTGTACGATGTCTATCTCTACAAGTGCGATATGAACGTGCCGATTCAGCGCGCGAGCGTGTTGCTCGGGAATCTGTTGATCCTCAAGGTCGAGTTCATGGTGTATCAGCAGGCTCTGAGCCGTGATACGGCTGAGAACCACCCGTCGTCCGAGGCCGCCGAGCAGGCCCTGTTGGCGGCCGTGGGCTGTCTCGAGGCACACTCCAAGCTCGTCCTCGACGACCTCTGCCGCAGCTTTCTCTGGCTGCTCACCACGTATATCCCTTACTACGTTCTGACATACATCCTGTGGCATCTGTGCGTGCACCCGGGCTGTGCGAATCTTGAGCGGGCGTGGACGGCAGTCGATATTTCCTTCTACCAGATCGAACACCTTACGTCGACCCCCATGCCTGGCCCTAAATGGGCGATCCTGCGCCATTTGAAGGACAAGGCAAACCAGCTGCGGCGACAAGCAGAAAACAAACCGTGCGGCGATGCTGCCCAGGTACTGCCGGATCGAGGGGCCCCCCGAGATGGAATCCCCGAAGATTCCCTCGACCCGCTTCACTGGGATATAGATCCTATGCTGTTCACGGATTGGAGTGATTTTGCGCAAACATTTAACATGCAATATTTTGACACACATATCTGATTGTATACTCACATTCGTATATACATACATATATACATCCATACGTATTCTATCTTTTGGAAATTACTTTCTTGGAGATTCCTTCTAAAACCGCTTCAGCAAGGTAAAGCCCGTGTGGTGGACACGAGCAGCCAAGACGCCCGTGGCCCCGGCGAGGAACAAGACACCCGAGAAGATCTTCATGCCGGTGTAGGAGCCGTTCTGGGCCTGGAGGATGGCGCCTGCGATGGGGCTGGTGGTGAGGCCGCCGAACGAGCTGACGAGGAAGAGGAGGCCAGTACGATAGCCGATCTCCCTGATGGGGCCGAGCTGGAGCATAAGCGCTGGGCCGAGGGAGACATAGGCGCCCGAGGCGAAGCCGAAGAGCAGGGAGAAGACGATGGTGGCGGCATTGGAGGTGGCCGGGATCCAGACGGCAAGCACGACGATACCCGCCAGGTAGCAGACGGCGACGAGGATGTTGAAGCGGCCGATACGGTCAGAGGCGAAGCCCGAGAACAGGCGGCCAAAGAGGCTGGCAGCGTTGAGCAGGGAGAGCAGGTACTGGGCTAGATTCTCGCTCATCCCGGCCTGCAGGGCGGAGATGGAGAGGTAGTTGACAGGGACGAAGATGCCGAAGGTGAGGAGCAGGAAGCCCAACAGGGTGAGCAGCATCTCGGCCTCCTTGAAGGGTTCGATCAGGTCCTGTCGGGAGAGTTTCTTCGGGGCTGGGGGCAGACGCGCCCGCACCGTGACGTTGGCGACAATCAATAGGGCGAGGATCATGAAGGCGGCAATCCGCATCGCCCAGCCAAACCCCAGCTCGTCGATCAGCCGGCTGATCATGATGGGGAAGAGGACGCCGCCGATACTCGAGCCTGTCGACAGGATGCCGTACGCCGCACCGCGTTTCTTGTCGAACCACGTCCCGACGGAGTTGATTGCTTGAAAATGTCAGTTCTTGTTTACTTATTCATCGTTCATGCATACCTGGCTGAAAGATCGCGGCAACACCGATGGCACTACACACCCCCTGGGCCAGCAGCAGCTGGTAGTATTTCGTGGAGATGGAGGCCATCATCAGACCAAAGACGTGCATCAAGGTGCCGACGCCCAGCAGCCAGTGCGGACCATAGTTGTCGTACAGCTTTCCGATGATGGGGCCCTACCAAGAACCTGGTGAGCCAAACCGATCCAAATGAATTCGCTTGTTCAATGATTTTTCCCGATCCCACCATTGCAAACATGAAGAAGACCTGCAGCGAGGGGATCCATGAGATCGTACTGGCTGAGAAGGTGCTGAGCAGGTTCGTCTCATAGTAACTCTGGAAGACGCCGATGCCTAAAGCAAGATATGAGGGAGAAGAAAGGGTTTTCAAATCAGCTTGCCGGTTTCACGCACTGTTGATCCATCCGAAACTGCAGAAGGAGGTGCACCAGGCTCCCAGCACGACGAGCCACGCCGTCGCGCCTCCATCCGGGGCGGGCGAGAATTTCGGAGCTTCAGGGACGGTTTGACACTCTTCCTCTGAGACAGTCTGCCCGTCCGAGTCTCTCTGCTCCTCTGGGTCTTTCTCCATGTTCATGCCGACTTGCACAGAAGAGGGAAGTAGATTCAAGATGCCTGGTGAGGGGGAAAGGCGAGGGGGCCGGTTTATTTGGGCTGTCTCGGTCGTTGGTGAACGGCCGCTCGGGGCGGCAGTTGGCAGGCCGAGAATACGAGATTTGTCTATGGTATGTTCTTTGTCTTACGTTATTTGCTATATGTCATGTTATGTCTGGTTTATTGCTTTTGCTGTTTCTGTCCCTTGAGCGCCTCCGCTAAAAGATCAGGATACCACCGCGCGCCGACATCCTGATGGCTGGTGATCCGGGCGATGAGGGTGCCCTGACCGATGTTGCCGCGGAAGACAGAGTTGAAGGTAGCCTCAGCGTCGCTCTTGACCTTCTCGTCCTTGACGAGGTCGGCGATGTGCGTCGGGATCTTGAGCGCGAGGGAGTCGGACGAGAGATCGAGGCAGATCCCCTGGAAGACGGGGAAGGAGAAGCGCGGCCCCAGCGGGTTGCCCTGGGCGTCGACGAAGTTTTCCGGCCGCAGACTGACGCGATGGGTGGTCGCCGTGCAGACGCCGCGCGTGAGGGCTTCCAGGGCGCGGCCGATGTTGACCACGAGCGTGTCCGGGATAGGCGGCGCAGAGATCCATTGCCCGGCCTTGTTCTGCACTTCCAGGCCGGTGTGTGGTGTCGCCTGCAGCAGGAAGGTCATAAAGTCGGAGTCCTTGTGCGGGCCGACTCCTTGGACGTCGCTGCTCCCATGGCTGGGACTGCTGTCTGCCGACTCTGGCGGCGGATACTTGATCAGCTTGAGCTTGTACTGCTGCGGATCATCGAAGAAGCCATCCAGAGCAGTGGGAGGGAGATCGAGGGCTTCGGCGATGAGTCGTTTGAAGTTGTCGCCCAACAGGCTCACTTCCGCCAGGTATTCTTCCAGCGCGACGCGGAAGCCGGGGATATCGCTTTCATCAGGCCACTTGATGATCAGTCAACTCTCGGGATGAAACGATTAGAAGATGAAACGATCAATACCTGGTTCGGCCCTTTGATGTTGTGGTACAGCGGTGCATCGGGGGAGGGGGGCGGCAATTCCGTGCCAAACTGAGGCAATCAACAGCGAACAAGAAGTCGATAAGAAAATTAGGAAAAAAGAATAAAAAAATACGTCGAATTGTTCGCGAAAGTCCTGCGTCAGATTGGTGATCTCGGCTCCCAGACGCGAATAGCCCAGAAAGTGCCGGCTGTGGACCATTTCGACGGCGAGTTTGCGCTCGATCGGCAGGTCGAAGAGCGCCTGGCCAAGGGCGACGAAGCGGGCCTGCACATGGGGCGAGATGGGGGTGTTTTTGAGATAGAAGAAGCCCACGTTGACGATCGCATGGCGCAGAGAGGCCAGGAAGTGCGTCTTGGTGGGCTCCTGGGCGAGGGAATAGTCCAGCACGGGGATCGACAAGAAGGACATTAGGCGAGGGGATCGGCAGTACGAAGGATGGTAAAATGATAAGATTGATGGGAGATGATAAAGATGATGGATACTGATTTATGTACATGACAGGCAAGATCGTCATCCAATCCTGGGATTGCGACAGCTTATCGACTATCACTAGCGGTATCTGTACCTATCGAATACGACTATCGACCATACAATGGATACAATGGCTAGGTCAGAGCTCGCGCAAATTGCACCGGAACGGAAATCTCCACGCCCAGCGTTTTAGCAGCGTTGATCACCCACTCAGGCTCACGCAGGAACTGACGGGCCATGAGGACCGCATCGGCACACGGCTGCGACCCACTGAGCATGTTCTCGGCGGCCTGTGCTTCTTCGTCAGGCTGCTGCGGCTGAGGGTGCAGCTGGCGATCGGCGGCGGCGGCGCTGTCATTGCTGTCATTGTTGTTGTCATGGTCGCTGTTCTGGACGATCGCTGACGCGGCATGGGCTTGGGTGATGAGCCCGACAGCTCCGACCAGGGTCATGATGCCCTGGGCACGCATCTCGCGGCGCAGCTGGGCCGCCAGGTCGACCTGGTAGGTTGGATGCGGCGTGATGCGCTGGTGGCGATGGTTCCCACCGGAGGAGACGTCTAGAAAGTCGACCCCCCAGTCGGGCAGGAGAGGGAGCAGACGCCTGGTGGCGGCGAGGTCCCACGAGCCACCGCAGGCCCGGGCGACGGCGGAGTCTTCCAACCACTCGGTGGCACTGATGCGCAGGAAGAGCGGCATGGTGGTCGGGATGGCGGCACGGACGGCGGCGACGATCTCGCGCAGCAACCGAATGCGGTTGTCGAAGCTGCCGCCGTAGGCATCGCGGCGCCGGTTGGTCACCGGGCTGAGGAACTGATGGAGGAGATAGCCGTGGGCGGCGTGGATCTCGAGCACGTCGACGCCGGCTTGCACCGCGCGCGCCGCACTGGCTGCAAAGGCGCGCACAATCTCCTCGATCTCGGGGATGGACAGCTCGCGCGGTGGCCAGAAGGAGGCCTCGTCGTCCTCGCCGCTCCACCGCTGCTCGACGCCTCCGGAGGGGCCCACGACGTCCTCCGGCCACCCGTTCACGCTGCGATCCGCCTTGCCGATACGGGTGCCTTGTGCTCTGGCTTGAGCGGAGATCCAGGGGGGGAGAGTGGATGCTTTGCGCCCTGCATGCGCGAGCTGGAGGCCTACTTTTGCGCCTTGGCTGTGCAGGAAGGCGACCGTTTTTTGGAGCTGCTCGAGTTGATTCCCAGCACCAGCACTAGCAGTCTTACTACTCCACAAGCCAGCATCATTCGGGGAGATTCTCCCGCAAGGCTGGACGGCGGTGGCCTCGATGATGACCAGGCCCACGCCCTTGATGGCCAGATGGCCCAGATGGGCGAGATGGAAGTCTGTGAGGGCGCCGCAGTCAGGATGTGCCGGGTCCGAGGCGGCCGAGTACATGCACATGGGGGAGACGAAGATGCGGTTCTTGAAGGTGACGGCGCGGATGGACAGCGGGCGGAACAGGGTGGGTGCTTGGCTTGGGAGCAGAGCCTGCCCGGCGTTATTCGGGTTCATTGAGAGAGAGAGAGAGAGTATAGAAAGTAGTTTAGAGAGTGAGAGTAATATAGAGTAGTAGACTGGTATAGAGAGAGGGTAGAATAAGGTGAAGGGAGAATAAGAAGGGAGAATAAGAAGGGAGAAGCTGCTGACAAAGAAAGAGGGGTCGGATAATAAGATAATCAAGAAGATGATATTCTATTCTACTATTCTATTCTCCTATTCTACTGTTATGCCGTGATAAAGTCATAAAACGCATGAGCGAGTAATTTGGTCGGGCGCTCGACCAGACGATAGAACAGCTCGCCGGCGACAGCGACCAGAAGCAGCGAGACGAGGAGGGTGGCGATGCAGGAACCGCTAAAGGAGACGTGCTGGGAGAAGTGAAGATGCGAGAAGAGAGGAATGCCGGCGATGTAGAGCATGGGCGCGGTGATGAGGAAGTAGCCTGGAATTAGAAGAAGATATCATGCAAGACGGCGAACGATGGGACTCACTGAGGGATCTCTTTCCCAGGAAGAGCAAGACGGCATTCTCGAGCACGCGCTGGATGACGGTGTAGCTCTCGATGAAGCCAAAGACACCCAAGAGAACGAGGTAGACGTCGTCTCTGGCGGGGATGTGGTGGGTGGTATATTCGTCGTTGAGGCCGGAGGTGTAGTACATGTTTGTATGGTATTTGTATTCCCTCTCGAACAGGTCCGGGCGATACGCGGCCCAGAGATACTGCATGAGCAGACCGGCGACGAGTAAGAGGGAGCAAGGGATGTAAACGGGGATCCGGAAGCTGGTCTTGTTGTTGTTGTTGTTGTTGTTGTTGTTGTTATAGGCTACTGGAATGCCTCGAGCGGCGTGTGCCTTCCAGTCCATGTTGATGACCATGTCGCACAGGGAGAGACCGGAGATGGTATACCAGGCCCAGGAATCACACCACCAGGCGGTGATGACGAAGAGGATGGCGCCGTGGACGCGCCAGCGGGCGCGGGTGTAGGGGACAATGACCATGGCGATGTAGACGGTGAAGGACTGCAGGTAGACGGCGTTGAGGAGCCAGAGGGTGGCGGAGGGGAAGGCGCGGTTGGCGGCCTGGGTCTGGAGCTTGTGCGTCTGCCAGAAGAGATCGAAGACGGCGTTGAAGTAGGCAAAGGTGTTGGGCAGGAGGTAGGGCACCTCGAGAACCGGGTTGGCGGAGCGAGCCTTGAAGACGGCGAGGTATTCGGTGGAGGTGACGCTGAAGGCGACGGTGACGATCGCCAGCGAGACGGCGACGGGGAACCACAGCTGGATGCCGCGAGTGATGAGGGAGCGGGCGATGCGCTCGCGGCCCGGTTGCTGCAGGAAGGGGATGGCCAGGGAGCGGCCGGAGAGGAAGACGAGGGCGCCGTAGAGGAAGTATTCGTTCCAGAAGAGCACGGAGAGCGTCTTGCGGACGAGCGAGGCGGCCTGCTTGTCTCCGCTGCTCTCGTTGTCGGCGGCGTAGACGGCGGCCGGGACAAACGTTTGCAGGAAGACCCAGAGGAAGGCTTGGATGGCGAGCAGGCCACGGAAGCCGAGCAGATATTTTGTTTCCATCATAGACATGACAATCAATAGAGAAAAGAGCAGACAGAGACAGAGACAGAGACAGAGACCGAGACCGAGACAGAGACAGAGACAATAGAGATGATTGACAAAGAATGGCAACGACAATGGCATATAGATAGGAATATGATAGGCAATAGAAAAGAATAGGCATATACAATACAGATAAGATACTGTCGGCTGTATTGATCGACAGATCGGCATATTCCAAACAAGAAATAGTTTCTTCGGCTCGTGGTGGCGATCAGGAACGAGTGGAGATAGAGAGAGAGTATAGAGAGAGAGAATTGTATGAGTATAGTATAGAGTATAGTATAGATATAGAGTATAGGTAGAGTATGTAGAGTATAGTATAGAGTATAGTATAGAGTATAGATAGATATCTCCTACTAATACTACTACATACTACTACATCTGCAGGATCAATAATGAGACTGATCGACCGGATCTACTTCCCTTTTGGTTTATTCTATTATTCTTTTCTTATTCTTTTCTTTTTTTCTTTTTATCTTTTACTTTCACTTTATTCTTTTTTCTTTTATTCTTTTCTTTTTTTTATTACCTCATTTTTAGTCATGCCATCCCTGTTTATTTACCGAGACCCGCTGCCCAACTCTATTACCAAGTCTGCGGTAATATTAGTGTAGGGCAATGTGGTATAGTGGTGTATAGATGAGTTTGAGCAGTAGTAGGGTTACAGTATAGAAGTAGTATAGTAAAGTAGGTAGGGTTAAGTTAGTGAGTAGTAGGTTAGGGTTATAGAGTATAGTAGTAGGTTAGAAGAGTGGTAGGGTTAGAAGAGTGGTAGGGTTAGAAGAGTGGTAGGGTTAGAAGAGTGGTTAGGGTTACAGTATAGAAGAGGTTAGGTGTAGTAGAGCAAAGTTAGGGTTAAGTTAGTGAGTAGTAGGTTAGGTTAGAAGAGTGGTAGGGTTGTTACATGGTATTAGAGTATAGTTAGAGAGTAGTAGGTAGGGTTATAGTAGTTACTAGGTAGGGTATAGATAGATAGGTATAGATAGGTATAGATAGAAGAGTAGGTTAATTCCTCGGCGTCGGATTCCATTTCACATACTTGGCCACTTCTCTGGCATGTCCAAACAGCCCAATGACCGCCATCAGAACCAGCTGCAGGGGATACGAGCACACAAACACTCCCATCATCCACCACTGCACGAATTCCGAGCGCACAGCGACGGTGATGTACAGTGTTGCCAGGAGAGAGATGACACTTAGATGTTAGATAGATAGATAGATAGATAGGGAGTGTACGTACCTGAAGAAGAACAACCACCAGGCAACGGGATACTGAAAGAAGAGAATCCGCAACCATTCCTCTCCCGTCACCGGAAAACTCTTGAAGATGATACTCAGCACAAGACAGAGATACTGGGTCAGCAGGTAGTAGCTCCATTCGCGAATGACGAGCAAGGAGAGGATGCCGAACCGCTGCTTGAGACTGCGCGGTTTGGGCGGCGCTCTCTCCCAGACGAGGCGGACATGACGGATACTGGCCTGCAGCCAACCCTGGGCCCAGCGAAGGCGCTGTTTCCAAAAGGCCGAGACGGAGACGGGCGCCAGCTCGTACGAGATGGCGTTGAGCTCGTGCACGGCGTTTGCGCCGTCGCCAAACGCCCGCAGGGCGGAATCGATATCCTCGGTCAACATCGAGTCGTCCATCTGGAGGCGTTTCAAGAGCGAGGTGCGCCAGTAGCCATTCGAGCCGCAGAAGAGCCCGAAGCCGAACATGGACGCCCGCCCCGGATGCGAGACGGCGTAGATCTTGTCGAACTCCAGCGCGATGGTCGCCGTCAGCAGATTCTCGTTTGCGTTCAAGATGATGCACCGCCCCTGGACGATGTCGACCTTGCGGTCCATCAGCCGCTCGATGGCCCACCGGGGCCCATACGGATGCGGGTAATGATCGCAGTCGAAGATGGCCGTGACGTCGGCTTCGGTCTCGACCTGGCGGCAGTAGTAGTTGATGTTGTCGGCCTTGGAGGTCGAGCAGGGCACCTTGATGACGCGCAGGTTGTCGTGTTTCGCCGCCAGATCGGCCATGGTCTGCTCGACGGGCTCGATGGGCACGGGCGTGTTGTAGATGACGTTCACGCGCAGTTTGTCTGCGGGATACACGATCTGATGCAGCAGATAGTGGATGCGCGAGAGGATGATGTCCTGCTCGTTGGGCAGATAGGCAACAATAATCAGATCAAACACGGGGAGGTCTGCGTCGGGAGTGGGAAACGTCCATTCCTTTGCTGCCAGCTTCTCGACCGCTTTGCGGCTGTCATGGACGGCCGTCAGCGACAGAAACGCCTCGAGAACAGTGGTCGCGGCAATGTACGTGTTGGTGACCAGGTAGATGAACCAGAAGACGCCCAGGATGAAGGTGTCGGCCAGCATGTACACGCAGGTCGAGAAGACAAAGTAGCTGGCCACCAGCAGGAAGGGAGTCCATTCCTGGATGGCCCCGGAGGTATAATGGACGGCCCAGGCGAACATCATCAACACAACAATGGTATAGCGATGAAGCAGTAGGAGAGTATAGAAGTAGGAGTGAGTGATAGTCTGGCAGTACTCCGTAGTTATAGCATCACTGCAATATCCCCATCCAGACATGATCGACATTCTCATGGACAGTCGACAGACTCTCTGTTACAATCCACATACTAGAGATAATACTCATACTAGAAATACAGACTGTGACAATACGGACGCCCCACACACACTATTGACCCGAACACGCTAATGCAGGTTAAAACGCACTACTGCAGCCACACGGCTCGGCATCCCGGAACTCTAATCGGGGGCGTTTTAGATTAGTTTAGATTAGGAATATGCGCCGCAGTGAGCAGGAGCAGTGAGTGAGCAGGGAAAGCTGGATGGATGGGAGGATTGATCGGCAGGAGTACGCGTCGTGTAGATCTTACGTAGAATCTATCTCGTATATAGATCTTACGTAGAATCTATCTCGCAGTATATAGATCTTACGTATCTCGCAGTATATAGATCTTGACGGTACAAGTGTACAGTCAGTCGAGATGAAGTTGCTTCTCCTGATCCTGCTGGCGACGCTCTCCGCCGCGAGCAACGTCAGCTCGTGCTCGTGCGGCTTCTACGATGCCACGGCCGACCTGCTGTTCACCGACTCGACCATCGTCTACTTCAACGAGACGGACTCGGTGCCCGACGACCTGCTGGTGCAGAGCTTTGCCCACCGCCACGAGCACGCATGGAACGATCTGTACCGGCAGGGCGCGGTCGAGTCCAACGCCGTGGTCGAGAACAGCTCGCTCTCGCTGTACTGCGACCCCTCGGACTCGAACCATCTCGTCCGCGGAGCATCGATCCGCACGGCACGGCAGGATCTCTTCTTTGGCTCGTTCCGCGCCAGCATGACGGGTCCCCCCTGGTGGCATCTGGGCTCGGCGCTGGCCATGCGGCTGCATCACAACGAGACGGAGTCGTGGGAGCTCGACATCCTCAACACGGACAACAGCTCGCAGGCGTGGATCCCGATGCTGATGCGCGGCGTGTTTGCCAACACCTGGCTGGGCGTGAACTACTCGGCCCTCATTCCCGATGGGATCGATCCCTGGACGGAGACCGAGTATCGCGTCGACTGGACGCGCGACCGACTCGACTATTACGTCGGCAATGTCCTGCAGATGAGCTATACGAAGCGCAAGAACGGGACGATCCCGTCCACCCCGTCGGCGCTGCGGTTCGAGCATTTCTCCCTGGGCAACGAATACACCACGCAGGGCCCGCCGACGCATCGCTCCCAGGCCAGTCTGAGCTGGACGAGGCTGTTCTTCAACTCCTCCACCGCCACGACAGACGCTCTCGCCGGATGTTCCCTGGCCGATGCCTGTGCCATGGACGATCTGCAGCTGCGAGGCAGTTCGTCGTATACCGCTGCCTCGCTGGACAAGTGGAAACAAGACCATGCCCCGTGGAAGATGCGCTGGATCCCCATGATCATCGTCATCATCTTCCTGGCGCTGTTTGTCCTGCTCACGGTCAAGACGGTGATCCGCCGCTTCTCCGCGCCGGAGACTGTCAAGACTGAGGATCCGGCTTCGAATGAGATCAGCTCCAGCAGTTCCATCCAGAGTCTGCCGGAATACTCGTCCAGAGTGAACACGCCGGCGCCGCAGTATCAGTCGCCCGCCATGTCGCGACAAGCCAGCTTCATCCGCAAGGGATCCGACATTCCTCCTGTTCCCGACATCACCATTGCGGGGATTGCAGAAAAGACTGAACCGACGACAGAAAGAGAGATGACCGAGAAAAAGACAACAGAGACGGTAAAAGAGATGGCAGAGACAAAGACGGTAAAAGAGATGGCAGAGACAAAGACGGTAAAAGCGCTTCAACCTCAGCAACGGATCGACTATCTCGCCGGCTTCATCTCGCTCAGCGCCCTGCTCGTCACGCAGAACCACTTCTGCCTCACCTTCTACCCCGGCGCCATCGAGACCACCAGCACACACTACCGCAGCGAGTACTGGGCGCGCATGACGATCGCCACCTTCTTCCTGGATCCTCTCTGGATCGGCCCCTTTTTGATGATCTCGACGCGCTTCCTGGTCTCGAATTACTTGCGAACCGGCAATCTGGCCAACATGGCGCAAAAGGTGGTGATCCGCCCCTTTCGCCTGCTCGTGCCCGTCGCCTCGATCTTCCTGCTGGAATACTTCCTCATGGACTCGGGCGCCATCACCTGGCTGCAGGATCTGCCCAGCATCACCTGGTCCGGCTGGCCGTACACGACCGTGGTGGCGAACCCGGGCATCTTCATCGACGAGGTGCTCCAGCTGGCGTATCTGATCCCTAATGCCGCCCCGCGCATCACATACAACTACTGCACGGGTGTGCTGTGGACAATCCCCGTCCAGCTGCAGGGAGCCTGGCAGACCTTGCTGGCCCTGATCATGATCCGCGAGTGCAAGACGCCCTGGAAGCGGTTCGCCATGTATGCCTTCTGCATTGCCAACCACTGGTACGCGCTCTCCTGGGGCAGTTATTACTATTCCGGGCTCTTGCTGGCCGATCTGGACATGACCTTCAAGTATAAGAAGTGGTTGTATGCCAACAAACTCGCCTACTATCCCATTCTCAACGCCTTGATCCTGCTCGCCCTCGCCGGGTTTGGGTGTGATCTCGCCTCCCAGTGGACAGGCCACCAGTTCGCCACGCTCGAGAACAGCTGGCATCCGGATGTGCCCACGGGGCTGAGCATGTCGCAGGCCGGCACAAGCACGTATCCCGATTACTATATCCCGCGGCTGAATGCGCTGGTGTCCACCGTCGCGATGCAGGCGATTGTCGAGCTCAGCCCGGCGGTGCAGAAGATCCTCTCGGCCAAAGTCCTGCAGCGGCTGTTCCCGCACATCTTCACCATCTATCTCATCCACGGCTTCATCTTCTGGTCCGTCGGCTCCTGGGCCATGGTCGGCTTATGGGGGTACGGCCTGCCCTACTGGCTGTGTGTCCTGTTGGTCTGCTGCATCTGTTATGCCGCTCTCTTTGCCTGTCTGCCCTTGCTCACGCCCCCGATCGAGATGCTCGGCAAGAGGAGCACTTTGCGCCTGTGGGAGCATGCCAGCTCCGAGCCCGTCAGGCGCAGGCCGACCTTGTTTCCTTTTACCGAGCAGATTTTTACGACTTGACATGGATAGAAGATAGATAGTTTGATGGTTTTATTATATCTAATTCACTGCTTATAGACATAGTTACATAGAGAAGCAGTATAAGGAATAGATTGATAGTACATACTAAAGACACAGCTTGACAGGTTAGTGAGATGTTTATCATAATCCTCTATCAATAGATATCTCCTAAAAGTTGGTCTTACTGTTTAGAATTCAATCTGGCTTCAAGAGCCACGGCTATACAGTATTTATCCTTAAACCCTAACCCTAAACCTAACCCTAAACCCTAACCCTAACCCTACCTGACTCGAGGAGATGTGCTATACTCTTGATATCTATTCACATAGGTAGTAATAGTATAATTCTATTGTTCTAGACTTTTTAGTATCTGACACAATCTATATAAAATTATTATTAGACATTCACCTATATCAAGGTGTACCATAAACAAGTTCTCTATTCAAATAAAACCTACAGAGTAGATTAACCAAGTATAGTCTATGAACAGGTAGAAAGAATTTGATGCTATCTTACCTCACAAGAGAATCAGCTTGATATGATCAATATAGTTTACACTTAACTCTTAGAAATAATCTAGAATAGGCTACAAGCACCTGATTACTAAGCAGGTGCTAAGCAAGCTATTACTTTGCACATCTTCACTTTCATCAACTACTCAACTTATATAATTGTTCACTTCACTTACATCAACTACTGCTCTTATATACATGTTCACAATGCAAAAACCTTCTGGAATTGACTGGGATAAAGGCGACAAGAGCGGGCTTGTCTCCATTGGCGCCCACAAGCTCTATCTATCTGCTTCAGGGCCCGATCGCCAGCCTGGACAGCCTATTGTGCTTCTCATGCAGGGCCTCGGCAGCACGATCGACGAGTGGGTTGCCGTGCGAGAGCTCGTGCGTCCCTTTGCCCGATGGCTGAACTACGATCGTTCAGGGATGGGGAGGAGTGAAGGCCCAGAGCAGACGCCGGCAAGCATCTCCGCCGCCTCAGTTGCAGCAGAGCTCGACCTTCTCCTGACGAACGCCGGCATCGAACCGCCGTTCATCGTTGTCGCTCACTCGTGGGGAGGCTACACTTCTCGCGAGTTTCTCCAACTCAGACCAACCGATATCGCTGGCATGGTCTTTGTGGATTGCAATACCGAGTTTTTGTTTGACAATGGGGCGTGGAGTTGGGACGTTTTCTATCCAGTCCTCGGGGGACAGGACTTTGTTGAAACCACCGGTCTTGCCACGTCCCATGTTCTATCCGAGGAGGACTGGAAAGCCGTCAAAGATGAACAGGCTGATCCCCGACATCAGGCCACCGAGGCTGCTGAGATGCAAGCAGCGTCAAACGATGGACGAGCATTAGGTTCCAAGAAGCAACTGGAGAGACAGCCTCTCGGGGATTACCCAGTCAGTGTCATCACTGCAGATACGCCTGGGGATTTCCAGAAAATGTACGACTTTGGAGTGGCCGCAGGCAACGGCACAGAAGATGAAAGAGCTCTGTTTCGAAGATGCCTTGGGAGATGGCGCGAGATGAATGAGCACTGGCAAAGAGAACTCCTGAAGCTTTCTCGTCGCAACAGATCAGTTCGTCTATCTTGCAGCCACAACGTCCAGCTGGTCCAGCCACAGAGCATCGTTCAAGAGATACGCTGGGCCATGGATAGCATAGGTTCTGAAGGTATTTAAGAACAGCTGGATCTATATCTTGTATATAATGATTTATTCATTGTTTAGAAGACAAACAGTCAAAGTATTATACTCTACTGAGAGTGCTCTGCAGCTAGAATATAAATAGAATTAAGTAGATACCTATAGGTAGTATATTAGTATAAATATATAGATATAGTTCTTGACTAGTAGTGGGGTGTAATATTCTATATTATAAGATATAGATTTTATATCTAAAGTAGATATCACTATTATAACTACTCTATACTTAGCATTCACACTACTATCATTGATATTTTCACTAGATAGAATTATATCTTAGTGACATCAAGAGTCATATGGTTGTCGTATGTCATTGCAGAGCAACGCATACAGCCCTCAGCTCGCAACTCCACTCACAGAGGATAAGGAATTGGAGGAATCAATATATATAATTAGATAGTTTAATCATGAGACATTCTATCTTCAAGGGACTAATTATATACTATAGCTAGTTAGCATCAGTATTTAAATCAGGTCTATAAGAATTGTAGGCTTTGCTCTGCAAATAATCCGGTAGTATGCTGTAACTAGAGTATCCCTGTTTATCTAGACTTTGAGCGTACTTTTGTAAAGCTCCAGACTGATAAGGTGTGTCGTTCACACAATCCTGATAAGCTACACGCAGTCGCCGAGCAGGGATTCCCAGGAGACATATGTATAGATATCCTGCAGGGGAATAATACTCCATCTGCTTATGGGTAGGTGGGGCATAGGAAATGAGTAACTACTAGATACTCTTTAGATAGTACCAAGTCTAACCCTGGTATACTATTAAGAGATAGGAAAAAATTGCTCTTCAGGGAGATACTTTCCGTCAGATCAGCACTTGTAGTAGTAGAGTAGTCTATGTCTACTCCTCCGTATGTCTACTCCGTATGTCTACTCCGTATGTCTACTCCGTATGTCTACTCCGTATGTCTACTCCGTATGTCTACTCCGTATGTCTACTCTGTACTCCGTAGACGGAATCCCCTGTGGATCCGTCCGGAATGCCCCGATGGAGAAGTAACGGATGGAGTCTGGAGTAATCTGGAGAAGATGGAGAGAGGTATGAATCGGAACTGCTCAACCAATGAAGACAAGTACAGACCACAAACCCAATCGATCATCAACGACCCTGAACTGTCCCAGGTGCTTCCTAATAATTCCCAGCAATCCTTCCTCTGCTCCTGCTGCTCCTGCCATCCGTCGCTTATCAATTGACATCATCATGCATGGTCGAGCACGCGACAAGACGCCCCGCTAGACGGTGATAGGCTTAGTCCCCCCCACCCGGTCAGACCATTGACCATGGCTGGGTGGAGACCCGGCCAATCAGAGGGATGTGATATCCACCCTCCCAGAACGTGTCCAATCAGTGTCCTGCTCTCTCCCCATTGGCCCTCCAAGTTTTCCATCGGCTAACCGAGTTCGAAAGGAGGGAGAGTTTGAGAATTTTCTATTAAATAACCTCTCTTCTCCTCTCACTTCTCCTTTCTTTCTTCACCTCCAGTTCTGTCCGTTCCGTTTCTGAGTTTAGTTAGGGTCATGGAGATCAACGAAGTCCGCCATCGCGGTGATCCCCGCCACATGTCCGAGGACACAGTGCCCGCCCGCCGAGCCAGCGTGTCAACCATGCGCCACGACGACTCGGAACTGGCGCACAAGTTCGGGTACAACCCGGTGTTCAAGCGCGAGTTTGGCTTCCTGGCGACCTTTTCGTTTGCCGTCAGTATCAGCGGCCTCTTCTCCACCGTCATGACCACCCTGTCGTACCCGCTCATGGCGGGGGGGGCGTCTGCCGTGGTCTGGTGTTGGCTCATCTCGGGGCTGGGGTGCATGTGCATTGCCGTACGTTGATCTCATTGATTCTTCTATTTTTTTCTACTTGTTAATTGTCAATTCTAATCTAGTGCTCCGTTGCTGAACTGGTGTCTGCGTATCCCACCTCTGGCGGTCTCTACTTTACCATTTCGCGTCTGGCGCCGCCTCGCTGGGTTCCGTCCATCAGCTGGTATTCTTTTGAACACAAGACTCTTTCAATAAATGCACTGTTAACCTGTTGATAGGATCACCGGCTGGTTGAACCTGCTCGGCCAGGTGGCAGGCATCGCCTCGTCGGAATACGGCGCCGCGGCGATGCTGCTGGCGGCGGTGTCGATGAGCCGCGACTTTGACTACGAGATCACGACGGACCGCACGATCTGGGTGATGGCGCTGCTGACGGTGTCGACGGGGGTGGTGAACTCGCTGTCGACGTACTGGATGGAGAAGATGACCAAGACGTACGTGATCTTCCATGTGTGCGTGCTGGTGTCGTGCTGCATCGCCCTGCTGGCCCTCACCAAGGACAAACACTCGGCCAGCTACGTGTTTGGCCACACGGAGAGCGTCAGCGGCTGGCAGCCCATCGGCTTCTCCTGGCTGTTTGGCTTCCTGTCCGTCAGCTGGACCATGACCGACTACGACGCCACGGCGCACATCACCGAGGAGATCAGCGAGCCCGAGCGCAAGGCCCCCTGGGCCATCTCGACCGCCATGCTGTTCACCTACCTGGCCGGCTTTCTGTATAACATCGTCCTGGTCTTCTGCATGGGCGACCCGGCCGCCATCCTGGCCTCGCCCATCGAACAGCCCGTCGCGCAGATCTTCTACAACAACCTCGGCAAGGGCGGCGGCATCTTCTTCACCGTCGCCGGCCTCATCATCATCAAGTTCGTCACCTTCACCGCCATGCAGGCCCTGGGCAGGACCGTCTTTGCCTTTTCGCGCGACCGCATGCTGCCCTTCCCCAAGCTGTGGACCAAGATCGACTCCCGCACCGGCACCCCCCTGTACGCCGTCTGGATCTCCGTCTTCTTCTGCATCGCCATCAACCTGATCGGACTGGGCTCCTACGCCGCCATCTCGGGCGTCTTCAACGTCTGCGCCATCGCCCTCGACTGGAGCTACTGCATCCCCATCCTCTGCAAGCTGCTCTTCGGCCGCTTCGAGCCCGGGCCCTGGCATATGGGCGTCTTCAGTTCCTTTGTCAACACCTGGGCCTGTCTCTGGACCCTGTTCGTCAGCATCATCTTCATCCTCCCGACTGAGATGCCAGTCACCGCCAGCAGCGTGAGTCTCTCCCTCTTATCTATCTGTCTATTTCTGTGCTAAGTGTTAGATGAACTATGCCTGTGTCTTCCTGGTGGCGGTGTTTGTCTTTGCCGCCATCTACTGGTACATCCATGGCCGCCACTCGTACTCGGGGCCCGTCACTGAAGCCATTTCCGATACAACATCCGATTCGGGCGTCATCCCAGAAAAGGACGGCAAAGAGGATAGCCTGGCTTAGCTGCCATCTGGTCTTTCTGACTCTACAGCTCTCGATCCATTCAACGATAACCCTAAACCCTACCCTAACAACCAACCATTCAACCATTCATCAATTCAACCATTCAACTGCCTGACGTGCTACGAGACTCGCCACGACGAATCCCCACGCGATCATCCCATATACCCTCACCGTCTACTTTCAACAGTCAATACCCATTCTACACATCACCAACACCCTACGCGATATGCCCAGTTTGACCTCATGCACCTTGCCATGCGACTGCCCGAGCGTAACTGTTTCTTAGTGTACCTATACTATACCATTATAGACTATGAATCATACTAAACTCATGGATTCTTATCCAGTAGTTATTTGGCTCTATGCCATAGTTATGCTTATAATCTAATAGTAAAGGTTAGTCAATAGATAAGTATAACTAAGTATATAGTTAATCAATTTACTATCAGATATATTCTAAATGACTAAGATCTAGTCCTGATTAGGAAAATGGTGTAATCAGATAGCAGCTTCTCTGTTATAATATAATCATTATAATACATTACTAATAATTCAGTTCCCCAAGAACCTCCCCCCCACCCGCCGCGTGCCAATGACCCGCGATCGACTCCCCATCACCCCCGAACCAGGCCTCACCATCCGCGAGTTCGACATCCCCGCCCGCGACAGCCACCCGATCCGCATCCGCTCCTACGCCGCATCCCCAGCGGCAGCCGAGAAGCTCCCGCTGCTGATCTACCTGCATGCTGAGGAGATGGGAGCAGATCTGTCCAAAGGGTTCGTGCTGGGAGGAACATCAGCAGGGGGCAACTTTACGTTTGGCATCGCCCATCTCGCCGCACAGGAAGGCCTGTCTCCGCCCCTGACGGGCTTGCTCTTCCTGGCCTCCAGCTTCTGTCATCCCGACGTACGCCCGGAGCAATACAAGGATCGCATCCGTAGCGTGGACGAGGTCACCGATGCGCCGGGCTTGACGAGGAAATCCATCGATTATTTCGCTAGTAGGTCTTCTTTCTACTTTTTATGATCAATGCTAACAGGAAACGAACGTAGAAATCTATGGAGCCCCCTTTGACGATAAACGCCTCTCCCCATTACTCTACCCCTCGCACGCAGGCCTGGCGCAGAAAGCAGCCTTTTACGTGTGTGGCTGGGATCCCCGCCGTGACGAGGCCCTCCTGCTGGACCAGATCTTGCAGGAGGAGGGGGTAGACACGAAGCTGTTTGTCTATCCGGGTCTGCCGCATGGGTTCTGGACCACCTGTCCGGATCTGGACGTGTCCAAGGCCTGGCAGAGGGATTTATTGGAGGGGGTGGGGTTTCTACTTAGTACTCTAGATGGCAATCAGTATTGAATATACATTAGTTAGGGTTGGGTAGGGTAGGGTTTAGGGTTTAGGGTTTACTCTTTTTAGTAAACCCTAAACCCTAAACCCTAAACCAAACCCAGCTTATTCTAGGCTACTTAATGCTATGCAGTGTACCTACACCTCTATATCCATTACACTTCATATAATCTATTATGCTATTAAGCATACTAGCAAGCCTATTGGCTGAGAACTATTTACCCCGCACAGTCTAGCCCTATTTGACAACATACGATGAGGATTCCCGATATATCCCCGAACTCAGTCCACTATTTAACTCATTCTACCGTCTTTTTCTTTTGTTTTTGTCCAGTTCTTCTGCAGCGATGCTTCTGTTTGCACTCATCACTGGGGCTGTTGCCCTCCCCACCTCTTCCATCCTAGGGCACACCCTGAACGGAACATGTAAGATATACTATTAGTTATATATACTGATTATATGCTGTTATATATACTGATTATCTAATATAGACAGCGGCTTTTCCACCCCCCAACTGTCCGGAGAAACCTTCCTGGGAATCCCCTACGCACACGCCCGCCGTCTGCAGACAGCCGACAGTTTGAACACGACATGGACCGGAACCAAGGCCGCGACAGAATACGGCCTCACCTGTCCCGGCTGGGGCGACCAGAATGACTACGGCTGGACGATCGGCGAGGACTGTCTGAACATGGACATCATCCGGCCCTCTGGCACGAAGCAGGGCGACAAGCTGCCCGTCATGTTCTGGATCTATGGCGGGGGGTTCTACCAGGGGGCGATCCGGGACCCGATGATGAACGGCAGCTACATGGTGCAGACCTCGGTGGAAATCGATCTGCCGGTGATTGTGGTGTCGGTGAACTCGCGGCTGTCAGGGTATGGATACCTAAACAGCGAGCAGATGGTTGGTGAGGGGATTGCCAATCTGGGGTTACGTGATATGTGGAAGGCGCTGGAATGGATTCACGGTACGTAACCCTAGGGTTAGGGTTAGGGTTAGGGTTAGGGTTTTATATATCTAGGGTTATACTGACTTTTTAGAAAACATTGAAGGCTTCGGCGGAGATCCCTCCCGGGTGACCATCTGGGGAGAGTCTTCTGGAGGTCTCAGCGTGGAATTGCTGTCGCAGGCATACAACGGCGATAATTCCGGCCTGTTCCACGCCGGGATCATCTCCAGCATCACGGCGTATTCGCCCTTTATGGGCACCATGACGCAGCAGCAGGCCTATTTTGACAGCGTGATCGAGTATACGGGCTGCAACGCCTCGATGGAGATCATCGAGTGCCTGCGCGACCTGCCGCTTGAGACGTACAATGCGAGTCTGTACGCCGCCAACTCTGGCGGCGATTTCCGCCCCGTCATCGACGGCGATTTCCTCAAGCTGTCGCCCTCGGTCCAGTTCAACAGGCACCAGATGGCCCCTGTGGCGCTCATCGTGGGCGCCAACTCGGACGAGGGCATGACCACCTTCTCGACCGATGCCAACAACTCGGCAGAGCTGTCGACCCTGGTGCAGTCCAAGATGGGCCTCAACAGCAGCGCAGCCGACCAGCTGGTCGATCTCTACGCTGGCCTGGCCTCCCTGCCGCCGTATTCGCAACCTCTAGATATCGACTGGGTGGGTGCGGCCAGAGCTGCTGGCTTTTCTGCTGGAAACTTCAGCCGTGTGGGTTATGCCATTGGGGGAGATTGGAGTGTAAGATTCATCATCACCTTCTCTTCTTATAACTGTCACGATATATTGATTTTTATAACTCTGATAGGCAATCTCTGGGAGGAGAAAAACCGCCCAAAGATGGCACCAAGGCTCCGGACAAGCCGTGTACAGCTACCGCTTCGACACCGATCCCTGGCGGTTCCCCATCCACAACGAGTCATCCGGACTGGGTCTCGGGTTTGCAGAGCACGGCAGCGATCTGTGCTTCGAGTTCCGTATCCCCTATGTGCCGTACACGCCCTACCTGCCTGTCCAGAATGTGACCTCGATGCACCGGGTCAGCTATGCGTTGCAGGCGACATGGATCAGTTTCGCCTCCACCAAAGATCCCAACCACCATGGACTCGACTGGGTGCCGCACTGGCCAGAGTATACCGAGTCCCAGAAGAACTTTGTCTACAATGCCACCCTGGACGATACCCTCAACCTGCATGTTGAGGAGGACACCTTCCGGGAGGAGCAGATCCAGTGGTGGATGGACCGCTGGGACTGGCTTTTGACGCAGGGCAAGGGGTTCTAACTAACCCAACCCTACCCCTATGTGTTATCATAATGTCTATAACAGTATAGTGATCTAATGCTTCATGTAAGCAACATCATTGTATGTAACCATAACCCTAGGGTTAGTATTGGATGTAACCCTAGGGTTACACACTATAACCCAACCCTAGGGTTGCACACAGAATCTATTCTAACCTAACCCTAAACCATGCGTTATTTCATATGCTTACCTGATTAATAGTGATTGTCATAACATGCCCGCCTAGTAGTGTCGCTATTTCCATTCCCTCATTCTTACTCTGTTCTCATAATCTACCAATGCAGTCTCTTCCCCCAGAAATCCGTGATCTGATCATCGAATATGCCCTGTGTCACAACCCTCCCACCCCCACATCGCCCTCGTGGATGGCAGAGTATCTCACCAGGCAGATCGAGGCGCTGCTGGATATGGGACAGTACCATGCATGGTATGGGAAGATCCTGTACGAGCGGATTGGACATATCAAAGTGCTGGTCGAGGGGAAACTGTATAAAGAGAACAATCTGGGGGAGAGACTGCGGACCTCGACTTTAGCAAGTCGCAGGACTTATCAGGGGGGTTGAGGACTGTTTTTTATGGAGGATGGCAGAGGAGGACACTCTGATGAATGAATAATTACTATCAGTATTCCTATCTTACTATCTGTCCTATCAGTATCTACTCCATATATAATCTCCCATGGCCAAGTCTGCAAGTGCGGGGTAGTGGGGTAACAATAACAACAACAAGAGAATGATGATACAATAAGAAAAAACACACCAGATACAAAAGACAACACTATGAATGGAATGTCCCTCTTCAAAGCAGGAATCGAATTCAACGACTCCTTCTGGGATGAATCTGCCGGATACCTGATCGCCGCCTCCAAAGAACCAGGCCGCCACGACACCCGCCATTCGGCATGGTACGCCACGCAGCTGCTGGCTCGCAACGAGGCCGGAGACGTCGCCCGCGCACTGCGGATCTTTGATCATCTCACGGAGAGCCAGTACGAGAAGGCTGCTTGTCAATGGTACGGCGATTATCAGTCTTCCCCTGCGCAGCCTGAGCCGGGGAGACCGGAGTATCCTGACACAACGCCATATACTACTGTAAGACTGATCAACATTGTTCTCTTGAATATGAACTCCCAACATAACTCATATGTATACAGTGGGACCCGAATGTCTCTGCCTTTGTGGGATGTGCCCTGATCATCGCATTGAACGACTACTCCTCCCTCTTACCCGCCACGACAATCGCGAAAATAGAGGCCTCCCTCCTCCTCGCCGCCCAGGCAGATCTCTCTCGTGTCGGCGGAGTGGACGGCGATAACCTCTACCCCTGCTACTCCAACCCGTGGTTGATGCGAACCATCCTCCACGCCTGGGTGGGCCATCGCCTCGACAACCCCCGGCTGAAACAGGCCGGCGACGACTTCGCGGACGAGGTGTACGCCCTGTGGAGCCAGCATCGCACCCTCTCAGAGTTCAACTCCCCAACATACACGGGCGTGAGCATGTGGGCGTTGGCCCTGTGGAATCAGTATGCCCCGGCCAACACCAACCCGCGACTGTACGGACCGGAGATGCTGCGTGAGACCTGGCGCCAGCTCGGACAGTTCTACAACGCCAACCTGCAGAATCTGGCGGGCCCCTGGGATCGAGGGTACGGCTTCAACATGACCGAATATGTCTCTCTTGTCGGCGCTGTCATCTGGGGGGTCGTCGGTCGTCGTGACTTGGCCCCCGTGCCCAAGCAGTCGGGTGGCATGTACCACCAGGGAGATTTTGCGTTTTACGGCCTGTTCGCCCTCGCCATGCCGGAGATGCTCAAGCATCTCCCGGACGAGGTGCGGCAGTCGTTGACCGTCTTCCAAGGTGAACATAGTGTCACTGCCCATGCGTTCTCACCTCCCTATGATTCCTCGCCGCGCGAGATCACCGCCTGGATAGGCGAGCAGATTACCATCGGGGCGCAGACAATCGCAGAGAAGGAGGTCGGCGGACCGGCCAAGAACCCAAGCCAGTTCAACCCGGCGGTCATCCAGTGGGCTATGGGCGACAGCCAGTTGGGCTGTCTCAGTCTGTATCCCACCGAGGCGGCCATCACAGCCATTGCCGCACGGAACAGCCTCAAGATCTCGTATCCCAACGCTTCTTCTGGCGCGGTTTTCACTTTTCTCTTCAGCGGGCTTAATCTGCGCAAGGGACATATCGTCACCGGTCTTGACACGCTGCCGGGGCTCAAGGTCAAGGTCACCACGAATGCAAAGGATTGTTCCGTCGTTTACGATACAAACAGGAGGGTCAACGAGTTCATCGTGTACAGGATCACATATGCCGTCGAGGCGGCGGATCCATTCATTCATCTAGACATCCAGTGATTCACTCTTGATTAGCAGTAATGATATAAGGCTTGAATGACCGTCCCGCATAGAGATAATACGCAACACTAAGCAGAATAGTTCCCCCTGTCGGCACAATAGTCCAGTTCATCGACTGCGCGTCGGGATGGACAGTCCCTGGCCAGAGACTGAAGAACAGGCTGACCGTGAGGTAAATCACAGAGACTGTGTTGTTCAAGATTCCCCAGACGCCAGGAAGGAAGAAGGGCCCGTACTCAAGATTGCCATGTAGTCGACGGACTAGAAACAGAGACGTGGCCAGCAGGTACGAGGCAAACAGGGCGCTGACCGTCAACGAGACGATGGCGTTGAGCACCGCAGCCGAGCCCAGACCGATGAAGGAGAGCAGGATGGCCGATACGGATATCGCAAGAATGGAAATGAGTGGAATGGACCGTGAATCGAGCTGAATGATTAATTCGGATTAATGAATACTATAAGAAGAAAAAAGGGAAGCTCACTCTGGTGATGTATGCAGGTACACCCCCATCTCTTGCAAAGGACCACAACATCCGCGACGCTGACGCCAGGTTCCCCGACGAGGTGGCCACGCCGGAGATTGGAATCACACACGCCATGGCGAGGCTGGCCCAGACGCTTCCTGTGGCGTCTAGAAAGATCTGCAGGTAGGGATACCCGGTTGCAGAGTTGAGGACTGTATTCACGTCTTGTACGTGAAAGAGCGAGACAAGAAGGATCCCAAAGCCAAGAAGGCCATTGAGAACGACACTCGTCATCAGTGAGTAAGGAACCACGGTCGTTGCATGCTTTATCTCTTCCGTCATCTATCAGGTTAGTACATATTGGTAGATGCTAACCGATGGGTGAAATACATGGATAGCGGCGTCACAGCCCGTGAAGGAAAAGGTATTGCCCAACAGCCCAACTAGAAAAGACAAGCCCATACTTGGCCATCCCCCGCCATTATGAAAGCTGGTAAACACCTGGTTGGCATCGACTTTGTCTCCCAGTACAGCGAGAGGGATCAAAACGATGAAGAAGCCGAGAATATGCAGAATCAGAACCAGGCTTTCGAATCGTGGTAATAGTCTGCGGCCGCCAATGTTGACACCCGTTGCGAGCGCGACGTACGCCCAGTAGATCAGCATAATCTGGTACGGCTGTGGATGAAAGTCTGGATGGGTGATTGTGACGAAGCCAAGGATCTGCGAGCCAGCGAGGTATGCCCCTGATGCGAAGCCTCCGAGCCATCCCAGGATGACCAGGGTGCCTTTAACATTAGTAAAACTGAGCACCCAACACAATGGAAGGCCATACCTGTCATGAAACTCAAGAATTTATGACACCATCGCGGCGCCAGGATAGAGACCCAATGGTACTGTCCGCCAGAGGTTGGATACATCGAGACCAGCTCGGATAATGTCGCCATCGTGCTCAAAGTGCCCGCCCAGGCGAGGAGGAAGCCGTACACGGCTCCAGCGTGGCCGCCACTAAGCAGTCAGAGGGGAGCAGAGAAAGAGGAGGGAAGACATACTTGTTCAACGGAAGGGTGAATGTTCTGCGGCCGTCTTATTAGCATTAAGTACGTAAATGATAGTTCAAATAGAAACATACGATAAAATACCCTCCCAAGTAGCCAGAACAGTGCAACTGAAGCCGAGGATGGAGAAGAAGCCGAATCGTCTCTGGAAAGTGAGAACTGGAATGATAAGCAAACGGAGAGAAATACCTTCAACACTGGCCCCTTTTCCGGACGCACCAACTCATCGTCGACAAGATGAATGGTGTCTGCCTTCATTTTCAACAGATATGCATAGACTGAAAAGGCGAAGAAGTTGTGGGATGGACAAATATGACCCCAAGCAAGGGGGGTTACACAACGAAGTGTTATACATGGAAAACAATCATACTTAAATCTGGTCAGTCAGGCCCCCCATTGTGTCTTGGCTAGGGATTTACCTTTTCTTCTAACTTTGACGATCATTGAGAGGGTAAAGGGATACTTCAGATTGAAACTAATGGGAGGAGACCACTATCAACCATTGTCGACTCCATTTTGGCAGCATCTGAGGGAAGAGCTGCGAAAGGGCAAAAGCTCAAGTCTCCAACTAGCCGACGAATACTACCTGCTGAAAGGAAAGCTTTCGATGGATACTCTGGGCAGTTTTCTCCATACAATTCCAGCAGATGGCCTCTGGTAGAACAAGCACATGATACCCGCGCATGATGCACAAGACAGTGGCGGCCAACCGAGCCTGCCAGTTCCCTCGTGCACGTACAATCGAAGTGCTCTCCTCACTGCACAACAGTTCAGCGTATGTGTCGATGGAGGTGCAGGGGTTCTGCGGCTTGCCGACCACCCCGGGAGTGCTGGAGTGGCTACAGGGCAGGAGTGGGTACAACCTCAGGCTACTAAAGGCCTTCACGACGTCGAGATCGGCGACCCACTGGCCCGAGTCATAGACGGAGACCAGCATTTCCAGGAAGTACGCTTCAACGTCTCGACCACCGGAGAAGCCGACATCGATCGGAAAGGTGGCCTCGGTGAAACGAAGCTGAAGTGAGGTTGCCGCAAAGTTATCCTCGAGGCGCCCATCGAACTGCGCATTATCAAGGTGCTGCCACTCGTCAAGTGCATCGTACTTCTTGGTCATCGGTTCCACAGGAGGGACGAGAAATGCTAATCCTGGGCGGCCAATATTGCCAGTGAGTCGCCGGATTCGAAAGCCATTGTCTTGCGCAGCCGGATCGGACAGTAGGCAATCCACCACGTACACCGAGTCAGCAGCCGACAAAGCCATCACACTCTTCAGTTGTGCGGGATCCAAATCATATCGGCCAGTCTCCATCATCACAATACAAGCAAAGCTCAACGCATGGTTCATTGGCAGGGGTCCCTTGCGGGAAAGAGGTTTCGCCCAGTTATTGGCTCTCCTGAGCCAGCTTAGGACAGAGTTCAACCATCGGGTTTGACTCAAGTCACATTTGAGAACTTGCACATCAAGTGTGGCGCCATTGAGCCCGCTGTAGATGTCCGCGATCGTCGACAGCGCCTGGAGGTTCCTGTATTCGCTCTGGTCAGACAGATCCGGTAAGAGCTCATGGCAAAGAATCTGAGCGCATCGCTTGAGAGAGACCCTGTTGGCAGTGAAAAGATCTCTCTTCATCTTGGTCGTGAGATGGAATAAAGAGTCAAATGATGGGGGCTCGCCGTGGACTCCGTCCTTGGAAGGAGTCGACAGATCGTTGTCTTGCACCTCACAATTCCTGCCAACATTCTCGCTGTTGAAGGCAGAGTCAAAGAAATCTTTTTTCACCAAACGAAAGAGCTGACACTGATCTGGATGACCCAGGACTGCCATGTACTTTGCACAGGTCGGGGCTCTTTTCATCCGAGTCGTGGCCACCTCGATGAAGACCAGCCCGTCTTTCACGACAAGGTCTTCCAGTGGGTAGACAGTCTCCCCCATCAATTGAATCTGCCGTTTACGCTCATCCAATTCCTTCTTTGCTGCTTGTAATAGATTCTTCTTCTTTTCACGTTCTTTGGATTCCTTCTCTGCGGAAAACAACGAATCTTCTATGCACTCGTCGATGGTCTCATTATGACCTGCACACAGTCCATTGAGAGGGCTTGGACAGCCCCAAAGTCCCGTGTTATCGAAGTCAATCTCCGAATCAGAATCAGAGTCATCTTGTGCAATAGAGGTGGTGATGTGGTGTACTATCCATCGACAGTGCTCATCTTTCGCGTCTCCGTCATAGGTTCGTTTGTTTCGATACTGCGGGACCGCAGTCGCATATTCGTATGCTACCTTGCTTTTGGTTTGAGACGTTTTCGGATAACGAATAATGTATTCTTCCTCCAGATCAGAATTGAGTGACCCAACCATATCTCGCAACACCAGTATAATGTCTTCTATATCGATAGCTGCCCTGATAAATGTCGACAGGGAAAACAGATTCATGAAAGGTTCAGTGTCTCTAAGTATAGAACAGTGATTGCGGCCGAGGTTCCACAGCTTCTGCATCAAGCTCTTGTCTTCACCGGTGATGGCGTTAAGGTATGGCTTGCAGCCCTTAGCTAGCAGCGCCAACCAGGACTGCTGCTTGTTGTACAGCAATGATTCATCCATCTGTATGTGGAGCTGGCCAGCCATATTGGCAAAGAAATGGACAAGCTCCTCCCTGGACAGACTGCTGTCGTCCCACGCATGAAGATAAGCAGCTATAGCTGCAAAGACCAGTTGGTCGACTGTAATGCGCGTGCGTTCAGCACTATTGATGGACCGTGTACGTGCTACTGGCAGGCCGTAGTATCGCAAATGATGCAAAGGCAACGACCAATAGACGCCGCGATGTTCGGGGTCTTCTCGCGTGATGCCCAGTGTCAAAATTCCGCGATCATCGAAGAGTAGATCTTTCTGATGAACGGTCTTGGTCTTAGGTCCAAGGACGATCATGTCGGGGTAGAGATGCCACGAGTCAAGACCGAGAATGATTGCCCCATCGCGAGCCTCCTGGGGAACTCCCGCAAGCAAACGCTCCATCTGCTCCAGGGCGGAGCGCCACGCATGCATGATGCTCTCGTATGTTTCCACCTTGGAGTTGACAGGGAGACTCAGGTTGTCCAGGATGAGGCGTAGCTGCGTTTGTTGTACTCGCTTCGCGTTATCTGCCACACGCAGCCAGGCCCGGGCGCTAGCATCCCAGTCCGCCAGGTCTCTGCGCTGGAAGCTTTCTCGAGCAACAAGAGCGAGTGCTGGATCCCCTATCTCAGATGTCTCGGTCGCAATCTCCCGCTTGCGACGTGAGACCAGCTCCACCCAGTGTGAAGTCGCCTCGGGACCATCCCACATGCGTGCTAGCAAGCAAGCCAGCAGATGGCAAGCAATTGCATGGCGACCGGATGTTGCTGCCGCCCACATCGAGGTCGCATCGGCACCTGCGGCGTTGGCGAAAATGCCTTGGGCGGCAGACTCGCGGGGGCAGGTTTTCGAGATCTCGGATGCACGCTTTCCATAAGCTTTGATCAGTTCAGGGGTCGCCGGTATAACGTCCCTAAATAGTGCGCCTAGCTTACGTGCGAGGACATGTGCCGAGCCCATTTCAGCCTCGTGTCGACGTTGCGAGGAGAGTTGCAAGCCCACATCGGTGAACTCCTTCGGCGCGTCGATCTTGATCAGGGTAAAGTCAAAGTTGACGTTGGCCAAAGCAAGTGTCTGCTCGAGCGTATTGCTCATAAAATTTCCAGCAATCTGACCGAGAGACGACATTATGAGTGTTTGTCGACCCGAAGCGATACGGGCGGTTCGCGAGACATCTTTATACGATACGGGCGCTCAGCCTTGCGCTGCGGACACGTCATCTGGCGCTTCACCCTGGTCGGTTATTGTTTGGGTAGAAACGATCAATCAAAAAAGAATATCTGAGGCTGAGGACTGATGGTTGAAGAAGAATGTCGAGAAAAGTGACGCTGTTGCCTGGGGAAGTTTGGATCAATTGAAGCGTCCTTCCAGAAAGGGAGCCACGTGCAGTCAGATGACTTGCATCACATGACGCTGTCTTTCGACTCTCGTTCTTTCGACTCTTCAAGCTGGTTTCTTTCTGTTTTCCCCCTGGATCGCAACAGTCGTCTTTCAAAGGCAGAAAAGGCAGAGACCCTGCAATGGATGACTCTGAAGCATCCAGAAGGAATAAAACAGCCAGAGAGAGACGGCTGGCCGTCGTGAGGAAACAGGTTGAAGAGCATTGCAGGTGAAGAAAAGGTAGAGTTGAGTGTTCCTCACAGTTGGAATGCAGGATTTGATTATTGACAGATGTATTGGATATAGCTGTGTCTCTGCCGGTATAAACTATCCCCTCACAGTTCCTTCTTCTTCCCAAACAGCCATTTATTCGATCGAGGAAACAGTTCCTCATCGACCTCGCATTTCGCCCCCTTCTTGGGAAGAACCCCTCGGTTGAAATACGCCCGGACATGCTTCTCGGTGCAGTTTGACGGTGCCGTATACGAGCAGTGCTGACGAGTTAGTAGCGTTCGCTAGATGGCTGGATTCCAAACTTACTCCTTCCGATTTTTGTTCCAAAACAACGGAGCCCTCGAATAACTGGGACGTTTGATGGGCACTACACCGTCAGCTTCGTCATTTCGTCCTCGACAATAATAATCAGCTACAGACCTTGCGAGCGGAGTCGCCGGATCCAGCGTGTTTCCGATTAGAAGAATAGGCGTTGCCGTTTTCCCTCCAATCGGGCCTGATAATCAGCTAAGAACAACGAGAATCCGAGAAAGCTTCGCTACTTACCATCGAAGGGGAGGACAGGAGGCATATCCCTGTGCAAGCAGGGCAGAAGCACTTCGATACCCGTCATGGTATCGCCGACCCACATGCTGGCTGACATGATGGGCTGGACATGCTGCTGGCGGAATTCTTCTTTGGAAATGCCCGTAAGTCCATGATTTCTGTTTATATCCAGACACATGACTGCTGACGTGACTTCTGAACGATAATCGTCTATCATCCGACAGGTCTCGGTACAGACGGCGTCTGCCCGACATTCCGGCATGAGACACCGAGCTGGGCGAGTCTCTTGAAGCACTGCCGTCTGGAATTCGACCAGACTGCTGCCGTTCCCCTTGTTCAGGTCGGCAAGAATAGTCGCCAGGATCGGGAACATGTCGCGGGGAGCATAGACAGACTGGCTGATCAGTCGTTTGACATCGGCGTACGTCACCGTGGCTGGCCCGTTTGGCCCAGCCACCGGCAGAGGGTCTTGTCTGAGGCGATGGAGAAGATCATGCAGTCGATATCCGAGATACTCTGAGTCACTGTGACCTGGGCTGTCGAACGAACAGCCCGTATCCAGACACTTCTCGAAAAACCGTTTGATGCGATCCAGAAAACCCATACTTTGGCAATACAGACTATCGTTTAATTTCTCCAGGCCAGCTGCAAACTCACAATCCGTTGCCAGACAGTAGTCGAAGAACCGCTCGAAGACCTCGTCCGCGTCGCGGAGGAATTGGGCATTCTCACCTGCGTGCCAGGCCGGGCCATAGACCACTCCGTCGAGAACCATGCGGTCAACTTCATCCGGGAAGTGCGTGGCAAACGCGGATCCGATGATGGTGCCGTACGAAAATCCCCAGTATTGCAGATGAGCATTGTCTTCCGTACCGTGCAATTGACGCGCAATCGCCCGCATATCGTTCGCCACACTCCAGGTATCCATGAAGGACGCGATCCCGGAATCATCCTTTGCACACGCTGCTGACAGTGCCTTGCTCCGCGCCCAGAGATTATCATAAGCCTGTCTGGAGCTGGTCACGATGCCCTCCGTGAGCAACTGCTGGTTCCAGACGTAATCTGTCAAGGAGTCTGGAAAGCATTGCATCCGGGGCAGAGTGTTGCCCACGCCACGGGGATCGAAGGAGACGATATCGAAGAAACGTTGCGAGTCGCCATTCACCGTGTCCACGATCTTCTGGATCCGTTTCCCATCTTGCAGTACTTGCATAACTCCCGAGCCAGCCGGACCGCCTGAACCATCAACACCTGTTTATAAAAAAAAAAAAAAAAAAAAAAAAAAAAAAAGAAGAAGAAAAGAAAAACCTTTGCATACCAGGATTGGTGATGATAGCCCCCCCATACCGCTCATCATTGACATCTACCTGTGCCGCCAGTTTAATGACAGCGACCGTGACTTTGGCATCGCCATCATCTGTCCAGTTCAACGGGACCTGGAGTCGGCCGCATTGGAACTCGTCAAAACAAGGGACGAAGTTCAGGACTGGCGAGGGGGTTATCTAGAGTAATTCCAGTCAGTTGGACAGTCAGTCAGTCTGTGTGGTCAATTTACTGGGCGATGGACGTACGCTGCTCCAGGAGAAGTCTCCCGCCAGGGCAAACAGATCCGACATGGTTGATTTTTGCTCTCGAGGCTATCAAAATGGGAAGACCGATTAGATATATGCAACCACAATTAATTAGCTAGATAACTCTAGGCAGCCATATTATGTCATCATAAATTAGTCTCTACATGACAACAACATAGGAGATAACTAGTCTTCTTAGCTGATGGATGAGTAAATTAATAAAAGAGGGCATGTTTCTAGTCTTGAATCAGTCTTAATATTGACAGCTGAATTATGTCACTATAGATAAATAGATAATGAATAGAATATAATACCTCTCAATTTATCCATGTAAATACAGAGTGTTGGTTTAATGAGAGTAAAATATATATATTTTAGGCCTGAATTACAACTACATCACCTGACCATCACATGATGATTGTTGCGTTGACTGTTGTTGACTCAGTCTCTACACAAACCTCTGATCAAACCAACAACTCGATTTCTTTGATCTCTGGATACTTGTCGCGAATCATCTCGAACTTCTGCGTGAGCACGACCGGACGGAGATTGGCAAAGCCAGCAAAGGAGAAGACAAAGTGTTTGAGGAAGAGGATATCGTGGATACGCTGGACGGTCTCGTCGCCCGGGGCATGCGTGAGATGCAGCACGACGTCGGTGATGGTGTTGGCGATCTCGAACAGCTTCTCTAGCAGCCCCGAGCCATGAATACCGACGAGATCGCGCGGGATAGTCACCAGGAACTGCCGGAGTTGGTTCGACAGCCGCAGCGGGAACGAGAGAGACAACAGCATCGAGGGAGCGGTCGTCGAGGATAACGGGATGTTGGACAGGGCGAGCTGCCAGGTCAGCGTGCGCAGCCAGTGACGCGTGATGATGAGGTCTGCCTGCTGCATGAGCGGCAGCCGCGACACCTCGGCATGCCACTCGTTGTCCTCGAGCTGGCGCTGTTTCTCAGCCACCCAGTCGGCGGTGACGGCGGAGCGATCCCCGAGCCAGAAATCGATGAACTGCGGATCGACAAGCCGGAAGTTCTCGATCGTGTGGTTGAAGCCGCGCTCGACCTCGGCGGGGATGGAGACATCATGATCCGGTAGACAGCGCAGTGGAGGCAGACACGGCGGGCGGCAGTAGGTCAGCGCCGTGAAGCGTTCGTGGATGAAGCATTCCCAGTACGCGCGCTGGCGACGAGCCCGCTCCGTCACCTCCAGCCCTGCCATGCTCTCCTCCTCATGCACATGCAGCATGTAGAGCAGCGAGATTGCCTCGCGCAGGTACAGGAACCCTGTATCCAGTTTGCGCAGGCTGACGAAACACATCTGCATGAACACAGACTGCATCACCGTGACGATACTTGCCGGCGGCGACTCCAGCCCAAAGGGAGACCGATACTCCAGCGCGCGCGTCAGCAGGCTCGCAATCCGTTCCCGCGTCGCGGGCACCCGCTGCATGGGCTCGCTGCAGGTCAGGTTCAGCGTCACGGCGGCAAAGGCATACACGAACGAGGCCGTCTCGCGCTCCGAGTCCATCTTCAGGATCATCGCGTGGATCTCGCTCGCCGTCACCACGGGACTCATCGGGTACACGTATCGCTCGTACTCGGGCAGCAGCTCGAGGAAGAACGCCAGGTTCGGGTGGCTGGTGCTGCTCAGCGTTCGTTCCACCGACGTTCTCGGCGCGAGAACGGCGTTCCCTCGACACGTCGGAGACGCAGTGTGTAAGAGCCCCTTGCATTCGGCAATCACCTTGCCCCGTCCGACTGTCTTCTTCCGTGATCGCTGCGCCGGACTCGCCGCGTACGTGCAGGGGATCCCTGCGTGGGTGCATTGTTGGCAGCGTGGCTGGCCGTTGCAGCGTACCTTGCGCCGTTTACACGGGTCGCATGCTTGAGAAGTGCGATGCATGATCAATGGCTTGACTCCTTGAATAAGGAGTAACAGAGAACAATAGAAGGATTGAATAGGAGGATTGAAGTGGAAGATCGTGCGGGGCCCCACATTTTTATTCAAAATTGCATGTGAATTTTCAATTGGCCAATATCCAAGACAGAGTAATTATCCAGGGAGGTCAGAGTATATTAGAGTGTTCTCATTAAACCTAGAATATAGACAGGGGGTATCGAGTTACTTGGTACGTGGTAGACTGGGTTCCATGGAGTCTGTCAATGTCCAAACTCGTGAGAATATATGCTTCTATTGAATTCTATCTATCAAACGCCGCACAAATAAACCCTCCCCTCGTACGCCTGCAGCTCGTCCAGACTGGTCTCCTGCCCATTCTGGATCAGAACCTTATACTCCGAGCCCAATCGGCCGGCGAGATCGACAGGCTGGGTCTCGGAGGTGAAATTGAGCGCGACGACCAGCTTCTTCCCCCCCTCTGCGCCAAGCTTCTCGAAGACAAAGAGCGATTCGCCCTGTGGATCCGTATCCTGGAACACACCACCCGCGAACAGCTCGGGGTACGTCCGGCGGACCCGCAGCATCTGCCGCCAGAAGGCGAGAACCGAGTGGCCGTCCAGGTTCTGGCGCTTGACGTTGAGCGACCCGTGGTTGTCGTTGACGCGCATCCAGGGTGTCGCTTCCGGGGTGGTGAAGCCCGCATGCGCCGTGCCGTCCCACTGCATCGGGAGACGGGCGTGGTCGCGCGCGAGATGCTGCAGCGCGGCCTTGGCTTTCGCCAGCGCGACGGGATCGTCGTGCGTACTCTGCCGCACAAAGTTGTAGTAATTGTTGCTCTCGACATCCTTGTACTCGCTGATCGGCCATGAGGCGGGCGCGTTGACCATCCCGATCTCCTGTCCCTGGTACAGGTACAGGGTTCCCGACAGACTTGCGACGAACATGGCCAGCATCTTCGCGCTGCGTGCCCACAGCTCGGGCGTCGCCTCACTGCCCCATCGCGACACCGATCGCGCCTGGTCGTGGTTCTCGAGGAAGCTGGTGCTCCAGCCATCCGTGGTCCCGTCCATCAGCCGCTGCGTAGTCTGCGCGCGCGCGCGCAGCTGCGGCAGCGTCCAGTTGCGCGGCACCGTATCGTAGCGCAGATCCTTGCCGGTGCCCAGCTCGACAATCTCAAACTGAAAGACCATGTTCAGCTGCTCCTCCTTGGCGGATACATACTTCAGCACGTCCTCGACCTCTGGGGTATGCGGCAGCTCGCCGACCGTCATGGCGTTGTGCTTGAGCAGGATCTGGCCCATCTCGCGCATATACTCATGGATGCGCGGGCCGTTGCAGAACAGATGCGACGCCGACTGCCATTCCTGGTTCGGGTCGATCACGGGCGCGTCGGGGAAATCCATCGGCTTGCTGTACATGTTGACCGTGTCGATGCGGAAGCCGTCGATCCCCTTGCGCAGCCAGAACTCTATGGCCGACTCGAAGATGGCCGCGCGCGTCTCCGGGTTCTCCCAGTTGAGATCGGGCTGCTGCGGCGCAAACAGATGCAGGTAGTACTCCTGCGTCTCCTCGTCCCATTCCCACACGCTGCCACCGAAGCAGCCGCGCCAGTTATTTGGCGGCCGCCGGGTCCCGTCGGCATCGTATTTGGCCGGGCGCCAGATGTACCAGTCGCGCTTGGGGCTGTCCCGAGAGGAGCGCGACTCCTTGAACCACGCGTGCTCATGCGAGGTGTGGTTGATGACCAGATCCAGCAACACCTTCATCCCACGCGCGTGGCACCCGGCAATCAGGGCCTCCACGTCCGCCACCGTACCGTACGGGGGGTACACCGCCTCGTAGTTGGAAATGTCGTACCCCATGTCGTACTGGGGGCTGTCGTACATGGGGCACAGCCAGATGGCGTCGACGCCCAACGACTCAATGTAGTCCAGCTGGGCAAGGATGCCCGGAATGTCACCAATCCCATCGCTGTTGGAGTCTTTGAAGCTGGCGGGGTAGATCTGGTACACGGTCGCGTTTTTCCACCACATGGTGATGATAGAGTGTAGTTCACTAGCAGACGGGTTGAGAAAAAGATGAAGATATGAACGCCAAGCTGAGAACATGCCCCGTTCTCTCCTTTTTATCTCGTCGTCTACTGCGACCCAAGTACACTCCTTTGGAACCTCCCCCCGGAGTCTATTGGCCCATTGTCGGTCCGACATGAATCAGCGGCCCCCCGGCAAACCCCGCCCAGGAACTCGTCTCTCCAATGTCTCATTGGTGTATTGTCGGTCCGAGACGTGCATAAGATTCGCCCAGCTGATGGTGTGATAGGCTCGGCATGTCTCAAATCTCATCCAGCGTCTCGTCCGCCATTCGCCAGTCACAAAAGAACAATTATGGGGTAACACAACCCAAGATCGGGGGGGGGGGGTGTCACATGGCCCTTGGGTTGCGTGTTTGCGTCTTTGTTCGTTTCCCCATGGGGAACCGCATGCGGCCGGGCGCACCACACGATTCGGCGCCATCGCGCCCCGGAATGTCTGGTGATACGGCGAATGTCGGGCCGCTGAGCGGAAAGCCCAGCCGCTCTGTCTCATTAATTGGGCCGTTCGAGTTTCTTGGAGGTTTCATTCGGAGTAGGCCGTGCGCCATTGACGTCTGGTACGAGCGAGCCAAGCCTTGGTGCATTCACACCCAGTTTGGGCGACGGTGCCACCGACTATAAAGCTTGTCTCACCCCGAGCAGGTGAATGGTGGCACACACGCGGAAAGCTTTCAATCTCAAGACCTTGTTTTCTTACTGTGTTGGTTATTCCTCAGAATGGCAGTCCCTGAAAAGGAGGGTGTGGCGGGCAGGGAGCTCACGGCTCAGCTGGAGCACGACGCCCACCGGGCGGTCGCGGCGGAGCAGAAGATGAGCCTGTGGCAGGGTCTGAAGACCTACCCGCACGCCGTGGGCTGGTCGATTCTCTTCTCGACGGCGCTGGTGATGGAGGGTTACGACACGACGCTTCTCAGCAGTCTGTACGCGTACGGGCCCTTCCAGAAACAGTTTGGCGTCAAGGGCGCCGACGGCGAGTACCAGTTGACGGCGGCGTGGCAGTCGGGCCTCAGCAATGGAGCTCTCGTGGGGGAGATCCTGGGTCTGATGGTGAATGGTATTGTCGCGGAGCGATTAGGGTACCGCAAGAGCATTATCGGCGCGTTGATGATGTGTGTGGCCTTCATCTTCATCATCTTCTTCTCCACCTCTCTGCCTATGCTTCTGGTCGGCGAGATCCTCGTCGGTATTCCTTGGGGTGTCTTCCAGACTGTCACCACCACCTACGCCTCTGAAGTCTGCCCCGTCGTGCTGCGTCCGTACCTGACGACTTATGTTAATCTCTGCTGGGTGTTTGGACAGCTGATTGCGTCGGTAAGTTCAAGGACTCGAACGCGCCGTGCTCTCTTCTTTCTAACCTTTTAGGGCGTCCTGAAAGCCATGGAAGGTAGGACCGACAAATGGGGCTATAAAATCCCCTTTGGCCTGCAGTGGATGTGGCCCGTTCCCCTCATGATCGGGGTCGCGCTGGCTCCTGAATCCCCCTGGTGGCTGGTGCGCAAGGAGCGACCAGAAGACGCTCGCAAGGCATTACTCCGGCTCACCAACGCGGAGCGGGACCCGGACTTCAACGTGGACGAGACACTGGCGATGATGCGCCGGACGAACGAGATGGAAAAGGAGATGCTCAGCGGAGTGTCGTACTGGGATTGTTTCAAGGGGTCCGACCTTCGCCGGACAGAGGTTGTGTGCGTGACATGGGCGATCCAGACGCTGTGCGGCAGCACCTTCATGGGCTACTCGACCTATTTCTTCGAAAATGCCGGGCTGGCGTCGAGCCAGTCGTTCACCATGTCGATCGTGCTATACGTAATGGGCGCGCTCGGCACCATCTCCTCGTGGCTGCTGATGATGAAGATGGGCCGCCGCACGCTGTATCTGTCCGGCCAGGCGGCCATGGCCCTGTTGCTCTTCATCATCGGCCTGCTGGGACTGACGTCTCCTCACAACAAGGCGGCGCAGTGGGCAATCGGCAGCATGCTGCTGGTGTACACGTTTGTCTACGACGCGACCGTGGGCCCCGTCTGCTACTCGCTTGTCTCGGAGCTCCCGGCGACGCGACTGCGCCAGAAGTCGGTCGTGCTGGCGCGCAACCTGTACAACATCGTCGGCATCATCACCAACATCTTGACGCCGCGAATGCTAAACCCGACCGCGTGGGACTGGGGGGGCAAAACGGGCTTCTTCTGGGCCGGCTCCTGTCTCCTGTGCTTTATCTGGACCTACTTCCGCCTGCCAGAACCCAAGGGCCGCACGTACGCCGAGTTGGATCTCCTCTTTGAGCAGAAGGTACCGGCACGCAAGTTCAAGACCACGCATGTTGACCCGTTTACTGGAGAGAGTGTGACGGGGAACAAGGAGGAGGCGACAGAGCACGTCGAGGCTATCCACGATCTATGATTCTGTTGTTGAAGAAATCGTTAGCTCTCTGTACAATGATCTTGAGTTCCTTAATAAATATTATATCTCTTGGTAGCGTATATACACCTACTGGCCACCGTTAAGTCGACTTCGTTCTCAATCACTTCCACCTTCTCGATCCTGAATCTTTGTATACGAGGTCAGCTCATTTGGTATAAAAACCTTACCTGGTTATCCATGATACTGTCAATGCAGAGGGACGGAAAGAGAAGTCGGAGATGGTGAATGGACAGGTTGGTTCGATTTAGGAGAGGGAGAAGGGAAGTCGAGAGACGAAATCACGACGAGGAGCATCACGTGGTACCTTGCCTGGACAAAATAAATACCACCACCCAAGGCAGATCAGACTAGATTCATCAGCTTGCGATTATATTCATCCCAGCATGACTGAGAAGAACACAACCAGCCTAGACTTGAGCCTTAACTCTAGTAAGTCCAGCGTCTATCGGGAACAGGAGAAAGGATAAAAAGAATGGGGTTTTCTTCAAGTCTTGAGTGTTGACATTTATCCTCCGACAGCAGTTGTCCTGAGTCCCTCCCTGCTCCGTCATCCATATCTTTCCCCAATACTCCTGTCTGTCTTCTATCTGTGGTCGAGGAACATGTCAGACATTGCTCAGCCATCTCAGGCGCCGTCAGTCCTACCGAGAAGCCGATGAAATCTCCTTCCAAGACTCCGGACAGGCGTCAGGATAACCGGGCCCAAACATTTCTTGAAGAAGAGCAGCTCATGAAGAAGATGCTCGAAGAGAAACTACACTGCTTTGGTCAGTACATGGTACTACAATTGAACAGATCTGGATTGTTGATTTGGGTTTTATCAGACAGAGAACCTATCACAGACTGGCCAGATGAGGATTAAATTGAAGAATTCAACATCTTGATGCTAACAAGGGCAGGAGGAAATGAATAAGAAAAAGATTATGGATGAGGTATACTATAAACTATAAATTATGCAGTGGAACCACTGACAATTGCCAGAATGCCGGGCTGCAGTTTGTCCAACCTCATACAAAGCACTTTCCAGACATACATCCTCTTCTCCTCGTCGAGGGCAATAGGCGCATACGGTTGTATCTTCCCCGTCCGAAAATACAGCCCATGCGACTCGGTTCCCGCCGCCGCCGCCTGAAAAATCAACCTGCCCCCTTCCTCAGGCGAGCGGGCCGCGATGGCTTCGAAAATCCGAAACAAGACTTTCACCACACCGGTCATGTCGCCTGGGAGTCCTGTTTTGCAGAAACACGGATCCAGCGAGTTGATGACGATGGGGTTGGCGTCACCGACCAAATTGACTATTGACGCCAGCTGGATGATCGCGTAGAGGAGAAGCAGTTTGGATAGATTGTATCTACCAATTAGTTAGAAAAAGGAAAACATCCAAAGAGGCATGGGTTAACGTACTGGGCGAACTTGTTGACGCGGGACTCGTCAGTAAACCACTCGAATATATCGTCGCCAGGGTCATTCGGATACGAGGCCGCGTCGTACAGCGCAGAACCGACAAAGGTCATCCGTGGTGTGACTCCGTACCGTCTAGCCGTCTCCTTCAGCTTCGGCACGACTTGCATGGCGAGGAGGAACGTTCCGATGACATTCACTCCCAGAATGCGCTCTGTACCATGGACGATTTTGAACTCGACCCCTTGGATTCCTGCATTGTTGATCATAACGTCGAGACGGGGTAATCCGTTCACTTTGTCAACGAATCCCTTGATCGACGCGGCGGACTCGAGGTCGAGTTCCCATACCTCAATCACGGATTTGCTGCATTTCGTCTCATCCTCTATCTCTGCCTTTGCCGCTTCGCCACGAGACCGACTCCGGCTGGTGAGAATCACCTTGCTGGCCCCGTTGCGAACGATGTGCTTAATCGTCTCCTTGCCCAGCCCGCCGTTGCCTCCCGTCACGATCACGGTATGCGAGGCGAACGAGGTGGTAGGAACAGGGTACTTGGCGATGAATTGAGCGTAGATGAAGTTACCGAAGGATGGCATGTTGAAATTAGTGAGTGGTAGACTGGATGAGTGACAGATTCAATGAATAGAAGATGAAGAGAGACTGTTTTATATGGGAGAGACTGTTATATGGGAAATGTCCGCGGACATAAACGCCACTGGGGTTGAGCCACATCTATAGAAATAAAAGTGTGGCTGGTGAGTACATATGATGTCATTCAAGTTCTCCTGTCTCTGCTTATTCAGCATCTCCGCGGACTTAACATCACGTGCGCCTCTGCTGTTGTCTTCCCCGCCAACATCTCCATGGACTTGACGCTGCAGCTGCTCAACGCAGCAAAATGGACTCTTCCAGTCCGGTGTTGTCTCTCCGGGCTCGACGCTCCCGTGTTCCCCTCTCGTGTGATCCCTGCCGAGCCAGAAAGTGGGTATATTTCGTCTGATGTCAGTGGAGAAGTCGAAGAAGCTGAACATGATAGGCTGAAATGCAACCGCGAGAAACCGTGTCAGAACTGCACGGCACGGAACGAGCAGACGAACTGTCGGTTCAAGGGGCAGGCGAGCAAAAGTGCCTTGGCGGGCCATACAAACGGCGACTTAAGGGCCCGGATCGAGCATCTGGAGGGTCTCGTTCGCCGACTTGCAGAGCAACAGCCTCAGAACAGTATTACCACGCCAGAGAGCCAGGACGACAATGAAGAGGACCAATCGTCTCCCTCAGCAGGGATGACTGTTGTGGATGGCTTGCATTCGGTGTACAGGGCTGGCGATGATTGGGATGATGTGTTACACGAGGTATACTGTGTTTTCTCCTACGCAGTGTTCTACGTTTAACTGTCAACACTAGATCAACGAGCTTAAATTCTTCAGCCAACAGCGACCGAGTATTGCCCTGTCGCCCGTTGATGGATCGAGCCTGTTGTTTGGCCATGTGAAGCCGGTCGAGAGGGTAGAAATCCTATCGTCTCTGCCTTCAAGACCAGAGCTGGATAAGCTGATTGCTGAATTCTTTGCTCCCAACTTTCCCATCACAATCCCTCGTAGGTGCTCTTTTCCCGGAAACAAACTTCATCTGACCTTAAGCTATCATTCATGAGCCCACTTTCATGCAGGAGGTAAGCTGTCTGCACTACTATTACCACACATTCAATCACTACATGCTGACGTGATAGTACGACCAACACTGGAAGAACCCCACCAATACCAACTTCATCTGGCTCGGTTTGCTATTCTCCATTCTCGGAATCATGATGCTCTCGTACCACCAGTTTCACGAGCCAGAAGCCTACGAGGGCCGCTCAGAGCTGCTCTTCCAGCTGTACCGAATCCGGACCGCCCAGTGTCTACTAGCAGGCGACATGGCGAAATGTCTCCCCTATACGATTGAAACGCTGCGGTTCAATGCCACAGCCGAATTGAATCGGAAGGACGACAATCGGCGCGGCCTCTGGATCATGACCGGGGTGATTATCCGCGCAGCAATCAACATGGGCTACCATCGCGACGCGCAGCACTCTTCTTCGATTTCTCCGCTTCAGGCCGAGTATCGGCGTCGGGTCTGGCTGGCCGTCACGAGCATGGATAACATGTCTTCCGTCCAGTGCGGGTTCCCCCGGTCAGCGTCGACTTTTTATTCTGACACAAAGGAGCCGCGCAATGTGCACGAATGGGAGATGTCCGATGAGATGACCGTTCTCCCACCGTCAAGACCACTGACAGAGCCTACGCAGGTGACTTACCTGATCGTCAAGGGGAGACTGACCAATGCTCTAGGTCGTATTGCTGATCTGAACAATTCGCCGCGGGTTTCATATGAGACCGTTCTGGACATCGACAAAACACTTCACGAAACGTATGAGAACTTTCCGTCACATATGAAAGTTGATAAGCAGCGCACCAATTCTTCTTCCTCTATAAGTCTGGCATCCATGTACCATAAAGGAATGTGTACGCTCCATCGACGGTTCATGGCCAAGAGTGGTAGACGGGGGAACGGTCAATTTCGACTTTCCAGAAATCGATGCATCGAATCCGCCCTCGCGATACTGGGGTACCAAGAGATTCTCCAACCGACGTGGTACGAGTTTGCGCAGGCGAGACAGGTGTGCGTTCTTGCCGCGATGATCTTGTTTCTTGAATTAGAGCTACGGAAGCGGTTCCCTGAAGAAAAGACAGATGATCACAACGATGCCTTTCTCATACATGCCCTGGAGAAGTCGTGCTCCCTATGGCGGGATGCAAGTAAATCCTGCGATGAAGCTGGACGGGTGTATGATGTGCTTATGAATATGATGTCTAGTCAAACATCAGTGGAAATTCCATGGTTGAACGAGAAGGATCTCTCCATGGATATTGACTGGGTACGTTCTTTTCTCCTTTTTTTCCCTTTTTTTAGATATTGACTGTTGTATAGGCTACATGGGATGCATTCATTGACGATGCTATTTTCGAGTTATAGTACAGCAAAGTAATTATATTTCTCATGGTAGAATAATATGAATGCCTAGCACATACCACTATAAATGTCTGACGTCAACACAGAAATGGTCCTTTACTTTGTATGTAGTGGAGAGTCAGGAACCAGGCAGCAATATATATATATAAGTGTAAGTCGAGGTCGCTCCATATCAACCTCCTACAACAAATATAAACAATACTACACTGAAGAAATGGCCCCCTTCGACCAGATAGAAACCTTCCAAGCTGCTCTAATGAGCCTCTTCGCCGGTGATCCTGACAACACCGAGTCCGATCTCTCCCGCCTCTTCCACCCGGACTTCACCCAGCGCGACGACCAGACCACGCGCGACTTCGCCACGTTCGTCGCACACATTCGCTGGCTGCGCGAGAATATGGAGCCCGGATCCACTCAGTTGACGATCACCCAACTCCTGCGAGACGGGAGACAGTTTGCAGACCGACACGACTCGACAACGAAGATGCCTGACGGGAGCGTGGCCAGGGCGGAGACGTTCATGTTTGGGGAGTTGGCGGAGGACGGACGGATCAAATGGTTGGTCGAGACAGTGAGACGAAAATAGATGATGGATATAAGAAAATAGTGCTGGCAACTACCTGGTAGTTAGTAGGTAATAGTAGTAATACTGTAAGCATTGACTGTTAGTAATTGTTGGAGGTGTCTGCCTAGTTAGGCCTAGCGCCATCCTGCTTGCCTTTTCTCTCTCGCCTGCGCGCATCCTAGATAGCACCACCACCACCATCATCTATCCACATATCTCTTCCGCTTTCTCCAGGCCATCCGTTGCCTGACAGTAATTATTGACTGTTATGTCTGAGTAAGCACTAGCCATAGCAGCTTCCTGTTTGGGAAGTGGCGCAGACAGCCAGATGAGGCTGAGCGGGAATCGGAGGTTGTTTTTTCCCTTTTGGGTTCCTTTTCAGTCCTGGAAAGACGCCGTTTATTCCTGCTTCTCTCGCTGCTTACGATGGAGATCGCCATGCGGGCCATCAGCACTAGATATGCAGGGCTCTGTGGGGGTGAAGGGTCCTTGCATATAAAAACCTCTTTCTCTTTCGTCTTTGCCTATTTTATTCCGAGAACCAGACTCACACAAACTCTGCGCCATGGCCTTCCTTTACGCTCTCCTCCTGGCAGCCCCTTGTCTAGCCAGCGTCGTGCTGGAACAGGTGGCGACGGTCCCTGCAGACTGGAAACTGGTTAAGCAGGCCGATCCTAGCGATAACATCTCCCTCTCCGTGGCGCTGAGCCGGCAGAACCTCGACCTGCTGGAGTCGACTCTGCTGGCGGTCTCGACGCCCGGAAGTGACAGCTACGGTCAATTCCTGGACGTGGACGAGGTGGAAACCCGTTTCCCGCTCGCCAATGATACTGCTGTCGTCTCGTGGCTGAAGGAGGCGGGCGTCACACAGATCTCGCGGCAGGGAGGGCTCGTCAACTTTGCGACCAGCGTCGAGACAGCCAATTCCCTGCTCAACACTACCTTTGCTGTCTACGCCAAGGGAGGCTCCCGCAAGACGCGTACGACGCAGTATTCCGTGCCCGAGGATCTCGTGGGAGATATTGAACTGATCGCTCCGACGGTCTTCTTCGGCAGGCCGATTGCCGACCGGTCAGTGGACTTTCAAGCTGCTGATACCAGTGTCGCTGCGAAGAGGACCACGGATGTCTGCGAGAAAATCACCCCAGACTGTCTAAAGGAACAATACAACATCAGCGACTATACACCGCTTGCCTCGTCAGGTAGTCGGATTGGCTTTGGCAGCTTCCTGAACGAGTCGGCTCTCTATTCAGATCTTGACCTATTCACGGAGCACTTTGGCATTCCTGAGCAGAACTTCACCGTCGAGACGATCAATGGCGGGGTGAACAATCAGACGGTTGATCCGGAGGGGGAAGCCGACCTGGACGTGCAGAGCATCGTTGGCATCTCGCATCCTTTACCTGTGACCGAATTCATCACTGGAGGATCTCCGTAAGTAAAAATTTAAAGAAGACAGACGCAACACTAACCATTCTAGTCCGTATATCCCTGACGCTGCGACGACGACCGATGAGAACGAGCCATACCTGCCCTATTACGAGTATCTGATGTCCAAGAGCAATGCCGACCTGCCGTTGGTGATCAGCAACTCCTACGGCGATGATGAGCAGGTGAGTTAGAAAGAACGTGTACTTCACTATCCCTGCTAATTCCAGACCGTTCCTTTCGCCTACGCAACTCGAGTCTGTAACCTGATCGGCCTGATGGGCATAAGAGGCATTTCCATCCTGGAGTCATCCGGCGATGCCGGTACGATTCCCCTTGATCTCTATGCACATTTCTTCCACTCTGTGCTTACTGAAGATAGGTCTCGGGGAGTATTGTTTTTCCAACGACGGAACCAACAGTTCAACATTCATCCCTACCTTCCCCGCGTCATGCCCTTATATCACTGTCGTGGGAGGCACGCAGGATATCCCCGAGGAGGCGTGGGTGGATGGCGCGGGCGGCTTCAGCAATTATTTCCCGCGCCCCGTATACCAAAACGAGCAAGTCGAGAGGTACTTGAACAACTATCTTTCCTCTGCCGTGAAGGAGTATTATACTCCGTATACGAACTTCCTGGGGCGGGCGTTCCCGGATGTTTCTGCCTTTGCAGGCTCTCCTTAGTCAGTTGACTCTTACAATATTTCTTGAGATAATGAAATACTTACACCCAGAAGCTACCAAATCTACACCAACGGCGTGCTGGGTTCTGTGGCCGGCACATCTGGCGCCTGCCCCGTGTTTGCAGCCGTGGTCGCTCTGCTCAACGACGCGAGACTGCGAGCGGGCAAGCCTCAGCTTGGCTTTCTGAACCCCTGGCTCTACAGCGCTGGATACGAGGCCCTTAACGATATCACACTGGGCGGATCGGAGGGCTGTAAGGGCAACACCATTCCCTGGGCGTCGTGGAATGCGACGGCGGGCTGGGATCCGGCGACGGGGCTTGGGACGCCGAATTTCGAAAAGATGAAGGCGGCTGTTCTGAATGTTGTATAGCTTATAGTTGTACTATAGCTAATTATAGGGTGTTGGGGTGGGGAAGGGTCCCTACGCCAGATAATCATATTTACTTAATATATACACTGAATCTTGCTGTATTGAATTAATTAATTAGGATTAGTCCTGATTAATATGGCATACTAGAGAGTGTATACTACATTTTACCCTGTATTAATATGAAACAGCTGAAACAGCATCAGTTTCATCTGTCAGTATACCTACTCTTCTTATTCTACCCTTCCTACTCTTCCTCCTCAACCGATCTTTCAATTCAACTCTACCTTTTCTTCAGTCATTCCTTTCTGCAGTGCTGGCCACTTCTATTCATTCGTTATGAGACTCTGTTTTCTCTTCGTCTCTCCTTGCCTGGCCGGTTCAGTGCTGTGGAGCGGCATCTTCAACTCGACCGCCACTGTCGAAGACTTTGACTTGTGTATTATTCACCTATCCAATAATCCCGGCTCATTTAATGCTCATTCATGTTGAATAATAGGGTCCTGGTCGAACGAAATCGAGCCGTGGCAGTGGTACATCCACGGTACGGGCAACACGTCCGAATATCTCGGTTTATCGGCGGATTATAAGAATCCTGCTGCATCTGATGCGCAGGGCTTGCGTATCACTATCGTACTGCACCTTCATCAATACATTTCCTATTCTCTTGCTAATCTTTTTAGGATGGAACCTCCTTCTGGGAAGACCAGACCATGGAACGCAGCGAGCTGATCCCCCAGACGGCCGAAGACCTGGGCGCCGGCCATCTGTACTACCATTTCTCGCTGTCGACGGCGACGACGAACGCGCCCAACGCCTCGTTCGAGCACCAGATCGCCTTCTTCGAGAGCGCGTTCACTGAGCTGCAGTACGGTCTGGAGGACGGGGCGTCCGGCACCTCGGATAACACGCTGCGCTGGCTCGCGGGAGGCGAGACGTACTGGTCTGTCCAGCTGGAGGCGGGCAACTGGTATAACTTTGCGTACGACATCAACTTTGATAACCAGACGGTCGGGCTGTGGGCGAGCAACAACTCGGATCCGCTGGTCCTGGTCGTTGACGCGGTGGCTGTCACTGCGTCGTCCAACTCGGAGGACTGGCATGTTGGAGAGCTGCGGTTGCCCAATGGAGGAGTCAATTCGGCGGCCGAGGACTGGTTCTGGTCGGGCATTTATATCGAGGAGGCCCCTCTCAATACGGAGATTGGCTCTGCGTCTGCTGCTGCTTCAACTACAGCTGCCTCTGCATCTACGGCGTCTACATCGTCTGCTACCTCTGTAGCGACGTCTACCTCTACAACAGCACCGACAACCTCGACAACCTCGACAACCTCTGTATCATCCACTACCATTCCGGTATCTACAGAACCTGCCTCTACATCTGTCCCTACATCTGTGTCTACATCCGTGCCCTCAGCAGTGTCCAGCTCGACAACTGTCGCGGAAATTTCTACAACTGTTGTCTCAACCTCTGAAAGCTCTGCAGTCGCCACCGCTACGCCCACAGAAGTTTCCGTCTCTACATCGACAGAAGTCTCTGTTGCTACGCCCACGGCAGTCTCAATCTCTACAGCGACAGCCTCAAGCTCCACGGCGACATCTACAGCATCGACATCGACAGTCCTACCCATACCCTCTGGCTCTGCATCCCAGATCCTTTCCGAGCTGCATGCTATGCTTACTTCTCTTCTCTCCCGGGCAGGAGTGCATGCGAGAGATTTCAATGGACACTAGTGAACCATCAAGTGTAAGAAGAAGAAGTCCATATCGCAGACTGAAGACGATGTATATTCATCAGATAGTTAAATAGTAAGGAAATGATCTGCATGAGGGAACTGGAGTCTGCCAATCCATAAAGTAGTCCATTAGGTGTATAAAACTGAAATCATTCGCAGTAAGCCTCTGTCAATCATCCTCACTTTGAAGGATCCAGGGACAGGAGACCAAGGAATATACAAGGAAGACATACATGAGATTACTCCATAGAGGACTAAAAAAGAAGACCGAGAAGTATAGCTCTATATGATAAATCCCATCAGCCTTGAATTGCTATTCTCGAAACAAGCAAAGGGCGAAACCCGCAGCAGAAGCAACCGACATTATACTTTACCACTTTCTTTAGAGGTCCAACAAGGAGAAACAAAGACCAGCAAAAGATACTTATATAAGATAAAATTGAATAGTGAAAAAGAGTTATGCTGAATCACCCTCCAGACTCGCAAAGGCGGCCGCAATGCTGAGGTCCTTTTGCTTCATGACTTGCTCTTTCCCATCATGTACCAACTGAATCTTGAATTTGAGATTCGGCCCATCGACGATAATCACCACGTCATATTCAATACTGTAGTAAGGGTCACCAATGCCATCCTCTGACTGGATGGGGTGGATGTATCCTCCATCGCGTAAGAAGCTCATATTTGCCTTGACAATGCCGGCAATTTCCCAGCCTGGAAAGACGATCAGCTTGACTTGGCATAACAGTGGGAATGGAGCAGACGCACCATCATTGATCGGATCGTCAATACGATAGTGCGACTCGTGACGTCTGTCGGATACGTAAAGAATCTCCCGGCAGACCAGGTCATCGTCCGTCACGGGGAAAGTGTGGATGACGCGCTGGGGGAATTCTCTAAAAGGTGCCACTTCGTCGCCCTGCGTACTCTCAGAATCATTCATTCTGTTAGGCGTTATGAGATGCAAAGAAAATACCTTTTTGATGACCCATTGGATTGTTTTGCGAACCCAGCGCTCCCCGTCAAATCGGTCAATGCGTGGCATACGGATCCGTCTGTGGGCTTCGAACTCGCCCGGGTCGTAGACCTCGTTGATCAAGAAGCCATAGCTGGATTGGGTCAGGCGTGAGGGGCCTTCTTCTCGATAAAGAGCGCGAAGCACCGCCCCAGTAGCCACCGCTGTCTCCCTAGATATTGTCAACCGATGACCATATCTAGAGACTTGGACAGGGAAAGGGAGACGTACGGGGTCTGTGGGCATAAGAATCTAATCGGCTTTGGTAATTTCAGGGAGATCTTGGCCAGCCTCTTTCTGATAAACCTTCGCAGGGGTCGCGAGGCAGCGAATCCGCCAATGAGCACAACTTTCTGAGGGTGTTAGGAAGGGGTGGAGAGACAAAAAACCGGCTAAATACATGCAAGACATACATCTATAGTGATATTCTTTGCGTAAGCCATGTTTATCTGGCGTATCATCAGATTTGCGATGCCTTCAAGCAGAGGCTTGAAAATGTCCACGAATTCCGACCTGTAACCATCAGGGGAGTGGACGAATTAATGATGCCTGGATCCATGCGGGTTGACAAACCTATCAACAACCATTCGATTGGCCTTGAATCGTTTTGTCCGGTTGGCTTTCAACCCCGTAACATTGACATCGGTTCCGGGAAATCTGGTGTTAGTTACATCGACGCGTTTGTGCACGTTCTCAAATGCGGTCATGGGCCCTGCGACGACGCCCTCCGGCGTGAGGCCGTTCTGAGTCAAGTAGGTTTCTTCTGACAGTCGCTTCGTGATAAGTCTTTCAAAGGCTTCGTTCAGGTAGCTCGATCCGCAGAGGGCACCTACATATTTCGATTCAGAAAGAATGGAAAAGAAAGTGACTGTCAAAAGGGAGGTATACCTTCTGGCGGTACAGCCTCCTTCTCAAGTTTCAATGGATCCGTGTTGTGTAGTTTGTACGTGATTGCATCGACAGTCCCTCCCCCGGCATCAAGCAAGACGAATGTCTCACCCGTCTTGAAACAGCAGTCAGCTAATCAATGGGCCATTGCAGTTAGCGAAATCTGTGGTTTGATATACCTCCATTACCCTTGGGACCGAGAGGACCTGCGCGGTGGCGGCTTCTGGCTCCGAGACGACATATATTTCCTTGAGCCCCTTGGGCTCAACGAGCTGAGATCGAAATGCTGCGTTGGTGATCGAAGTCTGCATCGATCTGCAGGCGCTCCGCGTCCACACGACAGGCACGCACAAGACCAGTTCGATTGTGTCCTCTGTGCAGAGGCCATGCCGGTGTGTCAGCTCAATCTTCGCATGGTGCAGCAGAACGGTGAGGTAGTCCTCAATCACATCCAGGTCGTTGACAATGATCCGACTTTCCTCAAGGTTGGACAGCGTGGTACGAAGATCGTTGCGTAGAGCCTCAGTGTGCTCGCTCGTGTCAAGAAGCAGCTTTGACCGCGAGATACGCTTGTGTCCTCGCCTCTCTTGGTCCCCGTACTGCAATTCTTTGTCCACGCTGAACCCCCAGAAATAGTTGCGTTTATCTTCCAAACTGAAGGCACGTCGCCATCTCTGAGGCACAGCTGGTCGCTCGCGGTAGTTTGTATCCGGCGAAAAGCCATCTTCCGTTCCACTTTCATCGCTTTGAACCTCGAAACCCGAGTCATAGTCGGAGTTTTCGAGGTCAATATATGTTGTATTAGAACTTGAAGAGCTCGTTTTGTTGTTTGACGCACAGTTGAGCATCGGGTACCAGCTCTGGGACGGCACCTCGTTACGCTTGCCACCACTGCTGATTTGAGCGTCTGGGAAGTCGGTGATACAATGAACATCATTAGCCGTGAATCCTAGGGGTCGATCGCCCGGATGGAGCACGGCGAAGGCCAGGGAGGAGAAGGTTGTCCCGAAGTCGATAGCGAGCAACCAGCGTTTAGTCTCCATATCGACATTCATGGCGGCGGGAAAAGACAACTAAAGAACAGTGATGAAATCAGGTCAAGGGAGGAGCAAGATATGAGGGAGAATGATGAGAAGATCAAAAAAGATAAAAAAAAAAAAAATCTAGCCATTCTACGAATCAGCCTGATCCAATGATTCCGGAAAGTCTGCCCTGAGCAGGGGTCATCTTTGGCGCCGTGTCTATACCACTTAAGGAGCACTCATCGTTCCTTTCCCCTCTTGTGAACAATCTGTTTCACCCCCAAAAGCGTTCCAACAGACGCACAGAATGGCGAGAAAAGGTCGGATAAGGAAAAAGTTATCTCTGGCAAAGATGCCTTTCAAGTGGGAAGAGGCTCATGAGACTGAGCTGCTGGCCTGGCTGGACTACAAGCTCAGGGAGCGACACACGCCGAGTTCAAAGACTCTATTAGCGGTCATCTGCTTGCTGCGACTGGAACATTCATTAGCCAAAAGCAGTGTTCGGATAAGCTGTACATCCTTTGGAGGAGATACGGCAGCGACAAGGCGCCCAAAGTTCACATCTTCTATGAGACTGGATCATCTTGTCTGACTTTGCTCGATCGCCGCCGAGAAGAGATCGCAGAGCGAGTCGGTGAATTATTGAAACAGAGTAGTGGCTGCCTCGTGCCGCCGCGGCTCGAATGGTCCTCTGTCCACGACGAACTGGGAGAGCTGAAGAAGCAGGTAGCCCGTCTCCACCGGGCGCAGCATGAGAGCCATGCGCAGATAGCGTTCCTGCACAATCGCCTTCGACAAAGTGACAAGCGGCGACTGAAATTGAAAGACCAGGTATCTGCCCTCGATTCTATCGAGAGATTCTCTCGCGAAAAGGGCGGGTTGAGGGCGCAGCTCGAGCAGCAACTCAAGCGCAACTCTTCCCTGCAGGACAAGGTTGAACGGAACGAGCGTCTGGGACGATTTACTTCGCTGGCTAGCACCGATGTGGTCCGGAATTGGGGTGACACACAGGTATGCGATTTGATGAGCAAATCAACACACAAGAAAAACAGCTGCTAGTTGGTTGGGAAGATGTCCAGACAGTTCCGCAGCCAGTGATCACAGATGATATCCGGGCCCTCCTCCAACGCAGTTTGGGCAGAGAGATCGATCTGCGTGAACTCAGCTTGCAAGCACTCGTCCGAATGCTCACGATGGCAGCCGTGTGTGCTTGGGTTTTTGAGTCAGACATATTGAGCGAAAGGTTCCCCGGCAGTCTAGTGTTGGATGCGTATAGAGAGCAGATTCAAACGCGAGGTATTCATCTATCTAGATCGATTGACTTGGTCAGCTCATTGGATAAAAGAGGCATTCACTGAATTTAAATGCAATGACTAGACGGCGATACCGCTCTTCGAAACCTGGATTATGCTGCACACGAGTCTCTACTCGCCAGCCCTCTGTTCCTAGAGAACTTTATCCCTAGACACGCCCAGGAAATCTCCTCGAGACTTTCTCGAGTTCTCTCATCACTATTCGAGACAGAAGTAGTCGCCAATCGTGAGGATCATACCGCATTTGCAGCGTGGGGAGACGAGGAGGCGGGTGCGTACGAGGCTTGACGCAGGAGACTGATCACCCTCTTCAAGTGCGCCCTAAAGCTCAAACACACGTTAGTATGCAGTACTTTTCGCTTCGAAGCCGTGATGTACCCACCTGGGACCCCATTTGATGGCCATTCAATGATGGGACAGGACATGGAGGGTGGTGAAGTCGAGGGAGTCGCAGGGGAGAAAATTGTTTGCTGCCTGTTGCCTGCAATATACGCCATTCCCAATCGGGAAGGCATGGTGAATTACGTGACGTTCGAACGACGCGAGGGAGAAGAGAGAGAAGAGAGTAAAAGACTCACTCGAGGAATGGTTGTATTGAATAGATGCTAGTGAAGCAGGGATTAACAGCTGTTCTTTGGCCAACGCCGTCAGATCGTTGCAGTTGCCGTTGTGTTTGGCTGGTTTGTTCGCTCCTTCCGTATCCAGAGCCCAAAGACCGAATTCCATCATCTTCGAGCCTCATAAACATGAACCAATCAACAACTCTCAAGACCAGCTTCCATATCCGAAGCCACAATTCTCCTTCGCAGAAATGAACACTAGTGCAGTGGTTTCGGAAGCTGGAATCATAGCAACCGCCTAGCTGGCCAACTTGGCTAAAACAACATTCAGGATTGTGGGTGCGTTGTGTGTGCTGGGGGCGGTGGGTACAGTCCTCAGGATGGCCCTTTACTGGGCCGCAGAGGTTTATTGGGCGCGAATGGGCATTTCGGACCGGTGAAACTCTTTGATAATAGCCTGATGATATCCTCTGCTGACCTGGGATGCTCTGGAGGCGACCAGCGCTGCCGCCATGGCAGCAGACTGCCGACGTCGCCGAGAACCACCTTCTCTCCTTCTCTCCCCAGTATCCCGTACTCTTCAACTGGTATGCGTCTTGTTCGTAAGGTGAGGTTGTGGGATGTTGTGTTCGCGGCTAACTTATGATAGGAAAATGAATGACTCCAGTCCTGTCTCCTCCCTCTCTACTCTCTCCTCTATGGAGATGAGTTCTGTAAGTGGCTTCGCAGAATGAGGCTCTGAGGGTTTGCTAACTTCTAGCCCTCCCTCCCCTCTCGCTCCTCGCGTGCTGCCCGCCGCCGGCCTCGCGCCGCTGCCCGCGCTGCCGCCGCCGTTGCGCGATAATTGGATTCGAGTCTACCGGGAGTTACATCCCGAGGGTTAGTGTACATTGAGTGAGATCTGCTGGTTGCAATGCTGACTTTTATTCTATTTTGTCAGAGGGTCTCGAGCTCCGGGAGGACGCCCGCGTCGGGGGACAGGACACTGACAGACATTCCAGTGCCCGCACCGATGCCATCGACAAATTCAGAGGGTGGCTCGGGAACAAGGCGAGCAAGGGGAAGGGCAGGGCCAACGAACCGACGACGAGCGTCAGCAAGACCGACCCGTCGTCCGGGACTAATAACAAAGACATGACTGGGGGCGAAGACAAGAGCAACAAGAACGACAGTGTCAGGTAAAGGAGTTTCCATTGATGGATAGGGATGAGTAGGAAGACATGGTATTCTAGAGAATTGGAGATGGACCTCGGTGAAAGAGTGTAATGACAGTTTCTACCTATAGCCACAGACTTGCTCTTCAAGACTCGCTCAAGCAATGGTCGTATTAAATAGGGGTATTGGACAAGAGATTAAGAGGCAGTTCTTCTTCGGTCTTCTCTATCTTCTGTATCTCCAGCGTTTTTTTATTTAGTTGCCCGGCTTCCAAAGCATACGCCAAAAGTCAGCCACAAAGTCACCACCTTCTTCCAACAGTTGGGAGAATTGCAGTTCATCCCCTATCTGCCCAAGCACAGAGACCATGTATCGTGTGGCGAGGTCTCTCAAGGCGGGGCCTTCCTTTGCATGTTTCAGCGTGTCGGAATAGACACACCGCACGAACTCCATCACTGCAGTGACACTTTCCGAGTCGATCTTGAACTGCTTAAGGGTCTCGTAAAGCTTGTGGAGGACGATGAAGCAGAGTGGCTGAATACCGTATTTGTCCGCCAGGACATAAAGTCTGACATGGCCCTCGAAGACAGCTTTGAAGTCATCGTAGTAGAGATTCGACAGGGGGTTGGATTCGGTCTTCACGGGAATCGGGGGCAGGGCAAATTGCGTGAATTTGTCTTGGAGGTGGCCCGTCCAGATGCTTGCTTCTCTGTAAGGCAATTCTCTCGGACCAGCATCCGCGATAGGCTCTAGAGGCTCCTCTTCGGGCTCTGGCACTGGTTCTGCCTCTACCGGTGCTTCCTCTGGCACGGGCTCAGCTACAGGCTCATCTGTCTGGCCAAGACCCTGGAGGTATTTTTTATAATACTTCTTTCTCTCCTTCTTTGACATTCCCGGTTGCCGCTCCCCCCATTCTTCAAAAGATTGAACAGAACGGGGTAGTGGTCGAGGCGGGGTACTATAATCCTGAAGGTAGGCATATTCACACAATCGGACGAAGGTGTCTTCATCGACATCGGGCCACTCAACGCGTCGGACTTTCGCTTCCATCATCTCGCCATTCATGAGTGCATTAAGAGTCGACGAGATATCCGCCAGTGGTTTTGAATGCACCGTGAACTCCTTCTTCTCGGGTCCGATTATAAAGGTAAACAGAGGGGAGGAAATAAACCTATCGAATTAGTACTAGTCAGTAGCATCCTGTAGCTATCGTGTTCTTACTTTCCAAAGGTTCCCTCCATTTCTATCTCCCTCGTTCTAGTTTGATCGCTTCTCGTGTTATCCAGGGAAGTAGAATGAAAGATTGTGGTGAGGAAGTTGGGAGGAGAGAGTCTGTGAGGGGTACTGACACGTCGTAAGGCAATGCAAATCCGAAAAGAAAGCAGGGGTCATTCATCCAATAACAAGAAGAACACAGCCTCATAGCACTATTTTTGCATTCACCCGCTCGAAAAAGAATCCCGATTCCAAGATAGAATCGCTACAGTCGCGGTAAGGTCCAACTTATGCCAGTTATGCCATCGGCTATTTATGGCGCTTACATAATACAGTTATGCCGGAGATATCGGCCTTCCTCGCGGCCGTAGGCTAGAAACGCTACGGCCGAGAGACACAACACTTCCACTGAACAACAGAACTTCCAACTCTTCCCTTCGTCCTTCCCTTCTATCTATCTAGACGCTCTACATCTAGACGCTCTACATCAAGGAGAAATGGATTCGTCGACCGACCGGCCGGTCCGCAAACGCCGACGCCCCGCCTATTCGTGCTCCTCGTGTCGTCGGCGCAAAGTCCGCTGTGACCGGATGAAACCGTGTGGACAGTGCAGTGCCCAGGGGATCGCCTCGTGCAGCTACGAGGAGCGTGGATCAAAGGCTCAGCCTCGATCAAACAGGCGGCCGGTGCAGAATGAAAGTCCTCGAGGAACAGAAAGGAGTTCTACTCTCTGCAGTACGCAGCAGGGAACCATTCGAGGGATGGTATCCAAGACGCGAGTCTACGGACAGGGGCACTGGATGAACGTGGTTTCTCTGGTATTTCCCTCTTCTTCTCATTCTCGTCATCGCTTACTTTAAATTAATCATTTCATCAATCACTAGGCGGAAGAACTGGCTTCTCTACAGCCGGTGGGTGAATACTACGAAGCGATCTTCGATGGACAGAATGAAACAATTGCGGAATGCAAACGACTGGCACGGGTGATTAAGGCGCAGCGTCCGAGTCGAAAGACTGTTCCCTTGGAAGAGATTCATCGGTTCTTCCCTTCGCGTGCCGTGATGGATGCCCTCGTCGAGACATACTTTTCAACCTTTGAATCCTGTTATCCGATCCTTCACCGGCAGACGTTCATGGGGGAATACGAAAAGTGTCTAGCTCACTCTGACGCTGCGGAAGGCGAGTTCCTGCTCCAGCTGCTCCTCATCATGACTATTGCAGGCCCCATGCACAGTGACCCGGCCGTGTGTACCGAGATTGCGGGCAATTCCCGCGTCTGGATCAATCTCACGCAGGACTGGCTGTCTGGTCCTTTGGAAAAGGACCGGTTGACCCTCGCGGGTCTGCAGCTACATTTTCTACTTTTATTGGCCCGGCAGGTTGTCCAAGTCGGTGCAGATCTGGTCTGGATCTCTGCCGGCTCATTGATCCGCATGGCGATGCAGATGGGCCTACACCAGGATCCTCAGCTTCTGGGAGGAGAGATGGATGCTGTGCAGGCAGCGGTGCGCCGCCGGCTGTGGTATACCATTCTCGAGATGAACGTGCAGGCCGCGTTGGATTCAGGCATGTCGCCGATGATCAGCGTGGAAGACTACACGGTCGCCATCAATGAGAATAATGAGTGTGATAGAGAGACCGGCTTCATTTCCCTTCAGCCAGTGCTGGCAAAGTCTCTTCCGCTGCGACTGAAGACTGTGAGAGTCATCAACAGCTTGCACGAGGAACCATCTTACGACCAGGTACTCAGTCTCGGAAACGAACTCTCTGCCGCATGCCGCGAGGCGTCTCTTGCTATCGAAACTGCAGCATCTAACGCGGTATCGTTTGCATCTACATTTTGCAACCATTTGCTCCGCCGCTTCGTTCTGTGTCTTCACTTTTTCTACGCCATCAAAGCCAGAGTCAACCCCTTGTACAGCCACTCCCGCACCGTCTGCCTGGACGCCGCTCTCGACCTGGTCTCCCTACTTCACGATGCGCGCTACAGCCGCATCCTGATCACTGGCGGAGGTATGTTCCGTGACATCATCACCCGCGGAGTCTTGGCTATTTTTCTAGAATTAGGTGGTGAGGACACAGACAAGGGTGCGTCGCAGTATACGCGAGAACGACAACGGTCGATGCACGGATACCTGCTTCGAGACGCGCGGACAGTGCTTCAATACGCACGCGAACGTATGAACCACGGCGAAACAAACGTCAAAACGTACGTGTTCCTCAGCATGCTGATGGCGCGGGCGGAAGCAGGTACTGGTTCCGTAGACGAAGCTGTCAAGAGCGCCCTACACGCCAGTCTACAAACGTGTCTTGATATGCTGGAACGGGCAGCCAATACGATTCCAACCCTAGACTGGATCGATTTTGATCTCGACTTTGACATGGATAGTTTGCATCCCATCGCTTTATAAGATAAATACATTGATATCTCTAAGAGTCTTCTAGATGCTGAGTCTAGATATATTCCGGCAACTCCCAGCTGACACCCTCTCTGAGAACATATCTGGCCAAAACATCCAGTCTGAAGAAGGAAGCTAGCGCAAAAAGACAATAGAGAATTCCGACGCCAAAGGAGGAAGAAGGAAACCGACCAGCCATCCCATCGAGTCCCTTCTGCACTTGATCCAGGAATGGCCTGAGCTTGCGCTCATACTCTTGCAAGGCAGTCTCAACGTTTACACCGCCAAGATTCAACTCGCCCGCAAGAACAAACGCCCCGACCAGCGCACAGGTTGTTCCCATCCCCGTCATAGCGGAGGGGGAATATGCTGCGTCGCCGAGGAGGACGACCCTGCCGTCCGACCATTTGTCGGCCTGGACGAAGCCCATGCTCTCGCCGTAGAAATCCGTCGACTCGCGCATGCCTTGGAGGATGCGTTTAGTGCGCCAGCCTGCTCCCGAGAAGACGGCAGTCAGGTCGTCCATCTTCTTCTCGCGGTCATTCTCGTTCTTGCAGGATATCATATTGTCCTTGCAAATAAGGTAGGCCTGTAGGGTGGACTCATTGTGTCGGCGGGTCATAATGAACCGGTTTTGGTGAGCCAGAAATGCCGTGGCGACATAGTCTTCCTTGTTTTTGACCATGTCCTGCTTGAAAGTAAAGTATCCAGCGTACATGCCCAGCGGATGGAAGCCGTCAAGGGAGATCATGCGGCGGGTGCGTGAGTGCAAGCCATCTGCACCGACAACAAGATCGAATACATCAGCTTGTCCATTCGAGAAGAGGACAGTGACTTTGCCACCCTCTGTCTGGGAAAGGCTGTCCACGGCCACGCCAAACAGATACCTCGCTTGGTGTCTGGTCTGGTCGTAGAGCAACTGGCAGAAATCGCCTCGCATAATCTCATAGTCGGTGGTGAAGCTCTGCAGCCCTTTCTTCGCGCGGTTGGCAGGGAAATATCCCCATCGGCGACCACGAGAGTCTTCCAGGGCGATCCCCTGTTCGGGCACCGCTTTCTCGCGGAAGGCATCTTCTAGGCCCATTTTCTTCAAGACTTTGATCCCTGCTCCGCGCAAGTCGATCTGCAGGCCGGAGGCACGCAGATGCGAAGCCCGTTCAATGACCGTCACTTCATGCTGGGAGAGGAAGAAGGCCAGCGATGTGCCAGCGATGCCGGCGCCAACAATGAGGATTTTCATGGAAGATGATAGAAGATGAAGCAGACGATAAGCATGAGAGATGAGAGGAGTGAAGAGAAAGAAGAGAGAATATATAGACGGTGTGTCCGGCTATGATGATATTTCCGTCGGCCGATACATACGGCCGATACATAGATGCTATACTAATGGCTACTAGAAAATAGCAATGGCCCCCGGAGGACTGCCAACCCCCCCCTTGACATGCAAGGGAGCACTGGTGAGGAAGAAAGAATATCTGTCCTGCCTGGCGCATTCGACACTCAAAGCCTCCAGATCCCACATTTCGCCCAACGGCGTCCCCCACCAGACGAGCGCCCATTCATGCAGATGCCACGACGATCCCTCGGCGGGCGGCCACACCTCGAAGGCAACTGTATCGCCGACCAACGCAGCGAAATGGCGCTCGTACAGCCATCTCACGGACTCCTCGCTTGCCTGCACGCCGATGAAGGTGTTCTGGGTCTTGGTGCCCTGGTGTCGCTCCGCGTCCGTCGCCCCGTTATGCCAACGGACGAACCCCGAGCGAACGAACAAGATGTCGCCCTGGCGGGTTTCTGTCTTTTGCGCGGCCATTGCTGCTTCAATATCGCGGACGGGGATCTCAAACCGGCTCGTGGGAGAGGGCATGGCGCCGTCGCGTTCTTCATAGAACCGCACCATATCGACTAACACGCCGCGCCCGACAATCCCGCCTCTCTCGCACCAATCTAGGCAGTCAGAATGATGCATATACTATTCTATCAGGGGGGGGGGGCGTACTGTGTATTCCGTTTGTGGTGGAGTGCAAGGCCTCTTGATAGGTCAGTCCGTTATAAAAGACCTTGTCTTTTTGTCCGGCGTACTGACAATGTGAGAATCATAGATACTCCAAGTGATGTCCGTCTTACATGCTTGAGGCTGTCCCACTGTGAGCCACTCTGCGTGTTGAGATGGATCTCATCGTCGAAGGCGCATGTCTCTGATTTCTCCAACAGGTTCAAGACCCGTTGGGCGAATGGCTTCCGACCGAAGCCAGGGTGGGACAGTGCATTCAGCGGCCAGTCGAGTTGGACGTGTCGGCCTGTTTTGATTTCTTCTTTGGCGGCCAGTACGACTTCTGGCGTCAACAGGTTGATTGCTAGATGGTTAGTAAACATCTACTTCCCGTAAGTATTGCACCTACATCCAACCTCGTCTTTGCCGTCACGGTCGTAGAACCCCCAGAGACAGCCCTGGGGAGTGCCGGGAATGGCCTTGGTAGTGTCGAAGCTGTCGAATACGTACGCCATGAGGAGATTCGGTGAACAGAATGATTACCTCGGTGTTGAGTAATGAGGGGATATAAGTAGTAGAGATACCCCGCATTTAACCCCGCGTGGGGGGGAATCTATTTATACACTCTTCATTATTAATCCTCCTTATGATCTGTGAGTTCATAATTATAGTGATTAAATGGTACTGGGCGTATTTCCAGTCTAGTGCTTGACGACATCCGACCAAATGTGAGCCATACTGGGTGCATCTTGCTAGTATTGTCAACACGATAGATGGAAAATGAAAATAAAGAAAATGGTACTCACCTGTCAAAACCTCATCTGATTCCCTTCCTGTTGCTTAATATGAACAGGGTCAATATCGGTGCTGCCGTTGCAGGCATACACTACAATGTTGCTAGTCCTGGAGAGCCTTCGACGAGCTTGAACCAACTGAACAATGAGTAGATATCCTCATTGAACATAATGATATCCTGGAGTCGTTGATGTTTCGGTATTCAAACCAATCCTTAACTGCCCAGGCGTGCTACAACACCTTATATTATCACGCACTGACCAAGCTCAACCACTGACAACCAGAGTGAAGCCAGACAGGGAAACGACTGGTGGTTATTTATGGCTGTTTATCGACATGACACCCATCTCACCATCATAACATATTCTGTCTTCGATCATGGGGCTCAAGAAGTCTGTCGCGATCGCCAGTTGGCTGATCTGCTTGCCCGAGTTACAGGATATCGTCGGCCAAATGGCTTCAGTCATCAGGCTAGAGGCATTGAATCCTCGTTTTAGTAGCTCCGCGGTGTTATCGCTGCTGCTCCTGTTGGATGGCATCTCAATAAGGACTTTAGGACTTTCGGTAGTAAGAAGTGTAAAGACAGTTCGTAGTGTTGAATAAGGTCATCCATATTTCCTGTAACTGAGGTTGGTTCGAGATAGAGTTGAGAGGAGGGGGATAAGAAGCTATTTATAGTGGACGCTGGAGAAATTATGAGATTAAATTGTCAGATCACAGGCTGTGAATACTTGGGTAAATGGGTAGTGAATAGCTGGAGTGAATAATGCCTTTAGTTAAGAGTAAGATCTTACTGCTTGGCCATATACTAAGTCCATTAAATGATAAGTTATTCTATTCATCTAGCATCAGCATCGATTATCCAGCCTATTCTCTCTAGATCAGACTATCCTTATTCTCAATCTGCACACTCTCCCTGTGATTAGCAATCTCAACACTCTCCTTGACGCCCTGCGTGAGCCATTTCCAGCCCGAGGCATCCCCCAGAAAGAGATCATTGATCCGCTCGAGCGACAGGCCTTTTGTCTCTGGGTAGCAGAAGTAGATGATTGGAATGAAGGAGAGATTGAAGACGACGACTAACCAGTCAGTAAGAGATAGTAAAGTATAGGATATATTATTAGTTCTCACAGATCAAATAGAACCGCCAGCCGATGTTCTGCAAGGCGATGGGAGTGATGGCAACAACGATTCCATTGACTGACATTAGCAAGACACAGCAATAAGAATGAATACAACATACATAGCCAGTTCGACGCCGACGCAGCAGCTCCCCCTTTGACTCTAGTCTGCAGGCTGTTGATTTCCGGTGCATACAGCCATGGTGTGTTCAGGAAGCTAACACGAGTATTAGTTGAATGAATGCTTAATCATGACAGACTTTTCTCACCTCAGGTTAAACACGTCGTAGAATAAGAAATACATCACCACCGCCCCAGTAAGACTGCTCTTCGTATGCAGACACAGGCCCATCCCGATCATGGCAGAGATCACGGCCAGCCCACACGCGCCGAAGAGCATACATTTGCGTCGTCCAGCGCGCTCGATCACCCAGACGGAAGCGTAGGCCACCAGCGTTGACTGTGTGGCGCCCACGGCGGCCAGGATTAAGGCGGTATGCGGGGGGAGGCCGATATATTCGTGTAGGATGATGGGGAGGTAATATCCGATCGAGCTGTATGCGTCAATATTGGGATGATATATCAATAGGTAGATATCTCACTTGATTCCACACATCTGCTGCATGTATAAACCCACCACACCAAGCATCATCCGCCGTAGATTCTGGTCCTGGCTGGAGAAAATCCATTTCCAACCAGTCGACTCCTTGTGCAGCTCGATAGTAGCCTCGATCTCCAGTCTGACGGCGACAACACGCGGGTCGTCAACTTCACAATCGTGGAGACGGGCAATCACCTCTGCTGCACTGTCGATTCCGCGATGGTTCGCCAGCCACCGCGGCGATTCCACCAGGAACGGCACCGAAAGGGCCGTGTAGAGTGCAAAGACAGCCTGCAAGGCGATGGGGAGACGCCACTGGATAGATGAGGTTGCGTATGAAGCCCCCAGGCAGATCCAGTTCGAGAGGGCGAACCCGGTTGTGATCAGTGCCGTCTGCACGGTTAGAAGCTGGCCCCGTTGTTTTGCCGGCGACACTTCCGATTGCCACTAACATGATTAGAGAACAGAATGAAGAATGGAGGCACTTGGAACCTACGGTAGGAACAATGGCAGTCATGATGCCGATGCCGAGGCCGGTGATGACGCGCCCTGCGATGAAGTCTTTGACGGACAACGCGGTGGTCTGGAGAATGGTTCCCAGCAGGGCAAAGAAGACGCCAAAATACATGGATTTCTTGCGTCCAATGCGCTCGGAGAAGACAAAGGTTGACACGGAGCCTAGCAGACAGCCGAGATCGTAGATGCCGGTCATGAAGCCTTGAAGGGTGGCCTATATATCAGTATGGGGGGGGATCTCGGAAAAGGTCAATTTTCGTACTGAAGGATGGTTGAACTGCTGGGTGAAGGTGGGAGAATTGATCACTCCCCCGAGAACGCCTTGGTCGTCTGGAGTATTCATCAGTATAGCATCAGATCAGCAGTTCAAGGGTTAATACAGCCGAATAGCAGAAACCCCATCCCACACGCCGACGTCACGCCGGCCATCAACAGACGGCCACGGAGCATCTTGAGAGAAAGAATGGAACAGAATGGAGTGAAAAGCAAGGGAAATAGAGCTGCTCACTGTGAAGATAAGAATATACCAAGCTCTTATACTCCATATCGTTCTAGACCCTGATATACCGCGCATTCCACATGGAGAATGTAGTGGCGTGGTCTAGATTTCAAGAGCGAATAGAAGCTATATGATATATCTATGGAATGTGAGGAATAGGACAGATCAACGAGTTTGTGATAATAGTACAGGATAATAGAAGAGTAATAAGTATAGATCCTGAATAGGCATAAGCATAGCATAAGCGTAGCATAAGCATAAGCATAAGGTAAGCATAGTTAAGGCATAGTTAAGGCATCAAAAAAGTGCAAACATGCAAACATAACTAATAATCCAACAAATTGAGCAGATTAAAACTGTTCAACACATAAAATGAACCAAGCATGGCATCGAGTCGGCCTTGCGTCTGAATTCCCCGAGATCGATGAGTCCTCAAGCATTCCAGGATGCAAAGCGTTCAGCATCAGGCCCGGGTTTGCAGCTGCGCCGGTAGACCTTGAGCAGCCGGGCGATCTCAAGGAGCAAGTGCTCGTCTTTAAATACAAGGGCAAAGTCCACGCCATTGACCATGTACGATGTTTTATAGCCCTAATATTTGTTCTGTCCTCTAACTCATACAGAGATGCCCCCATTCGTCATTCCCGCTGTCGCAGGGGAGCCTGTTCGACATTGAGGACTTTGGCATCACCCTCAGCGCGGGCATCACCTGTCCCAAGCATGGCTGGTCGTTCGATCTCTTCTCCGGCGCAGGGGATCGTGGCAATTACCGGCTGAAGGTCTGGGAGGTGCAGCTGCGCGAGGAGGAGGTTTGGGTGCGGAAGAAACAGCGGATTGGCTGATGGTCATTGTAAATATTAAGGACTGTTTAAGTGATTCTTTCAACTATCATCTACTCTGATGGCCATACCCTAACCATATTAATATATATTAACCAACTGATATACATGACCACTATACATCTAATAGAAACCCCCTGTTGCATCGACTGTCATAGAGCACACCATGCACCTGAACAGCTTCCAGCTTTCGCAGCGTCTGAACCTGGTCGGCGATGTTGGCGAGAACAGGATCAAGAGACATGCTGATATGCTTAGCCAGGTGTCTTACATCGTGAAATAGGAGATAGATACCTCGGTTGTTTCAAGTTCTTGACAATCCCGCATCCATAATGCCCGCAGACAACAATATGTTTGACCTGTAGTTATGGTTAGTACACGTCCTCACATGCTATCCACAGACACACCTCTAGACTAAGAGCATATTGAATCATTGTTGAGCAGGAGAGATCCTCGCTAACGGTATTGCCCAGATTGCGCAGGACAAGAACCTGGCTCTGGTCCAGACCGAGAATGTCGACTTCAGCGTCATTGCTGTCCGAACATCCAATCCAGAGGATTCTGGACTGGAACTTGCCAGGGTCGAGGGGGCACAGAGGTGGAAGCATGTTGTGGTGAGAGTCTCCTTATACTAATACTATACACATTGATATACAATTGACAAACTGATTCATCGGCTCCGAGGAATATCCGTGTCATCAAACCGAAACTGTGGAGCATGAGTCAATCGGCTGGGTCAATCAGCTGGAAGTATCACAATGAGGCATTAACCAGGTATATGGAAACTAGTTACAAGATTGCTAGAATGAGGCTAATTATCACGAAACGCCATCTACCCAACCATCTAAGCATGGACCATGGCCGATCCCCTCTCACTTGTTGGCGATACGCAGCTGCTGCAGGAGCTGCCGGTGTTCCGTCTTGAGGGCTTTGAACTCCTCGTCGAGCTGGTTGTGCCAGGGATACAGGACGAAGACCTGGAAGGCCAGCGCGGACGAGGCGACGGCGAAGTTGACGAGGGAGATGCCGCGTGTTATTAACATCTGCCAGTGAGCGCGGGCTACCAATGAGTCTCATACACTTACTGTATTATGTAGAATAGGAATACTTGAAAGAGGGAATGGGTATACCAGTGACTACATAATGGTGTTTGATTTCTTTTCTATACTAAGCTGTCGGAGATTGCTCGGCCCTCGGATCCGACCACTCGGCCGAAACCCCGGGAAGAAGACCGAAAACCGGGAAAGACCCGAAAATAGGCCAAAAAAGCCCACAATAAGCCCGATAATGTCTTAAAAGAGCTCCAGCAGATCCGAATCAAGCCAGGTTATAAATCTTCTTGATCTCCCGCAGCATCTCGTGAAAGTCGATTTCGAGATCGCGCAGCAGGCCGTCCTGCAGGTCAAACACCCAGCCGTGAACGATGGGGAACTGACGCTCCTGGTAGCTCTGCTGGACCTCTGCGGTCTTGATGACGTTGCGGCACGACTCGATGACGTTGAGCTCGACCAGGCGGTTGAAGCGCGCCTTTTCGTCGGCGATGGCGTCCAGCTCCTTCTCGTGCAGGCGGTAGACGTCGCGGATGTTGCGCAGCCAGGGGTTCAGCAGGCCCAGATCGGTCGAGGTCAGGGCCGCCTTGACGCCGCCGCAGTTGTAGTGGCCGCACACGATGATGTGCTTGACGTTCAGGTGGCGCACCGCGTAGTTGATCACCGACATGACGTTCAGGTCGATCGTCGGCACCAGGTTGGCGATGTTGCGGTGCACAAACACCTCGCCGGCTTCCAGGCCCATGATCTCGTTGGCTGGCACCCGGCTGTCGCTGCACCCGATGTACCTGAGATGACATTACTATTAACTGAATGCTGCACACTGCACACTGCAGACTGCCTCCTGCTTGGGGTACCTACAGGTAGTCAGGGCTCTGGCCCGCCGCCAGCTTGTTGAAAAAGGTCGGGTCGTCCTTGATCTTGGAGGCCACCCATTGCCGGTTGTTCTCGAAGATTCGCTCGTGAGGGGGTCTGGGGGAGGCCATTGTTTTGAGGAGGTTGAAGCGCAGGGGTTTCGTTGCGAGACGGTTCATTTCAGGGTGTTTGACGTGGTTAGATTAGTGCGGCTGAATTGAGAAGACTTGAAATACCAAATATTATATCTACAAAATATATAAAATATATAAAATAAATAAAATATATAAGACATACTCAATATACTCAATATGCTGAAATATAAAATATACTAAAATATTATAACTATGGAAATATACTAATATATATATTGAAATGGTAAACTGCAAGCTGGTTATTTCATGTGCTGAGTGGGTCACGTGATGGCGGGGTAACGCTAGGGATGTTGATTTCTAGATTCGCGTATTTATATTGTCACCTGACTAGTTAAATAATATAGTCAACTTTATTACTCAATATATCTAGCCGAACTAAAATTAGATATACTGGGTGGTGTGTGAATCATTAGAGATTTGATATATATATAGGACTTAAATGTGATTACAAAATATTGATTTCTTATAAGATAGATAGCATTCATTAGGAGTCTAATCTACAAATCACACAGAGTATATTTTTATATCTCATTAATTATGTAGTAAGGATTGGATTAATGCCATAGAATATATACTAATTCTATCATTTCTATACCTAGATCAATTCAGGCGATTTTAGATTCATTCCTATGATCCAAGGATATAGAGTATTACCATAGCTTAACTCGTCAAGTAGAGCTCAAATCTTAATTAAAAATATAATAATAGCCTCGAGGCTTGAGGTATCGGCTCGTAGTTCTACCAATCCAAGATACTATATAGATATACATCTAAAGATACTATATTTATGAATATATGATAAAGACCTAAGCCTTGAGACTGTCAAGGACAAGAGGAACCAGATACTCGAGGTTATAAGCCCAGAGGAAGGTGGACAGCTGGTTCGAAAAGGCAGCGCCGGTCCAGTAGGTCGACCGGTGGCCCTGCAGAGCGTACTGGTCGGTGATGTAGCCGTCCTTGAGCTTGTCGGCGGTGACACGCATGTCCATGGCGCCGTGATTCGACCAGGCCTTGAAGGTGACAGCCGTGCCGTTGGTGGCGGGGATGGTTCCTGCGGCGGCGAGGGTCTCGATGGCTTCGCTGACCATCTCCTGGGCGGTTTCGGAGGCGAAACCCTCCCACCCGACGACGATGACCTGCCAGAGCCCTTCTCCGATGTACTAAAATCGATTAGAGGTAGCGTTAATGCAGGGATAGGGAGAGGTTACCTCAAAGTAGTCGACAAAAGGAGGCTCGGGAAGAGCGAAATCGTCGCCGTCAACCGCCGTGGCGGGCAGGTTGTACAACAAGCCATCGACCGGCAGGGAAGGGTGCGAGATGATGCCGGTGTTGACGACACTCCAGGTGGCAACGTCGAAGATGGCCTCCTCGGTCTCGTCCAGATCAAAGGCGGCCATGTTGCTCTCCGTGGGCTCGATGGCCATGACCAACCGCTCGGCCAGGATGATGGTGTACTCGTCGGTCTCGGAGTTGTGCACCAGCAGCTCGACGCCCAGGTTGTCCTCCAGACGGATAGACTCGACCACGACGCTGTTGAGCAGCACCGAGTCGCACAGGATCTCCTCGGCGGCGTCGTAGAAGTCCTGGTTGCGTCCGGAAGACGCGTGGTACTGCACGTCGGTGCCCAGGAAGACTGCTGCGGTCTGGGGGCCAAACGTCTGCATGAGGTAGATCGTGGGGGCGTCCAGCATGTCGGCCATTCCGGCGCCAATCCCAGCCCAGATGAGCTATAAAGTAAGCATCATAAAAAAAAAAAACACTCTCTATGGATACTGGGAGAAATACCAGCATGGTGTCGTTGAGGTCGTATTTGATGGCAAAGTCCCGGAACGACATGGTCAGATCCTCGGGGATGGCGTCGCCTGCAGGCCAGTTGGCATACGAGGGCAGGAAGAGATCCGCATACTGGCTGGAGACGTTGTAGTACGTCTCGAGAGCGGCGATCTCGCCGTCGATGCTGGGCGAGACGTAGTCGACGGTCTCGCCCGTGGAAAAGTCGGCGTAGTAGGAGGTAAAGGAGCCCTCGGAGGGCACGTCGTACGCAACCCCCAGGCGGTCCAGATACGCGGTGGTGCCCGTCTGGTTGGTGTAGGTGGCCACGCCGTAGTCGTACGTGACGCCCGTGTCCGGGTCGGTCCAGCTGTTGACCATGCCGCCCAGGCGGTCCTGCTTCTCGACCAGCAGCAGCGACAGGCCCTCGTCCTTGAAGTAGATGGCGGCGTTGGTGCCCGCCGATCCCCCGCCGACGACCACCACGTCGACCGTCTCGAGGGCGGCCGAGGGGTAGCGAGCGGCGAAGGAGGTGGCGGCCGCCAGGGAGGCCGTGGCCAGCAGAGAGAGGGTAGAAAGAGACATGAGAAGAGTAAGAGTAAGAGTAAGAAAGAGTAAGAGTAAGAAAGAGTAAGAGTAAGAGTAAGAGTAAGAGTAAAAGTAAGAGTAAAAGTAAGAGTAAGAGTAAAAGTAAGAGTAAAGAGTGACTAAAGAGCAAAGAGTAAAGAGTGACTAAAGAGTAAAGAGTGAAATAGTGAAGACAAAGAGTAAGAGTAAAGACAAAGACAAAGAGTAAGAGTAAGAGTAAAATCCACGTGGTGGTATAAATGAAGGATTTAGTGATGAACACCACGTGGACTAGAAGCTTAGTAGAAGCTAGAGAGAACCCCTAATGTATGAGGTTATTATCCAACAAGGATGAGATTATAGATACTTTCTACTACTGTCTACTAGTGATCCTTGAGTTACCTTAGCTGTATGTCTTGGTCTATATTAATGTGCTAGTGTATTATTAGTATGACTAGTATTATAATTTCCCATCTTATTTATTATTATCCTATGTTATCCTATTGATATCCCTGTCTTTATATTAACCTTTCAGCTAGTTAAATCATTAATAAATCATAAATCATAAATTATAAATAAATATAAATCAATATAAATCAATATAGTATACTTTATACTTTATACTTGTACTTATAGTTATAGTACTGCATAGTACTGCACAGTACTACACTGTACTGTACTGTACTGTACCATACAGTACTATACTACTATCTAAATTACACAACCCTCACCTCCGTCGTCTTGGTAATGCCCAGACGACGGGCATTGGAATTAGCCGAATCCTGCAGGATGTTCTCTTCACTGCCCGGTTCGTGGCGATAGGGAAACGCCTTGCTCTGCGTGCTGGCCCCTTCGTCGCTGTCGGTCTCGCGCTCGTCCAGCTCGTACATGTCGGGCGGTGCTCGCTTGCCTCCTCCTGGCCGGCCGCCGTGGGATCGCATCCCTCCGCTCGCACTGGCGCTGGCGTTGTGTTGCGACCGCCCCTGGCTCCAGGGGGTGTTGCTGTTGCTGCCGTGCGGGTAGTAGGTGTCGCGCGTGGAATTTAGCCCCAGCACTCTGCCCACCAGCGGTTTCAGCATGGGCACGCTGGCGGCCGTCATCCCGATGCAGTCCTCGAGGAAGCCGTAGAAGATGAGACTGAAGGTGTATGTTTCGTCCGTCTCGACCGTGTACGTTTCCTGGTAGTATGTTTTGACAATGTCCATCGCGACGGCCCTGAAATTAGCTCGTCTATATGTACTGTAGTATACTATACTATACTATACTATAGTATAGTGTAGTATACTATACGGTGAGAGCTTACAAATATCCCAGGCTGAGAATTCCAACCAGATACAGCCGCACAGATTTCTTCATGTTCAGGCGCCAGATGATGGGAATAGGCAGGATCGCCAGCGCGACATCAGTGATGATATTGAAGCCTGCCGTAAGTGTCTGCATATGTATATAGGTATAGAATGACATACTGGTGTTGACGAGACCGAAAATGACAATGGTCTCTGTAGACGAACACTTTGCCCCCGCGTAAGGATCCCAGGAGCCCGACATGGGCCGACAGACGAGGAAGAAGAACAGGGTGCCGACCATCTCGTAGGCGATGATGATCACGACGAGCACCCACAGCGCGAGCGTGAACCAGCGCTGCTGGCAGAGGCGCAGCAGGTTGGCCGCGATGGACAGCTTGAGGAACATGGTCCCGATGGCGATGCCCACGATGTTGCCCACGAAGCTGGCATGGTTGTAGATGATGAGCTCGGCGGCGGAGATGGTCGACTCGTGTCTGCCCAGGCCGTGGCGAGACTGGATGAGGATGACGATCCATTGACCGAGCTGGCAGATCTGTAGACGTTAGAATAGAACACAACAGCATGAAGGAATCTCCGATATAAATAACGGACCGCTGCAAGAATTATTAGGCCATCGTCGATCCCTGGAGCCCGGGCAATGACCACCCGGCTGTATATCCGCAGACCAACGACGATGATCGACAGGAAGAAAAAGGTGGTCAGCACGCCGAGGATGGTGGGCAGATTGCTCTCTGCCGCATACGCCGTCGACATGGTCTCTGTCATCTACTACCGAAGAGCCATGAGTCCATGGGTATGAATGTGAGTGTTTCTGGAGTTATATTATCCATGTCTTTGATTAGAGTTTCACGGCCATAATTGTTCTCATTATTCCCTCTTCATTCTTCCTTCAGTCGAGACCGAGTAGGTGGAACACTAGTAAGATCCTTCGATATGTCGCAGGATCAGATCCTGGCGTTGGTTGATTACGGAGGACGAGTATGAGTGTGTAGTATACTTATATGTAGTGCTCCATCGACAATGTTGCGATTGGACTTGAGAATCTTCGTGTTCATGGTACTTGTCAGTTTATCCTGTCTGGTTTCTTATATCCTCAATGCTTATTCCACGGCATTGCATCCTCGCTGTAGTTTGTCCCGAGAATATGTTAGCGTGTGGCCTGATCCTCCATGGTAGACATCCTTCGTGACTAATGCACATCTAATTAATTAATGAGGTTTGACTAGATCCTGGTCCCTACTAGCGTTTACTAGCACTCTAAATAGATTACACACATCATGAATAGGGGGGCAGATTGTATTCTCATATATGTAGTAGTTAAACAGACTGTATTATCACTGTAGTTATTACCTTAAGCTATCAGAACAGACAGCCGTGTATCCGGACTCTCAGCCTCAACAGCCCAACAGCCACAAAGCAGGATGGTTCAGCGGTTTCTATTCTAATAACGGCCAAAGCCCCGAGATGATCATTCCGCTGTGGCGTCAAGCCTCAGACCCAGCAACCCAGGGATGTCTCTAGAGAACAGATCAGTTAGTTATAAAAGAGCCCAATACCCTCACTACGCAAGGGGGCTCAAAGAGGGGCTATAATCATTATATTGTAGGCAGAGCTCTACAAATCAAGCCTGCTCTAGACCTACAGCCATCCGCAATAACACTTATCTAGATACTTAGGTCTATTAGCAGCCACTCCAGACCTACAGCCCTATATTCACAATTATTCACACTAATCTAGATGGTTAGTAAAAAGATCACCCAGGAATCACCTTAGAATTAGTATATACCTTATTATTCATGGTTAGTTAGGGCTTAGATTAATATAGACTGGTCCTAGAGGAATAATTAATTACAATATATTATAAGTAGGGTGTACCAAGAAATTAATATTTCTATATAAAGTGATACACACTACACCACTTATTTAAAGGCACTAAATAATATACTAGAGATGGCAGTGTGTAGACATTCTAAAGGTCTAGATTAGTGGTTTAATGGATGAACTAAATTATAAACTTAAGGATCTTAGATGCCCTTAGGAGATAAAGAGTTATTTCTTCCTTTATAGTATTTATATAATCTATCCTGCTGGAGCACTATATATAATAAATAGTTATTATCAACACAGCTTCATACACCTATATCAATGACTTGGCCATTTCATTTCATTTAGGTAGAATTGACTGAGATACTTCATGACTATAGAAAGGTTTATTCTAATATATATAGTTGTATCTAACATGCTAGTTATACTATTCTACTCCACACGCGTCAAAACACCCGGCAAGAGCTCGACAGTACCGCCAGGCCCCTCCAGCACCAGCTGGATAGACCGCGGGCCCTCCGTCTGCGAGAGGGAGACGGTATGCCTCCCGCCCGAGGCAGCGGGAACGGTATACGGCCACGAGCCGTCCGCCGAGGCCGGGCCGAAGACGGCGTCGTAGGCGGCTTTGACGGTGTGGAAGTCCTGGGCAGGCACCTGGACGGAGACGGCAGCGACACCGCGCACCCCGCTGGGATGGGTGGTGAGATGGGCTTCATCTGTGGCGTAGGGGACGCGGAACTCGCGCGGGGTGCGGTCGAGACACCAGAAGGGCAGCAGGCCCGGGTGAAGAGGCTGTTGGTGTTTATTGAAGGCCTGGCTGACGGCCCATTTCAAGACGGTGCCGTTGGGTTTGACGCGGCCGCCGGGGACGAGGTCCTGGTACTGCACGCCGATGTCGGAGGCGACGGCGCGCAGACGCTCGCGAGAAGCTTCAAAGTCGCCTTCGCCGTCTCGCTCGCCCGTCGCCGTCAGCGCCCAGTCGATGATGCTGTTCTCCGGCAGGCAACCCCAGCGGTGGGCGGCGCGCTCGGCCGGGTCTGCGTCGGGGAAGAAGGCGATGAACTCGAGGTAGACGCCGTCGGGGAGCAGGACCAGTTTGTTGGCCGTGAGGCCGTCGGCGTGTTTCCCGCCGGGGGCGAGGGTGAGCTGCGGCGAGATGCGGGCGGAGATGGCCTGCAGGTCGTCGTAGGAGACGAGGATGACGATGTGGTCGAGAATCATTTTGATATTGATATTTGATGAGGTTTGAGGTTAGTGAAAATGTGAGGGTGAGAGTATGAGGGTGAGGGTGAGGGGTAGTGATTAGTAAGTATGGAGTAGATTCACAATTATCCTTATTTATTTATATTTATTTATGTTCATATTTATGTTTATTATATTTATTTATTTATATTTATTTATATTTATTATATTCATCTTATTCATACGCATGTCATAATATATGTACATCAGAGAAGCCATGATCGTGCGCGGTAGAGAAAATCGAGCTTGGATTTCTCCTCCTCGACAACCTGCTCTTCCTCCTCTGTATATCGATCGGTGGCAAGATCCATCTCGTCCAGCGAGACGAGTCTCGAGCGCTTCCACAACTTCCAGATCAGGAACATGCTCAGCATGAGCGGGATCTCGATGTAGTAGGAGACAAAGTCGACGGCGTTGAACGAGGGCGAGAAACACGACCAGCCCTGGATGAGAACGAGGAAGATGTTGAGGAAGACGGCCAGGGCCGGGCCGACGGGATAGGTCCAGTTCTTGAAGGGCAGCAGATGCTCCAGGCCCTGGCGGCGGATGGCCTTGCGGAAGCGCAGCGAGGTGAAGCAGATGCAGGCCCAGGAGATCTGGTTCGACACGCCGACCAGGTTCTGCAGCCAGGTCCAGAGCTGGCCGGCCCCGATGTAGCTGGCGCCGAAGCAGATGACGCTGAAGAGCGACGTCACCAGCACGGCAATCCAGGGGGTCTGGAAGCGGTTCAGCCGGGCCAGGGGCCGCGGGGCGTAGCCGTCTTTCGCAAGGGTATACAGCAGCCGCGAGCCGGCGAAGAGGGCGTGGTTGGCGGCAGAGATGGCGCTGGTCATGATGACGGCGTTGATGAAGCTGCCGGCCACCGCGCTGCCGGCCTCGGTGAAGACGATGGTGAACGGGCTGGTCGTGGCGGTCTCGGCCGACAGGCCCGGGTAGTTGTAGGGGACGTTGAGGCCGATCATGAGGATGGAGAGCACGTAGAAGAGCAGGATCCGCCAGAAGACGTTGCGGATGACGCGCGGATACGTCCGGGAGGGGTTCTTGGTCTCCCCGGCCGTGATGGCCACGTTTTCGGTGCCGCCACTACCAGGCGATGAGTATAGAGGTTGAGGATACCAGGTGAGAAATAACCTACTATGCAAAAGAGGCCGTCACAAAGACGGAAGCAAAGCCTCCAATCCCGCCCACAAAAGGGGCATCCCCCGTGTAAAAGTATTTGGTGCCGATGTAGGAATGGCTGGTGTTGCCGCCGCAGTTGACGGCAATGCCGACGATGATGAAGACGACGATGGTGACCACCTTGAGCAGACACAGGCCATACTCGATCTCGCCGTAGATGCGGACGGGGAAGAGGTTGAAGCCGACGACGACCAACAGGAAGATCAAACTAATGGCCCAGCCCGGGAAGTTGTCGGTCCAGAACTCCAGCAGGACCTGCAGGGCGATCACATCCGAGGCTACCGAGACGGTATCGTTGAGCCAGTAATTCCAGGTCAAGGCGAACCCGAGAGCGTCATCCACAAAGCGACTATCCCCAATAAGAATTCGTTCAAGATATAAGAATGGAAGACTTACCCGGCAAAAGTACAGAAGGAACCGGTGACAGGCATAAAAGCCACCATCTCACCCAGCGACAGCATCGTGATGAAGACAATGGCACCACAGATACTATACGCCAACAGCATCGAAGCCGGCCCGCCCGTGGCCAGCGCCTTGCCAGTCCCGAGATACAGGCCTGTCCCAATCGTGCCACCGATGGCGATCATCTGGACCTGGCGCGATGTGAGCTGCCGGGCCAGACGTTCGTTCTGCACGTCGCCGTCGTGGATGGTCTCGGCCCCCGTGCCGGGGCCTGGGGCGGCCTCAACCGGCTGCTTCTCGCTGTCGTAGTCCTTCATCCTCGGGGGCGTGTCTTGATGGAAGGAAACACGAGGAGTGAGGAGGGAAGGAAGAGAAAAGAGGCAGGCATTTTATTCTTCTTCCTGTCTTCTGGGTAACTTTGTTAGCTGCGATGGTGTCAGAGGGAGGGTCCATGAGTAAGTCTGGGAGGCGATGGCGTTATCATTTTGAAACTTACGGTATTTTAGTTTTTTTGGGGGTTGACTAAGTAGAGGATTAACTAAGCATAGAGTGACTACTCTATGCTGTTGTTACTCTAGAACTAGTTAACTAGTCAACTAAACTATAGATAAACTAGACAAATATGCCCACTAAACAGAATCTCTATAGACTTCTGTCCATCTTATTCTACATGGTAGCTTCTACATCTTAATCTTGATGTCAGTATTTAAATATAATGGTAGTTTTCACATCAGCTTTCTTTCCGGCGACTCAATGGGGAATGAAAATGAGAAAGGCCTAGAGGCGATTGCGTGATTGTTTTGAAACTTACTGTACTTTACACATCCTGTCGCCTGCCAGCCCACTCCACGGCAGCTTTGGCAGAACCATGATGCTAGATCTAGTATTATAGCATCATATCTAATATATCATCCTTATTCTCCGAGGGCTCCTTATTGGTCTGGCCATTCTCCTGGCCATCTTCTGATTGTCTCAGGAATTATGCTTAATTGTCAAATGCAACCATAATCTAATCTTGAAGTTGAAATTTCTTCATACAAATGATTGGTCCAGGCCATGTGCCAGGTACTGTCCGCACTTTAGTCATTGAATCAGAATTTGCAGCCACTCGGCCATGATTTGCATGAGCAAATGGCCCCTCTCGATCACGTCTTTTCAAACACCGAGCCTCATGTCGATGAGCTTCATGGTACGATATTCTCATCCATATATAATTGATCTATTATTCTGTTTCCCTCTTATCACTATCAGATTATTTTGCTTTCTATCTTTTCCTCTATATTTCCATATATTCCCATATATTTCCTATAAAAATGGCCCAAGTGTCGCTATCCACCGGCCAGGCGCTGCACATCTCTAGCCCTCCCCAGGCGCCGATATCGGCCCAAGTCCCGGCCGACTACGACTCGCAGGTGCTCCTCGCCCTGCTGAACCTGCACCAGGCCTTATTGGCAGCCGGCACAGGCGTCGCCGCCATCGCCCAGCTCACCCTCTACACCACCGCCGGCGATGTCGAGCAGCGCCGCCACCACCACCACCTGCAGCGGTTTCTGCGCTCGCACCGCCCCGTGGTGACTGTCGTGCCGGTGCCGCAGCTGGAAAAGGCCGAGTGGCAGGTCCTGATCACCGCCCAGGCGTCAGGGCCGGCCCCGGCCCTGCCCCGGGACGTTTCCGGCCCTGAAGACAACAAGGTCTGGGATGTGGTGGTCATCGGCGCCGGCCTGGCAGGCCTGGCGGCCGCTGACCAGCTGGTGCAGGCCGGCCTGTCGGTGCAGGTCCTCGAGGCCCGCGACCGCGTCGGCGGGCGCACCTGGAGCGAGCCCCTGGCGGCGAACCCGGCGGCGGTGGTCGACATCGGCGCCTCGTGGCTCAACGAGGCCAACCAGACGAGCCTGAGCCGGCTGGCGCGGCGGGTGGGCGTGGAGTTCATCGAGCAGAACACGGCGGGCAACTGCCTGACGCAGGACAGCGCCGGGGCGATGCACACGTTTGCGTACGGGGCGCTGCCGTTTGACGCCGCGACGCAGGCGCACCTGGGGGAGATCCGCGACATCGTCGAGGCCGACTGCCAGCAGCTGGACGCGGCCGACCCCCAGCACGACGAGCTCGACTCGCTCACCTTCCTGGCGTACCTGCAGCGCCATAACGCCAGCCCGACCGCCATCGCCACCTGTTCCATCTGGACGCGCGCCATGCTGGGCCAGGAGCCCCAGGACGTGTCGGCCCTGTACTTCCTGCACCACTGCAAGTCCGGCGGCGGCCTGCTGCAGATGCGCTCCGACCGGGCGGGCGGCGGCCAGCACCTGCGCGTCCGCCAGGGCACCCAGGCCATCTCCAAGGCCGTCGCCGCGGGCCTCCCCGCGGGCACGCTGCGCCTGGGCGCCCCCGTCACGGCCATCGACCAGTCGCGCCCGCGCTGCGTGCGGGTGCAGACGGCCGACGGCACCACCGTCCAGGCCTCGCGCGTCATCTCCGCCATCCCCAGCCCGGTGCTGCGGACCATCGCCTTCACGCCGGCGCTGCCCTCGCGCAAACAGCTCCTGCTCGACTCGTACTCGTACGGCTACTTCACCAAGGCCATGCTGGTCTTCAAGACCCCCTTCTGGGTCGACAGGGGCTTCTGCGGCCTCGCCCAGTCCTTCACGGGGCCCGCCTCCATCATCCGCGACTGCAGCTCCCCCGCCGACGCCGGCTGGGTGCTCACCTGTTTCCTGTGCGGCGATTCCGGGCGGCGCTGGTCGCTGCTCGACGACACCCAGCGCGTCGACGCCCTCCTCGACCAGGTCGGCGCCCTCTACAACGACCCGGAGCTTGTGCGCTCCCAGTACCTCACCACCGTCACCCACAACTGGTCGGCCGAGCAGTACTCGGGCTTTGGCTGTCCCTGTCCGTCGCTGGCGCCGGGCGTGCTCTCCGCCGCCGGAGACGTCCTGCGCGAGTCCTTTGGCAGAGTCCATTTCGCCGGTACCGAGACTTCCGTCCACTGGAAGGGATTCATGGAGGGTGCCGTTCGCAGTGGCGAGCGCGAGGCGGAACAAGTCAAGAAGTTTTTCTCATAGTTATAGCGATGCTTTCAAAATATCCAGTACATAGTTCGATACCTGTCAATAGATTCATTCATCTGCCTAATTTCCTAGACTTGGAAATATACTCTTCATCAAGAAGACATAGTATTGCTGCTTGAGTTTTATAATTTGCAGATATACATGTAGGCATAGTTCTATTCTAATCTAATATATTTAGTATTGCCATAGAGTATCAATAAGCAATTAGCTTCAACAATATAGTGATATTCATAAACTTAATCCTTTAGAGGGATTAAAGAATTTCAAGATCTTTAACCTATCCTAAAATAATCATTCTATCTTTATACTCATTCTAGTACATTCTAGTATATTCTAGTATATTACTTATCATCAATAGCTCAGGACTAATGACAAATCACTATAGTGAGTATAATACTTCTTTCTTACTAGCTAGTTTAGATAAGATGTACAATGTAATCTGATCATATCCAAAGGGCTGGCCATTTTTTTTTATAACCTGACATTATTAGTATAGTACACCATCCTCACTTATAGAATATTTCCCCAGTATTCTGAATTCTCTACATGCATACACCATTCCATTTTGAAACGTCCTATTAAACGAAAAATATAGAGATATCGCAAAACTCAGGAATACACCCAATAGAATCACCCAGGCAACAAATCTGGATGACCTGGAGGCAAGTCCTTAAACCGGATAAATGATACATGACCAGGAGAATGACCCAGGGCAATATGATTACCCTGAATTGCTGTACATCTCGGTCGGTACTCAGGAGGAAGCCACAGGATGACGGCTTGACCATAGTGAATCCACCCCTGCCACATCTTTATTGTAATATCACTCTGCATCATCTTCGAAGTAACCGAGTTGCTCTCCTTGTCCATTTCGATAGAACATGTGTCCCCATTTGTCATCACCAATGTGTCATTTTCGCAGAAGGATACACGAGAAAAAAAATCAAGTTGTTGAGTATGTTTCAGTTCCCCAGAAATCGTATCCCACACCATCAAGTCCATGCTCGCATCGTGCATGTCGCCAACAGCCAGCAGCTTGGCATCATTGGAAAAGGCCACAAAGTCGAATGTCGCAAGCTCGTAATCATGGCCCCGGATGGTACATTGCAGTGCCCCCGACTCTGTGTCAAAGATCGTAATAGTATTCACATTACTGCCAACTGCCAAACGCTTCTGGTTCTGTGAAAATGCTAATGATGAAGGGGTAGTGGTCGTATTCTGAATAGTCTGCAGTTTGTTTCCGGATTGTATGTCCCATAGCACCACAGTATAGTCCTTTGAACCCACAGCCATCAGAGCTCTGTTGAACGAGAATGCAACAGAACACACAGAATCTGTATGACCTTGGAGGACTTTTAACAACTTGCCAGAGGCAGTATCCCATACCTTCACAGCATGGCTTTTAGGCCAGGCTGCTGCCACGAATTTACTGTCGGGCGAGAACACCACGGTAGAAGGATCAGGGTCTTGCACATCAAGGCAGTACTTGACTTTGCCCGAGAATGGATCCCATATCAAGATCCCCTCGACTGTTACTGAAACTGCCACTGTGTTGTCGGGTGAGAATTTCACCAACGATGCTCCTGCCGAACGATATCTGTTGCTTTGCTGGGGCACACATAAAGACATATCCCACACTCTTATAGTTGCATCTGTTGCAGCCGAGACGAGCAGTTTCCCATCCAGTGATAGTGATACCTGATGCACCATGCCAGAGTGTCCCTCGAGACTCTTGGTCTCCGTTTTGGAGGCAACATCCCATACTTTGATGGTCTTGTCACAAGAGCCAGAAACAATAAATTGACCTTCCGGTGAGTAAGCGATGGACTGAACAGCATCAGAATGTCCCTTGAAAGTATGTTTCAGCTTCCCGAGACAAAAGTCCCACATCTTCACGGTCATGTCCCCAGACGCGGAAGCCAGAGACTGTCCGTCAGGGGAGAATGCAACCGAGTACACCGTGTCATCATGCCCTTTTAGAATATGCCGCAGAGTGGCTGGATTTGACGTGATATCCCATACTCTCACAGTGGCACCTCTGGATCCTGACGCAATATGTTTTCCATCTGTTGAGAATACCACAGGGAAAACCTTGGATGATGATTGTCCTTCAAGAGTCTGCTGAAGGCGGAGTGGACTCACAGTCCATAGCCTGATCGTCCGATCATCAGACGTCGTAGCCAGTTGTTCACCGTTGGCTGAGAACGCTGCTGAGAGGATCAGACCCTGATGTTCTTCAACAGTATGGCGCAATTCAAGTCGTCCTGAAGAGATACCCCATACTTCAAGAGTACGACTGGCAGTCGCCGATGCAATAAGCCATCCATTAGGCGAAAATGCCATCCCTAATACTCGACCAGAGATGCCTCTAAGAGTCTGTTCAACTGCTCCTGTTGCGCTATCCCGTATCTCGATCCTACCACTCTTGTTGAAAAGACTATCATACCGAGTCATTACTAATTTCCCATCAGGTGAAAAGATAGGATTTTCAAACTGAAAGACAGTTCCTTCAATGGTCTGTAAGACTGCTCCCCAGTGCGAGTCGACAATCGGTAGCTGAGAAAAGCATTGAGGCCGCATTGACTTGAATGTCTTTCTGATCATGCATGTCTCAGGAGCAAATACCAGCCCAGATGAGTACAGCTGCAAGGGAGCCCTTTCGGCGATCTCACTATTTTTGATAGCAAATCGTTTGCCGTTTTGAAGAAACTCTGATATGTCACACCCGTTTTGTGTCTATTCATCTCATAGGTCAGCAGGTTTTCATATGATCTTGCTCTCAGGTTACTGACATGGACTAGAGATTGTAGCACATCCATGCTTTTCACAACCTCGGATAAATACCCCAGAATACTCATTGCTTCCAACCAGTGAAGGAAGTGATTTTCAAGGAATTTATGAATATGATCGTTGTCAGCAACGGAAGCATTTCCTTGCTGCAAGTGTTGGACCCAGTGTCGACACGCGTACTGGAGCTCCTTTGGAAGATGATTCTTTATTGTGCCCTCCTCTATCTCTTCACGTTGCGCACCATACGTCGATAAGCTTCGCCAGCGGTTTCACGGGCAGTGTATCCTCAAGAATGACAATGGCTCCCAAGACGTGTTGAATCTGCTGTACCAGTTCAATCTTGCGCCTTTCTTCCTTCTGGCTCAAGAGCAGTCGGTTCAACACTGGCAGATAAGTCCCGACCAACTTGGATGTTTCGTTTTGATGTTCGAGGATGCCATTTAGGATGTCTTTGGCGGGCCACTGGGGATCTTGTAACTCACGGCAAACAGTTGCAGCAAAGATGAAAAGCGGCATGGCCATTGCGACCAGTATTTGAATGATATCTGCCCCTGGCCAATCCTGTTCAAGATCTTCCTCTTCATCTCTCTCGTGTCTTATCTTTGAGAGCTTTTCCTTGAAGAATATCAATAGATCATGTTCAATGCTTGACTCTTGGATGTCATGCAGAATGGCCTTTTGATGCTCGTCTGGTATCTTAATGAATCCGATATTCAACGGGAGCTCTGGCCTGCTGGTTACAAAAGCCCGTAGCTCGATTGAAGAGTTGGTCTTTTGAAGCTGCGACAGCAGTTGGATAAGCACTGGAATATGATTTTCATCATGACATTCATCTACAGCATCAATCACCAGAATCAAGAGAAGATTCTGTCCATTCTTTGTCTTGATCTTTGATAGAGGACCCAAAATAATCTCTTTGAACTGGATATGAATCGATGATTGAGCGAATTCTGCCGCGTTGGCAATACTTTCTCTAAGGTCTGGTACAGCATCTGCGAGCTGTCTGGCAACGGTTGGGAAGAAGTATTTCAGGCTGGAGCGGTCGGCTTCACTTCTATTGAAGAAGAAGGTTGCCCCTAATAGGCCTCTTTCCTTCATTTCCCTGGCCACGGTACGTGCGATAGTTGACTTTCCAGTACCGGCCAGACCATTTAACCAGAACAATGCTTTGCCGTTAGGGTCGTCGATCCAGTCTGCGATGGTCTGGCGAAGCTCAACTCTTGTATCTGGGAGACATTCATCTTCAACATCCGGCGTATAGGTGTCGAAGACCGCTCGATGCACCATTGGTAGTCCCGATAATGCAATGGTTTGATCCATGTTGCGCACGACTGATAGTATCTCACTGCTCTGGGCTAGCATCCTGTCTGCCTTCTCGTTCCAACGGATTTGATCCTGGACTTTGACCCATTTATCCAAACGGAGTTCTTCACTTTCAATCGACTTTTTGATGCTTGCAAGTGGTAGGTCTGTCATTGCAGTAATGCTTTTCAAGATTCGGACTCCCTTATTTGATTTCTGGATGGCTATCACCTCCGCCGAGTAACGCAGGATTTCGAGATATGTCTGAGTCAACGCATCTTCCAGACCGTCTGTTGCTGCAGGGTGTCCATCCCTGTAGGATATCTCAATCAAGGTCATGCGGGAAATCGTATCGGAGAGAAACTTTGACGACTCGAACCAGGCGGCGTGTTCCTGGCGATAATTCTGCGTGATCTGAAGGAAAATGATCATAGTTAGATACATATCCGGTAACCCTAGCCCTGACCCTAACACTTCTCATACCATTAGACCAAATGAGACTGCAGCCCAGGCGCTTGAAGCGTGGCCGGTGGGATCACAAGCCACCACTGCAGAGATGTTTGCTTGAAGGGCCAACACGGCGCGAAGGACCTTTTCTGGGCCATCTCCAAACCATTTATCCTCCCTTTTCAGCTTGCGGATCTCGCTCTGCTGGTTGACTGTCTCGATGATGTCGTTCAACGCCGACTTTATGTCCGAGGTGGTGGAATTTGAGGCATTGGGCATTAGGATATTCTTCTGCTTTCCCTCTAATTTTTCGAAAGCCGCTTGCCATAGATTCGGTGGCTGGCGCTTTTGCTGAGTCTTTGGCAGTGGGCTATGAATTTGATTGACAGAAGCTGCTGGTGAGGTGCTGCCTGAGCCACCCTGGTCGGCTCGCAATCCCTTATCATCAGTTGGAGTGCCATGTCGTGGATGGAGATGGTTTCTAAAACGTGCTCTAAAGCCTTTTGATTTTTTTCCCGACATTTCTGAATAGAATCCTTGGGCAAATGGGACAACCCGGAAGGCGTTGAGTGGTATGAAGAAATACTCCTAAGTTGGGAGATCAAGTGGATATCTTAACATAAGAGGGGTAATCTAGACATCAATAGCAATGCGGATTACCAGGCGTGATTTCAGCCGCCATCAGCTGCCATCAGTTGGCACCAACAGGCGCCTGTTGGCGCAGTCAAATGCAAGGAAGTGGATCATTAAGATAGTATTGCTCATTTGACTGGCTAGACTTTAGTTGATATATAAAGCCCTATCAAAGCCTATGATATGATGCTTATGTATGTAGGGTGTTTACAGCATATATATTATAGAATAATGGATAAGGAGACATTACTAGATAAGAAGCTATAAAAGTATTCTATTTTCAGGCCTTGGATATTGAAGATATACTTGATATGTTAGATTATAAATATAATAGTAAAGTCTTAGGTAGTTGAGAGCTCAGTGTTTGGATAACTGGTCAGCTTTTTACAGCAGGAAACATACTTTACAACTTATAATATAGGTAAACTGCTTATCACTGTTACCAGCCTTCTGGAAGATATATAGCCCATTGACTAAGTAAGAATTGAAGGGATGTCTATTACCCGCCAGTAATTACATCCTGTGTAAAGGCAGCGCATCTAGGTTAGGGTTAGAATTATAACTCTCTAACACACTCTACTATTAAACAGTTCTTGATGATTGATAAGATGGGATTTGCATATATGGTATATTATTATCTATAATATGCCAGGATGTCAAGCTTACGCGAGAGAATAACCTTGGCCCGATTTGTTCTTCCGACCATAGATTCGTTAATAGATGGCCACGAGCCTGACTGACGCTGGTATAGTTTATGTCCGCGGCGAAGGTGGACAGGGTATAGGAGAAAGACTAGATGGCGAAGAAGAGGATAGTTGATAGGCAGCTGACGGCATTCGTGACAAGCCCTGCCCTGCCCAAGAAGGGCCTGGGACGAGATTCTGAAGCACAGTGAATCAGATTTAGGTATAACTGTGTTATATTCAGCATATGTCTAGCCTAATCAGGAATTCTAGTAGGTAGAGTCCTTGAATAGTGTACTAAATGTATCATTCGTGGCATAGATCATGTATTGAAGGACCTAAGATTGAGCTAAATTATGAACAAGGATCTATGTCTCCTTCGAGATAGCGGATGCAACATCTTTGCAGAGCATTCTCACTGTGGCAAGCTTTGCTAAAATTCTCTGTCTCTTGCGCGCCAGCATCTTGTGTGGATCAGCCGTAAGGAAAGCATATCCATTTTCTGAAATAATATTCTTGACATGTATGTTGCGGATGCACAGTTTCAGCCTGCTCAATGCGATCTAACTGATGTTAGAAATGCTGTAGAATATGAGGGAATTCTAGAAATGCACTAACCCATTGCATAGCTCATTTGCAGATACTTGGATATCTCATGAACCAACTTGTTGACCTGTTTCAGCTCAGGCATTGTGTCTGGGGCTATAACCTTGAAGTTGGAAGGGTTGAATCCCTCTTCTGATATAAAGTCAACAATAGGGAATATTTGGGATAGAGAAAAAAACGCACCTTTGAAGGACTTGGATCGAAAATATGAGAAGAATGTACTGTCGTTTACCATTTCCTTGCCTTCTATCAATGATTCTGAGCCCATCAATGCTGCAAGGTAGATGGCAATGGGAAATCTCCAGTCAGGTGCAACATGGTGGATGATTTCCTCGATAGCCTCCAAACGAGCGAGCATATCTTCTAAAGATAGGACCGGTAGGTTGTTTGGATAGATTGTTCGACGAAGACGAATGACCTCTTTCGCCCATTCTGGCCTTGCTCTTCCTCTAGCCGGCTGAAGCTCTGCGAATTGAGGCTGGATGCGGCGCAAACGACCCTGTTCAAACAGGATCTCGGCGGGAATTACCTGGCATTTGTTTTTAATCTCCAATGCGCCTTGGGAGAGATATTCTCCAAAGTAATAGTCTGGCCGTTGGCGCAGAGACTGAAAATCCTTCAGACTCTCGTCAGACTCGCAGAAGATATCAATCAGATCCATATCGCGAATGAATGTTCCTCTGGGAAACCGCGCTGTGTCAATGACGTACAGCTTGATATCTGCCAGGTCTGATCCATCTCTGCGGCTCAGATGTCTATAGTAGATGTACTGAATGGCGAACAGCAGCGAGCTTGTCCATGAAACAAAGTTGTCTTGTTGGTCCCCGTTCTGTGGCCACCACCGAAGATGCAAGTTGAGCATTTCAGCGACCCTGGTTCTTTTCTCGTTATCCAAGTTGGAAAAAATGTCTTCGGTGGAAGAGCTCCTATTCTGGTATACTGATTCTGAAAGCACCCATCTCTCATTTGTCTCTCCGTAGGAGAGGGGGGAGGCGACGCGGAAGAGATAGCTAGGGACATTATCTATTTCTGATGTGCCACTGTCTTGAGGCCTAAGGTGCACTTGCTCCAGATCACTCAAGCGAGTATTCTCCAGCGCGTCAGTGATGGAGTCCATCATGCGTCAGACTTTGAGATGATATGAAAAGTTATCAGTTGATGAGCAAGTCTAGCTCAAGTGGCTCAAATGGAGGTCTTAAATGAAGCGAGAGAAAAAGGATAGATGTGGTGGGAAGGCTGGATAGCCGACTGTTGCCTAGACGGAATTCATTCACATTGACTCAGCCTCATTAATCTGCCTCACAAGGCTATGATAGTGTTATAATAACAACTTAAGTGTTGATGTTCTAATGGCCAAAAAATCCCCCAAGTATCTAATAGAGTATACCAGCCATTGATCTACATCAACTCTGCACAGATGAGATGAAATATAGGCTTAGGAAGTGGTGATAGTAGCTGAGAGTGCTACACAGAACTATCTTGATAGCTTATAGACACTATTATAGAAAAGCACTAGCCATATGAACCTGTAGAGAAGCATATCTCACAGGGAGTTATTATAAAAGATCCAGATCAACAACCCCGCAAGCAACCCAGTTACACGTTGACAGGGTCACCATGTTCCCCCCATTAGCAATGAAAAGACGCTGGACCCCATTGTCGTCGATAACACGCAGCTGGCGCGAGTACGACGCCCACTGTCCGACCTCGACCATGCGCCAGCCATCAACACCCACAGAGTCGTCGTTGACAAACAAGGCGCTCTGCGAGGCGCCATTCATGATCACCATGTCGGTTCCGGTGGCGTTAGTCCAGATTACGTACGGCGACCCGACAGGCGAAGAGTGTGAGGAATCATTGGAGACGACGGCGTTGCCCGTTGCAGAGTCGAATTCCAACGGCGAAGAAGCAACGCGGTAGTACGCGGTGCAGTCTGCCGAGCCGCAATACTCGTACGTGAGGATGTAGTCATTCTTGCTTTGGATGTGGGCGATGGTGGCCATGCCCGGGCGGTCGGTGTAGGTCGAGTAGGCGACGACATCAGTCGAGTCGGTAGGCCAGGAGGTGAGATTGGAAGACGACAGCCGGGACAGTTTCTGGGCGTGCAGCGGATCGCGCTGGTCGGAGAAGAAGCAGACGAGTTGGCCATCATAGTGCAGCAGGAAGGGCTCCCAGATGGCCTGGTTGCCGTTGGTAACGGTTTCGGGCCCGGCGCCGTAGGCGATATGCGCGACAAAGGCCCAGGTCACAGCCTGGTCGGTGCTGGCGTAGAGGTCGATATAGGCACCGCTGAGGTTGGCGGGGGTGGACACGCCCGCAGCGAGAATGGTGCCGGCCGGGTAGTCGCCCATAGAGACGGGCAGGGTGTAGAGGAAGGGCTGGTAGCGCATCCCCCAGCCGTTGACAGTGTCGACAACAGACGAATACGACCCCCAGGTGGCGCCCCCATCAGTGGAGCGATAGATGGGGAAGGCGTCCAGGGGGGGTTCGGGCGGATAGTCTTCCCAGGTCATGAGGAGGGAGCCGTCGGCCAGCTGCAGGGAGCGGCCGTAGATGGTGCGCCAACTGGTGTAGTCGGCGTCGGGGACGAAGACGGTGTTGTTGGTGAACGTGGTGAAGGGGTCTGGCGTTGGTGGTTGCGTCACACAGCCTGCCACCGCAGAAATGAAGAGAAAGAGAGAAGCTTTCATCGTGATGGATAGAATGGAGCAATCAGGCATGAGGAGAGGGAATAAACCGGATGTGACTAATGAATGAGAAGAATAAGGGAGAATATATATTCAGAGAGGTGAGAATATACCCAGAATCCTCTTTTGGCAATTCTCCGCAGGTATGGGGAATGAACCAATTAGGAGAGGCGATTCCCGCTCCCCACGGGGTACGACGGGACCGCGCGGGCCGCCAGACGCGGGGCCTCGGAGGAGACGATCGCCTGTTCGGTTGCTGAAAGCGGCTGGTCGATGGTCTTTTCGTCGAGGGGGAGGGCGTATTCGAACAGGAATCGGACCATCCAGTGGTCGAGTCGGTGGGTGTGCGGATTAGCTGAGAGCAGACAGCTATTCTGGAACTTGAGGAGGCGGTTTACCTTGGGGAGGATGAATAAGAGAGAAGAAGATGAAGAGGAGAAGGGAAAGGGGGGGGAAAACGTAGGAAACGTACTAATAATTTGACAATCGGCCAGTATTGTTCCAGCTCGACCAGGGCAGCAAAGTTGGCGTGGAGAGCCGCCCGTGCAGCGGGCAGCTCGTCCTCCTCGCCAAACAACAGGGTATGCAGCAGCACCGAGGACGAGACGACCGTCATCTGGGCGACGGTCGGGTACACCGTCTCCCACCCGGGCTGGGAGTGGCCACGCCCGCGCTGCAGCAGGCTGGAATACTGCGCGGCATGGCTTCTGCAGCGGGCGGCGAAGCGGGCGCGTTCCGGCGTGGGCGCCAGGCCGAAGGGGTCCAGATACTGGAAGAACAAGAGCGTGGCGTAGTGGTGGAAGCCCAGGTGTAGGGCCACCAAGGGGCCCCCGGTGCCCCGGCGGCCGTGGCGGGCCAGATTGGCGCTGGTTAACCGTACGGGGGCCGGCAGGGCGTCCTGCCAGGCGTCCAGCTGGGAGGCCAGCCGGGCGGTCTCACGCTGGGCAGTAACCTGGTCCAGTTTGCCTTGGACTGTCTGTCGGTTAAGATCTTGGATGGGGCCGAACAGCTGGACCAGCGTCACCATATGAGCCCATAGACTTGAATCAGGGTTGTTATTAGTGTTGTTATTAGTGTTGGTGTTAGTGTTGGTGTTGGTGTTGGTAGGGTTATGGCTATCTGTTAGGCTGTAGAAGGCTGCCTCCTCCATAGGCAAGGGAGGCGCTCCATCAAGAGCCATATCGCGTCGCATGCCTAGACTAGAGGAACACCAATGGTCGGCCATGAAAAGCGTCCACCAGATACGCACTTTGGTCTCGCCAAGGGCTGCACTGTCTGTGCTATCCTGGACAGCAATATTGGTGATTTGCGCCATTCCAATGGCGATTCCTAATTATGTATGAATTAGAAATTTATGAATCAAATGATCAAGGATAAAGATATAAGTAATACTGAAAAAAAGAGCTTCAGATGCCGACTCGGCATTGGCAGCGCAGATATTCGCAATCAAAATACACGTCTGCATGATCGGCACGCTCATCTCCTCCAGGCGGGCGAGGACGAGTCGCTTGGCCCGCGCTGTCAGGGACGCTGCCAGAGCCCCCCGGCGGGCCAGATGCGCCCCCAGGGCACACAGCGCGGCCAGCAGGGCGGGATTGACGGAGCCGCCGCGGATCTGCGCCCGGAGACTGGGCGTGTGGAAGAGGCTATGTGGGCGGTCGTGTATCTTGGTCAGATATTCTTCCGACAACTGCACTCCCAGCTCCCTGGATATTCCCTCGTTGTCGCCGATGCCGGTTTCTTCCTTGTCGCTGGGTGCAAGGCGTGGTAGACCTCGCCGGGTGCGCGAACAGGACAGCTGGCGCTGCAGACACGTCGTGCAGGGATCTGTGAGCAGGCCACTGCGCACACACCGGCGTTTAGCACGGCGGCACTGCTGGCATGACTGGGCGAGCTTCATAGTGATGGACACTGAATTGATCACTGGATCAAGGAACACTGAATACTACAAATCACTGGATTACTACATAAGATCAGGGGTTGGATTCTGGGGGAGTAAAATGCGGGGGACACGAGGTTCGGGATAGGCATATTTCTATTGGCTGATACTCCGCTGTTATAACCAGGTAATATTATACAGAGTACTCTGTACTACACTTTGATATATAAACCACTCTTCCCTCGTTCAATGATTCATATAACACTGGATACTCTTCAACACGCTTTGATACTACACATATACTGCAATGCTCGACGTCCCCTCTGTTACGTGGTACCGGCACGCAGGGCTGCGGCGTCTGTACGTGATGATGCCCATACTGATGCTCTGCGCCACGATCAACGGCTACGACGGCAGTCTGCTCAACGGACTGCAGACCATGGACGCATGGGAGAACTGTACATACCCTCTATGGAAGTTAAGCTATTGCTGATAGAAGTGTCAGATTTTGGAAACCCTGATGGCTCGAGGATCGGCCTGTTCACTGCGATCATCAATATCGGGGCATTCTGTGCCCTTTTTGTGGGTGAGTACTCTCCATAGTAGTTCATTGCATTTCTCTCCCATTATTTTAAGACATGATGTTAATTATTCAGCGCCCTATCTTGCGGATCTGTGTGGCCGTCGACTGGCGACGGCCATTGGGGTTGTAATTCTGCTCATCGGAGTGATTATCCAAGGTATTCCCTTGCACAGATCATATTTCTTTCTCCTGTCTAATATTCCAGTCGTTCCGAACGTCAACTCTGGAATGTTCATTGGGGGGAGATTCCTGGTGGGATTCGGGTAAGATTTGATCTTATCATATTGACTCGATATAGTGGTATTAATGTTGTTGTATTCAATAGATCCAACATATCGATCGGAGCTGCCCCCCTGCTCATTATGGAACTCGCATACCCCCAGCACCGAGGCACATTGACCACCCTCTACAACACGCTGTGGTACCTGGGCTCCATCATCGCCGCGTGGACAGTCTACGGGACCATCGGGTACAAGGGCAACGCCAGCTGGCGCATCCCCGTGGCCATCCAGGCCCTGATGCCCCTGCTGCAGCTGCTGGGTGTCTTCCTCCTGCCGGAGAGCCCACGCTGGCTGTGTTCGCGCAACCGGCCCGACGAAGCCATGGCAGTACTAGTCAAATACCACGCCAATGGCGATGCCGCCGATCCCTTTGTGCAGGCTGAATTCGCCGAGATCGAGGAAACCCTGCTGCGTGAACGTGAACTCGCTCATGTCGGCTGGAGGGAGCTCGTCCGCACGCCGGGCAATCGCCGCCGGCTGCTGCTCATCATCCTCACCTCCTTCTTCAGCCAGTGCTCCGGCAACGGCCTCGTCTCCTACTACCTGCACGATATCCTCGAGTCCGTCGGCGTCACAGACTCGCGCTCCCAGTCCATCTTCAACGGGGGGCTTCAGATCTGGTCCTGGCTGGTCTCCATCGCCTTCTGTGTCGTCTTCGTCGACCGTCTCGGCCGTCGCATGCTCTTCCTCATCGCCGCCATCGGCATGCTGGTCGTCTTTAGCGTCTGGACCGGCTGCTCCGCCGTCTACGCGCAAACCGGCAACTCTGGCGCTGGCTCCGCTGTGCTGGCCATGATCTTCCTATTTTACGGCGTCGCCGGCTTTGCCTGGCCGGGACTGACCGTCGCGTACTCGGCGGAAATCTTGCCGTACAGCATCCGGGCCAAGGGCCTGTCTGTGTGTCTGGCGGTGACGGCCTTGTCGGGCGTGCTCAACCAGTACGTCAACCCTATCGGGCTGGCCCATCTTGCCTGGAAGTTTTACTTTGTGTATATCGTCATTCTTGTCATCGAGGTCCTGGCCATCTATTTTCTTTTTGTTGAGAGCCGGGGGCCTACTCTCGAGGAGATGGCCGTGCTCTTTGATGGGCCTGAAGCAGATATTGAGGCCAAGGTTGCTGAGCATGTTGAAAGCAGTACTTAGCCTATCTAGCTCGCTATGTATCTACTTGCAGCTATGTTACACATTTAGTCTATCTTGATATAAACATTCCAAAATTCCCTGAGGATTAATATTACACTACTATAACTGGCTACTACTAATATGTAGTATCACTACAGATGAAATGAACATCTGAGAGAAATAATTACCACATTAATTCTTATTTATAATAAATCATCAAGACACATCTCTAGTAAAGAGGCAGCTTGTAGGCATCGAACTTGTACATGAAAGTATCGATGCTCGCCTGGTCATAGACACAGTCGGGGATGAGACTGGTGTTGTCGTTCCAGTAAGGGCGCAGGGGCCAAGAGCACAGCTGGGTGTTCTCGCCGAGATAATCGCCCGTGAGGAAGGTCGCGTTCAGCGTCACGGGCTCGATCCCGTTCTCGACCCAGTCGATCATGACCTGCATGTTGGTCTGGGGGAAGGGCCCGTTGGGCTGGAGGTCGTTGGTGGCACAGTGCGCGGCCCCGGGAACAGTGTACAGACGGTACCAGTCGTTCATGGCCGCGACGCTGGCGTTGTACTGCATGTCGGGGAACATGACGCTGCGGACGGACTCGTACCAGTGGATGGACGATCCCGTGGGGATAGACGGATCCTGCTCGCCGTGGAAGTGGATGATCTTGGCGCCGTTCTCGTAGAAGGGGGTCAGGTCGGCCAGCGTGGTCTGCAGGGAGTCGTAGTACTGCTCCATTCCGTGAATCATCCACTGCTTGACGGTGTCGTACGTCACGCCATCGAGAGACAGGTCGGTGGTGTTCTTCAGCTCCAGGAACAAGGTGATCCATTCGGCGCTGTTGGAAGTCAGGTCCTAGGATGTATTAGCATAACCCTAAACCCTAAACCCTAAACCCTAACCCTAGGGTTGGAAAGAAAGAAAGAAAAACTCACCACAGCCCAGCTTTCGGTCGTGTTATCCCAGGTGGTGGTGGCATCACCATACTCGGCACCCATCTGATAATAGATATAAGCCTTCTTGCCGTTGGAGTCGTGCAGACCAGCCAGCAGCGTCTTGGCCAGGGCGACACCCTCAGCAGAGACAGTGCCGTTCTGCGCCGGCAGGGTGATCATGCCGCCGTCACCACCGGCGCCGGAGATGTCCATGGTCGTGCTCTCGGCGCAGTAGTAGGGCTCACCGATGGCAGAAGAGAGATTGTAGTGCAGCTGGCAGAGATCGGAGCGAGACACCACGCCATCCGTCTTGCCGTCCAGCGGATCACAGGCGGCGATGGTGAGGTTGACGAGCTTGTCAAACTCGCACGGGGGCGGGTAGTAGCCCTCGACCACCTCCGCGACGGCTGCGAACAGATGGTTGGCCTGCTGCTGGCCGTAGCGCAGGGCCGGGGCGCCCGCAATGACGCCGTCGTAGAGATCGCCGGCCCGCTGGACCTGACTCCAACCCTCACGGCCGCCCTCGGAGCAGCCCTGGTAGTAGGTGTAGATGTGGTCAGAGGTGTTGTAGAAGTTGGCGGTGAAGTTCTGGCCGATCAGGGTCAGCTCGCGCAGGGCCTGGTAGCCGAACATGTACACGGCGGGCCAGTTGGTCGAGCTGTTGCCCAGCAGGAAGATGCTGTCCAGGGCCGTGTCGAAGCTGCCGAAGCCGCCGTCCGTCATGCCCGCCACAGCGCCGTACATGACGCCGCCCGGGTTGGACGAGCCCTGCGAGTTGATGTCGTAGGCGCCGCCGCCGGTGGTCAGGAACCGGTTCGCAAAGTCGGCCGGCGCGGGCAGCCAGTATTCCAGCTGGACCTCATCGTCGGCACCGTCATGGCTATACGTGAAGGTCACGTTGCAGTAGTTGATCGTCGTGTCCGGGAAGAAGGTCTGTCCGGTGTACGAGACGTTGTACACGGTGTTGGCCGTCACCGAGTCGGCGCTCAGCGAGAGACCGTTGAAGGTCCCGTCTGCAGGCAGGGCCGCCTGGACCTTGGCCACCGTGCAGGCCTCGCTCAACGAGGAGACCGCCCGGGCGGTCCCGGCGAGGGCCGCCAGGGCCCCAGCAACGCGTACGGAATACGACATGGGAAGAGTAGAGAGGAGAGATAGATGGGGAGAGTCTGGGAGATGGAAGGGAGTCTGGGAGGTTGAGGTGGAAAAGATGCGATCGGACGATCAATTTATACTAAAAGACTGTTTGGGACCCTGTCGTTCCCTTCGTCCGCATAGGCAGATGTGAATGCTGCTCAATCCAAACGGGTAAGCGATCCCCCCAGTCGTCGTCATAGCTCCTTGGTTTATCCTTAGTTCTGCCATAGTACATGCCGACGCTTATGCTGCAGGACCCCCACCTCCGCGGTCTGGAATGCAGGGGTCCTGTGGAGGCTGTGGGGATGTGGGGGACTTTGAGGGACTACGCGTACTTTGAGAGTCCGTTTTCTCAGGGTGTGTCCCTCGGCTGTCCCCACACACAGTTTCATCCCACCCTCCCCAACTTTCCATCCCCATCCATAGTCCACACCCCCGGACGGCTGTACCCCAGCAAATAAGAGTCATAATAATACTAAATCCGATGCACTGGCTGTTAGATCAGCCATGGAATGGTCACAGGCTGGTCACGGGGTGTTTCGGCGGACTTCCCGAATCCGAATTTCCCCACTCCGCCCGATGTATGAGTATTAGTTGAGAACCATCGTATGGTTAGAATCAAGATGCAGAGTGCTATACCTTAAATTGATGATCTACTTAATTAGGAGAGTACTAGGTTACTATATATGATACAAATTATCAAAACCCATTATACCGTGTCAGGTCCAGAATGTGTCACTACAGAATCAAATAGAGTAGGCATCTCCATTAGTGGAATCGACGCGTGGCAGGTGGAGCTCCACACCAGATTTACATACCGCATACTGCATCTGGAGTGCGAAGCGAAGAACGAACTGCCCGCTAACTGTTAGCCGTGGGGATGCTTCCTAGACTGTGGGGTACAGGGTTTGTGCTGCGGAGTACCCCCGGCCGTCTGTAGAGAACCATCAAGAAAAGTTCTCAGCTATATAATATTGATAATCAATAGTGGTTGAGGGATACTCTCTACGGAATATTATGATTCATATAAGATACCTAGGTATACTAGGAGATTTTCAATATGCTACGAGTGAGCCTGACCTACTCTATAGTATAGTGATATATATTTATCCTCCAGGCGACATGGAGGTATTTCACACTTTCTTTATACTCACTAGTATTGCCGGCATGTGGGTGTACTGTCGTTTCAGCATTGCTAGGGACCTTGTAGAGGCTTAATACACTCAGTTCTAGCAATAAGATAGGCTATAGAAGATCAAAGTAGATTATAAATATGCCCTTAGGATGACTATTCTCTGTAGCTATGCAAACGACATGATAGTATCAGGGCACACGCAAGCCAATGAATGTAGTATTCTAAGATATGAGGGAGGCAGAGGAGTGGCTTATCTCTGTCAGCCATATAGAGGATGTGATGGCTATGGGAATGCACATCATGGGTTACGGACTAGAGATAGAATCGGCAGATCGTTCGTACCGGCAAAGCGGTCCGCCCAGGCCAACTAAAAACGGGCCCTGGCATGAATTCATCTTATGGTCCTTGGCATCAGGTACCTGGCGATGATCGACGATATGAAAAGCCAAGAGGTCCAGCCCGGCAGCTGGCAACAAACCCTGAAGATCGGAAAATGTCTATGAGGAACAGCTTATGCACTATAAATGGTAACTATCTGACAAAGCCAATCTATGCTGCCAAATAGTGAGTAAATATGATATATATATATATATATATCTGCATATATAGTTGCCACTGCCTGACTATTCGTGGCTCTGAAGGCTTGAACCGGTCATATTGGAGACAACCTAATTTGAGTCTTCTTCTATACCGTGTAGCTCATAGTCAAGTAGGATATTCTATACCGGAAGATATTCAGTATTCTTCTAGGAAAGCAATGGTGATATTGATGTTGGAAAGTATCAAGTACTACACAGGTATTCTATGGGGGGTTATATAGAATAAACAGGGCAGAAACTAATGACTTTATTCCTGATTAAAATACTATTAGCATTGATTATGATTAAAACCCTTTCTTACTGCAGCAGAAGCCGGCTTATTCAATCAGAAATACTGATGGTATATTTAACTAAGTATATAAAACCTTACCTATCATGTCACTGAGCCCAAGGTTAGGGTTAGCACTGCATGCTATCTTTCTCTACCCTGACTTATATATACATCTTTATATTGCTTTGAACCTCCTGTGTCTACCACTGATATCACACAAAGTAAATATCAAAGAAGAAATACTACATGCTCGTCTACTTGGGAGCATTATTATATACATGTCTAGTCCAGCCAGGTTCAGGTTCTAATCCTAGTACATGCTGAAGCTTAGTCAGCATCCCAAGCTTAGTCAAGCCAGCACGCAATTAGCGCAACTTCACGACTTAACACCATCAAGAGTCCACAATACTAGCTTTCTATGCAGGACCTACATGATCGCAATCCGCATCTAGTAGGTGAGTGGAGAGTATACGACTGCCGCCGTGACCAACCCCTACTGCACTGTGATGGATATTGTGCCCCTCGAGCTCGCTCGCAGGCCTGCAGCACCCCGGCACGCACTACAAGGGCGGAGAGATTGCCCCCCCTGCGTGGCCACGATGGCGCCGACTATATCACGGGCTTCAAGATAGCGGTCTCCGGCGCCCTGCAAAAGGTTCACTATAAACTGGTTTTTGTGCCCGCCCCGCGCGGCCCTCAGCGCTGGGAGCTCTTCAGCGTCAAGCAGGACCCGGGGGAAATCCAAGATTTGGGCAAGGAAGAGCCGGAGCGCTTCGCCAGCATGATGGAGCCGTGGGAGGCATATAAACGCGAGGTGGGCGTTGTAGGCGTTGCGGGCGAGTTTTCCCCTGTCATTCTCGGCCACAAGGTGCGTATTCGTGATGAGTTTGGTGACCCCTATGATTGAATCAAATTTATCGAGCGCCCGGAGAGGATGCCCGAGCATTCGAAGCATGTTGTGCTTTGATACCCCTAAAGTATACTGCACTTGGTAGAGCATACCATGCCAGTTCAAATATTACTTATCATTGTTATATAACAATGGGTTTTCATTTTTATCAACACTAGGACGAATACAAATTCGAGCACATCATCTAGCTATTAGGGTAGATGGCTTTGGTCTGGGCACCGGGCCTTGAAATATGGTCCAATTTCCAATAGACCATGTTGGTTTTAGGGTTAGGTTAGGGTTAAAATGACGGACAGAAAAGGGATGCTGTTATTCTTCTATTATATTACTTTACTTCCACAGACAAACTACCATAGAATGACCCATGTGAGTTAGTATAGCCTTTGCACATACGGAGCTGCATTTGGCCTTTTTGTCTATATCCAGCATCTAATTTTACAGAATACTTGCCCGGGGTGAATCTATCTGTCACGCCTCGCAGGATCTCATGATGACTCCGAGACTGGACCTGCTAGTTTTACATTAGTTTCGAGGTTTCATATTACTAACTTGTGCATGGTAGTAGAGAAACAGGCACTTAATCCTAAGTATCAAAAGTACTAGAGTTCAATAACTAATTGAAACTTGAAATCCTTTCATAGGATAAACCTTAGGAGAATTCAATAAAGACGAGTCTTTAGGCTGACAACCACTCTGGTCTATATACAGGAGATGCCACGGATCTGTAAATGGATTTTACATTTGAGTAATCAAGAACATAATCATAGTATAGTAGCAAGAGTTAAACACCCCACACTGCATTATTTAATATAAAAAGAAGACTGCAACATATATTATCTCCTCCGATTCTGCTTCAGCTTCTCAACCGCCTTCCTATTTTTTTGGTAGATCACATCCTTACCATCGATGACACCTTTCTCCTCTAAGGCGTCTAGAAGGTCGAGAATGTAGTCTTGACAGTTGTAATGTCCGAGTGTGTCAGGTATTATTATATCTTGTGCAATGTCAACTATCTCGTTCACCTGAGAATTGTAAACGTCGCAAAGGTCCATCATTTTGTTAAGTTTCCCTGATTTGGAAGCATCAAGATTTCGCTCTTCAAACTTCCATCCAGAGCAGTAAATCATATGGAGGATGATCTTTTGGGACTTGGCTCGTCCGTCGATAAAGAGACTCCAGTGTTTGTACTCAACGCCATTGTATATTGCAAGACGTAATGGAGAAGTTAAACGCATGTTGGATTAAGAATAAGAGTGGACAATTGGTCTTCAGTAGAAAAATAGTAGGGGTAAAGACTCTTCAGAATTGAAGGTAATTCAGAATGAACATAGTGGTTTATCGTGGAATAGGAGAGATCCAGGAAGTCTGTGGTACATGATATTTATAGACTGGAAAAAAGCTGATTGTAAGTATATTGACCATAGAATATACTGAGAATCTTTGTTATTTAAAATAGAACAGCAATCAAAGAGAATAGCCTTAGAAAACCTAGATAAAGATAAATAGCGCAAAACTGAAATCCATTGTTAACCATTAATTCTAAATATACTATAGAACACTGTTGATTCATTTTCCATAGCAAATCTTGAATGTAGAATTTGGCTTGAAATTCCATCTAGTAACAATTATTTTATAGATGTATTATTAATAAGTGCTATAGTTATTCCAAAAGTCTGCGCTACATAGCGTCAGTAGTCCTTTCTTACAATAGCTTCCTTTGTTCTCTTTCACTTGAGGCATGGGCTGAAACCCTTGTATCAGCATGAAAGGGAGAATAATTTCTGCCGGGAGTGTAGCTTAGTTCTGATAAGACCAGCATCAATGTATGTATGCCAGACCCTACTAGACTTAGGTTCATTACTCTCTTATTATTATCAAACTTCAAGTCCCTAATTTTATATACTATGGCCAGACTTTGTCCGGTATTGAACCTCTAGGGCAATATAGAAAGGCATGACGGCGTAGGATATAGGGGCCATAGGGCGTGTATGTCTTGGGCATCAACAGCAGACCGAGGACAAACATTACGCCCAAGAGGACCATGCATAGCAAGTTCACAAGCCACCATTCGGCGCCCGCCGCGAGGCCACACTCGGCCGGGGCGAAGATGTCGAGGACCGCACCGGGGGAGTTCAATTAATAGCAGCTGAGCTGGATCCCACAGAAAGCGAAGGACGACTAAAGCAGCGCCTTGGTTCGGCTGGCTGGCAGTAGGTCACACTTTAAACGATATTGAAGCGCCCATGGTCAAGTGGTAGATGTACAGCCGTAGAGTTCGGAGAGCGGCCCTAGAGCACTGCAGAGATTGTATTTTATTGATAGATTGTCAGATGACTTATTGCAAGATCCAATATTGAAGATATTAATATTCTTATTATATTCACATGATGAAGCACTTTGCTACCAGTTGAGATCAAGGTGTCAATATTGACGTTGTATTTGCACTCGCAGTCGATGAGAGTTGGATACTATCCATTGACCGGGTCGACGGGCACCCTCGATGTATTGGCTCGAGATGCGCGCATCCAACGAGTCCACTGTCTGAACCGGCGAGAAGACAGCCACAGAGTCCAGCAAGGGCAGAGCAAGAAGCATCATCTAGACACGCCGATGCACAAGATTAGATTCTGGAAGATTGGTCGCGCCCAGAAGCAGTTCGGTCTGCAGCCAGAGGCGTTTGAAACGCTGCAACAGACCGTAACAGTAGTCATCGACAACGCGTGTCTGGTCAATTTCATTCTCTCTGTGGCCTCATCCCGCCCTCATCTAGAGGGGGTGGTGAACCTGGTGGATTTCTGCGCTGGAGCCAGTTCCTCGCCTCATATTCTTTGTCTCCTTCATCAGCGCCGCGATGAGTTCGAAACATATCGACGCCGTGCCAGACTTACTGGGCGAGGATATTGACGACAGCCAGGGGGGAGACAAAGAGCTGTCGCTGGTGCTGGCCAGCAACCCGGCGGGCAAACCGCTGACATTCTTTGATGAGCCTGTGGCGGACAAAGAGCAGCTGAATGCGCTTGACACGAGCCAGACACTCAGGGCAGTCGAAGGGGTCAAGAAGGAGTGGATGGAGAAATGGGTTGATGAGTGGCTGCTGTAGTTGATGAGTACAGATACATGTTGAGGTCTCATGTTATATAGATGGGAAGATGAGTTCATCAATGCTATTCAAATAAGAATCCTTTATCTAATAATATAGTATTTCATCAGTTTACTGTTTAACTTTAGGTTATAAATTACTTTCACTACAACATTATCTTAATCTTAATAGTTTCCCCCTTTCATTATTCATATTATCCTTATCTTATGGGAATCATCTCATCATGGTACTTTTCATGGCTCATAGCTTGATTACTGCTCCTTGCCTTGCTCCTGGATCAGATGATCGTATTGTGAGTAGCCCGTCTGCTCGTTGCTCATGTCGCCACTGTCGCCCCCGGACCGTATCTCATGGGCATAATTGAAGGAATAGAGCTTGTGTTTCCATTTCCCCCACCCCACAGTAACCTCGCAGCTCATCTCCATGGAGGATGTCTTGCCCGTGGTGGTAACCTTTATCTCCTCAGCGCCATCGCTATGAGCATCACCATCATTGTGATCATCCCTGCTGACCACTTCCCATCCTGACTCGTGTACGGTAGATGGATCAACGGAGGCTTGGCGATCTATGTGGAGTGAAAGTGAGTTCCATCTGAGATCAAATGACCGAATCGGATATCAAAAGGCGGGGCCATACCATGTTGGCAGCTGCCAGTGGGAGCCTTACCAAGGCTCTGTGAGTTCTGTTCGGGGGTAGCCATGATGCAAGCAAAGCAAAATAGAGGGTAAAACACAGGGCAGAGAGGAAAGGCCGTAGTTGGAGAGGATGGAAATGGGAAGAAAAGGTCTTTTTATTCAGAACTGCCGCTGTCCCCTCCCATTTGCAACACACTGCGCTAAATCGGGGCTATTCTAGGCAGCAGGATTCTCTTCTGTCAAGAATAATGGCAATCACAATGAAGAAATGGGAGTAGGAATCAGGAAAAATGATAAGAAACAATAATAAGAGTCACCATTCATTAGCTTACCTGAAGCACACATTATTTACCTCTATCTGGTCCTGGGATATGGTATAATGGCCCTCTTCCCCTAAATATGTCTAGTCCAATCTCGCAGACTGTCCACGCTAGCGAACATGCCTGTCATAGATTTGGTTATGTAGTATCTTGCTAAACATCTGGCAGTGATATAAAAGGTGAGGCCACTGTTAAGAATCTATTTTTGATCTAGAGATTCCTGATACTGTAAAGTTGTGTCCCGGTACTATGTTTCTAAGTTACCACCACCACTTACTAGTATACAACATATCCCTCACTATGAGGATAATTACTACCCGACGCCAGTTTTGTCTGCGTTGTCTGCGACAAAAGATATGTAGTACAGGCGCATGGATACAGTTATTATATAGTATATTGTATGGTTATCATGGTATCTAGAGGATGTAGGGGCGAGTAGAAGACTTTACTTCTTATAGTTCTTGAATTAAGCCTAGTCAAATATCTACTTTATCAAGAATCTGCTATTGAATACCAGTATGTTATTGGCATTCTTACTATTCATTTGTAGCATTATTTCAATGGATGTTAATTTAATGACACCTTACTTTTATATGGAATACTAGAGCAGTGTAAATAAGAACTTCTGACTCTTCCTTCGTGTCTTGGCTGGCCATGTCCACCAACCAGACATCAGAGTAGGAGTATAAACCTGGGTTATTCTTATAGTTACAAAATAAAAGCGCCACTCAATGAAGACATCTACCAGTATAACATAGTTGACTAATGGTGAAGAATCAGGCATCTTACCCTGCCCCATTTTTTATTTTCAGTTTAGAGTTTACATACAGTGATGATCAGAGCTGCACCTTGACCCTATATAAAAAATAATAAGATTCTTGCCTAAACCGCAGGCGATAGCTGCTATCTCACCTACACCTTGGTGGGATCATCTGTCGACGCCAATCTATTAGTTCTGTCCAGGCTATCAGGCCATTGTTTCAGGATGCAGCAAACGTATTGCGATCTGCATAAAGCGCAATAGCTAGAGATCGCCACCTCATTCAATACATCTGAAGTGCAGTTAAACCCTAGTACTGCCGTTGGGGAGAACGCAGTAGAAGGGATGCTGCTGTCCTGCCGTTCCTTATTTACCATTGTGTCCTGAACAAGGATGTGGGGTCTATTTATGAATGCTATAGTAAGATAACAAACTCATTTTATATATCTTTAATATCCTTAGACTCACTATCTCATTAGGAACCCTTCTTTTAATTCTAGATATAAATAGTCTTTATTTTACCCACCACAGCAATCATTGTCCTTATAAAAAGGAGATGCTCATCAGGTCTAAGTCAATAGGGATATTTAAGGGCTGCTCTCTAGTGTCTGTTGTAGGATCCTACAGCTAGATGTTTCTATCACTTAGAAATGACGCTGATAATGTGCCATCTGTGAGAAGGTGAGTGTGTTGCTATGATAGTCACATTCACTCTAACAACCAGGCGAAGAGAGCCTGCCTGGACGTCCCAGAGTCTGAGAATCGGTCTTGAAGGGCTAGATCATTAGAAAGATCAAGAAATGGATCTACATGGATAGAGGATGGATTAGTGCAAGTATGCTCTTTAGGTATTATCTATAATTAAGTTGAGTAAATATATTAATATAGACAGATCTGCATATGTTTAGAAATCTATCACCTCTTTAGTATATCAAATATAATTCTAACGGCCCTATCAAGGCATTGATAGGCACTATTAATTAAGCACACCATAGTATCGGAGTAAGAGGAGAATGACTGGGTTGACTGCCGGCCCTCGCGATAATCTACAAGACATTACCCTTTGTCTGGGTCATGTTCTTGACATTGAGGTTCTTCATCATGCCGACAAAGATGAAGCCGAGCACCATAACGGCAGTGCCCGCGGCGAGCATGCGGGTCTGGGCATACCCGTACGACTCGACGATAGCGGTACGAGTAGCAGTGCCAACAGGGTAAGAAAGCTGCTCCGTCAGACTCTCATAGATGAGCAGAACATCCGACTGGGCCGAGGCAGGCAGGTTCTTCTCCAGCTGCTTGAGGAAGGTGTTGGTCCAGATGGCACCGGAGATGGCGGCACCAATGGAATCACCCATGCTGCCCATGATGAAGAGCAGGGCGAGAGCAGCCGCGACATGTTGGTGATCGACCGAGGCAAGGACAGCAAGCTGGACGCAGAGAATGAAGATACTGCCGGCAACTGAGAAGAAGATCTCACACATGACAATATAGCCAATGTTCCCGCCTGGTTGACGGAAATGGATCATCAGGCCGAGACCAAGGATGTACAGGGGCACACAGAACCAGAGAATCCACTTGAACCGCCCAGTGAGGTGGATGAGGTAACCCGCAAGGAAGAGGAAGACGAAAGAGACGACATCGAAGATGTTGCTGATGTATCCGGCTGTGGCCACATCAACCTCATACACCACCTGCAGGAAAGAGGTGAGATAGCTGGCATAGCAGTAATAGGAGATCTGGTAGATCATGTCGAGCAGACAGGCGCCCAGGATAGTGCGGTCAGTGAGGAACTTGTAGTTGAGGAAGGGCACGGGGGCGATGAGGCCCTCGTAGACACCAAAGCCGATGATGAGCAGCAACCCGACGACGATCATGGCGATGATGTATCCTGTTCCCCAGCCGTGGGGGGCCGTCGCGGCGAGGGTGAAGGGCAGCAGGAAGATGATGAAGCCGGAGGCAAAGAGAAACACTCCAGGCACTAGAGTAAGAGGAAAGATCAGCCCGGCTGGTCAAACATTCATCGTTGTTGGGAGAAAGATCAAGCACTTACGGTCGAATTCAATGATAACCCACCAGATGGTCTTGAGGTTGAAGTTCCACTGCTTCTTCTCGCGGATGAAGATGCCGTTCTTCTCGGCCTTGCGCAGGTTCCAGGCGAGCATGAAGTAGATGGGCAGGGCAAACACAGGCAGGATGATGGCCCAGCAGCCGTATCCCCAGCGCCAGGAGACGTAGTCAAGGAAGTCCTGGGCAGCCTTGGAGCCGGCAAAGGCAGAGATGATGGCCGGGGAGGAGGTGAAGGCAAAGCCGAGACCACGGTTGCGCAGGTTGGTCACGTCCGCTGCGAGCACGTCCCAGGTGAAGCCCAGGCCGGCGAAGCCGATCTCGTAGAAGACCTGGCCGGCGCAGTAGGTGGCCAGGTTCTTGGACGAGGCCAGCAGTATCATGCCCAGAATGGAGAAGCACATCATGACGAGGAAGCCCTCGGCACGGCCCCAAAGATCCAGTGCCTTTGCCATGGGGATGTACACGGCGCCCGCCATGGCCGAGGCCACGATGGTGATGACGGTGAGCAGCGAGTGGCCCAGGAACGAACTCGTCGCGTAGGGGGCCAGACTGACCAGCACGGTGGCTCGGAAGTTGTTGACCAGGTTCAGCAGCCAGATTCTGAGAAGATTATGCATTAGAATCATGATGATAGTACAAAGCAAGAGATGATAGTGACATACAAGACCAGCATGATGTATAGGGAGGTCTTTCCCCAGGCCAGCGTGACGGCCTCGATCTTCTGGACACCCGTCTGAGCATCGGTCGCCGGCCTCATCTCCTTCTCGTCCGGGGGGATCTCAGGGATCTCATTGACGACGATGGGGGCCGGGCCGATCTCCTTGTCGTCTGCCGCCGCCCGCTGGGCGGGGACGTCGATCGCCTCAGGCGTATCGGCCGTCTTGTTGCCCACGATCTTGTGGAATCTGGTAGAGATGGGCATTTTGGTTGTCGAGGATGGCACACAGGAACACACAGCAGCAGGGGAGGGATCGGCGATTTATATCTACCAGGTCGGGCAATATTACCAGGCAATACGGACAAGCATGAGGCAAGAAGGCCTCAGACTCCATCGTGCTAGTTGGTTAGCCAGTTAGTCTCTCCTAGCGCCAACTTATTACTTAAAAAAAATCTCAGTAATAAAGTATAGACATGATGGATATATTTCTCTCCATGGTCGGCTATATGGTTTGGTGTATTTTTGTAAAGTTCCTCGGAAATTTATTTTTTCTGTGACAAATTAATAATCCATATTTCTGATTATAGAATCCCGTGCAAGGAGGGGAATGTTACCTAATCATTCAATATATCCAATAAGATCTTATTTTGTGCTGAGTAATCAAAGATTTGGTGCAATTGAAATTTACCGTAAATAAAATCAATATTCAAAAATTCACCAGCCCTACTATAATCTACAGTGATTCAGTCCTGAAAGATTAATATGGATCGAGGATAGATCAAGCAGGACATCCGTAGTGGATACAGACTAAAATATGGTTACAAATTAGAGATTAGTTCTCGTTCTGCTATTGACAGTAACTAGTCCAGATATGGTATACCACAAGCTATCGTTATCGCAGACCCATGTCAAATCTAGAGCATACGGCCCTTAGATGGATTAGATTGAATTATCTGCGGGATTTGCAGGGGAAGGATTTTGCCCTCCATGGCGCTTCCAATTTCCTCATACCGAGAAAGTCCACGACGACTCAATTACCATTATAGCCACCCTGTATATTACTACTAGTCTTGGCCACAAATAATTCTTGGTCTAGCAGTAAGCCCTTGTATCGGCTAGTTTCGGGCCCAGACTCGGAGCCCTGACAAGAATCCCCAGGGCCATCTATAGGCACCCGGAGTAATTCCGGCAGGGCTCAGCGCCAACTCTTGGCTCCACCTGCAAAATTGAAGAGTTTGCATTATCTGATCCTTTGAGTTTTTTTTTTTCCTCCTTCCTGAGATTATCAATCAGATGACCGGCTTTATTTTTTTTAAAAATTACACTAGCCCGTCGGCTGCCAGAGCCAGGATCAGGATCCTGGTTCTAGCTTGGACTACTACATGTGTGAGTACGTACTCCATATGAAGTACAGCTCCCGGGGGGCAACTGGTGAGAGAGAACATGAGATCCCTGTGGATGCAGTAGTAGGCTACAGTTCAGTTCCACCTGATACTCGGCCACCTGCTTTCATTTGCGTAATGGCTGAACATTCCACCGGCCAATCTGTAAAGAGACACGGATACGCTATAAAGACTGAACCTGCTTTTGGCCACACCACCGACACTCGGATCAATCCGCCGGAGTAAAAACATACTTCTCCCATTAAGGTTAAGGGCTAGGGTTCTGGGGGGCCAAGCGATCCAGCTAGTTGCAACTTGGCGGCGAGTGATTGAGAAAGAATGGGATATTATAGCGACCAACCATACAGATATACATACGCTCAAACATTTGAATACAATTAACAAAACTACACAAGCTGCCCAACGTCTAGAAAACGCCGTGAAGAATGTGATGATTATATCTGATGGCACTAATGTAAAAGCTTGGGCGAGTGGCGTATTTGGGCGCTCGGCACTCATAACCTCGGGAACCCTAACGTGGCAAACCAAGGCTTTTACCTTGTCTTCTGCTGGGATGAAAGTATTCTTGTGTTCCTCAATTTTCCGTGGTCTGGGCGAGCTTAGAAGAGTTTTCCATAAGATTGTGTTCGTCTCAGCGCAAATCTTATCCTGTTGACTCTTAATCAGGGTTGAATTACTCTATCAGCCTAGCTACTCACACCCAATATAAAATTATTATCATGAAATGAGTTAACACAATGTATATCAAGTATTAACCACTCTTATCTTTCTATACTATGTTCCATTGTGCCAAAAGATATCTCCATGTGGCCTTGGACCCTGGTTCTACAGTTCAGGAGTCTACTCCGTACGGAGTACGGAGTATGGAGATGAACTAGCAACCCCTGAGACGCCGTAACAGGTTGTAGGCTACCTCGTTGAAAGCCGGGATCCCGCTGTGGGGCTGTCGACATGCGCAACAGTATCTTATCTATCTTATCTTATCCATCATGTGATATTCTGTATGCCCTTCCTAGATTATTTCTATACTTCATATACAGTTGATACAGCAAAGGGGTCTATGTAGTATATACTACAGTATATATAAGGCTCTTTATCTGGTGTTAGTGGGTGGGTGCCCTACTCCAACATATATTCTCAAACTTGGGCTATTATCCTCGTAACTGTGTTCTATATATATATATATTTAGCCTAGGTACAATGTCCTAAGTATTAATACCTTTTTAGCAGAATGGCTCGACAACACTCACAGCAGTAATGTATAGATGGATAGGATATATGGAAGACCTTGATGAATTGTGTGTGTTGTGTGGGTCTGGATGAGGCGCAAGAAGAATCTCGCAACCTTTGTTAGGCAATTTGATCCTTCTCCTGTCACTTCTTCTCCCAGGCTCTCTATTATTTTATGTCTACACCATGTCGGCGAGAGATAGGCAATTACACACCCCCAACAACAAGTGAAATATACCGCCCAACAAGGCTTCTGCTAGTATAAACTGTTCTGTTTGATCTATAAATAGCGCATCGTCTTTAAGAACTATATGTAGGATGACGAGGAGGGCACCTTTTTTCCGAGAGTCTTACTCTATTGATTTGTGAAAATCCACGGACCTGTTGAAAGCGGAATAATTCCGTATGCGGGGATATCCGTATATCCATGGTGGGTTATGAAATCAATCATCTAAACAAGATTAAGAGTTACTCGCTTAGAGGAATTGTGTTTATTGCTCTTTTCAGTAGGATATGAGGAGAGATATTGAATACTACGACTTGAGAAAAGTGTTGCCGAGGTTTGTTGTTCCCCTGGCACCACTGATGATGAATGCTGCAGTGCCCAGAATTCCTTCTCCCCGAAATAATACATAAAATCGATAAGTATGCCAGTGCACTTCCCCATCTGGGACTAGTTGTGCGCACAACTCATAATTCATGCTTAAATATGGCCATGCCAACCCCTCCCACGTGGAAGTTTATCTTATGAACAAGCGGGGGATGCATTACTTTATGGGTATATATTGCCCTCAGTATTCCCCCCCAGAGATAGGCCGGCCAGAGGATAATATTCATATGAATAAAAGTTATCTTCTATATCCATGCAATGACCCCCACGTATCGTCACTTTGCTCCCTCCCTCGGCGCCGAGCTGGTCGGCGAGCAGAACGCGTCCATAGCCGTCTTCCGGGGCATTCCGTATGCCACCACCCCCCAGCGCTGGCAGCACAGCACCCCCCTGGACACCCTCAGCAGCCCCTTCGACGCTAGCCGGTATGGCCCGCGCTGTCCCGAGGCCCCGGGGGACATGGCGGCCACCCCGGGGGACCGCGATGGCTTACCCCCGGACGATGAACTCGCCTGTCTCAACCTGAACATCGCCGTTCCGACCACCGCATTGGAGACAGACAGCGATGCCACATCTCGCCCACTGCCAGTCATGGTTTGGATCCATGGGGGCGCGTTCCGCTTCGGCAGCAACTCCGTGCCGCGCGATCGCCCCGAGGCCTTCCTCGCCCACGCCATCGCGGCGGGCAACCCCCTGGTGGTTGTGCACATCGGCTACCGGCTGGGCCCTTTGGGGTTTGCCGCATCATCGGATCTGGCGGACGATAACAGCAGCCATGGAAACGGCCTCCCTGCCGGGAACTACGGATTTGTCGACCAGCGCAACGCCTTTCAGTGGGTGCAAGCCCATATCCGCGACTTTGGCGGTAACCCCGAAAATGTCACGGCGATGGGCGTCAGCGCGGGGGGCGCCAGCGTGTATTTCCACCTCCTCACCCAAGAGCCCCTGTTCGACCGTGGCGTCTGTATGTCTGGGATCGCCCCGGGCTTAGGGCCCTTCCCCCGGGCGCTGTACGAGACGGCCTGGGGGGACCTCTGCGAGACCCTGGCGATAACGGATGCGCTCCCCAACGACCGTGTACGCAGGCTGCGTGAGACCCCCGTGGACCAGCTGCTGGCCAGCTACACCGAAGAGCCACTGGGGCCTGGCGCGGGCGGCGCACTGCTCCCGGCGGAGACCTGCTACCCCCCGCCCCTGGGACTTGATGCCATCCAGGCCCCGCGATGCAAGGCCCTAATGCTGGGTGACTCGCGCGTGGAGGGAATCATCTTTGACGGCCTCTTCGCGGCGGTGCCGTTCAAAGACTTTATCGCGCTGGCCACGACCGTCTTGGGCCCCTCCAACATCGAGGGCTTCCTGAACGCCTTTCAATTCCCATGCGACGGCGATGCGGTCTCCTACCGTGACGCCATGAGACATTTCTTTTCAACGGTGCTGTATCACTACCCCAACCTACTCATTGCGGACCGCTCCACCACCGCAGATGTCTTCCTCTACCACTTCGAGGAGCCCTCGGTGTACCCGGGCCCTATGCATGGCCTGCCCTTCCACGGGCTTTGCTCGTTGTTCCTGTTTAACAACACTGCGGCAATGTATCCCCCCTCGCAGCAGCAGACAGCCCGTACCATGGCCCAGTGGTGGTCGGCGTTCGCCTGGGGCAAGGCACCCTGGGAGTCGTACGCGCAGCAGAAGCAGGTTATGCAGCTGGGGCCTGAGGGCCGCTGTGAGATGACTCAATTGGATAAAGAGGAGCCGAGGGATCACACCTATCTGCCATGGTTGAAGGAGGAAGGCCGGTTTGATCTTGTCAAGACACTGATCTGGTCTCTTGCTCTCAAAACCGTCCGCATGCAGATTCTCAAGGCTCATTAAATTCAATACTTGATGGATGCCGGATTCAGGTGGAGTAGCCTACAGAAGATGGTCAGAATATCCTGTTTGAAGATACATTATGTGTACAGCAACCTGTGATGTAGTTTTGTCTCAACATATACTGGGGTATTTAAGTGTCCTCTAAAGTAGTGATATAGCGTGAATAATATTGAAATTAACATGACTGAATGGAAATCATTACGGTCATTTGCCTCTACCTACTAAAGAGATTAGACAAGCAGTTTATACCATCTGGCAAATTCCAAGGGCATCCCCAATTGATTGATCTATCAGCAGTTCTTAAGCAGTATGCTAATATAACTATCTAGTGTCCAGGCTTGTCGTGCTTCGGATCCTTCTTATGAGACTCCTCATCTTCATCACGCTTCTGTCCGTGCTCGGGTTTCCCACCGTGATGGTGGTGGTCATCGTCCCGCTTCCCCTGACCCTCATTGGGCTGACGCCCATGACTGGGGCCCTCTCCGCCTTGGGGATGATGCTCATCCTCACGCTTCACCTGGTTGTGGTCAGGCTTGCGTCCATGACTGGGACCCTCTCCGCCTTGAGGATGATGCTCATCCTCACGCTTCACCTGGTTCTGACCAGGCTGACGCCCATGTCTGGGGCCCTCTCCGCCTTGGGGATGATGCTCATCCTCACGCTTCGCCTGGTTGTGGTCAGGCTGGCGTCCATGACTGGGACTCTCCCCACCCTTCGGATGGTGATGCTCGTCCTCACGCTTGTGAGGATGGCCACCCGACTTGCTGTGGGGATCTTGATGTTTCTGATCCTCATCGCCTCTCTTGGGGTGGCTCCCAGGGTCCTTGGGGCCTGGGTGTCCCCAGGGTTCGGCTCGCTTTCCGGGATGGTCATGATGACCCTGCTGAGTGTCCACTCCGCCAGGATGGTGATCTATTCATATTACTTCTATAAGCTATGCACATAGATTTAGTAAGTATAGTGTAAAGAAAACTGACCGCCACTGGCAACAGGACTGGCAACCGCGGTAGAGGCGATGGCGGCCAAGACAACGCCGGAAATGATGCTACCGATCTTCATGATGGATTGGTAAAGACTCAAGAGTTGAGGGTTAAGTAAGATTGATAGTGATTGATATCTGTAGAACTGATGGATATTCTAGCTATGAAGGATATTTTACACATATTTATATTCATCTATACTGCCTTGTTGTCCTTTGTACTGTTGACATTCTAGCCATGTCCGTGTTGGGCCCTTGCATGATGGATGACGCGGCTCAACCACGCATTGAAAAAATATCGCAACTATATCCCTCACCTTGCAAACTCTCTCATTCATCTAATGGAGTTCAATGTATTTTAACCACTTCTCAGAAACGAATGGTGTAGCCTAAATAGACTCGTGTGGGAGATATTTGGGTTGTACCTATATCTATATCATAGAAGAAAGGATAGATATAAGATAGTTGCGGGGATTTTTTTACTTTAGATTGCTAAACGAACCGAACACTAGGCCAGAAGCGAATATCTTCAGAACAAGGGGGAGGCAAAAGTGCTCCAGCCACAGCCCGATTATTACTTTGAAGCTTTTCCTCGGTCATGAGACTCTACCAAGAATAGTTCTAAAAATGGGAGAAGTGTCTGGAACAGATATCAATGGTCGAGATTTGCGGTCAATGGAATTATGAAACAAGGGAAAATGTAGCCTAGCCAAATAATATAAGTGGCAGAAATATTAGGTACGTGAGAGATCTTCTAATGCTACCCATTACTACTCATGTCATGGTTATCAGTCCCTTATTATCATTGCTAGTTGAGGAAGCCTTGTTGAAACAGAGAGACAGTCTGAATAGATTGGAATATAAGGCTGTACTTGGTCATCATAAATCTAACATTTTGGTGGCTGAGTGATTGCCTCTAAAAGGCAGGCAGAAACACTATGTGGAAATTGAAACATGAAGCCCTAGCAGCCAAGGTTCAATTCTTGATAATCGCCTATCCAGAAACCCTTGTTCCATTCTTTGCTTGCGTAATGGCCTAATATTGAACAGACTACCGCCTGCATATATGCCTCAACATTAGAAGGGGGGCCACAGATCTAAGCAGTGTAATTGATATCACGGGAACCAACAGCAAGACTTCCCTTGGAACATAGAGCCTTCGGCACAATCGAAGAAACCCTCTATCCCACTGTCGTAAGAATGGCAAGGATTCAAAATTGGGACACAAGAAAAATTACAGCAATTATTCATACTTCCTGACAGAGCCTGCGAGTGCCAATAATTTGACCCAAATATCAAAGAAAATAGATATAGGTTTTGTAATATAACCATCTAATATAACCATCATTAGTTACACACTAGTTGACTGCTCTTAGATGGGTATATTTTATGTAGTTCCCTCTGTAACACCATCTACCGGAAAGCTTGATTAGCCTATTGGCTGGGTGCCCCTGGCAGCTTCTGATCAGAAAAGGCAGGGTTCACCAGAAGATGGGGCAGCGTATGCAGTAACTAAGACGACCAGCAAGGATTGCTGCCCGAATGGCAATGGCCAGCTAATAGGCACTCCTAGTAAACGCGTAATCTGATTCAGATCCAGCTAAGCCCTGCCTATCAATCGTAATCTGCCTGGGAGACAAAAGCAACGCTATAAGTTCCCAGCGGTCAAGGGAGGACAATATACATGCTTTAATATTACTAGTGCTGGCACATATACTACTAGTAAATAATGAGAATTTGGCGTAGAGAATAGTAGCTATACCTATAAAGCAGGTACTAATCCATATGCCTGACTTGTATTATAGTTACCTTATTATTCTTTCCTCGCCTTCAACATGATAGACAGCTAGACTATTAATGAGTCTCTTAAGAAGGAACCTGCCTGCACTTCTACAGCCTAAGCATACTAAATTATACATAAATTTCTTAGATATTATTTAACTAGTAGATCATGATAAGTGTAGAAATAAAAAAGCTGTTTTGTAGATTAGCAGACTAGATTTATGTATAAAATGATATTGTGAAGCTTGACTTTTTATATGTATATTATTAACTTGAGAGTTGTCTCTGTCTTGTCGCTGTTGGACGTTTCTCGACTCCATGAGCCATCGGCCTGGAAGCCATAGCCAGAGATGGATGCCCCCGCGGCAGCCTTGAACATGGCGGTTTTCTCCACCGTCGAGGCAGAACCGAAGTTGTCTGAGTCTTCGATTGAATAAAGACGACCGCCGAGCTGCACTTGAGGGACAAAGCAGTAGCCTATTAACGTTCCAGTTAGCATGGAGATCAAGAGCCGTTTAAGCTTCAATACCGTATTTCCTATGGAATCGCTCTAGTTCCGTCTTTGTTCGATGTTCTCTCAAGCGGTTGAGATCGGCCTGGCATTCTTTGGAGATCTTGAGCGAGTCCTCGTCGAGGAAGAGCTCGACGCGGGGGAACTATCAATACGTCAGTATCGCTGGATGAAAGATTCACAGATGACAGAGTATATACATCATATGAAATGTACATTTGTTTTTTATCATTGAACTTGCTATTGGCGGCCCCATTGCTGTTGTGTTTCGTCTGGCCATACTTCACTGCCCCGCTGACACCTGCAATAGCTCCTCCTCTAGATCATGAGATGGGATGAATAAAGCAGAGAAGAAGAGAAGACCTACGCTGATGCTTGAATTACCGACTGACTGAATCCGCTGAGGGCCATGGAAGTTTGTAACGCGTCTTGTGTCTCCATCACGTCGACATTGGCGCTATCCATGATCTGATATCGAGGAATGCGAAATTCCATATCCACGTCACCTTTAACGGACACAGGAAGATCGTAGTCGTATAAAACCCGTTTTTTGATTGCAAAGGCTGTTGATTAGTTAGATGGATAGCTTCAAATACCAGTTGGCCTGTATTTTCCATACCGGGAACATGAGCAGGCTGGAGACCAATAATGTTCCCTTCATCGTCAGTCAGAGGGATCTGGCCACAAAGGAGGTTGTTATTCCGCATCACGATTGCCCGCTCTCTCTCAGTCATGTCGGCAGCGTAGCTATTGGATAGGATATCAATATAAATATTCATAGATACTTGAAAACATACTTACGTTGTATTTTGACTGCCGCCCGCAGCCCACGCGGAGGAAGAATAAGCACTGGATAATTTCTCTGCCTTGGCGGAAGGCAGGGAAGGTTTTGAAGACTGTTTCTTTTAGCCATGACCAAATTGAATATGAAATATGTTTCTATTTTTACTAAGGACAGATCCATCTTCCCATCGTAAAAGGCTTTGACGGCCGCATTCATCTCGCCAAAGATCTTCTTTGGTTTGATATAGAGATGGAACAGAGTTGGCTTGAGAAATATAATGTTAGAGAAATAGTCAAGTCGTGAGGGAGTGATAGCACTGACTCCCTCATCTTTCTTGTCATCTTGTTTACCTGCGGCGTGATCATTTCCTTCAGTAGTTACTTCAGCGCGTCCCTCAGTACTGTCAGTGCCAGTTGGGTTCTTGTCCTCTTTCTTCTTAGGTCTCTTTTGTCCATTCCAGAGGAGATAATCCTCGAGCAGTGTATCATCAGACACTTCTGCTCCCTCTTGGGTGCAGAAAGAACTCGTCATACTACACTGTCAGTCTCGTTCTGTGAATCTCTTGGACCCCCATACAATTCTCTGTCCATCGCGTCCTTCTTTACGAGTTGTCGGCGGATGGTGGATAGACTTTCGGTGATGATGGATGGCTCCATGATCAACGCAGCCAATTGGCTTGTTTTGCCTGCCTCGTAATTAAGGAGAATCAATCGGATATTGTCAGCCATGATGATGGTGATGATAGAATAACTGAAGAATAGCTGGATAGAAACGATTAATAAGATGATGTATAAATACCTGGAATGATCCATGGAATATAGCCCACATCTTCAGCTGGCCCATAGCTGAAAAGCGAGATGTGAAATGGGTGTTTCATCACATCTGATCGGCAATCGACACGAACCAGATTGACATGCCTCCCATCAACTATAGGTGAATCTGACGACACATCATAAATAGTGTATCCACTGCTCAGCTCTTCATGATCTTTTCCATGAAGAAAATACCTCACTATTGTGTAGTTTATAAGGAAATTCAATCCATTCTTTTAGTTTATACGAAATAATCACTTTTTTTTATCTACACATGCCTTACGAAACCTACAACGTGGAATCCGGAGGCGCCCTGGTCAACCAGGCCTCCAAGACCCTCCATGGAGGAACAGGCGTGGAAACACTATACCAGATCACCGACCTCCGCCTGCTGGGCTATAAATGGGTCAAGGTATACTCGGACCAGGCCGGCGGGAGTGACAAAAAGAGCTCTGTGCATTTCACGACAGTGTGTCGGGATGTGTCCGGGGACAGCATCGACCGCAACGCCCCAATCAGCCTCGACAATGTCTTTGACGGGCTGGGCGAGTTCCGGTACCAGGCATCTAAGAAAAAATTCACCGCTACCGAGACGTCCTTTGCGGCTAGGAATTACAATCCGGATGTGACGCTCAAAGCACACAGTGGGACGGTTCATGTGTACCAGAAGCAGTACCGGTTCGCGACGCAGACCTACTTCAAATTGGATCGCCAGGGCCTGTTCACTGTGGGGAGCTGGTATGGATGGGATGTGGCAGGGTCGAAGAAGGAGATCGTGGTGAAGGCGTATGAGTTGCTGGTGACCAGGGAGCCTGTTCAGGGCGAGACAACGATCAATGCTGATGCGATTGACTGACAGTGGGATCAGGAAAATGTTGTCCAGTTCAATCAGATTCCGCAGGCGATGCAGGATGTTCTGCATAGTAGGAGGGTATAATTGTTGATCTATAGTAGCCTATCAATCAAGCACTCGTAATAGCATCTATTACTACTGCTATCCTAGGAACTATCTCACAGGAATGCCCTGGCTGAACCCCTGGAGCAATTGTCACTTCAAAAGCTGGCCATAAACGCATGATTGGAGAGAGAGATCTAATGTAGACAGAAAGCTTGACTTGTGTAACTTGATAGACGCTACTCTAGCTCTAGAGACTGAGCAGCCAGGCGGCATGATACAGCAGTCCCAGGTTTAGGGTTTAGAAGTATTAGTGATGAAGCATTCTAAAATCTTGATTCACCTACATGATAATTATCACGGCTCGACAGTAGACTACCTGGGGCTCTTTAAGAGCTGACCATTCTATAGCTATGCCATGAGGAAGCTGAGGAACACCCATAATAGATAGGAACCTTTGAGAGAAATACTTCTATAGACATTTAGTAATAAATACTAGCTAAATTAAGCGACCTACTGTATCTAGACGCTGATAAATCACTAGAATGCCTCCTATACCACCCCCAGCTTGATATTCTTAATCTTACCTATTGGTATCTCACATCTGTGGCTCACTCTCTACTGCCTTTCGCCTTACTATCCACATATTATAGTTACTTTATACTAAATGTTGATATTATATGCTAATACACTCTGATAGAAGAATATGGCAATGTTTAAACAGTAACTGGACTATTGTTGAGACAGCTTAACCCTTGACCACCAGAATTCGCATTCCTTACGCCCCCATTCATCTGCTACACATTGTGCAGCGATGCCCGCCCCCCCCCCAACGAGCGTCTCCTCGCCCTCCCCAAAGAGCATCGCCTTGGGGTTCTGGCTGTCGTAGGGCTCCCACCGCGGCCTGTCGTTGCACCGGCCTTGGATCCCATCCGGGCTCCCTGTGGTGATGAAGCTGGTGATGTAGGCGTGAAAGGTCTGGGAAAGCTTCTGATGGGAGTCACTCACTGCCCATTTGTCAGGATCACACGTCTCATAACGCATGTTGTCTCCATGCTGGGCGCCGCCATTCACAGAGGAGACCGCTGCCCACTGGTAGACGTAGACCGGCACCGAGTGATCGGCCGCGATCTCCTCTGCGGATTGCCGGGCGGGAGCGACGTAGGCGTAGTGGGCGTACGCGGCTTCAAGCCTCTTGTACTGCTCCCCTACACCAGCCCTGGTCTCTTGATAGGGAGAGTGCTTGTGCTGCGCAGGATCAGGATACAGCTCGTCGATGGCTGTGATGTCCGATTCTGGCAGCAGGGGGAGCAGGTTGCGGAAGAAATCCGTGAACTCGCTCGAGCGCGACATCTGCTTATTGACATACAGGGACCCTTCATTTCTCGAAAAGCCGGTGATGACGGGGACTCTTGCCCAGGCACCCAGGCGCCATGTCTCGATTGGCGGCCGGGGGATGATGTCCCCGTCAATAACCGGCTGGAAGGCCCACGCCAGCGACGGATTGTACTTGTCAAAGACTCGGTTCTGTGCGTCGGTGATGGTCTTGCTGCTCACTGTGCGAAGGAACGGGAGTATCTCATCCTCGCCCAGGTGGGCCGGACAGCCCGCCTCCTGCAGAAAGTCTTTGAACTGCTGCTCATGGATCGGCGCATTGTACGGCCGCACAGCCCTGGACGTAGGAGAGCCAGACTCCATCACTGCGCGGTGGAAAAGCGGCGGCTCGTTCTGGCGCAAACTCATCATATGGTGGCCGATCTGGAATGGGATTCAATAAGCATCTCATCCAGGCCAGTCAACAGGCTGTCTTACCGCATGGGCACCGGCGGACAGGCCGATCAGGGTGACATTGCCCGGGTCTCCTCCAAAACGGCCGATATTCTCCTGCACCCACTCCATGAGCAGTACCTGGTCTCGGAGCCCTAGATTGAGAACTCCCTCTTTGGCGGTCACACTGGATGGGAGGAAGCCCAGGGCGCCCAGTCTGTAGTTGAACGACACGCCGATGAAGTCCTTCTCCGACCATGCCACCATGCTTGCTGTGTTGTGCATTGATGAGGTTCCGCGATTGAAAGCCCCGCCATGGATGACTATGGCGACCGGCTTGGGAGATGGCGATTTCGCCGCCTCCGACTCGCGAAGGAAGATATTCGCCGTCAAGCAATCCTCATCGTAGCCTCCCGGCGCTGTCACCCCGGCCAGCAACTGCTTGCAGGGCGCAGCCGGGCCGTAACGCGACGCATCTACAGTGTCTGTGGAAGCTGGCACCTTGACCGGCCTCCGGAACCGACGCTCTCCTACGGGGGGCAGCGCATACGGAACACCGAGAAAGGCTGTGATGCGACATGGCAAGGCGTCTGTCAAGGTTGTTCCAAGCAGTCTGCCTTGTGGCAGGACGACAGAGGGGGGTGAATTGTCTGTTGATGCCATTTGGATGATTGATGCGATAGACGTAATAAAACGCAGAATAAAATCGTCGCAAGGCCCTTCAAATATCTTTATCCAGTATCTTATCTCGGCGGAATCTCCGACGCTCTATCCGGCACTGCGTAGATAGCCGACATATACTTAGAGATAGGATAGTTCAATATTACAGACGAGCCTGATACCTTCGCCACGCGAGGGGGCTCAAAGACAGGGGCTATAATCAGTATTATTCTTTATTATTATTATTATTATTTTAATTAAGATATTATAGAGTAGAGCTCTATAAGTTAAACCTGCTCTAGACATATACTTATTTATATACTCAGGTCTATTGGCAGCCACTCTGGACCTACTGCCCTACATTCGTAATTATTCATACTAATCTAGATGATTAGGTAAAGAATCATCTAGGGATTTACCTAGGAATCGCCTAGTTATTAGTATAGGAATTATAGGAATTAATGCAGGAATTAATATTTCTATATAACAGAGAGTAAAGAGTAATTCACTGAAAAGCTAGGCGTGTGTTAAGATATTATAGAGCACAGTATAATAGTAAATTAATAGACTAGATATAGTAATAACAACTTATTTATGACCTAGAGTAGGGCTGGAAGATGGCAGGTTTATAGCACATTACTTCAATCTATTTGGTTTGAATTGGGCGCGTAGTATAGCCGCTGTTTCTGCGCCTAGAGTCAAGAGAGGCCCTTTTCCGGCACGGCAGACATGGTGACTTTCTCAATGCCTTCCAGCACCTCCTCAGGGATAATCACATCATCCTCCAATCCATAGTTTGTGTCGCGCACGTATCGAAAGGCCACCCAGATCTGGGGCCCGATGGCCAAGAACTGCGTGACAATCTGAATGACGAACTGCGTCCGAATAGTGACGCCGGCACTCGCGATGCCAAACCCGATGGCCACGCCGGCCGCCATGGCGGATCGCAACAAGCCCGCGTACGCGGCCGACTTCTTGGGGTCGTTGGTCAACGAGGCCAGCAGCCAGGCGATGTAGACGGGGGCGACGGAACCGAGCGTGTTGAAGACGACGAAGATGACGAAGAAGCCGGCAAAGCTCGGATCGGTCCAGTCGTAGGCCGGCTCGGAGGCCAGCTCGGCGGCGGAGATGACGCGAAACAGCCAGCCGGCCTCGCCGCTGTAGATGCCGAAGATGAGGAGCGACATGAGAAGAATGCCCACCTTGGCGCGGACACGGCGTGGCCATGCCGGGTGGTCAAGAAGCAGGCCAAAGCCTAACGTGGCGATGACTTCGACAATGGCAGCCACAAAGGTCAACAGACTGCGAGTCCTGGTATTGAAGAACTTGGCTATTGGAGCGTCAGTCACGGCCTTGATTCGAGCCCTGTGTGAACGGCAAGCAAGCCCTACCGCTAATCTGCGGCTGCAGAATGAGCTGAAAGTCGGCGACGATCAGGCAGGGAACAAGGAGCATGGCTTTGTGATCAAAGACAAGCCGTGCAACCGCCTGGAACTCCTGCTTGAAGGAGTCATGGTGGAAGATGGCGATGGCGGTCCCGTCCCTGCGGCGCACTTTCTCCGGCTTGACCACCAGCACGGCCAGCGCCATGGCGGCCAACATGATGCAGATGAAGGCGACATACACTGCCGTAGGGACCCCGGAGCTGCTGCGGTTGTTGGCCGTGAGCCCTAGAGTCAGGGCGCTGGCGACCACGTTGCCGGCGGCCTTCATGGCGGCCTGGGTGCCGTAGAATCGGCCCTTGTTGTTCTCGTCTGCGTAGGCAAAGGCGATGTAGTTGACGCCCGTCCACAGCTGGCTGGCAGTGGCTCCAATCACTGCTCCTCCCACCACGGGGAAGGCCAGGTTCCCTACACGGTCGTAGTAGAACAGCCCGGCGACGTAGAATGGGTAGCCAAACGCGCCGAGCTGAGATGGGTGCAAAGAGGTCAGCGATGTGTGTATTGTTCATTGATTGGGGAAATGCTGGTACTCACCAGGATGGACCATCGGGGCCCGAACCGGTTGATGATGGAACCACCGAAGAACCCGGTCACGGTGAAGACACCGTAGTTGACGGAGGATACGATGTTGTTCATCTCGACCGACGTCGACTTGCCGCCTCCAGCTCCTAATGCGGAGATCGCCACATAGATACCCACAGTGCCAAAGAGCACCAGGCCGGCGATGAAGTTCTGGACGCCTGGGAGGTTGAGCCTGTAGCCGTGTTCCATGGATGCCATGGCGGCCATCTTATCAAGTGGAAGCAAGGAGGCTGGTTAGTAGTTTCCTATGGAAAGGTAGTGTACCTTATGTTCCATACAAGGAGATGACCATGTGTAGTTAAATATTTCTTCTCAGCTCTCTTCTGGCCGATCTTATCACAGTGCATTGTTGATAAAGAGTTGTTATCAATGGGCAGACGGAATTGCCGTTGATGATAGGCATAATGGCCTTAATATCAGGGTTATATTTATATCTAGCTTATTTTATTCTATCTAACCCTAATTGTGACTTTCCCTATTTCTTTATTCAATAGGTTAATGTTATATCTATTGTAACAGTCCTTACAGTAGGTAAAAAAACCTAAACCCTAACCCTAACTATATCTTCTGGTAAATGCCATTTACGTATTGATAAAAGATAACCAACACCCCTAGACATTCTAGTTATTCCAAGTATCCCAGTTATCAGACATCCAGTCAACCTGAGTGACTGCTGAAGCCAGCTCATTGAGGTGATTGGGCCAGGGCAACAGCTCTCCATGTGCATTCTCGCTTTCGAGAAGATCAGACACAGCAAAAGAGTGAGTCTCTGGGGTGCTCAGCTCGGGCTGAGTCTCTGACACAAGAGTTTGGTCTACAGACCTCTCTAGGACAGACACCCACTCGTCAAAGTCGAACTGTCTCCCGAGATGGACTTGTCGAGTCTCACGATCCTGCTGGCTGATTTCGCGGACGTAGTTCATGATGCCATCTGTGACGCGATGTAGATCGACTGCAGGCGAATCGCGTCTGAACCGGCGTTCCTTGGCCATACTGTTGAGCTTGTAGTAGATGGAGATTTGGCGAATCTACCCTCCATCAGATAGAATTAGTTTCTATATTTATACTGTATTGATGCTCTTACCCAGTGGATGGCCAGGCTCCAGTGCTGTCCGAGATGGTTGACAGCACCCAGGTCTTGTTTGAGATAGTCTAGACTTGACTTGTGGGCGAAGTGTCGCTGCATGCTTGCCCACTGAAAGGTGGCCTGCATGATGTGAACGCTTGCGGCGGCGAGTAGGCCCAGTCCGTGAAAGGGATACGCGGCAGCCGAGAGCTGCCGGCTGGTCATGGCTTCAAAGAGGTCGGAGATGGCATTGGCACTCTCCACCATCATGTCGGTTGCTGTGTGCCAGAACTTGACTGGGGCGGGCACGTCTGTCGGCTCGAAGACCGGGCCGTCACAGGGACCTACCATGGAGGAGTTGTGTAAGAACTGTGAAATGCAGACATTCGCAGGGATATTCTTACCGTCTGCCGGGTCATAGTCATCATTGGCGATGAAGGGGAGATACTCTCGGTAGAGATATAATCTGGCCTCAAAGTACACCATAAACATAAATGCCCAGAGCTTGTCCTGGCCCGAGGCGATGATGGCAGGAAGCTTTGCCAGATCAAAGTCCAGATGGGCGGGGATGGAGGACCTCCATTGTTCCAGGGAAGCCCCCAAGGCCGAGAAGGGCATGTTAGGAAGCCAGGGAGATCGTGCGTCCAAATGCCGGCCGCCACGCCCATGCCAGGCGAGGACTTGACGAAGAAGATGGACAACACGGATGGTATGCCCGAGGATTCCCACCGGGGTGTGAGGATGCCGGACACAGGCATACGCGCAGCTCAGGGTACACGTCACCACCGCCCGTTCGAAGATGAAGGCCTCGTCTGGGCCCGGCAGCTGGGTGGTGATATCCTCCGGCGACAAGGTCGCGACTCGGTCGCGACCATTAGCCAGCAGATTCTCCAGGCAGAAACAGCACCAGAACGTGCGGCGCATGGATTCCGCCAGGGAGGCAGACTCCGTGGGAGGGTGATTGCCCCAATTCAGCTGGCTGGGGTTGGAGTCCAGGCGATGCAGCTGTAGTAACTGAGCCAGACGGACGGCGTGTCCCAGACGCAGCCACGCCTTATGCTCGGCGCCATCACCGATCTCGTAGATGCACAAGACAAGACAACTTTGGACGGTCGTCAGCGATGGCACATCGTATGTCTTGTCAAGTTCCTGCCGGGCGAGTGAAGCATAGCGCTCGCTGATATTTGCTGGCGAGATGCATCTAGATCGTTAGAACATAGAGAAGCAAGAGAAAATATATCTCACCACCAACCTCGATACTAAAGCAAGGATACTCAGAAGAAGCGGCAGGGGCAGGTCATCGCCCGTTGCCCCGGGGACGAGCTTTGGCAGCGGGATAAAACACAGCAAGGTTGAAGCGTAGTGTTCACGAAAGTAAGCAATGGCGCTCCGGCGAAGATCATCGCTGGGTAATCTAAATGAAGCCAGTGTCAGACACATACAGACACACATAATGACTTTGGATGGCAGTCACGGACTCTGCAGTTGGAGGCGACGGGGAGTTTGCCAGTTGGCCATTGTTCTCGGGAATGGGCGTGTGCAGTGAGAGTCTGGACAGTGGCTGCCCAGGATAGACACAGGCCCTGTCCCGGCGTTGACAGGCGGTACATGACGGCCAGGAGCCTGAACAGCGAGCTTTGCGTTGCCTTGATGCTCATCAGCCGAAACGATACTAATGACGGTGTATTACTATCCATATATATGGAAGTACCTGCAGAAATTGCAAGCCAACGCAGTTCGCGCGCTCCTCCGTCGGTGGCTGCTCATGTTGGGGAGGTGAGAAGCTCAGAAACGGAATTGCCGTCAAAAGGCCGATCTAAAGGATGAGGGGTTCGGAAGAGCCGTATGAGTGTGATAAGCTCTGACGTTAAGATTACCACTTAGTAATGCACCATGATCTAGTGATTAATTCACTAGAAATATTAATATATAAAATAGAGTGAGTAAGAATTTATATTGATTCAGTGTGTTTAAACATCACATCATGACTATCTATAAAGAGACTCTTATCCCGCAAGCAGGGGGAGAAACAATCATGGGTGATGCTTTTTCTATAGATGAGGCCCTTAGACAAGCAAAAGATTCCTATATTTCCACATTTCCAGAGTCCCAGACGCGGTATGAAGAGGCGCTCGAGGTGATGCCTGGCGGGAACACTCGCTCAGTCCTTTTCACCGCACCATTCCCAGTCTTCATGAAGAAGGGAAAAGGAAATCGATTATGGGACTGTGATGGAAACGAGTGAGTGCTTCTCCTTGATTTTCACCCCATTTGAGCCATCTGCGGTATAGTCTTTCCTCCAAGTCTACCACTGATAAACATTGAGATATCTTGACCTCGTGGGCGAGCTCACAGCCGGGCTGTACGGCCATTCCCATCCCAGGCTGCGACAAGCCCTGCTGTCCGCCTACGACACCACCGGCATTAGTCTTGGGGCCACAACGACGGAAGAGATGAGGTTTGCCAGACTGATCTGCGGTCGTTTTCCCAGCATCGAACACATCCGCTTCTGCAACTCGGGCACCGAGGCAAACCTGTACGCCCTCAGTGTCGCGCGCAGAGTCACTGGCAAGAGAAAGGTCATCGCCTTCGACGGCGGGTATCATGGCGGTGTTCTAGGGTTTGCCCATGGGGTTGGAGAGAACAACGTCGATCCTGGGGACTGGGTACTGGGTGAATACAACAACGTGGAAAACGCAAAGAACCTGATCCAAGACACTCCTGAAGTGGCCGCAGTCATCGTTGAAGCAATGCAAGGAGCTGGCGGGTGCATTCCTGCGAGCCTGGAGTTCCTCAAGACCGTCCAAGACGCCGCGGCCAGTGTATGAAACCTACCCTAACCATTACTATATCCCTCTCTAACCCTACTTGTTCGACAGCGGGGGGTCATATTCATTCTAGACGAGGTCATGACTTCCCGCCTCCATCCAACAGGACTGCAGGGAAAGTATGCCCTCAAACCCGATCTCACGACACTAGGCAAGTATCTCGGCGGGGGACTCGCATTCGGCGCTTTTGGTGGCCGCCGATCGCTTCTATCAGCCTACGACCCTCGACTGGCCACCAGTCTTGCCCACTCGGGAACATTCAACAACAACAGCTTAGCCATGAGCTGCGGGTACGTGGGCCTGTCGGAAATCTATACGGCTGAAAGGGCTACGGAGTTGAATGCTCTGGGCGATTCCTTCCGCGAAAGCCTGCAGGACGTTGCCAGGGGCACCAAGTTGGTCGTGACAGGTATCGGAGCCGTCATGAATATCCATTTCATGAGCAATGGCCAAGCACCAGCATGTGCAGCCGACCTGGAAGCACACAGCGTAAGTGGCCTCAAGAAGCTGTTCTGGTACTGGTCTTTGAGTAAAGGCTTTTGGATCACGGAGCGAGGCATGATGAGTATCATATTAGACACCGAGAAGAGCGAGCTGGACACGTTTGTAGAAGCAGTCAAGGGATTCGTGAAGAGGTATCAAAATCTTCTACAGATCAAGCTTTGAAATAGCTTAATCAGACATGACGCTTTCACAGCTAAGTTGAATATAATATTATAAAAAGACTGCAAGAAATCAGTTAATGGTCTGTATTCATCTTTTCCACCCGGATCTGGTCAGAACCTCCACCATTCTAATATCCCCCCTCTCAACGGCGATCTGGAAAGAGGCCGGATCAAAGATCTCCTCCGTTCTGTCTTTATATGCCTCCAGGATCCTCTCTACCAGCCGCACACACCCCGCTGAAACGACTGTTTTCATATTGATCCTGTATCTCCGTCTGTCCAGCACGAGAACGGCGCCATGTTCGAGCAAGACCTCTGCCATCTCGTACTGTTCTTTTGCAAGACAATACTGTATAGCAGTAGGTGCTTTTTTCCGTTTGATGGGGCTACTGCTGATCCGGGTTTCGACGTTAGCACCGTGTAAGAGCAGAGCATTCGCGAGTGAGACATCGTTCTTGCAAATAGCCCGATGGAAAACGGTCTTCCCACTAGTTAACAGCGAGGACTTCTCAGTTGGCGGTTCAAAGGGAGCACCGCGTGATAGAAGCTCGACGGCAGCCATGGAGTGATGGTGCAAGACCGCCAGGAAGAAAAGCTCGTATAGTGCATCGGGTGTTTTGCATTCTGGCTGCATTTCGTGCAGCAGGTCGATGACGGCAATATGGCCCCCCTGTGCAGCCCATGAGAGAAGAGAAAAATAACCCTCTATTTTGCTTGGTTTCCATTCCTCTTTCATAAACAGATGGCGGAGGGGATTGACCAATCCATTCCGTGTACACCAGTTGATCGCATTCCCGGCTTGTTCGTCTGATAGACTGGATAACACACCCTGGTTGAGGAAGGATTCAGCCATGGCCGAATGCCCGCGCCGAAGGGATCGGCAGAAGAGCGGACGAATATCTATCTCGCTGTAAGACAGAAGGAAGAGCTCAACACCCTGGACCCAGTTAGCAGTGCACGCGGCCTCGATATCGCGCTGCAGGTGATATTTTCGAATCGCCAAACTAAAGGCATCTCGCCGGATGAAAAAGCGAGCAATTAATGATTCCAGCTGTGCTGAATTGCGGGATTCAATCGCGTCCTTCATCGGCCGGTCCTTCCATCCACGAGGGACAGGCAAAGCGCGGGCGTCGTGGTCAATCAGGAGCTGGGAGATGTCTTCATGGTTGCATCGGTTGGCGAGTGAATACGCCGATTCGGCGTAGTATTCGTCTTGTGTCCAGACGTTCACGTCGAGCAATGGGCTGGTGTTGAGAAGCGCTTCGACGATCTCGATGTTTCCCCGGGCAACGGCCTCGTGAAGGACCGATATGCTCTCGTCGCTGTACGTGTAGTTGATGTCAACCCCGTGTTGTAACAGGAGATGGACCGTTTCCACCGATGCATACTGCACAGCCAGCCAGAGGTGGTGATCAAAGAGGCTTTGCCTGGAAAGACATTGCTGGATGCTCTCCAGGTCGTCAGATTGGATAGCACGCGCAAGGGACTGTCCCCTGTCAAGACGTGGCTTCAACAAGGCATGTAATTGTGGATGGACTAATGAAAGACCACAGAGCATTTGCAGGCCATCGGGGAGCCTCTCAACATGAGTAGAGATAGCCAGGAGAAGTTCGTTGGGAAGGGTTAGCATCATCAAGTGGAAAGGTGTATAGAGACAAGAATGATTGAGGAGAGGAAAAGGAGGCTTCCAGTTGAATTGGTAGTCGAGATCACCTGACTACTATCCTTGTTGAGACTGGTTCGACTTGGCTGATGCAGAACTATTGCACTCAATAGTGATATCAACTTGATGATCTGATAAGCAGGAGGAAGATATATGAAATAACTTGGCTATGTCCGCCTACATTAAAATAACTATGAAGATGAGATTCTACTCAAAGTACTATGCAGGAGCTGAAGTGGCGGTCAGGCTCTAAAGCTCACCGACTATCTTATAGATGGCTTCAATGCTAGGACAGCAGTGTTCACATCTACAATGGCTAAGCATAGGAATACCCTTGCATGATAATAATAAACATCAAATCCTCTATATATTAAGGTATATTCTAGTTGGTAAGAATTAGTAGACGGATTACTTTGTATCACTCAAGTTTAATATTCAATATAAGTAATCTACCCACCTATATTGTGTTATTTAAGTTAAAGTGGTTACTGTTAATACTTTAATAAGTGGATAGGATAGGCCTCTACTCCTATAGGGTTTAGGGTTTTATGTGTTAGCTAAGGTCCTTAGAACAATGACTTGTATAATTGCTGAAGATGAAAGAACGCTAATCTATACATCAGTCTCATACTGATGACATCTGATTCCAGGACTGGCATCACTGTGTCACGTCCTCGAACCAGTCAAAGATCAACTGGTTTAGAAATGACTGAGCGCCAACGTGGCAATGATTGCCAGCAGCATCGGCATCCGTGAGAACAACAAAGGTGGCCTTATCACCGAGGGCATCTGCCACCTTCTTGGGTTGTTCTGCAAAGAAAATATCATTGGCAGCCTCGCCCACCCAGACGGGACATTTGACATTCTCAATGACGCCGGCCAATGCCATCGGCTTCACCATCTGGAACCAGTCGTACGCCGAGTGTGTCCTGAAACTCCACAGACCCTGTTCAATACCCCAGCGGATCTTCATCGGCAGCGAGTTCTGATCGAGCATGTGGCGAACAACCTGATCCATCTTGTCTCGCTCGCCGTTGTCGAGAAACTCCCTGAGCTGCGGCGGCAGGATGTTCGTAAACGCAGCGTACACATCCCACACACCATCGATCGCCATGACGCCTGCTAATCTGTGCTCCATGGCTCCTGCGCGGACAGCAAGATACCCGCCCATACTCTCTCCGATCAGCGCGATGCGGGAGGCATCTACCTCCTCCCGCTGCACCAGATAGTCCACGATGGGCGTCACCACTTTCTCCCAGTCAGGGATGAATCCTTTGTTCTGCTGTCGGAGCACGGTGGGCTGTCCTGGGCCTTCGTATGTGATGACGTTGAACCCACGCTCAATGGCTCCAAACCCGACATGGTGTATAACTTCCTCCATGCTCCCGTCATAGCCGGTTCCTGCGATAATGGTCGGCTTCGGGGTCGTCGGGTCCCCTGCTCCCGGGCAGAAAATGCCCAGAACGTCAAAGCCATGGTCTGTCTTGATCGTCACCCTCTGACCCGGTTGATCCATGAGTTGCAGCGCCCTGTCAAAGGCGGCGGCCTGTTTATCCCAGACCTCATTGAGGCGGGGATCCGACTGGTTGCCGTGTAGGTAGAATTCAGAGGTGCGGTAGTAGGTGGCCACTCGGAACCAGGCATCGCGGGCTGAGATACGGTGACGAGCAGAGTCGATGGCTTGGGCTTGGGATTCGACCCGCTGGGCAAGATCATAAAACGCAGTGTACCAGCTCTCCAGGTTGCCGATTTCCAGTTTGTCGGCAGCCTCGAGGATTTCGCCTACATCGGCGCCATTGTAGCGTGCCGCAGAGAGAGTGCGGAGCAGCTCAAAGTGATAGGACTCGTCTGGAAGGAGTTGAAACATGATGTGCTGGAATAGTATGCTTGATCCAAGTCCTGCGGCTGGACATCTTATTATATACCTAGGTATACAACAATCAGACCACTATTGACTCTTGGGATGATTACTTCTCCCACGCAGGGGTACTCGTATTTGGGGGCAGGAATGACAGCCTCGGCTCAGCCCTTTGTAAAACAGTAGGCGCATATTGCCAAATTGGCCAATAAAATCTCATTATAGTGACTAATAGCGTGGATGACATCATGCTTGAACCAGATCGGCTCAATTCCACCCCCGAATACTAATCAGATTAACCACTAGTGATGGGGAATTAGACTAGAATGCTAGCCTGACGGTCGGAGACGCCGAGTCTTGTCCTTATTGAGGCTTTAAGATCTCTGTATAGACGTTGGCCCGTCGGGGTCTCCTATGCGGGTGACGGTTACGTGGGGGCGGCTTGCAAAGAATTGACCTAGTATGGTCTAGCAGCGTCTGCTTGAAGGTGTTCTCTAAGAGTAGACCAATGTCAGTAGATAATATGCTATTATAATCACTTTAGAGAATTACATATCTTGATTGTCCACCCACTTTGCTTCAGTCAGAACATTGATTAGTATTTATAATAGTAGGGTGTACTAGGGAGCTAAGCTTAGATCCTATATTAATTATTCTAGATGATGAAAAATGACATTGTTCTAATTATCCTGAGGACTAGATAATATATAATAAGTATTTATTATGGACATTATAAATTCAGGCACTCATTAAGCTATATTAGATATTTTATTTATTTAATAGATAGCATGTTCTACTACTTTCTGTTAAGCACTATTAAATATGATTATAGGTCATTAGGTTATAAAGTAATAGAGGTTATATATAGTGTTTACTCTAGAACCTATCACTAGAGAAAGCAGGTGCTATGCTATAGTGAATTATCGGCACAGGTAAACGCTGGAGTGACACTGCCCGAATAATCCGCAATAATCGCTTTGACAGCTGCATACAGCCCCGGACCCAGCAGAAAGAGACCGCAGGCAAGTACCAACAGATGGATAAGCGTCATGATGCTTCTCCAGACCCCAGTAAAGAGCCGTCCCCGGTAGAGCTGCCAATACGCGGCCGCAAAGAAGATAAAGCCGAAGAAGGAGTCAAACGCAGCACTCAGCAGCGACAGAAAGTCGCCCATGCTGGGAATAACCTCTGCGAAAATGAAGCCGAGCCCCCAGATGAAGACGAGGAGGACAGCCCACACGCTCCACCCGGTGACTGTGTGGCTGTGTGTGTGTCGTGAGGTGCCGAGGATGCGGGAATAGACAAACTTCGCCGTGACGTTGGCATAGATGACCCCGATGATCAATGTCGGCACAATCACAAACGCAAAGGAGGCCTTTTTGTACGTTTCCACGCCGAGACTGCCGAACGCAGGTGCCGTGGAGTACTGTCCCAGATAGCGGAATCCGATCGCAGGCGGGATGATGAAGAGGATGCTGGATAGAGCCGTCAACACCGCCAGAGATTTTGGGAAATCCTGGGGTCGTTCCATCTCGGAAATGAACGTGGGGAACAGGATCTGCGGGACCCAGAGGAAGGTGATGTTCAGCACAGCGTTCATGCAGTCCACCCATGTTGTTCCTGGCAGGGGAAACGCATATGTGTGCACGAGGCCTGCGGTGGGATAGTCGCCGTCATATCCGTAAAGAGGGGCGGATTCAATCCCAGCAAAGACGAGGAAGAGCAGAATCGAGATGCCCATACACGCGGAAGAGAAAATCGACATGGACGAGACCTGGCGGAGGGTACGTGGTGCGGACAACAAAATCCCCAGAATGGTTACAATCACCGAGAAGACGACGCTGCACTGCGAATGATCGGAGAGCGTGTTCAAGATCTTGCAGCCGGTCAGGATGTGGAAGCCGATCAGCATGATGTTGTTGGCCAGGAGCATGAATCCGCTGAATTCATAGGCGACACGAGTCCCTCCGAAGACATAGTATCCAAAGTCGCCTATGATATCAGTACACATCGCCAATAACTAGCATTGTACAGTGGGAACATACAGATATTTGTGATGTGTGGATGCTTCATGATATACTGATGCATGGTGATCGAAGTGATCCAGAACAGAATGCCGGAAATGACCGACGTCAGGATCCCAGGGACCCATCCAAGAACCCTAACAATCAGTACTATCCCTTGCAGCAGTTTGAGATAGATCGACATACGAGAAAGACCAGGACTGCGCCATGATGGCCAGACACACTTGTTCACCAGCCAAGAGCCACGCGGCCTTTTGCCACGACATGGTCCGCAGCTGAATTTCATGCTGGTGGTCTATATATCCTCAGTTGGTATTCTGGTGCTCATGACGACTATCACACGGGAGTAATGGAAAATACCCTCTTCAATCAATGCAGCCAAGGTGTCGCTGCTCCCACTCTCTGTAATCCCGGGTTCTTTCTTGTCTGCCATGGTGGAAACTATCAACCAAGAAGCTTATAAATAGCTATGTAGTCTCATACAAGTACTCAGCTCAATTCTTATATCTGAAACCCTGCGATGGCGTGATAATGGACGAAATGATAAGATCAGCCACCTCAGCCGCCATGGTGTGATAGTGGACTCCCGGGCCAATAGCACTGTAAGCTTATGCCGCTCCTAGCCCTACCTAACCTGACTGGGCAACTCTTGCAAGGTACCTTGATATGATTGGAACCTTGGGAGTGTGAACCATGGAACGGCATTCATATGGAGGTCTCCGAAGGTCTGGGGCCAGGAACACTAAACCTAAAATATTATAGATCTCAGATTATAGATCTGGCAGTTGGCGATAAAATAAATATAGTGTGAATATTTTGCTATTGAGGCATTGAAAGAGGGTATATGATATATGTCACCCCTATCTACTCAATCCTGTAAACTACCTTTTCCCCCCTGATTTTCTCCTCCTTGAGCATAGCCAGTCCATCCAAGATCCCATCCAGGCCTCCATTTTCTACTCTCTTGGGGTGAGGAATCAACTTCCCCTCTGCCACGATTCGCTCAATAAAGGTCGTCCACCGCTTGGCGAATTCAAAGTCTTCCTCCGATGCAGGGTAGTGGTGGCCGTACTTGTCGAATTTCTCGCCAAACATGGTATACATGCTTGTGGAGGAGAAGGAGGCAAACCCTTCTCGCGGAGGATCATCCGGGTGCACCGTGCCAAAATGTACAATTGACGAATCCGAACTCAGCGCGGCATCGCATAACTCGGGCGAGTACGCGACGTCCCACGCATAGCGCAACGTATTCTGTGTGAACTCGCGGATCTTCTTTCCACAGTCTTCGTCATTGTAATCAAAGATATGGTCTGCGCCGCGCGACCTCACCAGCTCTTCATTCTGGGGAGAACAGGTTGTGAGCACTGTGTAGCCTGCCATTTTGGCCAACTGGATTCCCAGAGTCCCTGTCGCAGTACTCCCACCCGAAATGAAGACGTATTCGCCTTTTCCTAGCCCGTCTTCAGGCCAGGCAAGCCCAATCGATTTATTGTGACCCGGTTGGAACAGGCCCTGTCCGACCGTGATCGCCCCGAGAGGAATGGTACACAAGTCCTCTAGACCGATCGACAAGGAGAACGGAACCCTCATGCTCACGTCCCCTTTGACAAGAGCGTATTCGGCAAAAACACCATCGGTGGCTTCGCTCTGGTTCGACCCATGTGCGCATCCGTACACTTTCTCGCCGACGGAAAACGACTTTGCTACGCCAGGCCCGAGAGACACAACAGTTCCTGCATAGTCGCATCCGACAATACTGAAAGGGTCTGCGCCTTTTGCATGGTTGATATGTTTCCAGTCTGTCGGGTTCAGCGCTATAGTTGAGATTTTGATGAGCATGTACTCTGGACGAAGAGGGGGGAGCGGAATCTCGCGGATTGCTGCATCGCCGGGGGTATTGAATGTAAGGGCTTTCATGATGGAGCTCTAGAACGAAGCCTTGTTTGATACTATGGCAAATTATGAGGATGAGAGTAGTGTTCTAGTATACTTAAGTATGTTCCTGTACAAAATACGTCCGGCGGACTCCGGTCTATCTATAGATAAATATCTAACTAGATTAGGTCAAGGATACCGGTTTCTGATGTTACATCAAGCATAATCATAAATCTTATTGGTTTAAAGTGAGACATAACCAAAAGACATGCATGATTTTTGAAATATTCAAATCTCCTCTGGTAGTATAATACTAGACTGGCCATAAGTAAACATCAGAGCCGCACTAACCATCCATAAGTATTGCCACAGGAATATATGACCATATAAGGCCCTAATTAATGTCTGGACATTTTTAGTGGCTCAGCGGTCTAGTGGCCCTCTATATTAATGTCATAGTCTGAGGTTGTATAATATCATATGTTAAAAATACTCTATAGCTGTACACTATGTTTCGCTGCTCATATTCAGATATAGGAACATCCTTGATAACAATGCCAAACTTAGGAAGAGAATAGCAATAGTATTGTATTTATTCATTGGACTCACATAGTTTGTCATAGAAGGTAGGAGATGCTGATAGAAAGATATGTTTATTTCCCAGAACTCTTGCCGGCAAAGGTCCAATCCTCAGGAAATTGGCCGTACTGGATATCGCCACGGCCCTGGAAGATGTCATCGTAATGGGCGATTCGAGACTCCGGATCCTTGGCCTGCTCGTAATAGCCCTGCGCCAGTCTCTGGAACGCCGAATCGCTCCACATCTTCGCCATCCACGCAAGCACATCCGCACTGGCCGTTTCCATGGGAAAGCCGTAGCTCCGGAATCGCTGCAAATCAGTATGAAGTATATCAATATGGTAAGATCAAGTCATACCCAAAGAACCGGCCAGAAGAATGCATCGGCAATGCTGAAACTTCCAAAGAGAAACCCTTCGTCGGCCTCGCCCAGGGCCTCCAGGCGCTCTTTGGTACCTTTCCGGGCGGCGTCCCAGAGATTCAGAATCTCTTCGATCTCGCTTCGCGCGGCATCGCTGATGGGGATGTCACCCGTGTACCGACCGAGGAAGTTGGTGCAGAAGGTGTTTCGAATGGTTGTGAAGCCTGAATGCATCCGGGCTGCGGCAGTGCGCGCAAGAGCTCTGAGCTGGCGATCTCGAGGCCAGAGAGGCAGCGAGGGGTTTGATTCGGCGAGGAATTCGCAAATGGCAAGTGAGTCGCAGATGGGAGTATCATTCAGGGAGCGGCAGAGCACGAGGGGCACGAATCCGCTCGGGGAAACCCTTTTCGCCTATATACTGAGTCTATCCGGATATCCAAAGTCGGGGGTTCTGGTGGTTTACCTCTGCAAGTTGCACGAATTGGCGTGTGTGTGGGATCTGGAAGTACTCCAGAACAGCCTCGACTCGGCTCCCCCAGCCTGTCATGTGTTAACAGAGGGTTGTGAGCACATAGCAGACACATACTGGAATAGCGGGTATAAGCGCTGATGAAGTGGATGTCAGGCTGTTGAGTAGCCATGGTGATGTACAGAGTATATGTGTTGTGCAAATTTCATGCTGGTGGTCTAACTATTTATCAAGGCGTAGTGACTCATAATTTGACTCACCAAGTATACAATGAAAAAATAATTTTACATTATTTAGCATAATATATCATTAGGACTAATTGATAAGGTGATATTAGTTGATTTATTTAATTTAATCTTTAAGCTTCAGCTTCTATTATACTATATTTTATTATATAACAGCCATTACATCAGTGTCTAGAGAACGAATTCAAGAATTTTTATAGAGGAAAAACACCAGATAGGCTCTAGAGAACTATAAAACACATACCTATGATACTTAATAACTGACTCATGCTGCTGGTGTAGTCATTCCGCTTGGGTCAGGAATTCTCCAACAGTTCTAAAGACCTTCTCTGCAATCTCTGGTCGCTCTAGATGGCACATATGTCCGGCGTTGGGAAATGTAATCCATAGTACACGGGGTATGTGCTCAACGAATGGAACTGTGGTGATATCATGCGAGGTGTCAAACTCGCCGTTATACACAAGCGCCGGCACGGCGATTTGATGGAGGGTTTAGGGTTAGGGTTTTCCCGGAAGGAGCCCGTGCAATTCAATGGGGATTTCCTGCTCTGAAGAAGAATCAGCAACATTGCGAATAGCCTAGACTCAAGTATGGAAAGTGAATCCACTGACATTGTGTCCCGAACTGTACTGTCCTCACCCATATGGTGGAAGGCCGGGAGAAGCTCCTTGGGGGGGAATGGATCTGCCCGGCAAAAGTAATTGCACCAAAACACGTCCATGGCAGCTTTGAAGCGGGCGCTATCGAAATTGTTCCTCTTCTCCTCCTCATCGATTGTCAATTGCACGTCTGATGGTAACTGTCCGCGGATGACTTGTAATCCCTCTAAAAAGGTTCGAGAACTGGGGATGCCGCTGGCAAGGACTAGTCGTTGCAATCCCTGGGGCTGGGCGGTGGCAAAGGCAGCGGCGATTCGACCACCCCAGCTATGGCCCAGAATGTAGTAGCCTGGCCCTTTCCGAAGCTGCAAAGAATTGATGAGATTGCTCATTGAGGTTAGGGATATTAAACAGCATATTTCCTTCTTTCTGCTCAGTGTAGGCCATGGTGCTCTAAAAGTGATAGAACAGCCATTGGATATTGATTATAAGACAAGTATAAATCAGTGGGAGGAGAATTGCAGCTTATAGTTATTTTTATATTAGATAGTATCAATTTTCAATAAGCAACCTTTTTTTATTTTTCTAATTTCTTACAATTTCTCTGAAAAGTAACCTTGACATGGGCATTAGCCACTAATTAACACTCTCTTCCTTTTTAAACTGGAGTAAGACAAACATTTAATAAGACCCCGCAGGCGGCCTAAACCTGCCGGGCTGCTTACTTGCGTCTTTTGGCCTGCCCCTCCTATAGAGGCACTCTTTCTCATCTACATCTGCAACAAGTACGTCTGGAACTCAATCTCCAACCTTGCTATCACTAGTTATAGTCCAAATAACAACTATAGAAGGAACAGAGTAAGAGTATTTAATGTTTTGAGGGACATGGATGCTAAAGATCAGTGTAATACTCAGGGGGTGTATGGCGGGTTCCTTGCCTTGGTCAACTCTATTTCCCTGAAAGACCAAGTACTGTAGCCTTGGCGGTTGCTCCGAGGATCTGCTAGGGACTAGACAGGACTGCTATGACTATCTAGTTTAGAATCACCATCAATTGATTGCTGTGGATATATTCATGTCACTACTATTAAGGAAGACCTTTACTTTATATATAGTTAAAATCCTTGAAGATTCTTATATATAGTGTAGTAAGTGTATAGATGTAATGAACTATATTGAAGTTCTAAAAGATAAATCATTTTTACTGCTTTAAATAATCTAAGTTTATATAGATATAGTATCTATATATCTATTAAACAGATATATAATCAGTGGAAACTGCAAGATAGGGCCCTTATAATTAAACGGCGCAGGAGGCTGCTCTAGTCAAACTGACCCTTATCACCCTTCTATTATTCTCTACATTTAATTGAACCCCCCGGGCGTATAATCCTTAACGGGGTTACTACCTCTATACCAGCCCCCGGGGCAGCCCGAGATACAGTATACAAGGAGCCTGGGCACCTGATGAATGCCTGAATATGGAGGCAGCGAGCGGTAGGGATCAGATCCGCTAATACAGCTAATGCAGTCGCTACTGCAGCTATCAGAGTGGCCGGCCGAAACAGGCCACCATCAAAGTCGGAATCACAGCCTGTTGCGTGGTTGAATGCTTGGCAAATGACTATCAATAGCCTAATAAAAGAATATAGAGGTTCTCTAATGGAACTAGAAAGGGTTATGAGGAATTTGTTTATACTATTATCCATTTCTATTCTCTCCCTTCAAGAAGGATCATCGCCGTGGATTTCAATGCAGCGTATTGCGTTGAAAAGAGGAGTGGGGGAGAAAGTAAAGGTGTTGGACTGCTCAGTGTTGTGGATGTTGCAACCAAGCCGTTAGACTGCATTAGCCAGCAGGTGGAAGAACAATTACAGAGTATTCCAGCAGTAATAGACAAAAGTACTAATGCCCGCTATTATAAAGAGCAACCCCTGCCTGGAGCCCAACTTTCCTGCTTTCTTTCGCATGTCAAAGGCTTCAGTATTGTTGTCATGGCGGAATCTGATATGCCTGCCGTTTCGAGCGTTGCTCCCAATTCTGCCCGTCCGCATATTGAAGTGGACACATTCGAGGATGTAAGTTTCTATAGTGAATAACCCTTTGCGGTTGTGTGCTTATTTTGCCAGGAAAACGATTCAACATATGAGGAAGGCCTGTACGTGTTCTAGTGCAATATACTGGCTAGTGCTGACTCCCTATAAATTAGTTCCACTTACACAACGTCGCTCTCCTCGAGCGTGTTGGCTCATGAGTACAAACACGGCCGTCGCTACCATAGCTACCACAGTGGCTGTATGTTTCCCAGCCGAATAGAATAAGCAAACTGTGTATGGCGTGGTGTGCTCATCAGGAAACAAGCCTACCTATTCCCAAATGATGAACAGGAGCAGGAACGTCTTGATATGGTTCATCATATATGCTTCCGGGCTCTTGGCGATCGTCTCTTTCTCGCACCGATTAAGCCCAACGGCAAGCGGGTTCTTGATATTGGAACAGGCACCGGGATCTGGGCCATGCAGATGGGCGATGAGTACCCTGAAGCCGAGCAGGTGATTGTGCCCAAGCAATCTCTCTATCCCGAGGCAGGTGCTGATATCTCATCAGATTATCGGCAATGATTTGAGCCCAATCCAGCCAACCTGGTATCCAGAAAATCACAGAGCTCTATCCACCCAAGGCTAATATGGCTAGGATTCCACCCAATGTCAAGTTCATCGTCGACAATGTGGAGCAGAACTGGGTCGAGCCGCAGCCCTATGATTTCATCCACTGTCGGTATATGTGTGGTTCGATCAGCGACTGGCCGAAACTACTTCGCCAGTGCTATGAGTCTGTCTCTGCCCCCGGTTTTGCGTCTCTCCTACTAAATACCGAGTAGACACCTGAAGCCTGGCGGCTGGATTGAGATCCAGAATGGCGACTTCAACTTCTACTCGGAAGACAACACCTTCAAGCCAGATAACTATCTCCATATTATGGCGTCAAATCTCATCGAGGCCTGCAGGAGGATTGGAAAGCCACTAGACGTCGCACCGCAGATAAAGGGCTTGGTGGAAGCGCAGGGGTTCATCCAGGCCGATGAAAAGATCTTCCCGATCCCCCTCAGCGGCTGGGCCAAGGATAAAAGGATGGCAAGAAAGGACTTCACTCTCCTATTGTATTAGGTGCTAACTAGTCTGGTATAGAAGGAAATGGGCCTCTTCACTGCCGTGAATCACATCGAAGGCGTGGAAGCCCTCACAGTCGCCCCCTTCTCCGAGGTGCTGGGCTGGAGTCCGGAGGAGATCGAGGTGCTCATTGCTGGTGTCCGGAGGGACTCAGAGAGGAGAGACGTTCACGGTCTCTGGAACATGTAAGGCTTCCATCAGACCTGAAAGTCTTTCACTGATCATCATCAGCCATGTCGTCACTGCGCAGAAGCCACAGTAGGTAGATTATAACTAAATATATTTATTAACCTATGACTTTATGATTTGGGCTATTAGCTGATCACTACTTAAAACTTTAGATAAGGGTCAAGTGAGGTGTATGTAAACACATCTTCTATTTGATTACTAGTGAGGTATTGTCCAGGGTTTATATATTTCTTAAAGACCATTCTATGTAGGAAAAAAAAGATGACGTGCACCTAGAGTATTAGTAATTAACATCTCTATCTACAACAGGAGGCGATAGAATAACCATACTTTAATCATATATAATAACGCTATCAGGTTTATAGTAACTCTAACCCCTTAATACTCTCTATATACTATGTAGATGCTACTCGGATTGATGGAGCTGCATGTCTAATGCTCTTTAATAGTGAGGGAGTAAATCATGCTCAGTATAATTTATTCTTACTATTAAGAAACATCTTTATAGTATATAGTATATCAAAGATAACTATATTATATTACCTATTAAGTTCTTAACCCTTCCAGCAACATATTCTGCCTCAACCTTTGAACCATTGACTAGGAAGTTGCTCTCAGAACCTGGTCCACTACTAGGTTACTATTCAAATAGGATACTCGACTTTTCATTATTACTCGATTAGGCTCAGTCTAGATTGAGTCCCCCTCACCAGATTAGAGAATGCATGTGAACTCATCTTACCAGATATCTTTCACGACCATCAACTAATAAACAGGCGTAGAGAATAATGTGCTCGACGAGAAGTTACCCTCGACCATGCACACATCCACAAAGGGACCCTCTATCTGGCTCTTCCACCCCGAGCTCTCCTTGGGACCACGAGTATAATAATCAGCACTCACGGGCACCTTGCCCTCGACCACATCCAGGTTGAAGATGGTCCGGTTGAAGACAGTGAGGACGGTCTCTGGGGCATACGCCGAGACCTGGTGTCCCGACTCAAAGACCCTGGTAAATGATAACAGACCGTACTGCTTTGCGACTCCGCCCTTTGCTCCAGCGCTAAGGCCCTGGAGTTCCTGGTACCCTGCGTCGATGAAGCCCTGCTGGCCCTTCCACGCGACCGTCTTGGCCAGGGTTTCCGCCCCGGTACCAGGGCACGTGTAGTCGCGGTCGCCGTAGATGAAGGCCGTCTTGACGTTATTGCGAAGCAGGTATTCGAGGTTCGGCAGGTTGGACTGTCGGAACGCGTCGCCCGTATCGTCAAAGGCATCAGTGACGTCTAGCGAGTACCATGTCCAGTTCAGCGGGACGCCGAGGGCAGCCTGGACATGCGGTTTGTTGAGATACTCGCCAACCGTGAGATAGTAGGTGCAGGTGGCGGGCGTCTCGATGGCAATATCATAAGTCGACACCTGTCGTGGTTAGTATGGATGAAAATGTTACTCGATCAACGAAGAATCGAGCTTACATTGTGGATGGTATACAGCGGGGTGATGATAGTCGCGCAGTAGGCTGTTGCGTCGGCGCAGATCTCGTTGACGGTGGCATTGTTACCTGTATAGTCCGGGTCTCCAACTTGGCCAGCGTGGCGACACTGATCGGTCCGATCGAGACAGCCACCCGGTTTGGTGATGTTGTTCTCGATCTCGTTGTAGAAGGTCTCGTTGTAGAACTTGATCCCGTACGTGTTGTGGTTGGCGTACTCAGGGTACCCTGCGATCTGGTAGTAAAAGTCCACACAGCCGTTGGTGATGCCGATAGAATCCACCCGGAGGTCTTTGTCCTTGAGATAATGGGTCGCCGGGAGCTGCTGAAGCGCTTTGCTCACCGTCACAGCAGTTTCGGGCACATAGAACCCGCCGTAGGAGTTTCCCCAGAAACTGATATCCCGGGAAGAAGTTGAATAGCCCGGGAACGACGACAACCAATGCTCCAAGAACACCCATATGCCTCGGGCACTGGCTACCGTGGTGTTTGCAGTTGCGGATAGCGAGGGATCAGGGAAGATCCCCTGGCCCGGCGGCGGGGGGAACACGGTGCCATTGTCGGGCGTAACTAATAGGGAGGTCGAGTTGTAGGTTCCGTTGGTCAGGCTGCTGTACGAGAAGCCCACCTGCAGGGGCTGGTCGAGGTAGAGGATGTTGACATGGTTGTTCAGGGACCAGGGGTTGATGGTCGTGTTGGTTCCCTCCCGGTTGACCACGCAAGGGCCATTCTCGCTGTTCAAAGCCACGTAGGACCCGGCCTCGCCCGGTCCTCCGGCAAGATAGAGGGCCAGGGGGGCAGTTTGGGGGTTGTTGCGGGCTTCAAAATACATGAAATAGACACTCATGTTGTACCCCCCCAAGTCGCTCACGAGGCTGCCTGGAATATGCACATAGCCGCTGTAGGAGGTTGTCCCGGGAGTCGTCTCGCAAATGTCTGTCTATCGATTGTCAGAAGCATAAGAGGTATATATGTGTGTGTTTTATATGGTTCTCACTTCTTTGTAGGATATCTGTACTTCGGGGTTGACCTTGGACGTAACGACGGTGAGCTGCGCAGAAGAAAAGGAGGCGAGCACAGCAGTGCCCAGTAGGAAGCCTGAAATCCTCATGGTCACTGAGTAGATTGCACAAGAACATACACCAATCTACAAAGATCTGGTTGACTTATATCACTTGGATTGGAAAGAGAGGGCTATGATAGGAGGGCCATCAATCTAGGGTTGGCCTATCTGGGCTGGCAGGCTTACCCAAAACGCCTACTGATAGCGTGTCCTTGGCTAGAGATCATATTAGAGCCTCTAGTGCGATCCCTCGGACGCCTCACCTGCTATACTTTGTCCTTCAGGAGTTGCATATCACTGATACTAAGCAAAGCTGTGCAAATTACCCAGAATGGCTACTGATAGCTAACTCTTGAATAGATTTTATATTATTAGAGGCGCAGCCCAGTTAGGCCTAGCGCCACATATCTTTTATTTATTGCCTACTAGATAGCTTCATTGAGTAACTATTCACTATCTATCTCTTGCACATTCCTGGCATCTTAGATATCATATGATAGCTTTTTGTGCATCAACTTCTCTACTTCTCCTGCCTTACGGCTGACCACAGACAATCAAGATAAGCGTATGTATCGACTAGAGACTATTGGCCTGAATTCGGAATCTCGGACCTGTCACGATGCCTTGCGCAACCAGTGTAAAACCTTCAACTTTACGTCTAGCGCAATGGAGTGGCTTAGAGTGTTGCCTAGCCTTGCACATGACAGTTCTATGCAAAGGATCAGACGTCGGCGGAAAGAGGAAAAAGAAGGCGACGGCATGGCGACGGAGCTTTATCGGGTGTTGCTTAGTCCACGGATATCAGTGAGCTGACTATGGTGTAAGTAATATGAGGAATCTAGAAATGATCAGTATATGTATGTATATATTGATATTTAAGCTGGGTTTACGAGAATCCAGAATTAAATTTGAGATTATTCCCACACTGTCTATATAATTAAGTCTTTTAGATAGGAATATCTCTATTTATTTTACACCTAGCACATTATAATTGCACTGTTTTCCTGTTTGCATTTGAAGTAGGAATCTAAACAGGAATTAATCGCGTCAAAGTAAGCATCAAATTGAGGGTTGAACTCATCAAGGATTGGTAATGGGGAGCAGGGGATGGTTCCATTTCATGGGGTATCACGCGGCAGAGTTTTGTGGGGGCTATGAAGTGGACCAAGGTGGGTTTATTTTATCCTTCTAGTAACAGTCTTATAACAAGTAGCAAATAGTTATTTTATAATCTGAAATAAGCTTTACTAGTTTATAGGATTGAATGGTAGTTTTAATAACAGCAATGCTGACCACACGCCACTGCCTCATCCTGATGCCCATCATGACGAATCACAAAGTGTACAAAAACTCTGGATTCTCTCCATCGGTGAGATCAAGCCATCTAGCAAGTTAGTTATGGGACCAATTTCGGTGCTCAGACTAGGAAACTTACTCGGAGTTTTCGGGCTTGACGTAGGAAGGATCGGCTCGAATCGCCGCCTTCTTTGCATTCATCCTGCGGAACCAGTACCAGATGAAGAGGATATCCAAGATACAAATCACGTAGCAAACAAACATGGTGACAATGGCGGGATAATAATGTGGAGCATCTTCAGGACGGAAGGTCTGAGGCCCTGGAGGTTTATTAGCAGGGAGAGGAATTGAATTTAGGGATCAGGGTAGGGTTTAGGGTTTATTTTTTCTCTTTTTTCTAAAAGAAAAAACATACCAACAATGTTTCCGACACAGTAGGAGATGAGGTACATGGCTGCAACGGTGGTCTTCTTGGTATAGCCAGCGATGTTGGATGAGATGAGACTCAGCATGATGACAAAGCCTGAGGGTGCCGCGAGCGTCAAGTAGAAGCCAACGAGCTTGCCGGCCCTGGCGCCATCCGAGAGGGCGACCAGGAGGATACTTCCAATGGTGCCGAGGCCAACGCCTCCCAGCGAGATGAGGAGGCGGTTCTTGCATCGGTCGCCCAGCCAGCCGGTGAGAAGCAGGGAGACGACTTCAACGGCGCCGGAAGGGCTGCTCAGCAGCAGCGACTGCTTGGCGGTATAGCCAAAAGAGACGATCAGAAGACTGAAGAAGTTGGAAATGCCGCCGTTGGGGATGTTGCCCGCCAGACTCAGGACGACGATGGCCCAGGCAAAGGGGTCCTTGAGAGCCTCGAGGAACTGGTACATTTTGAAGTGCTTGTTGCCGATGCCTTGCTGGTTTTCACGCACCCGGGCGACGGCCAGGATGCGGTCTTCGTCGCTCAACCACCAGGCTTTGAGGGGGCTGTCGGGGACAATGATCAGGAAGAAGATTCCCAGCGCGACGGTCAAGAGACCGGTGAGGATGTATAGGACCTTCCAGGCGGCGATGGTGAAATGGCCGCGATCCCCGGCGTCCGCCAGGCCATAGGCAATAAAGCCGCCGGCAATGGCGGCCGCGCCATTGAAACTGAACCAGATGCACGTCCGGGCCCCCTGCTCGGACTTTTTGTACCACTGGGAAGTGATCAAGGTCCAGCCGGGGGTGACGGCAGCTTCGAAAATGCCGAGGAACACCCTCAGGACAGCAGCGCCGGCGAAGTTGTGGGTCACGGAGAAGAGGGTGAGGATGACTCCCCAGATGATGACACACATGGCCGAATATTTGGCAATGGGCAACGCCTGGAGCAATCGAACCGTCGGCCACTCGAAGCCCTGGAAGAGTTAGCAGGCAGTCTTAGGGTTTAGGGTTAGGGTTTAGGGTTTAGGGTTAACTAGTAGCAGTGGCACTCACCAGATAGCCAAAGTAAAAGATGGAGCCGAGCCATGAATAGTTGGTTCCCTCAAGATGGAGGTCCTCGGTGATGCCCATGACACTGGAATAGGACAGGGTGGTCTTGTCCAGGTAATTCATGCCATAGATCAGACACATGACAGGCAGTATGTATCGGTCAATCTTGCGAAGGAGACGTTTGTCGGTCGCAGCATCGACGACAACCTCCTGATGGCCCTGGAACACCGCAAAGGCCTCGTCGACATCGTCGGTGTCGCCCTTGACCAGCTCCACACTGCCCTGTTCGTGGATAGACCCGGCCTTTTCGCCCGTCTTTCTGTCCTCGGGGACAGCAGCAATATCCGCCATGTCAAACGTCTCTCTTGCGGTGAACTGGATATGCTGGATGCAAACCCAACAAGCGACATCCTCAGCTTAAGTACCGACCTGTCAACTCTGACGGACGCGTGGCGGACCACTGATATTCGAGACATTCACTGTACCTATCGGCACTCTGTGTAGGTCTAGCGCTGCTCTTGTATAGATAGCAAGAATTGTCCCAATTAGTCCCAGGCGCCACGGGGCGGGGTCCGGGGAAAAAGTGGGGGCTTTCACTATACCCAAAAAGGAAGGGGCATTGCTATCAATGATGAGCTTATCGATTGTGAGCAGATGCCCTGATTGATACACCCCTTGATTGCTTTTACTAGTATTGGTGTCTTGAAAGATATGAGTATAGAGCAGAATAGTGGAGCAGCCCACTAAATACTTCTATTATACTATATTATTAGTAGATCTTTGTTTTAGGGCCCCTTTTTGCGTGCTGACTAGGTCTTTTAGCTATCTTTAATGTGGAAGGCTGACTCTAAGACTCAGAACTTACATCTACCCACCACTCATTTCCTAAGGACTTTCTCACCACAACAATGGCGACGTGCACTCTGGTTGCGACTGTAGAGCCTGCGTCAGAGCGAACCTATACCACGGCGGTGGAAGGGACCATCACTGGTACTGTCGATGCCCTGGACAAGGAGCTGCGCGAGATCAGTCTCCAGGCAAGTGGGCGCCCTCTGGTTGATGAGTTTCTACTGATAGATAGTCCAAGGGATAGATCCACGACAATCCCGAGCTGTGTTTTGCCGAATACAAAGCCCACGACAACGTCGTCGCCCTGATCCGGTCTCGCGGGCTCCCCGTCACCCCCCATGCTTACGGGCTCGAGACTGCCTTCTCCGCCGAGTACGGACGCGAGGGGCAGGTGGTCACCTTCTGCTGCGAATACGACGCCCTGCCTCAGATCGGACACGGGTGCGGCCACAATCTGATCGCCACGGCGGCCATTGCGGCGTTCCTGGCCACGGTGAGCGCCCTGCAGCAGTCGGGCAGGGCCGGGCGAGTGCGTCTCCTGGGCACGCCCGCGGAAGAGGGTGGCGGAGGCAAGATCAAGCTCATCGAGGCGGGCGCCTTTGGCGACGTCGATGCGGCGATGATGAGCCATCCGTTCCCCGTGGCGCCGGCCACCAGGGGCACGCACGGGGTGGCCTACGGGAACTGTCTGGCGGTGCAGGCCTTCCGGGCGACGTTCGAGGGCAAGGCCGCGCATGCGGCCTTCTCGCCCTGGCTGGGAGCAAATGCCCTGGACGCGGTGACGCTGGCGTACAGTGCCGTGGGGATGCTGCGCCAGCAGACGCGGCCCACGGATGTCATCGGGCTGATCATCGAGAACGGCGGCGCGAGCAGTAACATCATCTCGGAGCGCACCGTCATGAGTTGCAACGTGCGGGCAAAGACTCTCAGGGAGAGCATGGAGCTTCTCGACCGGGTACACAAGTGTCTAAACGGCGCGGCGATGGCGACGGGCTGTACCCTGACGATCGAGACGATGTGAGTAGAAACGATGGCAAAGATCGGAAGCTGCCAGACACTTATGAACCACTTCATTGCAGACATGATCCATACGCCGATCTCCGATCCAACAAGACGTTGTGCTCGCTCTTCACCGAGACCATGGGAGCGTTCCACAAGACGTTCAAGTGCGATCTGGATTCCATGCACGACGGCCCGTATGGAACTGATATGGGTAAGAACTTTGAGGGCAGCCTGTTCATCTTAGGGTTGTCAAACATCATCTTCAATATACTGACGATTTAGGAAACGTCTCCTACGCCTGCCCCTCGCTCCATGCCACATTCCATGTGGAAACCCCCCCGGGGGTGGCCCTACACTCTGCCGGATTCGCGGCGGCCGCCAGGACACTGGAGAACCATAAAATCACCATGGAAGTGGCCAAGGGCATGGCTCTGACGGGGTGGAAGATTCTGTCGGATGAGGCCGTGGCTACGCGAATGAAGGAGGACTTTGAACGGGACATTTTATTACGATAACTGAAGATAGACAGTAGATGTAACTGATATATTAAACCCGATATATACTTGATAGCAAGTGAATGATATTACTGTCTATATGTCTGTCTCAGATGGGAACACACTCGCCTGGAAACTGCTGGCTCAAAGCCATCCAATTCCAGACGGCGCCTTCGTCTCTGGCCCGCCAGACCCTGTCTGTGACAAACTTCAAAGTCTGGAGCGAGGTGGAGGTCCTCCGGACGCTGTATATGCTGTGGAACACATTCATGGCCTCGGTGCGATCCTCTTCCTCCCGCAGCTCACAGCTGGCAATCAGCGCCGGCCAGGTGCAGAGCCGGAGGTCTTCCGGCGGCCTCTTCAAGTACCTCATCACCTCTCTGGCCATCTCCAGCGCCGTCTGGTCGCTTTCCACCGAGCTCCCGGCGCCATGGAGCAGGCGGAAGAGCATGAGCAGCGCGGCGGCCCGGTATGCATGGGCGTGCGCCAGGAGTCGCGCCGACCATGCCGCAGAGACGCATTGCCAGGCCTGGATGCGCGAGCGCAGCCCGTCGGCCCTGCGCGTGAATAACGAGGTCTCGGCCGGGCCGATGGGGGTTGCGTGCCGTTGAATGTCTTCTGCAAGGCCACACAGCTCTTCCAGAAGCGGCATCAGCGTCGTGGTGGACCCCATGAATCGGTCGGGGCTGTGGTTGTTCTCGTCAAGCCAGATGTCCGTCCGGATGGAGTTCCGGCGAAGGTGGCTCAACGAGATGATCATGTCATGGCGGGCGAGGGCGCGAATGAAATACTTGGCCAGCGAGCTCAGGACAAGACCGGATTCGATATACCGGTTGATGATGGAGGCCGCATAGGCAATGAGAATGGAGGATGTCCGCTCGTGAGGCTGACATCGCCTGTCGATCCCCTGTGTGTGCTTTAGCTTCGTGGAATTTGGATTCAAGGCTGTTTTGATCTCTAAAGCCACTTCAAACCTCCCTTACCTCCATCGCGCCCAGGGCTAACGCCATAAGCAGCATCTGCTCCAGCTCACGGCTCGGGTCTTTGACCTTCAGAGTCGCCAGGGTTCGTGCCCGTCGGGCGAGAGTCAGCGGGAGGAGAGCACCATCTCGGCTGTTGTCTTCGAGATAGACAGACCCAATCGAGCAGAGGGCCTCCGCCACCGCCTGGGGACTGTCTTGGAAGACCATCCATGTCGAGGCGTTCATCTCATCCACAAACTCCAGGCTGATCACTTGCTCGAAAGGGTGCCGGTTGAAGTACAGACTGAGGGTTTCCGCGTCGTCGGCCGAAATCGCACCGGGCGGGATGGTAGGGACTGATGGGGGTATGAAAGGAAAAGACGGCATTGTCTCGTACGGGAGAGTCGAATCCATCGCCATGGAGCCGCCAGGCAAGGCGGATGGGTCGACACTTTCTTCACGTTCATCCACTGTATTGTTGCTACTACTGGCAGCCTCCGATGCCGGAGTCTGGGCGTCGAGTTGCGCATCCGACATCTCGGCCGAGCGCCGGCTTCTGCCATCGGCAGGGTGATAGAATATGAACTTTGGCTTCTTTTCCGTCACATCGGGAAGAGCGCTGTATCCTCGACACTGACGGTGCCGACGAGCACAAGTGCCGCAGGACGGGCGGGCCTCGTCGCATCGCACTTTGGCTGCTTTGCAATCGACACATCCACCTTTAGACCGGCGACGAAGATCCACCTGCATGAAATCCACATGTGCTGGGTTGATCGGACTCGCCATCAAGGCCGCGGGGGTATCTGCAGAATAATCGGATCGATGCAATTCCAGATTACGAGGTTGCCCAGAACCGGCTGTAAGGGAGAAATTGAAGGATCAAGCTATCCCAGGAATGGAAAGGTGGAAAGTCGACCTATCGGTGTGAATGCGGCAATCTGATTGGTTGAGCCAGGAGTTCTCCTAAATTATGTCTACTCTGTAAGACAAAGAGATATATAATAATAGAATGTGATTATAAATGCCCTGATTATAGTACTAAAAGCTAATAACGCTGCTTGGTCTTTTTTAGCCTCTATAGTAGATATCTAGTATAAAAATAATGGACAGAATAAACATAGTGAAAAATATAATATTATACTTGGTAGGCCTTGGCAACTTCACAGGAGTTGTCTATAGGAGTCTCCATGGGACTAGATAAAGGAGATGGAGTGGCTTTGTAAGAGAGCAATAAAGACAGACTTATAGAGTTAATAAGATAATAAAGTGGCAGCCAAGTCAGATCTTATAAGGGCCAGTGGAATAGGAATTGGTCTAACCTAGAAAAGGTTCAGATCCCTATTGATAACCTGTACTCTGTAACAACCTAGTAATAGCCTGGATGACACCATTTGTACAAGAATCCGATGGAATTGGAACCCCCGAAATCACATAAGAAGACCTGGCGGGATGTAGGCCCATACTCTACTTACACTATTACTAGGCAGGAGAAAGTGAGACCTATTTTAATTAGAAATCCAAATCTAGTATAATCACATGCCATTTTGCTTTACAGGATCCATCATATCTATTATTACATTTCTATGCCTAGCAGCCACAAACCTACAATTAGTTATCTGTCCTTATCTTACGTTAGTGTTGACCATCAACAGCTCAATCCCCCAAGAAGCCCTTTGATTTCTGAAACGACCAGCAGAATAAGCAATTTGTCCTTCATTCGCCTCCTACCCGCTTATAAGTATTAGTATATAGTTCAGACATCCCTTTGAATAGCCTCACTAGCAACATCTCCACCCTGGCGACCCGAGTGCTTACAATCAAATACGCTATACCATCACAATCTGCATTCTACTTCGACCACAATCACGTCAATCAGAAGCCCAAGTCACCGCTCGAAACGGTCCATTGCATGACGCTCATATCTCTGCTTCAATTCAGGTAAGGAGCGCAACTGGGTGGTGAAAAGGGTTGTTAATAGCCAGGGACATCTCAACTTATCCTCCCTTTAGGGCCTTTAATTCGCCCTTTCCCTGTCGCAGGTTGCCTCGGGCTTTGATCTTTCTAATATCTCCTACAGAACATGCCTCCCTTTATACTCTCCCAATGTAATGTCGCCGACGGCGCCGCCCTGGCCGCCAACAGCATCCCCGCATTCTGGGCTGATCCGCACTGGGTCCTGGCCTGGCGCCATCGGACCCTTGAGTATCACATTTCGCAGATAGCCCTGCGCTTCCCGCGCAACATGCTGAATAACCGGGAGTCCTTGCGACATCAGAAAGCAGTGGATCCAGAGACAGGCCGCATACTCGGTTATGCGCGATGGTGCCTGCCACCGTCTTATGGGATAAGCCCAGATGATGGCACGCCGACATGGCCCGAGGCCCAGGTCCCGGCTGTCGAGCCCGAAAAGGAGGCCGAGATCCGGCGGACTGCCGAGACTGTTGTCTGGGATCCCAACAACAATGCCGATGAGTTGTTGGATCGCGTAAACGCGCTGGAGAAGGAAGTGACGCCAAAGACACCATATATAAGTAAGTTGCGCGCCGACAGGCGACTCTAGAGGAAAGCGGCTCCTGGTCTGACACGTCAATTGACAGGTCTAGAATACCTTGCTGTGCATCCAGACAACCAGCGTAAAGGAGTCGGGAGAGCATTGGTGAAGAGCGGGATGGACCAGGCAGACAAGATGGGGTTAAACATCTTCGTTCATGCTTTGAGAGAGGGAGCTGAACTGTATAAACGAATGGGTTTTCGCCTCATAGCAGAGCTCGTCCAGGACGACTCTGCGTACGGTGGCAGTGGGGTGTATGGTACATATTTCTTCATCTATGAGTCTGGATCGAGGGTTTAGGGTTTTGCATATCCCCGGTCGAATACTTAACATCTTCCACTGTCTTTCTGCCAGCTTGAGCACAGTGAAGTTATATTAATATATTTTCACTTATTTGTCATGCTTCTAAGTGATGGAGTGTCTATAAATCCTCAGCATTTAAAATAATATAATTTTATAGAATATTATATGTTTACAGTAATATAAGTTCTTAAAACAACCTTTAGTAGTACTTATACTTTTGGCCTCTTTATTAAGTAAATACATTAATTATTTAGTGGATCTATTGGTTTTTATATCACTGGAAGCAAAACATCTTTATGATGTATCCTTTCTACCTCATGTGCTCCTCCTAAAGGAAGGCGCTCATCCAGTGGAGTTCTTCATTATCCCTAAATTCATGTGTCTTGTTGTTATCCACAAGGCTCATCAGGTACTTGCCCCTACCAAGGTTCTCATTTTTGCCCCTCTTTTCCCTTTTTAGGTGCGCCATGAGGTCTTCTAATGTAGTATATCCATATGATCCTTGATGGGCCCACCCCTACTACTATGTAGAGGACCTTCAACCTAGGCTGTAGTAGTCATTCCATAGACTACCCAGTGAGGTCGGAGGGCTTCCGAGCCACATGCAGCCATATTAGAATGTTCTACGGTGTACTACGTATAGGGGAAAGTGGGGCTGGCAATCAGATGTTGCTCGCCCTCTGCGTAATCGGCAAATATACTCTGAGAGCAGCGATTTAAGTGTATTGAATTCTAGCTGGCTCATCAAACAGTTGACACTTTACCACAGGCTATGGATAATGATATAAGTCAGGGGAACCCCTCTAGCCTTATGTTATCTGATTATAGTTACTTGATTTAGTTAGTTCTCTAGTTATTAGTTTTTCCTTTTATCAATGCAAAGATAAAGAAGTTTTATTAAAGATTGAATAATAGAAAGTCTAAATAGATGACTCGCAAACTAATTAGATAATATTTCAAACCCTTGAAGGCCTAGTCCGCGCCACAAAGGGTAGCATTATGTGTACAGCCCTAAAGGCGTACAGCTGCAGCTGCAGTTTAAGGTTAGCATCAGGGATTTAGATGGGCCAAGACACTAGACTTAGTGTTTATGTTAAAGGGATCATTAAGGAATAGCCTCACTAATAGCATGGAGAATAGACTCAGTAATTAATTAAGAGATCAATTCAGGAATTGATCGACTAGTTGATCCAGAAATCATGCAATGAATCGCCCTGACAATGGACTGATTATGTAGCTATGGCGGCTGTACCTGAAGCCAATGGCTGCACACATATAGGCCACGGTCTGTACACGTAATACTACCCGCGACAGATAGACTACTTACTACTTACTACCCTAGGCCGCTAGAACCCTGCTAAGATATCATAACACATTTGCTTCGATTTGGACATACGACTCAATAACCATGTTATATATCTACCTGGAATCTCAACATCTGATCTGGGCCTCTTTGTTACATATACTTGACTATTATAAAACTATTCTAGGCAATATCATGGGGAGGCTTAATAGACACTTTCAGGGGGCTTGGTAGTTAAGCTTTCGAGGGTCTTGGGCGGCTTTGTGGCGTCGCAAAATATAAGAATTAATATGACTATTTGTTGACAGTATATTAACTCTCACCGCTAGGCCTCCAAGGTTTAGCATGTCATCTATTTTGCAATTCTTGAATTTGAGAACTACATGCTGAATAGAGCTTGGACTAGCCTCTCTCGCTTTGATACAGTCTCCCCTACAAGTTTCTATCCCAGTGGAACTATATAGGTTAGTTTTACTAGGGCCCTCATCCTAATACCATAGCAAAAAAGCCTATATGGCCTCAATAGGGATGCATCAATTCCCTAAGGCGCTGATACTACCTGAGGTGGCCATAAGTATACCACCAAGACTAAGCTCTCTTTGAATGCAAGCTTTCTCGGAATCCGTCCGTCTATACTAACTTGACCAAGATAACGCTTGTGGGTGCGCCCGAACTCGAACACGAACCCTAAAAGCCTAATCTAGCCACTTTGATGCTTTAGTTCGACTATCCTACAACCAAATTAGTCCAGATCTGCAGCCTATCACTCGTCTAGTGTGGATGATGTTGATGACGTCTACTCTACTATGATAATGGCCCCTGATGTCTATAATGCCTGGAAGAGATATAAATAACGGATCATCTCCCTGGCTTCAGCAGAGAAGTTATCATAGCACTATCCACCCTCACTTCACCCAAGAATCGATTCAAAGACTCAATTTCTCACTTTCACAATGGTCCGCCTGATCGCAATTGGATTCTTCTTCCTCGCAGGTCTCTTGACCGCAAATGCTTGCACTTATTGCCAGTGCGAGTTTTCCGATGGTTCCCACTGCTGTGTCTACTCTGTATGCTTACCTCAACCTAGAGGAAATACGCATCCTTGCTGATTTTTCAATAGGACTCCTCCGTGGGTAACCTTGATTGCACTACAGTTTGCTCAAGCGCTCATCGAGCTGATGGGACTACCAACTCGGATGGCACTGCTGGTACTGCATGCAATGCTGGAGGGAGCTACAAGTGTGCAAGTGTCTTTGAGGCTCAGGACCGCACCGCATGCTATACAGAGTAAAGCATCATCTTTTACTGTGGCTCCCCAAACTACTGGGGTAATGGGATATATGGTTGCTGGAGAAATGGGCATGGTTTCGAGGGTACCAATATCTACATTATTACTCAAGTTCAATGGATTTGATGGTTGTTAAGACGTTTGGTTATAAAGCATCCAGGTGTTAAACAATTTAAGAATATAGATAGTGACTTGACACTTTAAGCAATATTAGTAAGGTTTATCCAGCCTTAATATAATTTAGTGGCTCATTAATTATTCAACCCTGAAGACATGTTAATATGTAAGAGATTATTTTTAAACTCAACCCATTATAAGAACTCAGAAAGGGTATTAAATCGATGAGCATCTAGATAGGCGTGCGGTGATCATGATACTTAACTAATAAGGACCGTAAGGTCGCCGAGAAGGATTTTAAGCTGTAGTCTATAATATAATAGCAGGCAGAACTAAAAAGCTAGTGTTAAAAGACTTAATAACCTATATTTATATTCCTTACTCATTAACTTAAAATTTAGATTATAAACCCTCTATTAATCTGGACAGGAGAAGTACAGTACTATGTCAAAAGCTACCATTAATTGCCCCCCACCACCAAAATATATAATCAATCCAACCCATTCAAATTGACACCACATCACCCCATTCTAATGATATTTATTAATCTTTTCATATTGTATAGAGAAGTGCTAAAGCAACTGAAATGTATAGAAAAAATAGGCCTAATACTTAGTATACCACCCATTAAAATCTAACACCTAGTAAACCCTAAACCTTATCTTCACCAGTCTGCCATCTTTCCTAGTGACGGCTATAGTCAATGTACGGCTTTCCTTTACATCATTTACTTAATTATTCATTAGCTCTTTGTACTGGTATTCCAATTATTCACATAATTATTAGGGCTGAACCCTATTATGTAGTATTATATTATGGACTATATTTGTCCCTAAAACTTATCTAGTTAGGTACTTTAATATAATTTCATTATCAGCTTCATATAGGGATAATCCCTGCATTATTTAGCTAAGCTCACTTCTACATTATTTAGAGGGAGATAATGAGCATATAGGTGGTGGCGACTATGCACGGACCTCGGTCAACTATGGCAGAAAAAAAAGATTCTGCCATTGTTGACCGAGGTCCGTGCACTGTGGAATTCTCAAAAATACAATGCCAAGGTATTTATATTTCTTGTTATTAAAATTTCTATGTTAAATATATAAAAATTAGTAAGGAAAACTAGTAAGAACTATAAGTATTTTATAAATATTTTATAATTATATAAAGATTTATAAATTATATTTAAATATTTTTATTATTAAAAAATACTTCTTAATTATTTGATACTTATCTAGCATTTTTAAATAATTTCTAAAGAAATTCCTTAAAACTTTAAGTAATAACTAATTTATTCTAAATATTTACTAAATGATTATAAAATATTTATAAAATACTTATAGTTCTTACTAGTTTTTCTTACTAGTTTTTATATATTTAACATAGGAATTTTAATAATTAAAGACTATGGTATTTCAATTACTTACTAAGCAGTGCACGGATGGCGGGTAATAGTGGCAGAATCCCTTTTTTCTGCCATAGTGGACCGCCGTCCGTGCATAGTCGAGATCCTCTAGGTCCTGGGAGATACGTAGTGGCCCAGGCTGTTTAGTAACCATGGTTTACAATAGTTTTTAAAGGTTATGTAATAGTTATGGTTAGTTACTAAACTAGAATTAGGTAATAAAATAGTTACTCATTATTTTTAATATTATAACTATTATTTATAGAAGTAAATAATAAATATAATATTCTATTATTATTTAACTATAAGTATATAGCTATTTTAAATAAAAACTTATAATTAACCTATAATTATCTATTATAAAGAAA